AATATACACGAATTGTATAGAATATATATATATATAATAATAACAGTCTATTTACTCTATCTACTCTAGCTAGTCTAGAAGCGGAAAGCGCCTAGATAGCCGCCTTTTAATTGCTAATTAAAAGGAACGCTGTATATACTATTATACTAAAGTTTTATACCTAAAAAATTTTCTTTACTATAAACAGCCTCTTTTTTAGAAGTATATAAAGGGCTATTTTTAAGCGCTGTTTAACTATTAGAGACTAAGGAAATAGAGCCCTAGGCCGCTGTTAGGGTGCCTACTTATCCGGCAGAAAGGTCTAGTACTATATTTATAAACTATATAGGATTATTAAATACTATAATAGTTTTCTTAACTACCGGCGTGTTTATAAAGACACCTACTATAGTAATTTAGCTAGCTAGTATTATAATCTATATTAATTGTGTTAGTTCCTATCTACTTATAATACTTTGCTTTTATTATATATAAGCAGTAGTTTTATAAGTTTACCGGAGATATAATATTCCTTTATATAATCCTAGTCCTCTACCACGCTATTATACTTACTGCGCTACGCTTACTAAATTTTATTAAGTATTAATTTCGAATTAAAATTAATTATATTAAGTTAAGTTAATAGATATAAATATACAGCCACGGCTACGGCCACAGCTACTGCTACTACTACTGCTACTACTATAGCTACTGCTATAGCTATAGCCTGCTATTATTTAATAAGGTGCAGTAGAGCCTATTAGCCGGCCTTTATAATACTATATAATTGCTAGAGCCTTAATAAAAAGGAGAGGATTTATAGAAAAGTCCACCTTATTTAGAATAGGATAATTAAACCACTAGTATTAATAAATATCCTCTAGTATAACTTTATACTTAGCTATTAATATAGCGTGTAGTTTTCTATATATTTCGTAATAGTATAGTATACTATACGTTCCTCTAAATATTTTATTATATATTAGGTTAAAATTATTATCTTTAGCCTTTTTAATCTGCTTAGCAATTAATTAAAGGCCCTGCTTAGTAACTTTTCTAATAACCTTACTAAATTTAGGCAGCTTTACCTTATGCTAAGGAGCTCTATATTATCGGCTAAGCTAGTTCTTTAGCTCTATACCTTAGCGGTAAATATATTAAAATAGTAGTATAACTATATTATATAAATTACCTATTAAGATCTAAAAATATAATTTAATACTGCTATTTAAACCTTTAAGCTATAAGGTTATAGTATTACTAAAGTATAGCAGAAGGCTAGTATAATATATAGTAATCTTCTTTTTATATAGCTACTACTTTTTAGTAAAGTAATTAATTAGGAGTTATTTATATATATAATCTAATTTTATTTTATTCTAAGCGGCTATAAACTTATCCTCTATAGGTTTTGCTAGGCAGAAGTTAAGCTTATTAATAAATTTCTTTTAATCTTTCTATATAACCTTAATTTTAGCTATTATTAGATTTTAAAAGGTATATACTATATCCTATAAATCTATAGTATTAGTTACTACTTACTTATTATTTTTCTAGATAGCTATAGCCTTACTAGTAATATTCTTCTGCACGTGCTATTTATATAGAAGTTAAGAAATAGTAGGAAAAAACTTAGCTAGTATATTTTTAAGTGCTAGCTTTTTATCTATAATAAAAACGCCTGGCGAAACTTCTAGGTACTAGTATATAAAATAAAGCTTATATACTATAAAAATATAGTCCCTTTTTTCTTTTTCTAGAAGGAAATAATAGCCTAGCTTATAGTTTCTGCCCTAGTTAGTAACACTATTAATATAAAGAAGTAGTATCTTAAACTTATTTATTTTATAGGTGTAGTTAAAAAGAATAATATTAGGATTCCTCTAGAATATCTAAACACTCTTAAAATATATAAAGTATAGATACTTAATATAGTTTACTTTATCTAGCTTATATTTATAGTAGTAATAAGTGTCTAGGTTATTACTGCTATATTTCTTAAGCACCTTAAATATAGCCTAAGTTAAAGTAAGCCTCTAAAGCTTTATTTTCTTCTACTTTTATTTTTTATTATATAGGTCCTATATTATTATATTCTTGCCTTTAGTAAGTAGGTTGTTAAAAATAGCACTAATAGGCGTGCCTTTATTAAGCTAATTATATATAGTTTAAATTATATCCTTATCTAGATTTTAGTATATAGCTAGAGTCCCTTTATTAGTATTAAATAGCTTATAATTATAAATAGAAACCTTAACTTTAAAAAACTAATTACCTAGCTATAGATTTCTTATAAAAGCTCCTTTTATAAGGTAATTAGACTTCTTTATATAGGTGTTTTTCTTCCTATTAGCCGGCTTATATATACCCGCATAATTGCAATAAATAAGCACCTTCCGCACCTAAGGTGGAGTGCGCTTATCTATTTTATTATTGTATTTAATAATCGCGTATCCTTTCTTTTTTACCTAATTGTTAACGGACTTTATACCCTTATCTACGGATGCATAGCGGCCCTAGGGGGGCGGCCGGAGCGGTATAGCAGTAAGGGTAGTAATATAGAGGACGTAGTGTTAATATATTATAAGTGCGCAGTTAATATAAATTCCTTATTAAGCATAAATAGTAAGTAAATATAATTAGTGGAATAATATTAATACGGGCCGGCGCTAGGCTAGATATAGAGGGGGTGGCAAGAAGAGAAAAAGGGGGTAATACGGAGAAAATAGGGGGGTAGTAATTAAGCTTGTCCCTAAACTATTCCTAGTTAACCTAAAATACTAACTTTGTATATAGCTAGTATAATATAGATAAGCCTACTTATTACCCCCCTTTTTACTATATATCACCTCCTATTTTGCTGTATATTACCCCCCCTAAATTAAGCCTAGCTCCGGCCCGTATTAATATTGTTCCACTAATTATACTTACTTACTTACAGCCTATACAAAGAATTATATAACTCCTAGAAGCGGAAAGCGCCTATATAGCCACCTCTTAATTGCCGATTGAAAAGAACGCCGTATACACTATTATACTAAGGTTTTACACTCGAATATCCTTATACTGCACCGGCTCCTTTACTACGAACAGCCTCTTCCTTAGAAGTAGATAGAGGGCCATCCTTAAGAGCTGGTTAAATGTTAGGGACTAAGGAAATAGAGCCCTTAGTTACTGTTAGGGTGCCGGCTTATCTGGCGGAGAGATCTAGTGCTATATTAGTAAATTAAAACCCGTTATTAAACAATATTATCGCCTAAGCAACGGCCTAATTAGTGGACCAAAGTTATTACGAGCCGGGGCTAGGCTAAATCTACAAAATAGGGGGTGATAGTATACCTAGAAAAAGCTTTATACTACTTTAAGCTAATTAGGAGATTAGATAAAAGGGGGGGTATATATAGATGCGTTTATCCCTTCCCTAATTCTCGAATTCTTAATGCGTTACTGGGCGGCAATAGAGGAGAAGGTTCTTGCAGGTTAAGTGAATTCAATATTCACGACGAACCTTAGGATGTTTCGCACCCTGAACGTTGGTTCAAGTAAGCCACGCGCGTGGCAGTCGCCTGTTTCCGGCTTAATAGTCACGTGCTCAAACCCCATAAAATGGTGTCACCCCTGTGTCAACATGCCTCAGCCCTGCAGAACAGCGTGCTGACGTTAACCACGTTAACTTAGTCGTATTATATTGTATATTCATATTATGACGTGGCTCCTTTCGCTCTGCCTTGAGCTGTCGCTTAATCTCCATCTCCACCCACCGCAGTCGAGCAGTCTTTCGCGGCGATTGCTGGCCTCTGCATCCAAGCCAAACCTCGCATTTCGAAAAGTTCGCAGAGGATCGCTGGTACGAACAATCTTATACTTCGAGACAGGATGTGCACGGCTGCCGAAAACCACTGCCCTTGCTGTTGCACGAACCACGGCGGAGTGTATTCCCTTCCCTGTCCCGTCTTTTATCAGTTACGGCCTGGTCAACAAGGCTTCGTTCACATAAATCACACCATTGATGAACGGAACTCAAAGGTAGTACTGGAAATCTGCGACCGTTGCAGGCGCAGGGAGCAAAAGCACTCATGGTTGAAGGACAAGTGGGCCAACCTCTCTCGGCCGATCCGGGTCAAGGTCTCAAAACATACCGCTTGCGAGATCTGCCAAAATTACCAAGTGGAAGAAGACCAGCCACTCAGGATCATCCCACTATTTTAGGTCAGTAACAGTAAAGTCCAGCAGTAGAAGCGGCAGTCCTAACGAAGATGTTTCAAGGTGCCAATCATTCGTGCAACTCTACCTATCGAGATTGAACGAGTTCGACACATTCTGAAGAACTTGAAGTTAGTGGAAGCGTTTTAGACGGGTGTGGTAGTATCGAATATGGGGTTCTCGTCACTATACTATTTCATTACTTCTGAATACTTCTGAAAAATCGAATCTGCACTGGTATGAAAACTTTCACTATGGGCTCCCCTTATGTTCTCTGCGATTGATCTTCTCATCGTGACAAAAGGTGGCGATCGTCTTGAAAATATATTATGTCGTTGTGTTGCATTTTTAAAGTGGCTACAGTCTGTGGTTGGGACGCATAAAGAGTGATATATTTCTCCTGATTCGTCTTCTATAACGGCTGTTTCTAAACAAGGACTAATATAGCTATCCCTACTGGAATAAAACCCTTTGCAAAGCTCGCAAGCATACGTATAACCTATTACCTTATCTGATCTGTATTACAAAAAACGTTATAGTCGTATCTATGTAAAGAATCTCAGCTTCCTAGCTCGCTAGGTCCTTGGTTTAATGCCTGCCGATGATTGAGCGGGGACTCAGCATGAATGTCAACCGACACGACACCTCACACAGCACAAATTTCTGACACCTTTGAAGCCAACCAGCAGCAAAGCGAACGAAGGTAGTCCAGTTATCGGAACACTAAAGATACGCGCGAAACTCGATCTCCACAACCCCCATCCCAGCAACCTCATCCCTATCCCACCCCCTCCATACCCCGCACCCGCACCCTCGCCGTCCCACCAACGCGTCAGCCCTACCAACGCCTCTCCTCACTCCTTCCCTACCACGCTTTCCTTTCCATCCGTCTCCGTCTTGCTTTGAGCTGGCGAACTCGCCGCCTCGACGCTCCCACGCGCCGCAGGCCAAGACTTGTCCCCATGCGCAATCAACGCGTCCCCGACCGCTTTCACAACCAAGAATGCCACAACTGCTGTCAAGAAGATCACCAGCACGGTCCCGATGGCGAGCGCGCTCTTCACGCTCCCGCGCGCGATCCCGCCCTCGGCCGGCGCCATGGAGAGGGTGGTGACGAGGTGGGTGAGGAGGAGGCTGCCGATGGCGGCGCCGGCGAGGGGGTTGGAGGCGGAGCTGGAGCTGGGGCTGCTGGTTTGAGGGGTGGGTGGTGCGGGAGTGGGCGAGTTGAAGCAGGCGAAAAGGAGGAAGGTAGGGATTGCGAGGAGCGCGAGGGTGCAGATGAAGGCGGTGATGGCGGCGGTGGCGTGCAGGCCGAGGGTGATGCTTGTGACGAGGAGGGTGGGGCAGGGCATGGTGGTAGTTTGGGACGTGTGAGGCGTGGGAGGGGGAGGGTAGGGATTGGTCTGGCGGGATTGGGATTGGGTTTGTGGGGAGCGAGATGTGGATGTAGAAGGATCGAAATCTAGGTCGGGGTTACGTTGTAAGGGTAGAGTGACGGCACAGTGAGAGGGTGCTCGAGCGAAGGATGGGTTTCGTGAGAATTAAGAAGTGAAGGTTATGAAAAAAGCGTTGTGGATTTGAGTATTAGAAGAGTTTACGGAGTTGTACAAGCGACTCAGCCACGAGGCTCTGTTGGTAAGGCAATTCGGTGGCGACGAGGCAGATTCCACTGATCGGCATGAACCACCAGCAGGGATCGAAGTTATGGTAAAGAATGGAGCGTAAATCAAGAAGCCCCTTCCTTGCTTACCCTTCCTGCTTACCTTGAGGGGATTGTAGTGTTCTGGACGTCGAGTTTGTTGATGCCTTGTTGCCTCGATGATGCTCGGAGGTTGGTGTTGTGCGGCCTTATGGCAAGGCTGAATAAGCGCCAATCCCAATGCGGGATACACGTGATGCGCACCAAGAGAATCAGTGAGGCTGTACACGACGATCGCAACTACAACAACTGGGTTGTATATTGGAGGGATTGCGCTATTGCGTATAGTGGCTGAGTTCCCAATATTCAGAGTGTTTGTGTATTGACTTTTATGAAAAGATTTGCGGAAGATAAGTGCCAGTCCGAGTGTTGATGGTAAGAGGCTGAGAGTGAAACACTATAATACCAGAGAAAAGCTAAGGATAGGCGTGCACGAAAGAACTTATGAGGTGTGAATAGGCGAACGTCTTAAGGGAGGTTTTAGCAATGAAGGGGTCGAATAAATGAAGTAGTGAAGCAGTACTAGAAACGAGCGGCGTCCAGTTCTTCCCTATGCAGCCGCTTTCACTCTCATAGGCAAAAAAATTTCCGTCTCGTCATCGCAACACCTCCACGAACTCCATTTCCTCGGCTATCCATGCAATTCCGCAATTCCAGCAGCGAGCAAGATCCCCACAATGATCCAGACAAACGCATACAACCCCGCCAGCACCCCCAAAATCACAATCAGACTCTGCAAACTCCCCATAAGCCAACTCTTCCCAGCCACCGCCTCCTCCGGGCTCGCCCGCGGCCGCTTCTTCGCATAAGCAACCGTGGAAGCGAGGTGCACCAGGGTAGCAAAAGGGAAGAGCACGCACGTGGTTACGATCGGCGGGATCTGGACCTCGTCGGAGCCGAGGGCCATGAGCTCGTAGGATAGTAGGTATATAGCGGCAACTAGGGTTGCGGTGGTGGAGAGGAAGATGGAGAAGACGGTTACGGGACGGATGGCGGGCTGGAAGGTGGAGGAGAGGAAGGAGGGAGGTGGCGTTGGATAGCTGGGTTGGAGGTGGCGGCGGCTTGGCTGGCGCTTTGATGCCAATTCGTAGGGAGGTGGTGCCGTTCCGTTTGGTGTTAAGTCGGAAAGGGGGAGGGCGAATGCCATGGTGTAGGTGGTGTGGCAGAGATGCTCGTTTGACGATGGTATGTGAGCGAGAGCTGCGAAGTTGACGATGGCGATGAGCTGATGAAGAGTAGATGTGCCACTGAGAAGGGTTTTTGGAGCTTGTTTTGGAGCGTGGTCCAATATCGTAATCCATCTAGGTGCCAAATTTCCATGGTTCAGCACCAGCACGGCCATGGGGCGTATTTCCGGAAATACTATTCGAGCCCATATTTTTAGATTCTTTCTCCACAAGATGCGGAGGTGAGGGGGAAATACCAAAATAGAGCTGCGGATGATATCCTTCAGGAGACTTATTGCCCCAGTTAAATACGTAAGGTGTTTAGTATGATCTCACTCGATACAACCGCACTTTACCAGCCCACACCAGACTCCCCACAATAATCCAGGCAATTCCATAAAGCATTCCTACCACTATTGACAAAATCAACAGACTCCAAAAGGCGCCAACAAGCCACGATTTTGCCGATATGGAAGAGAGTAAGGCGGAATTGTGTACTTCCGCATATCCCATTGCGAAAGACCTAGTAAGATAGTGGTAGGGCGGCCAGAAAAGCAGGCTGATAATGCTGGGCGACGAAGTATCCCTGCTCGTTGAGAGCTTGTTGCGTTTTCCAGGATCTATCAGCTTGCGGAAGAGGAATAATATGGCGAAAAAAACCGCCGATATGAAAACCACTGTGGTGGAGAGTATGATCCATTTGGCGATGAAGCGGAATCCAGGCCCATAGGTTGACTTGAGAGACTTGTAGGCTTGCTTGTAGGTTTCCATTTGGTTTGTCGTGATGCTTTGTGTGAAAAGCTGATATAGATATGATATGATAGAAGTGGTGGAGCAAGCTCATCAATGAAAGTGTTGAAAGAGAATGGAAAATCTTCTTGGTGCTATCCCTTGGGATATTATACTAGTGAGTCCAGGAACCACTTTGGCTCGCCCAATCAATTCGTCCATGTTGAAATAGACATATCATCTACTCACCCCACCCTACCATGAATTGCCATACTTCGACTGACTATACCTACTGTTGAAGAACTGCACACACCTTGCATCCAGATTTGTCGACTGCACAACCGTAAGATTCGCAAATGTGTTCCCCGAATTGCCTAAAATACCAATATATGCGCCACCACTCCCTGTGCTGACCTTCGGCCATGCAGGATCCGGTCCACCATCGGGATTTTTTGCAAACGTAGCCCATGCCGTTTGCACGTAGCTGCTCAGTGCGATCTCCTGGGCGGTCGCTCCAGAAGAAGGGTACGTCCCGAACACAATTGGAAGTTCAATAGTGTGATAAACACCACGGTTTGTGAAGCCTGGTACGCTGCCGTAGTTGGCAAATGAGGCGTTGAAGTAGTAGCGCCAAGCTGGAATACCGGCTGTTGCATCGTCGGCGGTGACGACTGACGCAGGCTATGAAGAGAGATGGCGTTAGTTCTTGAGTTATAAAGCGTGCAGAACTAGGAGATGATAAGAAAGTACCTACGCATTGATACACCCACTCAGTCCAGCACTGCGCGGTCGCGGAGTCTTGGTCTGGGTACGTCCCGGGGACGGGATATGCAGCGACGATGTCAGCGTCGTTGGACCCGCGGATATAATTGTCAACAAAATACTGCAAGTTCAAGCCGTTTTGACCATTGAATGAGGCTGAGAAAAGGCGCCCCTCTTGCGCGTTGGTTCCTTGTAATACCGGTACTTTGGCAATATTTCCTGCGAGGCGTGCAGCTTCTGGATTCACGAGGTTAGTGACGCCGTCCTGTATGGGTGGGAAGCCGTAATTTATATATGCGCCGTTGTTAGTGTATCGTGCTTCGATGGCACTCTTTATGTTGGTCGCCGCTATTTTTTGCATGCAGCCGAGATTAGGGGGTGTGACGCTGCAACCTAGCCCAGAGGCGAGGTTGTTCCATTCCGTCGAGTCCGTCGAGTTGGAGGCACTGCCCGGTGTTACTGAGGAGGTGCCACTCTCCATAATCGCGGCACGAAAGGGAGTATTGTTCGGCATGGTGGTTACCAGGCGGTCGACGGAGGTTGCCCCAGAGCTATATTGACTTCTTAGACCGGATATGGGGAAGGAAAGAGATTGGAGTTGGAAATACCTCTCGCCAAAGATCGTGACTTTGGCAGGATCACCTCCAAATGCTGCAATGTTGCTTTGAACCCCTTTGAAGAATGAAAAGTCAACGCTGTTTCGCTTCATACGGAAAATATTACGGTCACTTACATTGCAAAGCTAGTCTCTGATCGTAGAAGCCTACATTCCATTGTGTTGACCCTATCTCACTAGAGTGGGGGAAGCCGAAGACTACGTCTCTTAAGTAAATGTCTTCATGGATAAATAGACGGCTGTCTTACTATTCGTGCGATAGTTTGCAGCCACGACAATGACATCTTGGAAGGCTGCAAAACTAGATCCGTCATACAGCGGCATTGATGCAGTGCCATACTGCAAATCTCCGCCGTATATCCAAAACATAACCGCCTTTCCCGTGGAGCCTGTGCTTGGGACATAGACGTTGAGGTATAGGCAGTCTTCACTTTCTCCGGGATCAGGAGTGTCAAATAGTTCTTTGATTTGGGTTTGATTTGGAATTATGGCACCAACTTCTTCGGCGTCAGTAGTATATTGGGGGAGTAAGAAGGATATGCTGACTGGTAAATTGTTGCATGCAGGCCGGTTTCCATTTATTGGCTTGTATTGTGCCGTACGTTGGCGCAGGTTGCGGCGTGGCAAAGCGAAGTGTGCTAGTTGGTACGGCTGCGAATGGGATGCCTAGGAATTTGTTTACGGATGCAGTGGCACTCGGGAGAGTTGTGGTTGTCCCGACCAGGGTCCCACCGGAGATAGTCACGGTGGGAAGAGCCGCAAGCACAGTGGCAGAAGATACAAATAACGATGTAAGTAGAGTGACCCTCATCACGAACAGATCTGGCCAATCTGATGGAATCCGAGAAATACAGAACAGAAATCTCAGACGCAGAGGATTCGTGGGATAATAAAAGCACTCACAAATCTTCGAAGTGTTTATAAAAGGCACATTTGTGCTCGAATGATGTTGCTACTTTTGGAGAATTTGGCCCCCACCTCAATACTTCTCAAACGCTTACAGGCATTCACTCTGTAGGTTACAGATTCCCTCACTTATCCCTACTTTCATCATCCCAATCTAACTGCTAGATATTAGCATGTCGTTTCCTCCTCCCTAATATTAGCAATTGAGCAAGGCTGTAACGAAGGAGCAGGAAAAAGTACACGAACAGCCTCGAAGTGCAAGGCTAGTGGCACGTGAACAGGAAAAATCCTATTATCAGACCCCAAATTATCGAGCACAGATACCCCGCTGTGACCACGATATGTCAGTGGTTTCTAACTGCAGCGAGTTGTACTATCGTGGTACGGGCTATGGAGGCGGCCCCAGCTCAGGGACCTGGACCTGGTAGTCGTGGAACTTAGGACGCAACTAGCCTCGAATCCTTCCTAAGGATCTCTACCCCGCAGATAGGGGCGGGGATTCCCTCCTCCCTAGTCTCACGTGAAGCCTTAGTGCGCAGCGCGGTAATACTGAGAGACGGCAGCTTTTTGGATGTTAGAACATTCTAAGGGGAGAGGTGGCCCAGAGTGGGGAACAATCAACTTAAGTTGATAGATTGATTGATTTGATTTGGTTCAACCAAATCAATCAATCAATCCGAAGAGGTGGATTTTATCAATCAAATCAACTTCAAGGCATCAAATTGATTGATTTGATTGGTTTGATTGATTCCTATTTGCGGAGCGTAGATAGAGTATCCTATAGAGAGCCCACCTAGCAGAAGTGCTTACTAAGCAGTCTCCTAACCCTGATTTTCATCCTAACTTACATCAACGCGTCCAACACCATACCACCTCTGTACAATATCGCACCCAGCAATGAATCAGAACCTTCAGAACGTACAGCAGGAAGTTATCGCACGCGCAAATCGAAAGAAACCTCCCCGTAAGGTTAATTCTATGCGCGCCGAAGTCAACACGAATGAACACGTCGAAACACCTGCCACGAACGACGACGACGTTGACAACGACAACCTATATGAGAACCTTAATTGGCTACGGGTACCGCATCTGCAGAGAAGGCCTTACGAAACCTTACAACCGTTAAAAGCAAGCTGGATTTACGCGTACGGTTGGCCTGTTTACCATTGAAAGCAGCGCCAGAAGTTCTGGCTCTGCAAGTACTGCCACATATACAGAATACCTAGCGGCGAGTTCAACGTTAAGAAGGCTACTTTGTTAGCTATAGCTTACCTAGGGCGGCAATAGCGTGGCCACGGGGTTAATAAAGATGGCCAGATTAACTTCTCTACTCTAAACCAGACGTTAGTATTGGCGATAATGCAGTTCCAGGGCATTAATGTTCCACAGGACGTGGCCAACAAGCTGGCGGACAGCTTTAATCGGGCGAAGTTTCTACGCGCTGTTTAATACTAGGTTGCTAATAATAATTAGGCTTTACGCATTATTAAGAAGCCTGCCTTCCGCAGTATAATTGCTGCTGCTAGACCTATTACTAAATTAAGCCTATAGAAGACCTATTATACACTCTAAAAATCTATTATAGCTAAGTATAATTCCTATATACCCGCTGTAATTAAACACCTCTAGTAGGCAACTAGCCTTATCTATATATTATTTAATAATTGGACTTTAGTTAGCAATAAGCGTGCGCTTACTAGGATATATATATATTATCTAAATAAGAATAGCCGGCCAGAGGACTACTTATTAGGCCTGCCTATTTTTCTAGGCCAGTACTTAGGTAAGAATATTGTGGAGATAGTTAGCTTAATATTATAATTATTTAAAATTAATACTAAGCGCCTTAGCTACTTTATACTTAATAATACTATAAATAATAATACTGCTTTAATAGCAATAGCCGATAAGTTTAAGTTTAGTATCTCCTAGTATTAGTTATACTATACCTGCTATATTCTTAACTTAGCTGCCTAAGCAATTATATAGGGTAAGAATAAGAAGGTATTTAAAAGTATAGATATAAATATATAGGTAAAATTATATCTCTAATTTTATTACTATTCTATATTATACTAATAGTAATATAGAAAAAAAAACTGCTAATAGTAAAGTAAAGGAAAGCCGGGCCTATTAGGGTGCTATTTAATATTATATTATCTATTAGCGCCTTTCTATAAGCCTAAGAGCTGTTTATTAAGCTATAGGCAGAGGACTTAAAGCGCTGTAATAAATCTTATAAACTAAAAAAGCTTATTAAGCCTATTAGAACTTAGTAGAACTTTTACTATAATTACTTTAAGCGCGCCTATAAGCTCTAAGGCCTTTTTAACGCATATATATATATAAAGCTTAAGAAATATAATATTAAAGCAGTATCTTAGCGCAAGAATATAAAAAAGGAGAAACTGCGGTGCTTTATTAAGGAGTAAGGGCTAAATACAGGTAATTAGGTAATAATTATAGAGTATAAGCAGCTGCTTAAGCTGTTTAAAAATGCAATAATATAGCTATAAGGCAGAGGTTTAGCTAGTAGCTATAGAGCTATTTAGGAAGTTCTTATTATATTTAAATAGCTACTCTTAGCCCTTAAGAAGCAGAAGAAGAGGCTTAAGGCTATTAACTATAAAAATCTAGATATACCTAAAAATTACTTAGTTATTAATATTAATACCGCCTATAAAAAGCTTATAGATTACTATAGGAAGATAGAAAACACCCCTATCTATTTTGCAGCTATAATACTTTATCCAGCATATAAACACGCGCTTAAGGGGCTATAGAAGGTGCTAAAGGATTATAATATAAAGCGCGATAGGCTATATCTATATAAGAACTGGCTTTTAAATAGCTATAGCTCCTTCTAGCTGCTGTAGCAGGCATATAAGGATAAGGTGGCTGTAAAGGCTGCTGGCGCAGCATCTCCTACCTTGTCTCCTAATATAAGGCCTGTAAAACGCTGTTAAACAAGCCCTATAAATAACCGAGCAGACTTCCTTAGGAACTCTATAGAGGAGGGCAAGCAGGAGATGGAGGAAACTGTTAACAACAAGTACAAGAGGTGGAAGCGCGAGCCAACTCTAAAACAGGACAACCTACTAGCGAAGGACCCTATTTAGTACTAGGTTATCACAAGAGATCGCTATCCTATTCTAGGCCAGCTAGCCCTTGATATCTACTCCATCCCAGCCTCCTTAGCTAATTGTGAGAGAATTTTCAGCGAACTTGGCGATTTCCTGGGCGTACGACGCCTTAATATAAAGCCTGAGTTACTTAGTGCTCTGCAATCTATACGCTCCTGGCGTTGAATTGGCATCAAACCTCCTAAGTAGTAATCAACTTATCAATCAATCTATCAATCAAACCAATCAATTCAACTTGGGGGTCAAAAAGTATCAATCTCATCAACTCAACTTGAGCATCTCAGAAATTAATCAAATCAAATCAAATCAATCACAGCCTGTTCAACGAAGCAATCAATCAACTTGGAGACGTCAAAGTTGATTGATTGATTGATCCCCACTCTGGCCACAACACGGCGATAAATTGGCCAATTTCAAACATGCCCTGATAGCTCGGTATGAGATGAAAGATCTAGGGGAAGCCTCCTGGTTCCTAGGCATTCGTATACTCCGTGACCGAGCCGCCGGCCAACTGTGGCTTTGCCAGGATTTGTATATCGACAAAATTGCAGGCAAATTCCGGCAGAAGGAGGCCCTCCGTGTGTATACGCCGATGGCCACAGATGGCCTTATTCCCTATGAAGCCGCAGCAGCCAGTGCATCCTCTATCCACGGCTATCAACAGAAAATAGGGTCATTGCTCTATGCAGCTATTAATACACGGCCGGATATAGCCCGTACAACCTCACGGCTGGCCGAATTTGCCAGGAACCCGTCGCCCGCTCACCACCATGCTGCTGACCGAGCACTTGCCTATCTCTATCAAACAAGGGGATATGCACTGCAGTATTCTGCCTCCACGATCAACACCGATCAAATGCTTGTACGAGCCAGCGATGCCAGCTTTGCCGACGATGTTGCTACACGCCGAAGCTCACAAGGATATATCCTGAAGCTTTTTGGTGGCCCTGTCGATTGGAAGGCCACCAAACAAACGCACGTGACGAAGTCCTCCACCGATGCAGAGCTTACAGCTATATCGGCAGCTGTGTCGGAATTCATGTGGTGGCAACGCCTATTTGTACACCTAGATCTAGCCCTAGAGGGCAACCAGGCCATTTCCGTGCTGTGCGATAACCAGCAAACCATCCGGCTACTTACAACGGCCGGCAGCAAGCTTACTACTAGCCTTAAGCACGTTGATATACACAGCCACTGGCTACGCCAAGAAGTACAAGCCGGCAACGTACAAATTGAATGGATTGCATCCGAACGTATGATAGCAGACGGCTTTACAAAGGTCCTATCTCGACAGAAACACGAGAATTTCGTTCGACAGCTCAACCTCGTTGATATATTCGATCGCATCGGCCAGGGCACCACGGCCAATGAATCCGACGGCGACAAATAGCCCTACAAACACCACAAATTGCCAAGATTTCCTATATCTCATGCACTTCTACAGTCTCATCTCTCTTCCGAAGTTGGGGGGTGACTTGGAGTTGCTGGCATAGTAGCTGCCTACATGCCTAGCCAGTTACAACTTCTACAGAGAGGGGTTGGGGTACGGTGGCCTACCGTGCCTACCGTGCCTACTGCTGTCTCTAATTAGTGCTTCTGCCTACGCGTACAGTCACTTCCTACGTAGTATATAGTTTGGCCTTCGGGCCCCCGAAATAAGACAGAGTTCACGTCAATTTGCAACCTGAGTAGTTCCGATAGATCGTCTTATCGCCAAATCCAAGTATTATAAAAACACTTTGACCGGACCTTTCAGGGAGTCAAAGACCGGCGTTGTTCTTCCTCTTGAAGATGAAAGTGTGGAAACCATTGAGCTCTTCACGGCTTGGTTGGAGACTGGAATGCTGCTCATTTCGCCGGAAGAACAAGAAGACGAAAGCGAGAATGATGGCAGTATCGCGTCTTGTGAAGGCAGTGAAGGTGATAATACTAAGGACATTGATAAAGTAGAAGAAGACGAATTAGAGGAAGACAAATTAGAGAACACAAAAATGTACCGGGAGTGGGCAGATGCTATCATAAACCAACGCCAAGAGGATATCATGAAGCTTCGCGATTTGTACATTTTCGCTGATTTCACAGATGTACCGGATCTGCGCGAGGCTATCGTTCAAAAATTGGAGAGGCGTTCTTGGACTGCCACCCTAGGGTTCGAGGTCCCGTTACTCCTCGAAATACGCCATGATCGTCTCCATTCTGACTCACCTTTCGTCAAGGCTCTTCTGGCATACATGACATGGAGATATGGCTAGGCAGCCGTCGATGAGGGTTACGACCTAGGGAAGTCTCAGCTTTAGGCAAGCTAGCGCCGGACATGTTGGTCGAGATAGTTAAGGCGTTTCAGAAAGGTTCCGAGGCCAGACTGAAAGCCATGGATTGGCATGGTATGCCTGAACATTATCCTGTTTTCTTTGAGAACTGCTACTATCACGAACATGAGAAATCTGGTGAAGTGGGCAAAAGATTGATCGAGGAATGTCGGCAAAAGCGGGAGAAGTATTTCATCGAGGGGGACTTCAAGTTCGAGCGACATAAGGACGAGGACGGGCACTGGGGACGGCGAACTGGGTATCGACCAGAACATGACATTGTCAGAAGCTGGGCGCCTAACTAGTATGTCTATTAGAGCGAGAATGAAGAGGAACGAGAAAGATATGGAGAACTGGAACAGTAATGTCAAGTAAGACGGCTTCCACTAGAGGAGCGAGTGAGCCGTTGGGTACAGTCATTCCGAAGCTATTGATCCGCCGCAGAAGGCTCTTGATAGATGATGGCGGCCTTTGTTGGTTGTGAAGCTGGTCTTTGAAACGCCTTGAAATACATTCGTCTTCTGGTTGGATGAAGAGATGCCTGCAATATCGTTATTTCAGTTTCCAGAGCGTTGTATGTCTAAACGCTCTACGTGACGAGTTCGCAAAGACTACTGATGAGATTGAAAAATCAATCAGTTTGATGTCAGAAAGTGCTGCAAGCTTTAATACCCGCTTGACGCTTCCGGAACTGCTTTGAAGTGGCAAACTCGGGGTGAATATATTTTGGATGCTTCCCACAAGGTGCGCTCTCGCAAGCGTATCTCAAACCTAGATTGTAGGTTGGAGACTGCTCTTGGTGGATCATCCAGAGCACAACACCAAAACAGCGCGTCCAAAGTCAAGATGTCCTTACCGCCAGCGCCGGGGAGTCTCAGGGTCCACCTGAGCTAGACCGGTAAGTATTCCATCGCCGTAATTTCTTGTTTTCGAGCTCCCCTGATGTCCGGTAGTTGGAAGTCAGATGACTACGCGATATGCAAGGTCGGATCTGAAGGCGAAGAGAAACAGACGTTTCAGGTCTCCAGGAACGCACTATACGATGTATGGGGACCGTCATCAACGTTCCGAAGACTCTTTGAAGCTCCAGAGAACACGTCCTCCGACGGCGTCGTAACTCTGAACGATTAAGCGTCCGGGCATTCGAGATTATCGATATGTGGCTTCGGTGGGATTTTAATGATTCGTCGATTCTCTGCCACATACCGACGTTCAGAGCGGCACGTAGCAGAGCCAGGACCGAAAGAGGCCTGAAACGCAAGCGTAGCGCAGACGAAGGGCCGCATGCAGGCAACGACACCAACCTTCCAGGATTCAACGAAGCTTTCGATGAGCTGTTCGATGCATACGTCTTTGCAACAACCTACAAAGGTACGATTGCAAGAACTTACGCAAGAAGATTATTTCGGATCTGGAATACAACTGGAATAATACCATATGTATCCCAAACGCGAGTGTCTTGACCAGAGTGTGTAAATGGCTCGATTACGACTCGCCATTGACAACGTCCATCTTCTTCTGCTGGGCAAAGAACGTGGATCCCAAAAGTATAGCTCCCAACGATCGACGCAGATCATGTTATTACCTCAGGAGTTCTTCTTTGAATGGCTGGTCATAGAAAAGTGAGTGTCTATGGCTAGAAGACAGGATATGATGGACGGGTCTTCACCAGAAGCGCTGGATGCGGTTATATATCCATGCCAATGGCATGAGCATGGAGAAGATGTGGCCGAGGAGGAGGAATGTCGACAGGGCGATTGAGTCCGTGAAGAGGGCTGAATACTGGCAATGCATAGCTGGAAAACAGTGTAGTCTTAGTAAGTAGAATACGGTACGATCCAAACGGAACAGCAGGCCTGATCAGTGAAATGAACCAATGCGAAAATAGTACTTACTACTAGTCACTACTGGAGCATTAGCATCTCAGCATCTTGTGCCTAGCTCCATAATCCCCACGATCGACATTGCCGTCCACCCCAGACCGCATCCAACATCCTGCATCTGCAAGCCGAAGTTCCCTCTCCGACAAACTCACGATACCGACCTCTCAGCCTGCCGTAATATATCCATTCGAATTGTCGCATCTTCGCCAGTACTCTTCACAACGTTAACGCGCACCCCGCTAGCCTCACATAATAGCCTCACACAGTCTCGTTCGTACATCATCGGATGGGACGCCGACGGGGCGGCTGCACACGCGGGGTTGGGGCCAATCTAGCCGATGGCAGAGTGGCAGGTAACACCAGCCGGTGTGGAAGCCCGAGGGCCGTACGCTGGGCTGGTGACCAGGAAAATGACGGTATGAAGAGCGACTGTTGTAGATCGGGTTGATTGGGACATGCCTAAAAGAGTTAATGCCGCATTAGCTCCGAGACGTCTTGATATTGAGGTGGGGAACTGCGGCGGAGGAAGACGGAATCCGAAAAAACAGGTGTCAACGACTGATAGTAGCGGTGTCGGGAAATGATATCATGAGACTTGACAGGACATTCAGCTTCGCGCTCGCCTCACTCCCCCCCCATGGATACACGTATCGAACGGAAAGTTGTCTGATTCTGAGTATTGTACATTCCGTCCTGCTCAGTTATCGTACACATCGTCCCGAGGAACATCATCAAGCGGGAACTCATTCATCACACCAGAATGCCATGACTCATTGAATTTTCGTGACTGCCGTTACCGACTCCAAAGTCCGATGCAAAAAAGCCCAAGTGAACAGTGTCGCTTCCTTCCAAGCTAACACAACTTGGTTTTCCAACTTGTCTGACAAAAAGTGCTTTTTGGATCCTTCCAGGATTGGACATCCAGTGCAAAAATCGGCCCACATGCTGGTGGCACCGAGCGAACAAGAGCAATCATGATACAAGAAAAGAAATTAGGCGCTTAACGAACATCGACTGGCCGCGGCTCGAAAGGGTTGAGAGGATTTTGTCGGCGAAAACGAGTCTTCCGGTGTATCGAGAGTTTGGCAGGCGATCGTAGGCGAAGCGAGTGGTGGAGAGTTTAGTTGGGGCATGAAGCCTGGACGTGGCCCGGCTGCTTGCACTTGTAGCAGACGCGCTCATTGGAGGTCTCGGATGGGCAGTCGCGACTGAGATGACCGACTTCGCCGCCTATGGATTTGTGATTCAACGTTAGCAAGCTGATTTGATTTGAAAGTGTGACGTGTGGGCTTACAGTTGTAGCACTTCTGGCCTTGGGTGCAGTCGCGAGACATGTGGCCGTAGCCACCGCAAGAGTAGCAGGTCGTCTGTCGCTGTCCTCCGCCGTAGCCACCGGCTCCACCGCCATATCCTCCTCCGCCGTATCCGCCTGGGGCTCCGCCGTAGCTACCGCCGCCATTCTGAGTGCACGAACGGGCGATGTGACCGACTTTACCGCACTTGTAGCATTCTTGACCGGAGCTTCCCGCTCCTCCTCCGAAGCCTCCAGGGGCCGCTTCGGTCGGGCAGTCACGCGAGACGTGGCCGGTTTGGCCGCATCGGTAGCAGGTTTTCTCGGCCTGCGGCTGGGTACACTCGCGGCTCAGGTGGCCCTTCTCGCCACAGTTGTAACAAGTGGGGTTTCCCTTGGACGGGCAGTCGCGCGCTTGGTGGGTAGTGTCACCGCCTTAACACCATTAGTATTGCCCACCACAATGTGTAATTGCAACAAAGCTTCAGCGAGGTACAATAAACAAGCGCGAGTAAGCAAGAGTCCATGGAACCTCGAGGCCTTTGATATGCCGTGCATACAACAAAGGTTCTCGAAGTGGCATTTTCTCCAGGCCGCTGACTGGGAGACAAGCTCGAGGCGAAACAGACGGTGAACATGGGGTTGAGTCGAGATTGACAAGGGGGACGCTGAATCGAAGGTTGGGTGCGTGATACATGACTTTGAGGGCAAATGAAGATCATAGTCGATCGAATGTCTCGCGAGAAGAGGGCGGGCAAAGCACAATGCGAGAAAATCGAGGGCGGTCAGTACGTACAGTTGTAGCAACCGCGTCCTCCACCTGGGGCAGCACCGGCGTTGAAGTCCATGCTGTAGGTAGTTCCTGAATTGTTGTCAGTAAAACGGTCCGCGAGGAAAGCGCGACGCCCGACTTTGTCGGATGTCTACTGGGGACTCACGTGGGATGGGAGAACTGAAGGTGAAGTGATAGTTAAGAGACTGTTGATTGCTGTTAGCCAGACAGTTCACACTCGAGCGAGTGTTGTAAGGCGACTGCGGTGGCGGTGATGGCGATGGGCGGTAACAAAGTTGAGAGTCGGCTCTTGAGTTTTTTTGAGAAGTGCCCCGTCGGAAGCGCTAGTCCTAATGCGGCTAGCGAACCGCGGTTACTCCGGGAGTCGCCGCCAGGCCGCTGGCTTTGTTTGATGACGAGGGGCCACTGGAATGCCAGCAAATTCCTCTTAGAAGAGGCAGAAAAATGTCAAGATGCAAACAAGTGACTAATGTCTAATGGTGGTCAAGCTTGAAGGTATTGAGAAATGTAAAGTGAGGTTGAACGCGCCACATGCGCCTTTCCTTTCCTTGGTATTTCAGTGCAGCGGGAACATGCAGAAACTGTCTAGGGTTGCCCAGCGGTTTGGTCTGCATATTGTTCAACATATGTAGGGTCTCATTGCTTGCTCAAAAGATGATCTCGCTGAAAGCGAACTGCATACTCACTTGGTGCTTCTGGTGTGAGCGATAACAAAGAAGTCTTCAACTGGGGCTAAGTCTTCAACTGGGGGGTATCTAATGCTTGCTGGAGCTAGGATCATGTGAAATCATATACAACCAACGCTTGACTGCCTTGGCTCTTTTCCCGCAAAACGATGACATTTTCGTCATCGAATCCCACCCATCCACGGGTCACCGACATGCTCTCCATCTTATGCTCCAGGGCGAGGCCTAAGCCAAATCCTCGTTGCAGAATTGCATCAGATATAGCATCCAGATTTTGAGAAGACACGCCATTCTCAGGTCTGAGTCGCACGCTGAGCTCTCCAGTGACCAGCTTTCTCCTGGTTGCCGACGACGCCATTCCTCCTTCCAATTCCCATACGCGTAATTCATCCCCGTGGTTACTAACAGACACAGCCTTACCCCTGCCACCAACGTGAGCCCCAGAGACGGAGGAAGTGTGACCCCATAACCGGCTTCCGGGGCCAATCGATAGTGAAGAAGACGTGGATGTAACCAGATACAGCGTAAGGGTGTTGTCTGGATGAGACACCAGAAGATATGGGTGAGAATAGGATAGTGATGTAGGTTTAGCGTGCGCGTCCCGAGACCCAAAAGACGAGCCCTGAGCCGGAACGAGATTTGGGGAAGATGGCCGAGTTGACAGCGAGGAGAACGGGCCTGAGCGAGCGAGAGAATGGAAGTCATCGTTCGCGGCGGAGGCCAGTCGTGATTCGATCAACTCTCCATCGGATGTCAACCGCATCTCTTGAATGCCTACTGACCATCCGGAAAGGTATGTCGGCACAGAGTACGCTATAGAAGCTATTATACTGCCTGATGCTGGCCGGATGGTAAGTGACAGCGGTGGGCTGACAGTATGTGACCGGAGAGAGTGGAGCAATTGTGGTGGGTCAAGCAGATCCTGCACCAGGTCGTCCTTTTTTGCTTCTGGAAACTTGTACAACGAGAGCAGTTGCCCTTCCGTCATAGTAACGAGATACGGTGATGCGTACGCCACTGCCGATAGCATGCCATTCGATGACTGTGGGTGGTGATAGAGTTCGAGAAAACAGCCCGTGTGTACCTGAAGCTCGTAAACGGAGAAGTGGCCGTCCTCAAAACCGACCACAAGTCGGTGCCGATTCATAGACAACTCCTGCGTATCCACTGCTAAGGAGGTCGGGCTGCCGTTCGTTTGCGTCTCAAGCTCGACCGAGGCGATGAGCTTGCGGTCCTTCTTGGAGGACCAGGCTCGGAGTCCTGCAATTGAGTCCACTGTATACACAATTCCCTCATGCATGCTTACTATTAGCGGTGGTACCGGTGGCTTCTCCGTGACAGATATCTCCCGAACGGCACATTTCCCTTGCGACCAATTGTGGCGTAGTTTATATTGCCGTTTCCAGTTTGTCTCTTGGCCTCTCCGCACAAGATGCTCGTCGTCCAGCCACTTGGACAATTTCGAAGAGTAAAAAAGGTGATTGGAGGACATGCTGGGGTCTTTGATGCCTGGTAGACGAGACGCTCTGGGACGTACAAAGCGGTTGTAGTATACCGCCTTCCATAGTTGCGAATCACCCGCTATCCGCCGGAACTTGTGGGATAGCCTGTAGATGTTAGTGTCTGAAAATATGGTACATATGTGAGCAACCTACCTTTGACAAAGGCCCAAAGTCGACGTGGGAACGAAAGATAGAATGCGGAGGAGCAGTTCGTCGCTGAGTTGTGAAAGCCGGTCGACCGATTCGTGGCGTGGAACTTTGGGCGCTCGTCCTGAAGGGCCGCCCTCATCATATGCGCGTTTCACCATGGCGCTGGAGTTGGTGTAAACTTATAGAGGAGTGCCTTGGAGAAGTCGATGTCGCCGCGCGAGTGGCAGGGCGGACTTGGCAAATATCACGTGCCAACGGGTCGCCGTGCTTTTAGCTGCCTGCGAGCCATTTGCGCCCTCGACAACGATACAGAACACCACACTTCGACAGCTCGACGCGTTTTCTTATCTCTTGTAGCACGCCGGACATGCAATGGAGAAGCCGGCTGGGTGGTTCGAGAATCACAAGAACGCGGTATTGGCCGAGCAGGCACGCGTTCATGAGGTGGCGTTCAACAACCTAGAGGCAGAAATAGCGCGTCGTAAGTCGATCTTACTATACACACAACCCATGGAGTGAATTTCAACTCATATTTAGCTATCTAGGGGATGAAGAAAAGCAAAGCCTCATAGATCACATTTCTGAACTTGTTATCAAGAACGCCCAACTCCTTCAAGAAAACAACAGATTGAAAGACCAGTTACCTATTTTTCAACCTGAAGTAGTGCCCTCAAACGAAAAGAATGGCTCTAGTAGTAAGACTCAGGAAGGCGCCATAGCAGAAAAAGACAAGCCTGTTCCGTATGAGGACTATGCCAATCTCACCTCAAGGCTAGAGGAGCTCCGGACGCGAAACGTTACCACTGAAGAGACGTTGGAAAGTGCCATCGATGAAAACGAACGTCTCAGAGAGAAGGTCAAACTTTGGGACCACAAATTCCACAAGTTGAAAGACTCTTGTAAAGAATGGCAAGCTTACGGAGCCAAAATGAAGCGGATGTACGCCGAATTGAAAGCAAGCCCCAGTCAGAAGTCCAGCTTGCCCATTTTAGCTCCCGCCAACGGAGCAACGGTGATCTTAAACCCCTCAGTAACTACTTCACCCCCAACAGCTCCTTCGGACTGGACTAGCTCGCCAATACCGCATTTACCCTCGAATGCAGAGGATAGATTGTGCCCTCTCGATGAGCTTCCACAAGTCACTCTACTCAAAGAGGAAAGCCAGCAGCCGAACATTCCGACGTTGCCACATAGCACCGATGACCGGCCATCGGCTTCAAAGACGGAAACAATCCAAAGCCCTCTAACAGTGCCTGATGCAGCTCAAGCCAATCTTGCCAATACTTCCAAGGATGGTAGCTCTGCTAAGCGAACCCATGAGCTGCATCAATACATCAGCGCACATTGGAGAGAGGTCAAGGGCCGAGACCTTAAAGGTGCAAAGGAAATCGTTCGGCGGAGTGACCCTGAGATGGGAAGAAGGCTGGTCCTGGATCGGCTACCCTTGGAGAGCCTGGAGGAGCTGTATACGCATGTATGGGACGTTGTTAGAAGACGTACCTTGGACCTCCCGTTTAACACATCGAGCGCCGGAGAGCACACCGAGTCTGAAAAGGAGTCAATCCAGGACTCTTCGACAATCTTTGAGGAAATCCAGCACGGCGGTTCTTTAGAGACAAGCAAGGACCCTGGTATCGGTATCATGGATTTTGCATTCGACACATCGAGTGTTGCTGGACCGTTAGCACCCGAAAAGTTACCATCGAGTCAAACCACCCAGGATGATGCAGCCACTGAAGAAGGAATGGTTGTCATCCAGCCGATAGATCAAGCCGATGACGACGACCTGCCGGTTTTTGTATCTGCAAAGTCTCTAAAGCGAAAGAGGCGGGGGCCAGATACCGTGGAAGTCTTCAACGACAATCAAATTCGAAAGGGTGGATCTGCCACACCAATCCCCGTGAAGGATGAACTGCACAGTAGTCCACTAGCTCTTCTACGCTCACCGAGGAGATTAGATCGAACCGAGACGCTTGACCTCGATGAATTGGGTTTCAGAATCGCCACCCCCCGAAAACGGATATTGCACCCGCCCCTCAATCCTGGTGCTACGAAGGGGTCCATTCGATTACTAGCCCTCCAGAAACTCCGCCATGAACGATCTACCAGCGAACCAGCTGTCAAAGATGAGCCTCGTGGGGACTATCAACCTTACGTCAGACTATTTGAAACAACAGCAGCGCTGACATATCTAGACAATGTAGAAACAACTGCAGAGGACCGGGCGAACAGCGCACCTGCTGAATTTCAGCAATTAGAGCCCGCAACCACAACATCACGCGTCTTGAATACGCTGGATCCAAACACCAAGGTCCTCACTGAAAGCAGCGAGCAGGAGCCTCTTCGGAAGCGAAGGCGCAAAGCAATTGAGCAAGCTGCTAGGAACACCCCAACTAGCAAACGCAAAGTTGCTGATGATGGAAGAGAGCGTCTTGGTGTTACTGATCAACTAAGACGTTATGTTGGGCGTGATGGGACTCCGGCCAGACAGTCCGCGATTCGCCCTCTTATGCAGAATCCAACACCACCTACGACTGGAAAGTCTCGCTCTACTCGCGATAAATTGGTAGCTCAAGCGACTCCAACTACCAGATCCGCATTGAGCCATTTGTCGAAGTCACCCGCATCTCGTCCAGGTTCTCGAGCATCGAACATTGCTCTTCGTTCTCGTCCAGTCGAGCAGCTTACCCTAGACCACTTTAAGCCAAATCCAGCCTACAACCAAGGTCTCGACTATGCCTTTGTCGAGACCGTTCGTGGACGGGATGCTCGAAAATGTCTGCCAGGCTGCACGAATCCCGAATGCTGTGGCTCAGCTTTCCGAGCCCTCGCAATGGCTGCTCCAACCTTAGCGGCTCCGAGAGGCCTCTTCGACGTGGACGACGAAGCTGATGACGAAACGCGTTTGCTGCAAGACTACATGGGCGATGCATATGATGTGGCAAGGATTAGCCGTATGCCGACCGACGAAAAGGAAGAACTATTACTCCAGGCACGGACTCGTCTGCTAGCAGACAGGCATGGCAGACATAAGCAGGCTTATGAGCGAAGATCGACGCCGCCAGGCTTTTGGAGAACTGATTTTCCGACCACACAGGAGACAGAGAAGGATAGGGAAGAGGCGAGGAAGCTTGATAGGGCTAAGGTAGAAGAGCGATGGAGGGATGCGATGAGAGATGGCGGACGGTGGATCTTTAGGGATGAGTGAGTACTTTTTGCGGGCCGGAACCGGTCAGCTTTTCATCTTGGGAACTGCTGCATAGCGCACGGGAATAAAGCATGGGTTAGGGTTTCTGCTATTATGCTGCATTTTCAGGAGCGCGCATGGTGAGTGCGGGTCGCGTAGCGGGACTTAGGATTATGAGTGGGCTTCACAGTCAGGTTGACGTCGATGTCATGTCTGCATTTTACGCATATTATCTTTCAAAATTGCAAGATCCTTTCTCAACAGCCCCGTCTTCTTTTAATGAAGATTATTGGGAAGCAGGTTCGCATATCAGTCCCATGAAAGGCCCGCCGACAGAGTGCAACATCCACTGACTTGAATCTATTGAAGGGTTACTGAAATCGCTGTGGGAGAGCATCACGTGATAGTTATATGTTCTAACGGCTAGTATCTCGGTTTGAAGGTCTCTACTGCGAGCGAACGTCGTACAGTCTAGTCTCGTACCCGGGCCCAGGTGTCTTTCCACCTTTTCATTTTGGCCCCCATGCCAATGCACTGATAGGATGCATGTGGGACATCCTCGCGTTGGTCAACTCACCCCCAAACCTCACATCACGCGGGAACCCCGGCTCGATGCAGGCGTCCACAATTAGCTGGAAAAATCCCGGCATTCCTGGTTCGGCTCATCAGGATCGTCAAAATTGGTTTTCATACCCACCGCTGAGTATTCGTTGAACTCAATGTGGACCTCGTCATCGGGAGTCATAACCTTGTTGCAATACGCCTCGCTATCCCCAGGCCAAGCCCTTTTTACCCTTGGCCCAGTCGCTGCTGTTGTGGTGGTAGCATTCGAGGCCGGGATGGTTATCGCCAGGAAGTTTGAAATTAGGAAGTGCGAGGGAGGCTCGGAATGCTGCAATGGGCTGCCTGAGAGACTGGTCCCACTTCTAGACCTTCATCAGAGTAACATTGGCAACTAGCCTTGTTAGCAGTGGCATATTACTTGAAAAGCGGTTGGCATACTATTTATAATTCGCCATGGGATGCTGTAGAGAGTTCCAGACTGTCCTATCACAAAAAGGATGAACAAGGTAATGTTTACACCAACGCACTTCCCTTGTCCCGCATCACCTCCCTGACTGATGTGAAGCACTTTGCAGTTGAGCATTATGGACGGTTGTAAATGCGGTTACTACAAACATCATTGCTCCCGGGGAACCCCCTCGCTAGCTAACCGCATATATGGCCTCCCCGCCTTGGCTAATGCAGTCGGTTATATCGCGGCCTTTTGAGTTCCCTCTTACTACGCTTACACATATGTTTAACCTCCGTAACACAGCCCGGGAGGATGTGGATACTGTAGTTGTCGTTGTCGGCTTTGCTAATGGTAGGCATCGACCTCAAAGGTACAACATCCATTAGCAGTCATATTTCTAATCTGTATATCGTCACTTACTCCGGAGCAGGGCTTAGTTGCGGCACCGTCGTCACCCTCAACGCCAGGGGCCCCAGTCACTGAAACATATACGACGTTGCCTTCGGGCCAATGCTTACTTCCCGTGCATGAGTAGAGCTTGACTGTTTTGGGGAATATGGATGGAAATAGTTTTCTGCAGCTTTTCTGGTTTCCATTTCCAATAAACTCACCGCTTCTTGTTCCCAATCTTCCGCACTCTCTTAAATGATACATGGCCAATCGACCCCGGAGAGAGTACAACGAGTCCCTTCTTTGGTAAATTCTTGGCCCCCCATTGCAAGGTGTAACCAAGTTATTTCAAAGAGCGTTGACCAAGTTTGGACTAAAAAGTACTCTGGTCCCACAACTGCTTCACTCTCGGCCACCTCAGAGTGGGGATCAATCAATCAATCAACTTTGACGTCTCCAAGTTGATTGATTGCTTCGTTGAACAGGCTGTGATTGATTTGATTTGATTTGATTAATTTCTGAGATGCTCAAGTTGAGTTGATGAGATTGATACTTTTTGACCCCCAAGTTGAATTGATTGGTTTGATTGATAGATTGATTGATAAGTTGATTACTACTTAGGAGGTTTGATGCCAATTCGACGCCAGGAGCGTATAGATTGCAGAGCACTAAGTAACTCAGGCTTTATATTAAGGCGTCGTACGCCCAGGAGATCGCCAAGTTCGCTGAAAATTCTCTTATAATTAGCTAAGGAGGCTGGGATGGAGTAGATATCAAGGGCTAGCTGGCCTAGAATAGGATAGCGATCTCTTGTGATAACCTAGTACTAAATAGGGTCCTTCGCTAGTAGGTTGTCCTGTTTTAGAGTTGGCTCGCGCTTCCACCTCTTGTACTTGTTGTTAACAGTTTCCTCTATCTCCTGCTTGCCCTCCTCTATAGAGTTCCTAAGGAAGTCTGCTCGGTTGTTTGTAGGGCTTGTTCAACGGCGTTTTGCAGGCCTTATATTAGGAGACAAGGTAGGAGATGCTGCGCCAGCAGCCTTTGCAGCCACCTTATCCTTATATGCCTGCCACAGCAGCTAGAAGGAGCTATAGCTATTTAAAAGCCAGTTCTTATATAGATGTGGCCTATCGCGCTTTATATTATAATCCTTTAGCACCTTCTATAGCCCCTTAAGCGCGTGTTTATATACTAGATAAAGTATTATAGCTGCAAAATAGATAGGGGTGTTTTCTATTTTCCTGTAGTAATCTATAAGCTTTTTATAGGCAGTATTAATATTAATAACTAAGTAATTTTTAGGTATATTTAGATTTTTATAGTTAATAGCCTTAAGCCTCTCCTTCTGCTCCTTAAGGGCTAAGAGTAGCTATTTAAATATAATAAGAACTTCCTAAATAGCTCTATAGCTACTAGCTAAACCTCTGCCTTATAGCTATATTATTGCATTTTTAAATAGCTTAAGCAGCTGCTTATACTCTATAATTATTGCCTAATTACCTGTGTTTAGCCCTTGCTCCTTAATAAAGCACTGCGGTTTCTCCTTTTTTATATTCTTGCGCTGAGATACTGCTTTAATATTATATTCCTTAAGCTTTATATATATATATGCGTTAAAAAGGCCTTAGAGCTTATAGGCGCGCTTAAAGTAATTATAGTAAGAGTTCTACTAAGTTCTAATAGGCTTAATAAGCTTCTTTAGTTTATAAGATTTATTATAGCGCTTTAAGTCCTCTGCCTATAGCTTAATAAATAGCTCTTAGGCTTATAGAAAGGCGCTAATAGATAATATAATATTAAATAGCACCCTAATAGGCCCGGCTTTCCTTTACTTTACTATTAGTAGTTTTTTTTTCTATATTACTATTAGTATAATATAGAATAGTAATAAAATTAGAGATATAATTTTACCTATATATTTATATCTATACTTTTAAATACCTTCTTATCCTTACCCTATATAATTGCTTAGGCAGCTAAGTTAAGAATATAGCAGGTATAGTATAACTAATACTAGGAGATACTAAACTTAAACTTATCGGCTATTGCTATTAAAGCAGTATTATTATTTATAGTATTATTAAGTATAAAGTAGCTAAGGCGCTTAGTATTAATTTTAAACAATTATAATATTAAGCTAACTATTTCTGTAATATTCTTGCCTAAGTGCTGGCCTAGAAAAATAGGCAGGCCTAATAAGTAGTCCTCTAGCCGGCTATTCTTATTTAGATAATATATATATATCCTAGTAAGTGCACGCTTATTGCTAACTAAAGTCTAATTATTAAATAATATATAGATAAGGCTAGTTGCCTACTAGAGGTGTTTAATTACAGCGGGTATATAGGAATTATACTTAGCTATAATAGATTTTTAGAGTGTATAATAGGTCTTCTATAGGCTTAATTTAGTAATAGGTCTAGCAGCAGCAATTATGCTGCGGAAGGCAGGCTTCTTAATAATGCGTAAAGCCTGATTATTATTAGCAACCTAGTATTAAACAGCGCGTAGAAACTTCGCCCGATTAAAGCTGTCCGCTAGCTTGTTGGCCACGTCCTGTGGAACATTAATGCCCTGGAACTGCATTATCGCCAATACTAATGTCTGGTTTAGAGTAGAGAAGTTAATCTGGCCATCTTTATTAACCTTGTGGCCACGCTGTTGCCGCCTTAGGTGAGCTATAGCTAACAAAGTAGCCTTCTTAACGTTGAACTCGCCGCTAGGTATTCTGTATATGTGGCAGTACTTGCAGAGCCAGAACTTCTGGCGCTGCTTTCAATGGTAAACAGGCCAACCGTACGCGTAAATCCAGCTTGCTTTTGACGGTTGTAAGGTTTTGTAAGGCCTTCTCTGCAGATGCGGTACCCGTAGCCAATTAAGGTTCTCATATAGGTTGTCGTTGTCAACGTCGTCGTTGTTCGTGGCAGGTGTTTCGACGTGTTCATTCGTGTTGACTTCGGCGCGCATAGAATTAACCTTACGGGGAGGTTTCTTTCGATTTGCGCGTGCGATAACTTCCTGCTGTACGTTCTGAAGGTTCTGATTCATTGCTGGGTGCGATATTGTACAGAGGTGGTATGGTGTTGGACGCGTTGATGTGAGTTAGGATGAAAATCAGGGTTAGGAGACTGCTTAGTAAGCACTTCTGCTAGGTGGGCTCTCTATAGGATACTCTATCTACGCTCCGCAAATAGGAATCAATCAAACCAATCAAATCAATCAATTTGATGCCTTGAAGTTGATTTGATTGATAAAATCCACCTCTTCGGATTGATTGATTGATTTGGTTGAACCAAATCAAATCAATCAATCTATCAACTTAAGTTGATTGTTCCCCACTCTGGTTGTGGCATGCAGCATGCTACAAGATCGTCCATATAGAAGAATACAATCAGGTGTTAATTAACAAACAGGCATGGCACGCCGGGCACCTCTTTAAGCCCCAATTCCCGCAGCGTTTTCAATTAATCGTTTAGCTATAGCAGGGGGGAACGGCGGAGGCCGTAGAGGCCTTTATTTACACGCAGCAGGTAGCTCTTACGGCGGAAACCGTCGGGGTAGTAGATATATACTTCTTCGTCTAGCTCTAGGTTTGTAAAGGCCAACACAGCGTCAGCCTGCCAGGTATCAAGATTAGCTGCACAGATGATAGCTGCACAGGCCCGAAAGGTCTTTCCGGCCAACGTAGCTGCATAGGTGTCTAGCTCTGTAGGCTGTTGGAGGTCGCCGCGCACGCATAGGCGTGCTTTATGGCGCATAAGGAAGCCGTTTTCATCAAATTTGTATGTAAATACCCAGGTGACCGGCACAGCTAGGGCCTTTATTTCTGGCGTCTCTTCTACAGCTGTAAAGCTACCGCGTTCCACCAAGCCGTCGAGTTCTTTAATAGCGGCTGCCATAAACCCCTGGCGCTCGGGGTGCTGCAGTAGCTGCTTCCAGTTTCTAGGTGGCTCTGGAAGGGATTCTCGATAGCTGCCTCCGGTAACGCCTGCGGCAAAAGCAGCATGCAAAGTAGGTAGGCGTTTGTCTAGAGCTTCGGCTTATACAATTGCTGTATACAAGGCTGCACGGGGTTTGGCCGGCTTGCGGTCACGGGTAGGCCTTAAGGAAGCTGCCGTGGTAGCCACTACAGAGGCCGTTGGTGAGGCCGTTGGTGAGGCCGTAGGCGATGCCGTAGCAGAGGCTGTAGGCGATGCCGTAGCAGAGGCCGTAGGCGATGCCGTAGCAGAGGCCGTAGGCGATACCGTAGCAGAGGTCGTAGGCGATGCCGTAGGAAGACGGCTAGGTAACGGCGTAGGATTTGGCGTAGGCAAGGCAGGCTCCGAACGGCCATTGCTGGAGCAGTCGTCGTTGTTTGAGCTCGGCGAGCCGGGCGGCTGCTGCTGCTGTGCAGGCGGCTGCTGCTGTGCAGGCGGCTGCTGCTGTTGCTCTGCACGGGGTTGTACTTCAATTTTGTCGAATAGGGGGTCGTCAGAATCGTCATCCTCTATTACCCGGTAGGTTCGTGCAACGGGCGGCTTTAAGAGGCTTCCTACGTTTAGGACGTGCTTTACCTATTAAATTAGTAGTTGCATAGCCAGATCTTCCAATAGGGGGTTATAAAATAGCGTTTCGTCAAACGTAACGTCCCGTGCCCTAATAACCTCATCCTTGCTTGGCACCTATATTCTATAGATGTTGGCCGATTCGTAGCCAACAAGATAGCCAACAATTGCTCGGGGTGTTGTTTTCGGCGTTTTTGGTAGCTTTTTCAACATCGGATATGCTCTGCATCCGTACACGCGTAGATGCTGCACGCTGGGGTCTATCGGCCTGCCAGTTGCAGCCTGCAAGGCTGTAATTGGAGTTTTCCAACCTAGCGCTTCGGTGGGCGTCCTATTAAGCAAATAGGCGGCTGTTTTATATGCTTCCGGCCATAGATTTATAGGCAATTGGCTTTCCTCTCGTATGCAACGGGCTTTTTCAATAATAATTCCGCCAGAGCGCTCTGCTCCACCATTCTGTGTAGCATTGTAGGCCGTAGATTAATTGAATTTAATGCCCTTGCTGCGGTGCCATGCCCCAAATTCGTTGCCGAGCGATCGTTCTCCATCGGTTTGTAGCGTACGTACAGTAACATTCCATTGCTTTTCAATAAGGGCAACTTCGTCCATAACGATTTGGGTCAGATTAGCCATGCTACCGAATATTCGGCACGTGTGTGCTTTCGTATACGGGCAGAAGAAGTGGACAGCGTAGCTGTTGTCGTTGTAGCTATGTTCTTTATATATAACGTCGAATTATACAAGTTCAAATGGCCTGGAGGGCTTTAAAACAGGTACACGGGAGATTTGTTGCTTAGCTTTGCTCAGGGCGCATTTAGAGCATTCGGAGATAGTAGGGCCAATAAGTTCCACTCTGCTTTCTAGTGCATCTTTGACAACAGCAGCAGTTAGATGCTGCAGGGCCCGGGGGCCGGCGTGGCCTAGGCGGCGATGCCATAGTAGGCCGAGAGCTGTAACAGACTGCTAGAGCTCGATTGGACGAGCTAAGTATGGCCCGCGTTGTGGAGGTCGTGCAAAACGGCTCTGGTGCGTTAGGAATGCAGTGAGGTCAATCTTTGGACGATTTGCTACAACAGCGGCCGGTGTAGGCTTTGATAGAGAATCCCCTTAGTGGGCAGCCGTTGGCTGTCGTACATTCGGAGAGTTCGAAGGCTGCACGGCCTGCTGCATGGCCAGCTTCACGGCCTGCTGCGTGGCCATCTGCGTGGCCGGCTGCACGGCCTGCTGCACGGCCTGCTGCACGGCCTGCTGCACGGCCTGCTGCGTGGCCGGCTGCATAGCCGTATGCATGGCCGTCTGCTTGGCCGGCTGCTTGGCCGGCTGCTTGGCCGTATGCACAGCCGTATGCATAGCCGTCTGCTTGGCCGGCTGCCATGGTGTTGAGTTTGTTGGATTTGAATCGGCTTCGTGAAATTCGATAAGATTCTGTCCGTCTCGTTGCTCGATGCGGGCCCAAACAACTTCTCGTCCGTATTGCAAATTGTACAAATAGTTTTTCTCGTTGTGCCAAAACACCCCTTTTTCGTTAAGCTTGCTAAGGGAGACCACGCTGCAGTGGAATCCTGGAATATACGCGGCCCCCGATAGTAGGGCAAAATGACCACCGTTGGGGCCTTATAGCGAAATCTTAGCTGTTCCATAGCCAGCAATTGATACCATCGAGCTGCCGGCGTAGTAAGCATCATTTAATGGCATTAGATCGCCAACAAACCGGCTTTGGTGGTTGAAAATATGCGTAGTTGCTGCACAGTCAAGAAGCACGCTGTTGCGTAGGCTGTAGGTAGACAAATGGAATACTCCGTGCGGAACAATAGCGATTGTGAAGCAAGAAACTGATCCAGTATTAGGCCCTCCGGCCTCGGCTATTTCCTGCAGCTTTTGAACTATCGCCTGCTGTTTTTCGGGTCGATTCTTGAGGTTTCCTTGAGCTTGGCTGCTACAGCTGGGTTGCTTTTCCATCCGTTTGGCCGTTTATTCTCACAGATATATAGGCAATTTCGGAAGAAGTAGTATTCTTCGCAGATGCATTCTGGGAGCATATTTTTAGCTTTGGAGGCTGTTGTGGAGGCCGTTATAGCGGCTGGCGTGGATGCCGTTGTAGCGGCCTGCGTGGCTGCCGGCGTGCTTGGTGGCTTCAATTCCACGCCGTTGAGTGTTGTTGCAAATGCAGAATGGCTGGTAATTTTGCCTGCAATAGCTAGAGCCTCCCGTCTTTGGTCACGGAATAAATCAACCAGTTCCTGAAGCGGTGGAGCATTCTCAGCCCTAGCCATGCGGCGGTGCATTTCGTTGCGCCAGTATATCGAAAATTCGGGATTCTTTGGCTGAATAGAGAGCAGGAAGTCGAGTTGTGGACGATTGTCGGCGGCTTCAGGCAGTTGATATTCTTCGCATTCTCTGTAGAGAACTGTCCATTCCTGTAGCCATCGTTCAATATTTGAATCCTTTGGAAACTTTTGCTGCTGCTGCCATAGCGTGCGGAGTTCGTAGCGGCGTAGCTAATTAGATGGAGCCACCTGATTCTTGAGGCTAATCAGCATTTCGTGCACAGTCTTGGCCTTGTTGATGAATAGTATGTAGTGCGATGCGACCGTTTCAACAATATGGACTCGGAGTTTGTTGATGGCATCGATTTTGGCGTCATAGCGATCTTCCTCCTTCTTAGCATCCTCTTGGGCTTATTTCCAATCTAATTTGGCCGCCGGGGTCCATGTTTCCGCGCTGCTTGCTGCTGCCGGTAGTGCAGGCCGGCCAGGCTTATTCAGTTTCGTGGAATCATCAGAAAATGGCTTGTTGGGGTTGACATATTCCCATACATTGCCGGAGTAGGCCTTTGTTTCGACGGTGAAGAACCAGTGCTTCCAGTCGGCAGGGGAGGATAGAACAATCCTTTCAACAGAGGTGGAAGTAGATGGCATATTGGTGAGAGAACACGGGCTGTTGTGTAGTCGATTCGGCTGTGGCGTTTTTGTGGCGTTGTGACTGACTCAACACCAAAAAGGTTCAAAAAGCAATAACAACAACAACAGGGCAGGGAGGAAGGCAGATCCTGATAAGTATCCGGGCTCATAACACTCAGGTTGCAAATTGACGTGAACTCTGTCTTATTTCGGGGGCCCGAAGGCCAAACTATATACTACGTAGGAAGTGACTGTACGCGTAGGCAGAAGCACTAATTAGAGACAGCAGTAGGCACGGTAGGCACGGTAGGCCACCGTACCCCAACCCCTCTCTGTAGAAGTTGTAACTGGCTAGGCATGTAGGCAGCTACTATGCCAGCAACTCCAAGTGAACTGGGAAACGTGTCTGCGAGGGTCCTACGCTGAAGTGCACGAACTTTGATGATCTACCATCGCACGGCGTGTTAGTACTGGCCCGTAAGGAGGACGTCACAGATAGCCGGCGAATGATCTCTACGAAGGGGGTATCTACGTACCTCGCTAGTGCATTCGACCCTTCTCCAGCAGTGCTACTACCATTTTTCTCACTTGGAGGTGTTTCACTCCTTTTATCTCTCGATCCCTCGGCAGTGCGTTCTGCAACGCCTTTGGGCCCGTTCGGAGATACTTCCTCCGCTTTCCTTTTTAGTTCTGCGGACTTCTTCGGCGACGACGGCCCTGGGGTTGACGACATTGTGTTGACGACTAGATGAGATGCAATTCTAAGAGACGTTCTTCGAACTTTAAATGATTCTCTGAGATATCGACCGGCTCTCGGTGGAGCAATGGCCTCTTATACTTACTTCTATGGCTTTTTCAATGGAACAAAAAGGTCACGAGGTGGCCGTGCTTGCTATCTGCCAACCAAAGCATATCGATTAGACATTCACATGACCCGAAGCAAATTCTCTTGCAGCATAGGGCAGTTTGATTCAGCTATTTGACCAGGTCACACTCGTCTAGCGTACTGACGCGGAACAGGGCGAGCCTCGCGAGCAACAAAGCACTCGCGTCATGTAAGATCTAATCTCCACGGCTTCCGACCGAACAGTTCATACGGAAGATGGATCATTTTCTTCTGTATCCCAAATTCTCTTCCACTTGAATAAATTTTTCAGAATCTTCTCTCGTCTTTCTTCACATTCCTTCATCCGGTCTTTCCCCTCCTGGCCAGCTTTTACATGCTCGTGGTAGTAGCAGTTATTGAAGAAATAAGGAAACCATTCCGGCTTGTTAAAACGTTGGAGGGCTTGTTCTCTTGCGTAAGCCCCTCTATGAAAGGCTACCACCATTTCTAAGAGCAAGTCTTTTGGCAAGTCTTGTATGTGGTCGCGTAAATCAACGTCTTCAATATCAAGGGATCCACACCTCCATGCTACCTGTGTCAAGATAATTTTGACAAACGGTGACTTAGGCAGAAGCTTTGTATTCACAATCGTAGGGAGCAAATGATAGCAGAAGGTACCAGTGCTTACAAGTCTTCCAGTCCAACATCTCCATTCCATCTTGTTGATAATAGCTTTGCATAGACCTGGCACATCGTATTCGTCGGCAAAGATGTATAAGTCGCGGAGAATGATTAAGTCCTCCTTCCATTTATCTTCCAGGTCTTTCGAGAGCGTGGGGACCACTTCCTCTTCACGATCATGATCTTTATCTGGCTCGTCCTCGCCCTCTGTGTCCTCAAAGCTGCCAGTTGATCCAGGGACGCTGTCAGTCTCATCGTTTTCGTCTTGCTCTTCCCGTGAAATGAGCAGCTTCCCCGTTTGCATCCAATTTGCGAAGATCTCAAATGTTTCGACAGACACATCGTCAGGATTCCTGACCTCTCCAGTTTGCGACTCTCTCCACGGCCCGTTCAAAGTTTTGTCGTAGTACCGGGAGGCCTTACACAGTCTCCATTTCGGAATATAGAATCGCTTCTTTCCAACGACCAATTTGACACACTCGAAATCTTGTGAGGATTTACTGCTATACAAGAAGTTAGAATCAGTTGCGCATGAGAGCCCCGATGGCCTGGCTAACAAAGGATCTATATGAAGGGCATCTTCACCTACCCCGCCGGCGCGTTTGACTCGTCTCTAGAAGCGCTGTCCACATTGTCTCTGTTCTTACTCGGTGGTGTTTGACTCGGTTTCCTTTCGGATCCTTCCCCAATGCTTTCCGCCTCGTCCTTTTTCCCACTCGGTGCAGTTTTGTTTCCTTTTCCTTTCCCTTTCGATCCTTCGGCAATGCGTTTTGTATTTCCCTTCGGTCCGTTTGGTGATATCTTCTCAGCTCTTCTTTTTGTTTCTCCGGACTTCTTTTTCGGCGTGTTTGACGACATTTTGGGAGTCAATGAGTGAGACGCCAATCTCGAAGAGGTCGTTCGAAGTAAAAGCGCTTCTCTGTGGTGCTAGAAGTCATTCAGCGGAGGGGTCACATAGTTATACCCGATTTCACGGTCTTTGAAAGCGACAAATCGGGCACAAGGAAGCCGTGGTTGTTACAAAACCGTGGTTGCTATCTTTCAGCCAAAGCGTAGTCGAATAGACAGTTGAATGACCTCAAGCAAATTGTTTTGCAGCATGATGAAGTTTGATGTAATCACTGGACTAGCTCACCTGAGCTCTCCTGGCTAAAACTATCTCTAAACGTCTAGACCTACGAGCCACCCTCTCGCTTCTCGCGACAAAGTCTCTTGTCTTCATCGCTATTGTGTTGATGAAAAGTGCATGCGCTTTTCCTTGCAAAGCTCTGCGCCTCTTCAGGCTCGATCAACTTCCCAAACTGCACCATTCTCCGCTGATTCCTCTAATGCAACTACAGTAGCAATCTGGTGATTCTGGTGATTCTGGCCAAGACATCTCCATCCACCTTATTCAGCGCCTTCTGGTCTAGGGGATTAAGATCGCATCCAGCAAGATAATACTCCTCGAGCAACTCCCAGAGCTGCGGATATACAGGCCGAATCCCCTCATTCTCTACTAACTCCTCTAGGCCGATGCTGTTCGTAGCGTTTGCAGGGTAAGTCTTCATGAGGTAATCCGCGACTGCGTTCTGGAAGCTCCGCATATCGTAATGATGCGCAAACTTATAGACATGGAGGCTCCTCCGGAAAATCTCACTGAACTCGACTTGTTCGTCTTTCGCTGTGACCGAGACCTGCTGTTTCGCCGGATCAAGCCAGTTCTGGACGACGGTGAGAAGCTTGAAGTCTTTCGTGTTCTTCTTGGCGTCCTTGTTGGCTGTCTCAAGGTCGTTTATGGTGCCCTCGACTTCGCCTATGCTCGTAGCGTTTTCCAAGAGTTTGAAGAATGGGGATTGGGTTTGAAGTTCCTCTCGATTAAGGCGGAACTCGTTGCGGTCACCGTTGTGCGTGTACTTGACGATGAAAGCGTTTCGGCCGATGCAATCAGTGAATTTCTTCTTTTTGGGTGGGGTTTGGCGCTTTGGTCCCATGATTTCGTGTGTGAAGGATGTGGTGACTGGAAGAGGGCTTGCTCTTACTAAAGTAGTCAGCGGGCATGAGGTCAGTTTGTGGTTCGATTTTCCATAGAAAAGTTAGCGGCATAGGATCTAAAGAATTGCCGTGCAACCGGAAATATCTCGAACCGTCGACCTAGATTTGTAGCCTGATAATGGCTCTAGGACATACAGGACTAGGACGTGAGTTTCTGCTATTTTCTCCGTTCCCATCTGAATACCTCCAACACATTTTGGTAGATCAGAGGAAGCGTATTGTACCCCTTTTGAACGATTCGTAAGCTTGTCAGCCCGCCTCAGACGGTGTCGCCTGCGAGTACGAGTAGTGAGGAAAGGCCACTTACTACAAATTTAGGTAGTGTACCAGGCCACCCCACGTAGCAGTGCTAGTAACCCAGTGTGCACAAGATTTGTATTAGTACAGAAGCACATGACTTGGGCACACCTGTTCGGCACCGTTTTTTGCATCTCGTCTGAATCTTCCACGATGTGCTGGAGCACCACACACAGCGGCGAAGAAGGTCGGTTGGATGCGTTTGGGATCTCTCCAATTTAGTTTCTTTGGGACTTTACATCGTGTCGGAATTTTTGCAGGCTGCGGATGTGCGCCAGACAGTAGCGCGCCAGTGCGCTTTGCCATAGAAGTCCGTACACTTTCCTGCCACTGTCTGTGGGGCTCCAACGTACTAATAGAAAGCGAGGGCAGCAGATACATTTCCAATCTTCGTACACCGTGTTGACGCTGACTGAGGTGGCCTAGCAAGTCTAACGGGACGTACAAATCGTCTCATTCATCTTTTCCAGGAGGTGTTGAGGCAAGTCAAGCAGCGGTAAACCACTTCGAAAGAGAGCACATAACGTTGAACTACCAGAAACCGGGGGCAGCGGATACACTTCCAATCTGCGTACACCGTGTTGGCGCTGTCTGAAGTAGCCTCACGAGTTTACTGATTGTCTAAAACACCGAGCTTCTCTCTTGTTTGGATCGCTGAAAAGGCTATGGAGTTCCTCACACAGTGGTAAACGAGTGTATGAATTTCTATGAGGCATAGTACAAAACACACTGAGCTCGCTCCTGATTATTTTCATGCTCGTGGAACCTGCAAGCATCATCCTCGCCTAACTCCCACGCAACCACGCAGCGTAAGCAGCCCAAGCGAACCCGAAATTCTTCTTTCAGAAGCTTGCCCTGGAAGGTACCCAGGGTCGCCATGAAATCTTTATGCAGCTCTTTGCTTATCGTTTGATAGTGAAAGAGTTGGGTTTGCCTTGAGCTGTGGTCCGGATTCCTATGGAATTCAGCCGCGGCTGTCCAGAGTAGATACTGAATCAGGCGGCAACTATGCGGTAATTTGGGGTACGCGTACTCCAAGAAAGGCGAGATATCCTTGTCATGCCGCGAAAACAGGATGTCGAGTTGTTGGAGTGAGATCATGACATCCCTCCTCAACCCCAAATTGCCATATGTATGCGCAAACTTGAATAAGTGGAAGAATGTTGTTCGCATGTGAATGAGCTCATCTATGACCGGCGCTGATGACGTTCCCAAGTCTCGAAAAGTCGTGCCATCAGGAAGGCTGGTGTTGTCTTCGAACCTCATAACGACGTGGGTTGCGATCCATCTTTCAAGCGCCTCAAACGTTTCCGGGTGTGTATCATTGAAGCGCATGATACCTATGTATCTGGAACCGGGCATTGACAAGAGTTTAGGTGGGTTTGAGAAGTGGCTGTGAAAGTCAACAGGGCGGTCGTAGTTTTCATAGATTGGCCAACGGTCGACTTGTACCAGTATCAGGGGGACCTTATGTGGATGTGAAGTCAGTCAAAAGGCCCAGCCGGGCGGGCTAAAACACATTACCGGCTCAGCAGGCTGTTTAGGGCCCGTTGCAAGGTTATCTGAGAGGGAAATCGGGGGGATATTGCCGCTGAGTCCTTCGTCCATGTCCATTGTATCCTTGCCCCGAAGCGAGATGGGGGATGCTTGCGGTAGTGGTGCAGTACTGGGTTTAATTGTAACCATATATCATGTCAGCATGTTGTCACAGTGACTTCCTGGTGTACGAGCTTGGAAAATGACCCACTGCGGAGATATGCTAGGGACGACGGAATTTTCTATTTCATCATCTGCCCACTCTGTTTTCGTCTTCTTATACCCGGAGGGTATGCGAGTACGCTGGGAAGGCGTGGCAGGAAGAAACGAAAGTTCAATTTCGTCATCTGCCGACTCTGATCTCGTCCTCTTGTGGAGGGTACGCGAAGACGCAGGGAAGGCATGGCGGGAGGAGACGATGGAATTTGGCTTAAAGGTAACTTTTTGGCATCGAAGGGAGCATCGTGACACGAAGTCTCATCGGGCTCAGGGATATTCTGAAAACGAACGTCTTCCTTTGCGATGGGCTCGACTTACGGTCCTCCCGTCGCTTCAGGCGTCGAATGATCCATGGATTGGCAAACGTGTTTCAACTCGAGCAGAGGAACTTGAGTGGCAATTCAACGGTCAAGGTGCTGATAACGGCACTCCCGTTTTCTTTTCCGCTAACGATTGTCGTTGGAAAAATGCTTTACGATGATTGAGTTGAAGGCTGGGATACGGATGAAGTAGACGATAAAGGAGAGAAGAGAGCACCGCGAGAAGTGGAAGCAACACCGCTCGATTACCGGCCATTGGACTGTATGGAAGGCGCATCTTGGGTCCTCTGTAAACAAATCTCGGGCGGCGATCCTGCAAGTGGAAAGCGTCCTGCAAGTGGAAAGCGTCCTGCAAGTGGAAAGCGTCCTGCAAGGAGCTGACGACGGTAGAAAGGACGCAGTATTCGGCCCCTTCTGTTTGAACGCCTTCCACTAAGTGACCATGCTGTTTAGGATACGTCAACATGCTCTTTTGTGGACTGCTGGCGTAGACCTGTCATATGTCGCCGCAGGTGGCGCGTCCCCGTATTTTTAGATGATTGATTCAAAAGGTATGTCGATGTCTTGAATAGCTATTAAACTCACGAGGCCAACAGCTCTGTGCCCGTCGTTCGATACCGATAGAGTTGTTCTGTCCTTGAGTTGAAGTGTTGATTCGAATCCCATTCAGCCACGCCTTTCGAGAGCAGATACTGAATCAAGGCGCATCCAGCTTGTACTTGTAAAGGTTGGTTCGAATTTGGCATACAAGCGAATCGCGAGTCTTTTGATTGGAAGAGTAGTTGCCGCCACCATCTAACTAGTTATATGGCGTTGATTACATCAGAGTACTGATGGGACGGAAGAGTGGAAGTTGAGAGGCGGTAGTACCAAGCTTTGTGACGCCGAGGAAGACCCGACGCCCACTAGCCCGTTTCCGGCGCCGCCGCCGAAAACACCCAAACAAACACGCCCGCAACGTAGCGTGCATCACCGCCGCTACATCCTCACCAACACGACAGAACTGCGCCCGCGTCGCAAGCTTCGCCCACGCGCCTTCTCACGTCCAGTTTTCAGTGGCTCCCAACTGCCGCGACAATGGCGCCCGCACCTGGAGGCACCCCGGGCCGCAAGACTCGCGGCGGAAACAAGTACTTCGACGTTGGCGTGCAAGGGCGGTACGGAACAAAGAGCTGGACTGCTGTTGAGCGCTTCCGCTAACATACTCGGACAGGAAAACGGGAATAACGCTCGAAGACAAAGGTATTCGGGATGAGTACGGCATGGAACCGCTAGACGGCATCTTCTCGTCGCCGGAGAAGTCTCCCCCAAAGCGTCCGACCGGTCGAAGGTCAGGCGGCACCGTCACAACATCCGAGTCTATGGAGGTTCAAGAGAGTATGTAAAAACAGTGCTTAGGCGCGTTTACTTAGACGTGGGCGCACGTCGGACAATGGCTAATGCGACACAGGCTCCGTTCCCGAACCAACCCAGACGATCAAGTCTCAAAACCTCCTCCGGAAAAGCAAGACGTTCTTCCCTCCGCCTGTCTCGCGCTCGCCGATGAAAACAAACCTCGGATCCTCTCCGCGCCGACAGTCTTCCATGGGTCCCAGGTCCGCCGCACGAAAGTCAATGGGGTCTCCCGATCGCTCCGCATCGCACCCAGCAGTCAGTCGGCGTCTCGACTTTTCCGTTGTAGAGGAGGGTCCGACTAGCTCGACTGTTGCGCGATCAACCCCGGTAGTTAGACATGTGAAGGGCGGACAGCGGCCGGCGCGCCCAGATATCTATGATTTGCAAGAGTCACCAGTGCGTGGGCAAAAGAGGACGTATGAGGAAAGCATCGTAGAGGAAGATCCATACACAAATGGAAATTCGGCATTGCAATTCAATGGGTTGCAAGAGGAATCGCTGTTTCCGCCAATCGAGGACGAATCTTTACAATTTGTGCAAGGAGCCGAGGACGATGACAACGCATTTGGTGCATCTTCCGAGGATTCCTTACCTCTACCGGAGGTCACGCCGCCACCCGCAAAGAAGAGTAGGACAGGCAAAACGGGGAGATCGAACGCGCTCCCTGTGGAAGATGAGCCTTCGATTAGGGAACCCACTCCTAAAGCGACCCAGGTGCAGAGAGGTGGAGTCAAATCCAAAGCTGCACCGAGAATCAAGCCTGCAAAAAGATCATCAATTGCCGAGGAATCAAGCCCAGCGCCGCCTCAACCAAGGAAAAGTGCTCCTGTGCAGCATTCCAGCAAACTCAAGAAAAAAATACCCGAGCCGGAGCCTGAAAAGGAAGAGGACGAGGAGGAAGGCGAGGTCGAAGACGAGATTGAGGATACAGACAGCATGGTCGAGCCGGATTTGATCTTGGAAGAAAGTACAGTGGACGAGGAGCCAAAACCAATGCCACCACCACAAAAGCGCGGGAGGCCGGCAAAGAACAAGGTCAATGTACACCGTGACCAACCGTCTTCCAGCAAACAAGAGTCGAGATTCAAGGTTCCAGCAATTCCGCAAAAGAGGGCACAACGGAAACCAAAGCCAAAGCCAGTGCCTTCAGAACGCGATCCGAATGTCAGATCCGGGTCAGTTGCAGCTTCGCAGCAAGAAAAAGGTGTATCAAAGGCAGTCAGTGAAGCGTCATCTACCGCGAGTACAATTTCAAGACGACCACCCATCGTTCGTGGTCTTCAGCAGCTTCGGCAAGGGACGCCCTTTGAAGACGTAGGCATGCGAACCACGCGATCCGGAAGAGCCTCTGTTAAACCGGTGGACTTTTGGCGGGGAGAAACCATCAAGTACGATCATCTCAGGAACAATGTAGAGATTGTCCGCGCAGATAACCGGTTGGAATTTGAAACTGCTGGGAAGAGGAAAGGGGCTGTGAAACCGAAACGCAGAGCGAAGGTGGAAGAGGATGTGGAGCACGAGCTTGACGATTGGGAGGTTGATCCTGGAAGTCTTACAGGCACTGTAACTGCCTGGGATTCAGAGCTAGGCGTAGCCACAAATGACCACGAAGAGCAAGGTAAGTCATTGAGAAATTTCCGTCCTTGTGTCAAAAGCTTATTCGAGAACAGAACTCGCGATAGCAGAGGAGGGGGTCCCTTTCAAAGACGTATCAGGGGGGCAGTTCCAGTTCGCCAAACTGATTTCTGTTAAGAACTTTTTCGGCGCAGGCATAATCAATCTCCCTCCTGGGGGCTTCAAACGACCGAGGAACGCGCGACAGATGCAATTCGCTTTCTATCTCTTCGACGGGACAGCAGAGGTGACGATAGCGGACGAAAGGTTCACTATACACAAGGGCGGCTACTTTCAAGTACCACGAGGTTAGTTCACTATCATTTCCCCCTCGCGGCTCATATCTCGTCTCGTCCCGTCTCCTCTCCTCCGATCATCCTGTCCCCTTGGCACATGTCCGGCGCCGACTGCACATCTTTGACCATCGAGTCGGTGAGCAGCCTGGCGAAGCGCAGGCAGCGGGAGCGCCTTGGAGTAGCGGCGTTTCCACGGTCTGTACGACGGTGGTCGCTTTATGCTTATACCCCGTTCGGCCATTGCTCTGCGCGTGGCCTAGTTTCGCGGTGCGCTATCGTCGGGAAACGTCGCACGGCAGTCTGGTGTTCTGGCGGTTACGGTCCCGCCCGCGCTGTGTGTTTTCGTGCGGCGCTCATGTGGCGCTGGCCGTGCGAGCTGTGCCACCTCGCTTCCCGCTCTTATCACAACATTCAAAATTGACTGCTATAGTCTGGGCGGCCGACGAGACGAGAGACGCTGCTATATTCCCATCCCTTCCTCTTTAATATTGCACTCTGCACCGCTCTCTTTCTTTTCATGCACTTATTCTCGTGTGCGCGTTAACCGCGTATTGTTCTTCTCGCCGCATCGTTTATGCATCTACCCTACATGCAGCAAGAAGAGCGCAAGGCTAACGAGTGAACCACGGTTCGCATCATGCAGGCAACCTCTACAGCATCGAGAACAAGACGACGGGCTTTACGCGGCTTTTCTTCGCGCAGGCCAACGAGAAACCTGCTTCCGGCGACTCATGACGCAACGCCGCCCCTGCCTATTGCAATTTGCGGTAATGCGTTCCCGCGTGAGTGTTGGGTGTGAGACAGAGCATTGGGTACAAAAGCCAAGTGTGCGACGCTGGCTGGGCATGGCCACCTGCTGTTTCCCGCGTTCAGATAAATGGAAAAATGGGTCACGAGATCACGGTGTCATGGTTCTTCTTGGGCGTTTGCTTTTATATACCACTGTCTGGTGTTCTTGCTAGCGCTTGCTTAGTTATATTTTTGGGTTAGCCCGGTCTCCAACGATTCTTTTTGATCACGTCTATCCACGGGTCTTATGCGTACGTGGGAAAGTGAGTGTTTCTGTACAGCTGTTGCACACGGTGAAGCGCAGTATCTCGACCCTGGTGGCTCCGGCATCGGGAGAATGGCGGTGGGTTTGAGAATGTCGGGAACGGGCATGAGATGGCGTGACGGACGGTCGGGGGGAAGGGCGGGTGGTTGCACACCGTTGGGCAGGGGGAAAAGGTGATCATGCGGGAATGGTGGCAGGGGTTTGGCGGATGCGCGTGCTCAAGCTTTGTGGGGTTGGGGCTTTCCGTGATGCGGTGTAACGTTTTGTAAGGCGGCAGCAGTCAGCGATGGGAGAGAGTGAGGTAGGTGTTTGAGTACACAGAAGTTCATAAGATGTCCGTGGACGATGGGTGATATGGTATGTGGATGGTGTGGATGTCTAGGAGAATGTGAGAATATCTGACGCAGAGGGGTAGGTCACGCGACTGTCACGAGTGGTATGATCCATTCCTCGCCTTCATTAAAGGTCAAGCCACAGTAGTAGAAATACTCGAAGATCAAGAAGTGGCATGTGTTGAGATAGACAAGATTCTACCGCCTTGGACTTCGATCAGAGCCTCATCCTAGCGGATCTGGGTGTGCAGAGTTGCAGGGCCTTGGCCGGGCTGAACGCTGGGGAGATCACTGGCACCGATTTTGAAATCTAGAGCAGTGTATAGCTTCCCGAGACTGCGATCTTGTGTGAATTGAGGAGGCGATTTGTGCATCGAAACCACACGTATTGTTAAGTCGTTGCCGGATGTAACTTTCTCGACGGTCTCGACATTGAATGTGCATACGTGACTCTACCGTGCATCTCGATCGCACAATCCTCGTCCTGCTGTCATCTAACGGAGCAAAGTTGTTGATCCCTTCCTAAAGAGCAGAGTAGCAGTGGGTTACTAGCCCTTGACTATTGTACGTGCCTGGATGCATTCATGTGTTTCTTCTTCATATGTGACTTGGCTTCCAAGAGTGTGGTGTATCTGCACATCTCAAGCGGTGCCGTAGTTGTAGCGGACGAACTCCGAGGGGGTGATGTCGTGTTGGATGCTACTGTGGTGCGAGGGTAGAGGCACGCCGCCTGGGCACGTCACTGCGAACGAAAGATGGTGATCTCGGTGTCGCCGCTCGCGATGTTGAACAAGAGAGATGCATGATATATTAGAACTGCCATCATATTGACACTCTTGAATGTTAATACCCTTAGCTTAAGTCTGGAAACCTCAGGGGAGGAGTTGTAGGCTACCTCCCTAGCAATGGCCTGGCTACCCGAGTATCAACAACGTTTCCAAATAACTCCTTCCCATGTTGTGATCCACTACAGCAGCTTATCTTTCCTCTATTGTTTCTATGCGGACGCTACGGTGCTTCAGCCGTTCATAGGTGAAGGGGTGATCTGCGCGTTCGTAGAAGAGTGACGGATGGCGAGAGATCGGAAGGTTCAGCGACGAAAGAGGACTCTCGGAGTTATTCCTACAACTTCAAGAAAGGCTTTAGCAATGGTCCAGTCGATAGAGATTTGAAGTTAAAACTGAGTTGGGAAAGGAGTTCGTGCTTCAGTCATACTTGCTTTTCTCAACGAGGGGGTTGTGAGGGTCTCCATCTGATACTTCAGTATCTTTACTTCTACCATAATCAATCGGACATTGTTGCTGCTCTCCAGTGATGTTATCAATTGATATAATATTCTCCACCAGGCTTCAGGTGTCTCAAACAACATTACCTTACATTGCACCGAAGTCGCCGCCCCGGGCGGCTCTCGCGGCACGTCTTCTCAGCGCCCGACGCCATCTTCAAACCGCCCCCCACATATCCCTCCTACCCACAAGATACTCGCTCACGAGCGCAAGGATAAACCTGAACAGATAGTTTGAGGCGTAATCACCGCGTCCTCGTGATCACTGAACCTTAACAGCACTCAAACAGGCGATCCGAGGTCACTCCTCCACCCCCAAGCCCAACACTGACCAAGCAAAGCCGCAATCTCAGCTTCAACTCCCCCATAGGCTACTGAGAGACGGCGAGTATATCTTCGGTGTAGGAGTAATCACGTCAGCTCGTCCCGTCCCGTCCTCGGAGCCCCAGAACCTCACCATTCCAAAGCTCAAACCGCCGTCCGTGCTGGCTCGAGCATCTCCTCGCCAACCATCGATATCACGACCCTGTTTCGAGATCTGTGCGGCGCGCCTACGGGGCTCTCCACACGCCGGGATCGTGCTGAGACAGCATCATGCCGCTGATAATGCACCTGCCGCCCACACTTCCCTTGCCGTTCATGTCCGTCAGTGACGATGTGACAGAGTGATAGTAGCAAGCGAGGTCCACTGTGTCCACTAGCGGCGTCACCATTCGAAAACGAGCGCTCCGGGACTTCCAATTGATCAGATAACTGATAATGGGTACCCTTTCTGGAGCTGCGTCCCGGCTCGGCACGATCCAGATTCAAGCCAGAGTCTAGGAGATCCGCTCTTAATCAAACTGACGCCTCATTGTAGACAATGACCATCCATGTCCCCTTTCCGCGTGACTGTGTGCTTCTAAGCTGACTGGCGGCGAATTCTTGTTTGGAGGGGGGCACAATCGACTTGAGACCCACTGCTGCTGAGCTGTGAAGTCAAAGTCAGTTCGTCCTGAAGCTGTGAGGAGTGCCTCACCACTCACCACCACCCTCTAGCCCCCTCCTTCAGGCCCCCAACGAGACGCACAACAGAATCTTCTATCCCACTCAACCCTCGTATCTTCATCTTAGCATCGCTTCAGCACTCGTCCCACCAAATTGCCCAAGCTCCTGCACACTCACAAACCCCGTTCCCTGACGCAGTTCCTCAACCCAGTTACCTTCTGTACAGTCCCTATTTAGGGGCTCGCGATCAGCTCATCTGCACTCCAGCAGCACTCTCGGCACCCCATCGATGCCATTGCTCAAGTTCCTGCACATCCCCCATCCTCTCGAGGCGCACACACGTCCATTGAACCCGACTCGTTCCACCTACAGCTCAGCAACCACTCTCGGCACCAAGCTGTCTGCACACACGTCAATCGGATCGATCCACGCCCGTACATTCCCAACATTCCCAACATTCCCACCACCCACAGCCTCACTCTTCTCCCTCCCTCCTCCCCTCCAGCATGCGAGCCCAACTTGGAACACCCACCTATGTCACCTGCCATGACGCGCATGGGGGGACCTTGAACATGGGGAGTGGGTCTCTTGCTGCAGTGCACAGCTGTTCCACCCCACACTGCGCAAGCAACCGGTCTGTTGGACACCCACAAAGCAATGTACATGTATGGGTGGCCTTTCCCCCCCGTTGACTCACGCGCCCCCCATCCAAGGCTCGCCATCTAGGGCTGCATAAAACGGTGAGGGCGAGAAAAGCGCTGCTGTCGCGTTGGCACTCACCCGTGGGCCACGTAACGCGAACAACTTGCATAATTTTGCGCTGAAAAGCATGCGAGTGTGCGTGTGTATGCGTTAGGCCCGTTCGTCCCACGACCGAATGAAAAGTTTTCGGAATAGCTAAATCTATTTTCGACGTGTTGGCACTAACCAGCTGCAAGCTGATGGTTAGTGTGTGCAATAGCTTCGGAAGAGCACGAAGCGAGAAATGCAGGAAACAAGGCGTGCTGTTGGTGATCTGCTGCTGGGTTAGTTTGGCAACAGCTGTCAAGCGCGAAAAAAAAAAAATTCTCTGCTTTGTTAACCTGCATGGAAAGATCGAGAAGGATGGGCGTGGCCAGTGTCATGCTGTGCTACACACAGTCAGCGGTGACTGCTCCGCTGGCTTGTTGGCGGTGTTTTGTTGGCTCAAGCTGAGCAGTGTGCAGAATTGGCCGTCGTTTTCATGATCTGAGTGTTCACGGCATTTTGGTGGTAGGAGGAGTGCGGTGTTCGTAAAAGGATAATCATACGTTCATAGCCATGATGGCTGTTTGTCCTTATTCTCTTCTATATAATGTAGTTTGTGTTGTGTGTGTTCCCACCGTTCCCTTGCCCAGTGTCCCATCCCAGCTGTATATGTAGTTATATCGGTATATCCGCAAAATGCCACGAAGAACCCGCCTGTGCAGCCAAAACCTACGCTCATGCTTGCGACCAAAAGCCAGAGAAACAAAGGAAACGAACCAAGGATATTTAGGAAAGACAACTCAGAAACAGAAAAGGAAAGGAAAAAAAAAAAGGCTTGCTGGTGTAAATGCACAATCATGACCGCCAATACGTTCGTGTGAATTAGATATAGTGTGGGTTTAAGCAAGGAAACAACAAAACAGACAGATATCCAGCCCGACCGACGCTTGCTATGAGTGAGATGAGACAAAATACCGACGATGATAATGATGATGAGAAGTGAAACAGAAAGGACAGATGTCCGCCCAACGCTAAATGCCACAATCGTTTGCCGCGCGAAGATAAAAAGTAAGGAAAGAACAGAGATGAAAAAAAGGTTTCTAGGCGGAAAAAAGGATCCACCAGATCTCATCCAACTCGCGACCGGAACCGAGGTATCTACCAAAATTCATTCCTGTTCCACCCATGCCTTGTGTGAAATTCCTATGCTCTTATCGGTTCCAGCCCGAGTGCGTGTGTGTACTGCCCGACTCCTAATCTTGATCCTTCGCAGATCCCCTTCAAAGCACAATCGTAATTCTTTATAGCAGTCTAGGTCGAGGAGCTTCGACCGTGACATCCACCTCGAGACCGAAGCTCAGACTTGAAGCGCGGTCTGTTCACGCAGATTGATGGCATGTCGAAGCACCCCCGACCTAGCCAGCCGACTCTACTCTTTCATCACTCCTTCCTAACCTCCACCTCTTCCTCTTTCGTGACGCTCCCAGTCCCACTGCGCTGCGACGTACTCTCCGGGCTTCTCGTCCCCTGACTCCTCGGCCCACTCTTCATATCCCTAGACTCAACACCACTAGCGCTGGCATCAACACTGCTCTCACCTCCCGCCATCTCAATCTCCCTCCTCTTTCTGAGATACGGTTCTACAAACCCCACACTCTCCCTATCCCTTTTCTGTCCCGTCTCCTGAAGCACCGGCGCCGTCCTGGGACCGCCACCACTCGCTATTTCGCTTTCAGAGACCGGTTGCAGTGCTGGTAGCTGTGGACCCAACTGCGGTGGTAGGCTAGATCTCGACCTCGATCCTGATCCGTCGGAGCGGCGGCGGCTGATAGAGCTATTGCGGCGAAGGCGGGGCGGTGGTCCACTATCTGAGCGTTGGTGAAGGAGATGGGGCGGGTGAGGGTGCGGTTGGTGGTGCGATGGGTGAGGATGGTGGTGTTGGCCTGGCCCAGGGGTTTGGCTCTGCGGAATGTTGGCGGGCGTGAAGTGCGGCGTTGCTGGGCGACCGGAAGGGGGCGATGGAATCCCGGTGGCTGAAGGGTGGAGCTGGAAGACGGGCGCATTGGCTCGGGCGCTCATCTCTTGCTCGCCCAGCTGCCAGTGCATGCTCTCGGCGGACCTCCAGGGGATTTGCATCTCCGAGGCCACCTTCTGCCACATCTGGTCTTTGAATCTGTTTGCAGTGTTAGTCAAGCTCAAAAGATGTCTGAAGGGGTAGTGAAGGGATGGACTCAGGACGCTTTGGAACGCAATGTGGCAGATGATGACCAAAATCCAAATGTGCTCGTGGGAGCGAGAAAAGCGATAGGAAAGTGGTAGACCAAATGTTTGCAGCGTTGTGCGCCCCGTCTTGTTCGAAGGGCGGTGGTTGAGGGTTGGGACCTACCGAGCATAGAGTCGCGCCAGCTTGTTTTTCTTCTCTTCGTCCCAAACTGCGCGCTTTTCAAGGTAGTTTTGGTATCGTAGTCGGCACGCGATGGCTGATCGTCCGGGAAAGTGCTTTGCGATGTCTTCCCATTTCATTCCTGTGCCTCTAAGCTCGATGATTAGATTGTCCTCCTCTTGACCCCATTTCGACTGCCGCTTAGCTGGGCTCTCCTCTGGCAGCGGAGTCTGGGAAGCTGCACGCCGGATGGGCGGAAGTGGAGGCGATCCATGGGATAAAGCGGGAGGGGCTGCGCCCTGTGGACCAGAGTAGAGCGGGCGGAAGCTCTGTGGATGCTGTAAAGGGTCAGATTGCGCGTGCTGCTGCTGGAGAACAGACAACGGTTGCAGTACCGGTCCGCCTTGCATTGAAGGTACGCCTATAGAGATGGTGGAAGGCGGTCCGGATGTCGTGTAGGGTGATGGAGCAGCGTACGGAGATGCGGCATATGCTGGTGATGCTGTAGCGAACGCTGGAGAAGTGGTGGCATACGAGGAAGGCGACGGCGTGTACGCCGATGGTGCCGTGGTGTATGCCCTTGTCGCACCAGAGGACGAAGCTACTGATGTAGCACTTTTCGTGCTCTTGGTGCTCTTCTTGCTCGAGGGAGACTCGGAGCCTCGAGGCTCGAGTAGGAGATTGATATCCACGACGGCTGATGTGGGCTAGCCCTGAGCCAGCCCATTCGTAATCGACAGCGACTTTCTTTCCTGCCCAAGCTGCACAGAAGAGTTTCGAGATGGCAACGAGGTGGATGACAATTGGGGTCAAAGTCAATGGTTGAGTGCTGGGGTTGATACCTGAAGTGGCGGACGGCGACCCTAATATCAAATGCAGCTCGCTACAGTTCGCTACCGCCGAGTACTCGATGGAAGTAGATGGTTCGAGATAATTCCGGTCAAGCACGTCGCATGCTGTGACTTGGCGTGCGTTTGTAGGCCCAAAGGAGGGCGGAGACGCTGCTGCGGCCTGTTGTCGGGTCGAGGTGAGGCTTGACGTTGGGCTTGACTCGTCAGGCAGACAGCGATGCGCTGCGCGAGGCTCTTCGGCTGCAGTGACGATGACGACAAGATGGGATGGAGGGTGTGTTGTCCAGAGATGTACAGTCACGCTGGTTGCTGGTAACAACACGCCGGCGAGAGTACGGGGAATAGAGCGGGTGGAGAGCCCGTGAGTTCGATGTTCTTAAGATGTGCCGTGGTGGGCGAAAGTGACCAACTACAAGTACTGATGTAGCTTCCGTGCTCTAAGTGGCTGCCCTCGCAAGCTATTTAGGAAGTGTTCAGGGCCGGTTTGGCAGGGGAGTGAAACATGGCCAGCCAATCGTTCAGAGGGGGCTCGCTCGAGGCATAGCCACTGAAGACAACAAGAAAGAAGAAACGTTTGGACTCAGGAGGATGGGATGCGCCCTGGGAAGCGGAAGATTTGATGGATGCAGCAAACTGCTGGGACGACAATGGCATGCAGCTCCCAGGCGCCACACTGCACGTCCGAGGCAGGGGTCCGGCTGGGATGACCCACGGACTAAAATAGTCACAGCTGATCCCAGAGGGCGTGCGGAGGGCTAACGACGTGTGGAGCAAAAGAAAGGCGTCGTGGGTGGTGTTGCGGGCCTGGCGTGCGCAAAGCGAGCAGCGCAGTGACGTGTCGCACACCCTGGACAGACAGTAGACGGCGCAGTAAACAGACTGCTGGCTTCAGCAGCAGCGAGAGCAGACCATCGCTGTCGTCCCGGCTGCCAGCAGCCAGCGCTCGAGGGAGGGCAGCCAGTCACGGCGGCGGTGAAGGGTGCCAGGGAGCGCGCATCTCGCGAGACGTCAAGCGCGATGACCTGGCTCTGAGGCGAACAAGATCTACACCTCGCGCCCTGCCCTACGGCGTCTGATCTCAAGGGAGGCAAGCCTCGCGAACAGGGCGGTGCAGTGTGTGAGGTGGCATAAAGCTTGACTCGTTGCGTCAGTGAACGTTCCTCGCGGCCACGCCCATCCCGGCGGAATGCTGCAACAACAACGACGTTATAGTAGCGGTGAACTGCCGGCCAGCTGGCCGGCCGCTGTCCTTCTCGAGCGTGCTGTTCCTGGACGCCCTGCCAGTGCGAGAGAGCCGGCCGCACCCGTCGGAGGCATTTTGCGTGCAACGCTAGCATACGGCTCCCACGTGAGCGCCCGACGTCGTTCAGGGACTATGCTGTGCCGCGAGGGCCAGTCTGGCGCAGATATCAACGTGCAGACGCGCGGCTGCAGAGAGAGGCACTGGAAGCTTCTCTACGGACGCAGCAAGCCCGAGGGTAGCTGCATCATTGCATCAGTCTCGAGCAGGGCTTGGACCACGGAGCGAAAGAACGGTGGGCATGGCGGTGAAAGCGCCTGAATCAAGGCTCGAATCGTGGGCACTTCTGGTGGTTTGAGCGAGGTTTGGGGCTCGATCGCGGGCAGGACATCGCCGCCGGCGCATGAGCCGGACTCCTGGCAGCGCACGGAGCCGGAGTTCATCGCATCATGAGGCGGAAGCGCACGTTGACGTTGCTGCTGTCGGTGCCAATACACCAGTTTCTCACAGACGGGGCCATCAGTTTTCCAACGCCCCGGTCAGAGGTCCCGGCAGCTCGTCCACAGCGGCCTCATCCTGCGCAGCGCGACCACCCATTGGCCCGCCGCCAGCCTCGTTGCAGCCCTCAACATCTGGCGGTCGACGCAAGCTGTGGTTGGACGCGGCAATCTGGGGATGTCATGGCTGAAGTGCCAGCTGGCCGCGTGCCCGATTCTCCAGGCCCAGCCGAACCAGTTCACCAGATGTCTGCAGAGACTGCTCTAGCGCTGGAGCTGTATTTTTAGGGCCCTCTGCTAGGATAGGCGGTGAGGCCTGGCCCAAAGCAGCACGTTGGGAGACGACATCGACTACGAAGTGGCTGCGGCGTGCTGTTCGCGAATTCCCTGATGCCAGCGCGACGACGTGGACAAGATCGCTGCCTCCGCCTGCCCAGGGCGCCGATGCCATGATCGAGTCCATGACCAGCTGTCACTCTCGATGCGAGCTGCTTGCTGTCCAATGCGCATCTGCGCCGATATTGCAGGCCCAGGAGCGTGCCGAGGAACCCAGACGGTCTGTGTCAAGCAATTGCCGGCTTGGCTGACGATAAAGTGAAGCATTGACAGGAACGGATGGACAAAAGAAAGCAAATAGCCGCCTCGAGGCCGACAACAGGCCTGACTGACGTCCGAATGCTGCCCAAAATGCGACCTATGACCCCACGGTGGGGGATGTGTTCGGGCAGTGCGGGCAGAGGCTCGTGGGGGCTTGCAGTTGACAGGCTGGCGTGGGATGAGGCGGACAAAAGCTCCGTGTTGATCGCCCTGGAACGGGGTGGAGAGACACCCCGTGCATATCACGTGGTCTTGTACATCATGCTACGCCAAGCAGTGAGCAAAATCTCCGCGGGCGTCCGAAACACCGGCGAGTGTCAACACCAGGGGCTCACCACCACAGACCACCAAAGCATCGCCAGATCCCACGGACGCCGTTGCATTTTGACGACGTGACGACGCCGGCTGCAAGCGCCCGCGCCGAGCGCCCCTGTCTGCGCGAGCCTGAGGATTAGCTGCGCTGGGGATCACTTGCAACCCAACTGCAGCCCCTTCACTCGCAGTAATAATTGGTGCCTCATACATCCCCTTTGCCCAGCCCAGTCCGCTTCTGGCTCGCCCTCTCCGTGCTTCTCCCGAAACGGCAGCTTTTCGTTCTCCCAATCCATCCCCATCGTCCGCCGTCACAATGTCTCTCCAATCTGCGGCCGACGTGCCCATCCTCATCACCTCTGCAAACTCGTCGTCTGAGCGCCGAGTAACGCCCTCGTGGAGCATAGCGCAATTCAGGACGCGCCTGGAGCCCATCACGGGTATCCCGGCCTCCGCGCAGAAGCTCTCGCTGCGGGTGGGCTCCCAGGATGCCATTGCCGTCGAGGCCGCCGACGAGGACAACACGCAGCTGGCGGCGTTCCCGCTGCAGGCCTACGCCGAAATACATGTAAGTTGGATGCGCTTTCGTGTCGTCGTTGCTACGCCATGGCCTCGACCCCGATCTAACGGCGCTGCCGTATCGCCGCCTGCCACATTTCTGGTGTTTTGGGCCCTGGCGGGATCCCCGGTCGAGGCTCCATCCTTATTCTGGCTTTGCTTTTGGCTGCCAGCAATCCCCATCTTCACAAGCCACCACGACCCTGGATTGCGTTGGTGACGGAGCGCCTGTCGTCGGCCAGCGCGCTGCTTTTTGCGCTCGCTCCCACGCCGAAACATGCACCCCGGACGCCGCCCCAAAACACCTCTGCCTCACTGCCAGCGCCTCCTCGACCTGTTCGCCGACGTGTCCGATCCTGGAGAAGCCCGTGATCTGTTCCCACATCTTCGCCTCAACGTTTTTGCTTTTCTGGTCGCGGCGCTTCGAGACTGGCAGCGCTTCTCGTTGTCATGTACCCTGCTCCAACCCTATGGAGGCCCCACTGCTTTGATCTCACCACCACTCGCTTGCAACGGCAACATATTTGACGCAATATCAAACGTCGCAACCTAGACCCGCTCTGATCATGTTCCCAGGTCGTAGACACGCGCCCGCCGTCGGCCCGAACCGACTTCTCGGACGTGTCCGCCGTGGCCAAGTACACCATGCCAAGCACCGAGTATGAGACGCGCAGCGACAGTGTCCTGGCCTGGAAAAAGGCGCAGAAGCTCGGTCGGTTCGACCCGAACGCGCCCAGCCTGGAGGAGCAGAAGATTCGAGCCCTGGAAAGGGAGGTCGAAGAGCGAGGTAAGCACCGTAACGTTAGCATGGATCTTTGTTTTTCCGCATCCTTGCCCAACCTGTCCCTACGTCGTGAGGAGAGAATTCCGGGCGCTTGAACCGACAAGAGCGCATGCTTTCAGGCGGCCAAAAAGCAAAGAGCTTCGTCAAGTCTCTGAGAGGCGGCTGCAGGGGAGCATCTGTTGCGGCCCCCGCGTGCTCGAGCGATTCCCGAGGCTGCATCACCATCTCGCGTACCTCACAGCTATCCATTTCGGGACGCGGCTGCATCTGAGGCTTTCCACTCAAACCCCGCAATCAGACACCTTGACAGGACGTCGTCGTATAGCTCTTGCGGCTGACGAATCCTCCGACGGCGGGTGTTCTGGACAAGATCGCTTTTGGACACTTGCCGCAACATTGGACATAAGATCAGCATGTAATGCTTGCGATCAAGCGCACACCTCGCCAATCTAGGAGCCTTGGCTCCACGAGGACCGTTTGCCAGTATCTGTCACATTGTTGGTCTTGGTCGATCGGCGTAGATCACACCCTCCATATCAAGCCACCAGCCTCACAAAATTCAACAACAAGGGTCGTCTCAAACCTGGCCTTCAAGCTCACTCTATCAGCCGCCACCAACACTCCAGACGGTGGACAATGGCGTTTCTCCACATCTCGCCTTCGTCAACGCCACCAGCCTCACTCTACCAGACCCCAGACATACCACCCTCAAAAACGCAGCACGCATTGAAGCCACGCAAAACTCATTCTACGTCATTTCCGAACACCAGGGTCCTGATCGCAAGGACTTGCAACCGGCGCGCCCACCGCCTCACTCACCATCTCTCCACCACGCGACGCCATGCGCTCCTGCCCAGCCTCAACTCCACAAAAATAGGATCCTACCGGCTCTCGCTTCCCGTTCCCCGCAAAAGAAAAACCACATGCCGCTAACTCCGTTACCTCACTGAATTCCTGTCCAACCCAGTCCGCCACCACCCCATCCACTCCCTCTACCTCTCCACATCTACCCACTCCACCACCCTCCTGAGTCTCTAACTAACACGATTCCCTTAGGCCTTTCGCTCTCCACCCGCATCCGCCTCCTCCCCCCGACCGACGCGCGGCGCGGCACAATCCGCTTCATCGGCCCCGTGCCCGAGCTGCCGGGCCTCGGGCCGTGGATCGGCGTCGCGCTGGACGAGCCGACGGGCAAGAACGATGGCAGCGTCAAGGGGGTGCGGTACTTCGAGACGGGAAAGAACCGGGGCGCGTTTGTGCGGCCGGAGCGGTGCGAGCCGGGGGAGTGGGAGGAGTTGGGGGTGGAGGGAGAGGACGAGGAGATGTAGGTAGGTTTAAGGGAGGAAGAAAAGCGGGGGAGGGGTGGGAGGGAGAAGATTGATGAGAAGGGGTTGTGCTGTGGTTAGGGGAACGGGTGGTAAAAAAAAAAAGATAGATGCCAATGAACAGATTCAATCTACTCAAACTCTTGAAGAATGCCGTGGTGTGATGTGATGTGATGATGAGGCTTATGCAATTCTACTCCCTACTAAGTCTACAACTTCCTAACGAGAAGGAAAAGATAACGCAAAACGTAGCGCCTCGCTGAATGCAGTGGGACCGGGGGTATAATGACAAAAACAACAAAGCTTAGCAAAACAATAAACGGCGTACAAACGATTCCTCCGGGAGCGAGCTATATGTCCAAGAATGCGTGTCTGACAGTTACACTAAAGGCTGCGTGCTATATTAAGACGATTGCTATTCCTTCCTCCCCTATGCGTAGATGTGTGTTGTATGATACGGTAAGATCATGTACTGGGATATCACTACCTCCGGGCCTGTGTACGTGACAGAGTTTAGCAACCTGACTGGTAGGAGCATCGTTATATGGGAGGGTTTATGCTTACAGAACTCCCCAGCCCGCCCACCACGGCCCTCTGCCGTCCAAGCCAGCTCTTGGGCGCCTCGCTGCGCCGCTGTAGCACGACCGTGTTGCTCTGCAGCCGCGTCGTCATGTCGTACCACGCCGTGGTGATGAGCTTGTTTTCGCGGCGGAGGTTGTCGACTTCCTGCTGGAGTGACTCCTGTGAAGCTATTAGAATATGTGACAGGATCGATGAGGGGAAATGAGAGGATGGGAGTAGGGCCAGGGACAAAGTGCTTGATTGAAGGAGACTCACAGATATTTGGCCGCCTCCTTCTCGCTGGGCTTTTTCGAGTTCGAGCTTCATGGCGTCCATGGTTGACTTTTGGGTCTGTATCTCCTATGTTTTGTTAGCAGATATCCCGAGTTACTGCGAAGTCGCTGACGGGTCCAGAGTGATGTGTCGTGGAAAGTGGGAAAGACGAAACATGGTGGAGATTGCGAAAGCGGCAGAAGCGTGCAGGGGAGTGTCGAACAGTCCCATTGAAGGGGACTAACATCTCTTCGGCGCTCTCCTGAAGGACCCAAACCATCTGCCCCACATATTTGGCGGAGGATGATGAGATAGCTCAACCGGAGAGAGCTCGTTGGGAGAAAGCGTGACCGAGACGTTCACGTTGAGTTTCGTGGGCGACGTTGTCCGAAAAAGAAGAACAGTATCCTCCTTAATAGGAGAAAGAGGGACTTGAAAGGTAGATTGGAAGGTTGAGAGGAGAGTAGAGTCTGATGGACTAGGATCATTCGCCTCCAGGAGAATTTTGCTTACTTTCTTTGCGGCATCGAGGGCTGCCTGCCCGCTTTGAAGGCGGTCCGTGATATCCATCGCGGTCGACTCCAAGCTCTTGGCCTTTTCTTCGGGCGACGCGTGGAGGACAGACTCGATCTGCTCTCGAATCTGTTTCAGCAGCTCCGCAGATCGCAATTGGCGAAGCTCTTCGGGTAGATTGTCGTACTCAAGCAGCGCTGTGCGGAGAAGCCCAGTCTTCTCATCCAGACTGCCTTGGATATTCTTGCTGTGCTTCTGTAAATTCTCGAATGATTTCAGGAGACGCTCGTTATTCAGTCGAAGCGCTTGGAATTCAGGGCCCTCAGTATCAGTGCTAGTACAGCCTGTTGGACAGATGGTCAGTCGGGTCAACTTGATCAAGTAAGAGCTATATTTACCTTTCGCGAGTTCGTTTCGGAGCTCGGCATTCTCTAACTCCTTTTCCCGGAACTGTCGCTGCAGCTCCTGAAGTCCTGTTTCAGTAGCTGTGAGCTTTTCATTCTGTTCGAGGAAGGGTCTAAGTTTGTCAATAAGGTTTCATTTGAGGTTTGTTTTCGACTGGGGGTTATACCGTTCGCTCTCCTCGCTCTTGATACCATGCTTCAAGTCTGATTTCAAACCAAGATTCTCTTGAAGCATGTCCAGGTACTGCTTTTCGATAGACTTCAATCGATTGGAAAGAAGATCCACCTTCTGATGGAGCATAATGGTCTCCGAAATAACGATGTTGTCAGTCGCCGTTTTCGGTGTCTCGTCCATGATTTCCGTGCTGTCGTCTACATTAAGTTCGTCCTCGAGGCTGCCACCTCGGCCATTGTGATTGCTGGATTCTAATTCACGGACTTTGTCCTCTAGCTCTTTACGGAAGTCTTCCGCCCTGGCTTGCAGGTCCCTAGCTTGGTCGAGTTGTTTCAGAAGGACCTGATTTTCATGCTCCACACGAGTCCGACGGCTCTTCTCCTCGAAAAGTGATTGCTCGCCGTTCTCAATAGTGGTTTGGTTTTCCTTATTCACTTTCTCGAGGGCATTACACCGCTCTTTGAACGGCCGAAGCTCGTCCAGTTCTTCGCGAGTTTGTTGTAGATCCAGCCTCGTGGCCTCGCTTGCTTTTGCTGCTTCGTTCATTGCGCGGATCTTCTTGTGCAAGTTCTCATTTGCTTTGGCCTTCTGAGAGAGCTCATCTCGCTCCGATTTGACCAGCTGTAGTTCGTCTCGCAAGTCTTGCTTAGTATCTGCATCAGTTTTTAATCGTTCGAGTTGCCTTTCCTGATTAGCGACCAACGCTTTCTGGTCGGCAAGCTCGCCTTCCAGTTCAGCAATATGCTGTCTGTCCCGCAACGCCTCTGATCGAAAGCGCTCAAGGTCATCATTATCTGACTGTTTCCGAACTCCCCGATCGAGCATCAAGTTCGATTCCACGAGTTCTTCTTCGAGGGTCGAAATCCTTGTTCGCGACGTTTCTAAGTCGGACGTCAAGATGGTTATCTTGGAGGTAAGTTGCTTGATCTCTCGATTGGCCTGGATTAGTTCGGCCTCTCGCTCGAGATCAGGATCTCGTTCCACTGATGATAATCGCGGGGGTGGTCCAGGGTCAGAAATATCAGGTTCGGAGGTCAATTCCTGATCTACTCCGAGGTCCGCCATGCTTTGATCCCAACTCTCCATATCCTGTATCGCAGTGGCGATAGTACCTGCGGTTTGTTGGCCTAGGCTGCTCACGACCTGAATCATACGCTGGTTGGAATTGGAGGAGTAAAAGGCGACAAGCAGCACAGACATCGCCAGCTAGAGAAAGTGAGCTCCTGTTCTGAAGATAGTAGACATAAGTGCATGCATACCTTTGCTGTGAGCTTAGGAGAGCCTTCTTGTGCCACCAATTTCAAGTCAGGGGTCATTTTCTTGCTCAACACTGGCAGCTTGCCGCATTCATCTCTGATATATGTGGTGACCGCCCGGTCGATGTGCTTTACTACGCCAGCATCAGCTTTCGTCCTCCCAATTATTATAGAGAAATTATATCATACGATTCTGCCATCGTGGTATCCAATTCTCAGTGCTCTTGCGATCTGTCTCCGGAAGCTCGCTGTGGAAGTATTCGGGGTCGACGTCGGCGAGTATCTGCCAGAGTATTTGACCATCTTCGAGTTGGCTCCATTGCGTGACCTTCTGGGGAAGGCCGAATGTATTCACCTGTGAAGTCAGCCGTGGGGCTCGGGGTGAAAGAGGACGAAACTCACCCATTCCAGGAGGGCCTTCAACAGCTCGGGCTTGAAATCGTCCATGGTCTCAGGCGCGTGTTGTTTCTCGTGCAGAAACGGTGGTGATGTGGTGCTCGCGTCGATGCTCCAGAATGACGGCTCCTATGCATATTGAGCAGGTGCAGACAGCATTAGTGAAATAAATGGTACGACGCCTCGGGGGTGAATGGTCAACGCGGAGCTCGAGTCTCGGCGGAGTCAGTGACGCTAGTGATCCCAGCACGGCTTCGAGAAGGCGGGACACAGCGGCAAGTAGTGCGTCTGCGGGGGTCTCGATGATAAATGCAGGTAGGAGGTAGCGTGCAAGATGCAGCGAGGAATCCAGCAAATGTGTGTTGGTGGTGTCGCATGAGGGCGGGTTCTTCTGACACATTTTATTTCGGAGACGTTTCGAGATGAGCATTCGCCGGGGCCAACCTGGCTTGCTCATGCACATCATGGGCTTGAAGCTATACATGTGCCATGGAGATTCATAGCCCTAGGCAATTTGTTTGATAATCGGAATCGCATTGTCATAGCCATAACTACATTCGTGAATTCAACTCCATGCCATTGTCGGTTTCCATGCAACCGCTTTATCCTAACACCGATTTGTTCCCCAACAAAAGAGTCCTCGAAGAACGCCTTTAACACCGCTGAATCCGGACCATTTGCATATACACGTCGGAGGGCTGAAGATCCTGTTGCCGTAGAGAATTGCGACCGACCAAGCGCCTACTCCTTTCCTCCGCCGAATGTCGTGACAACGGAGTCTTCTTCGACCAGCGCGTTGTACTCGTTGCCCCAGGCCTGCACATTCTCCAGAACAGCGGTGGGCGCGTTGCAGGAAAAGGCTCTTTGGGTCTGTGTTAATACTTCAACAGGCATGCGATCGCGGATTGATGGACTTACTTGATGATGTCTACGATCTTGTTAGCACGATGAATGATATAGAGGACCGCACAGACTTACTATATTCATGAGTGATGATTCCGCCGGCTTCCACAATAGCAGACTTTGCCTTGTCTAGGACTGAGTTCGGTGTGCTGTCCGGATAGCTAACAATGACGGACTTGAGAGGGGCTCTGGCCATAGCAACGGCGGCGAGGAGCGCGAAGAGGAACGAGAAGATGGCGAATCTCATGGTAGCGGTTGGTTTGGTGGTAGGGTTGGATGTGTGCGATGAGGTTGAAGAGGTGGTTGTTGGTGAAGGAATGCCGGTGGCATGTTCTGGCTAATAGAAAAGGTCTGGACGCCTGCGTCATTCTTGACGATCACGTGTGCCACCTGGGTATCTTTCACTGCTTATGTAAGGTCCCTATTGAGAGTTAGTTAACTAACTAGCGCCGCATGAACAACAATGGAATTGCTTGGCAAGCAGGTGCCCGAGACTTAACTTCACTTGTCTCAGCTCTGACCTTTAAAGACCGACAACCTCACATCACCACCGACACACAACCGCTTCTGTAACCAAGACTCCCAGGAACCTCATTTCGCTTACATACCACACCCCAGAACCTACTTCTTTCTTCCCACCCCCGCCATCCACGAGCCGCACGCGCCGCCGGGCTTACCGTTTGCTCTTGTGCCTTGCCGTCGGGTCTGAGAGACCTGCGATACTCCCCGGAACGCAAGTCCTTCTGCGCTTGGTACTGCGCAAGTGGTGGGTCTTATATTGGGCTGTTGAGGTGGCGGCAGAGTAGAGGGACAGGTTCATCACAGCTTGGTGACTCTTTGCAGGATCCGCTGGAGTTCTTGCATGGTGGATTATAGCTAGCAACGATACATACAGCTTTTCATCCCTGTGTGCGAGAGGAAGAAGTTGAATTACATTCGCCTGACATTGGGGTCAGCTTGCGCAGGATCCGGTCTCCAGTCATCCGACACCGCAGCTTTCACATACTTCAGCCCAACTGCCTTCATAGCAAGCCCCGAAGCACTAACTCCTGTGTTTTGCATTGAAGTAGCCTCCAACCCAGTTGCCCACCATGTCTTTACCATCCGCTGAAGTTGCTGCCGACTTCAAAGACGCTCTGCAAGATCTGAAGATCAACAGCAGACCTGAAATTAGCAATCTAACCATCATCGCGAAAGAGAATACAGAGCATGCGCAGGCGATATCCCGAGAACTAGAAAACCACATCCAGACGGTAAGACAAGTCATTGGTTCCCTCGAACTTTCAATCACAATTGCTCTTTTTTTTTCTACCGTACGAGAGGCTAATTTATTCAGACTCGACCGGAGTGGAAGCTTCCAGCTCTCTACGTCCTCGACTCCATCGTCAAGAATGTTGGGACGCCATACACACTTTTCCTTGGCCGGAACCTCTACAGGACGTTCATGAACGCATACGCGCTCGTAGAAGGGTCCACCCGCAAGGCCATGGAAGGTCTACTGAAGACATGGAAGCAACCTGTTCCGGAATCCGTGGATCCCCGGCCGGTATTCTCCGCTGAGGTTACTCGAGACATCGAGAGCGCCTTGATCAAGTACCGGACCGTTGCAATCCAGCAGCAGGCTATCTCTCAGAAGCAGTACCTACAGCACGCGATCCCTCCTCGACCACCGTTGCCCGCTGTACCTTGGCGCAATACGCCCTCGCCTTCTCAGACAGCCGCACGCTACACACCGACAAACGACCCACGACGTCAGCAGCTTCCCCTCAGAGATCAGTTCCCTCCAGCACCGACACCCCCACCGAATAACTTCCCACCGCCTCAGCAACAGCGGCCTTTTATTCCTGACAGGGAGCCATCTATAGACCTCAACAAGCTCAACATCGATCTCGGCGTGCTTATCAACTCCACGCAGATGGAGTGGGCCAGCAATCTCTCAGATTCCCACGTTCAGCAGAAATTGAAAGCTTTGCTCGATCTGCAAACGATACTCAAGTCTCAGAAGCTGCCACCAGATCAAATCAGAATGATCCAACAGCAGATTATTCAGCTCAGTCCCGCGCCAGCTCCAACCCCCCCGGTCTCCATCGCACCACCTTCATTTCTCCCTTCGATTCCCCCTCACATACCAGGAGGTGGTTCCTGGGAAACAGGAGGACCGGTAATGGGATATCACCCTCCTCCTCCGGTACGTACACCACAGCCTGCCATTCCACCATCAGGCTTCGATCCCGCCTGGTTGAGCAGCCTCCTGTCATCGAATACCCCTACTTCTTTTGTGTCGGCTCCCCCCAGCTTCCCCCCGCCCGCTCCCCCGCCACAAGCTACTCCGAGTCTCGCCCAACTGCTTCAACAGTATGCCCCACCGCCTGCACCCGCGGCTCCACCTCAGCCAACTCCCGTAGGAAGCGCCGACTGGCTCCTGCAAGCTCTCAATACCCACAATCTGCTACCTGGAACACCACTTGGCAATGGTAACGACGTGGAGCTGACTACCGCATCAATTGCTAAGAAATCTCGACCTAACCTGATATCGAAGCTTTACGAGGCGCTGCCTAATCAGTGTGTGACGTGCGGACGACGGTTCGAGAGTTCACCAAAGGGCAAGGAGATGAAGGCCAGACACATGGACTGGCATTTTAAGGTCAAAGATCCGGACGTCGCCAAGCGAGGAGTCCACCGTGACTGGTACATTGGTGAGAGGGAATGGATCGAGTTTCGAGAAGAAGACGAGGCGGCCCCAGCTCCGGCCTCGAACGGGACGTCAGGTGGTGGGCCGGCGGCTGCGAAGAAGGAAGCGAAGGACCAATATATTCATGTGCCGACCGACGCGGCTCTCGTCGCTGCACCATGTCCCATCTGCCAAGAGAAGTTCGAGCCACAGTGGCTCGTTGAGGCTAACGACTTTGTGTGGATGGACGCAGTCAAGGTCAACGAAAAGATCTATCACGCGACGTGCTGGGAGGAGTACAGCAGAGGTAGCGGACTTGGCGGCGGCCGAGGGACACCGGACTCGATATTGGGCAAGCGGAAGGCTGAGGTGAGCTCCAATGGGCTATACAAGAAAGCCCGCACAGACTTATAGCTCGAAAGGGGACCGAGCACGACATTGCGAGACGACTGGCATGGTAGCATGGAGGGGAATGATTTGATTTTGAGCGCCGTGGCTTTTAATGCATAGCATGGGTTGGGTCATTGTTTTTGCGGATTCTCGTGCGTTCACGGTTTCCTTCAGCCTCTCACTCCTACGACGAGCGAGATGGCTTTGCTTATAGCTATTGGCATAGCAAGACGGAGCTTTTAGCAGCAACACAAACACCCAGAGAAACCGGGAGCTATGTTCCTCAAAGGCGGTCTTGCTGCCTTTTGCAAGATGTGAACGAGGATGTTCAAACAATCAGATAATAGAATTTCAGCTGATAACAAGGTTCCCAGGTGCAACTCAAAGTGCCGTGAACATGAGATGACTGACAGGGATCTGTTCCCCAGGTGCGTCCCACATGGAGTGAACGAGGTGTTCGTTCAGCGCTCACCGCGTGGTGCTTGCCGCCCCGTCTTTCGAGGCTGTCTCAAGCCTGCATTTTTATCCGTCCGTCCTCGTCGTCCACGCACCAGGCGGCCGCAGGGCCCTCCATCGGCAACCGACCTCGGCGTCTGGGGGTCTTTTCCGTGGTCGGCGCCACGAGTGCTCGGTCTGACGGGAACTTTGGTCCTGGGCTTGGCCTGTGCCGAAAGTAGCTTTCCAACATCACCTCGAGCTGCCGTCTGTCCCCACGCCTTCTCCTCCATCCGCGCAATTGTGTTCTTCGCCATCTCTCCCCTCCGGCGCGTTCCTCACTCCCTCGTAGTATTCTCAACGTCCCTCACGCTCCTGCGCAATGGCTCCGCTCCAGGACCAGGTCGTCGATGACCTCAAAAACTTGGTCCACCGGCTGGAATCGCGGGTGGCAGAACTTGAGGCCAAGCTCACGGGCGGCGAAGGCGGCTCGTCGTCAGCAAGCGGCGGAGTGCGCATGATTCTGATGGGCCCGCCAGGTGCAGGTATGCTCTCCCGATGCCGCTGGCCCCGCTGGCTTTGTTGTTGCACGCTGACAGGATGCGACAGGCAAGGGCACACAAGCTCCGAAGATCAAGGAAAAATACTGCGTCTGCCATCTCGTACGCTATCCCTCGCGCTTTATACACTGTGACCGCACACTTACCGATGGCTGTAGGCTACGGGAGACATGTTGAGGGCACAGGTCACGAAGAAGACACCATTGGGCCGGGAAGCCAAGAAGATCATGGACGCCGGCGGGCTCGTGAGCGACGAGATCATGATTGGCATGATTAAGAACGAGCTAGATACCAACGTCGAGTGCAAGAACGGGTGAGACTCGATGGCAAAACTTGAATGTTCAGTGGATAGGAGCTAATTTCCCTCTAGCTTCATTCTTGACGGCTTCCCCCGAACTGTAGCCCAAGCCGAGCGGTTAGACGACATGCTTGAGGAGAAGAAGCAGAAGCTCATGCACGCTGTCGAGCTCCAGATTGACGATGGCCTGTTGGTCTCGCGGATAACGGGCCGTCTGATCCACCCAGCCTCGGGCCGCAGCTACCACAAGATCTTCAACCCGCCAAAGGAGGCGATGAAGGATGACGCCACAGGCGAGCCATTAATTCAGCGATCGGACGACAATGCGGAAACCCTCAAGAAGCGCCTTGCTACATACCACCAGCAGACGTCGCCCGTGGTAGCATACTACCAGAAGACGGGTATCTGGAAGCCAATTGATGCCAGCCAAGAGCCAGGCCAAGTCTGGAAAAGCCTCCTCACGATCTTTGATGGCGACAAGCCCACAATAGCAGGCAAGACTGGAAGCCTCTTTAACAAGCTGGGTCTCAAGAACTAGGTCATTATGTAAAGAGTGGGGTGAGCGGCGAGATGGTGTGGATCTAGGAGCTTGTATCAAGGTGGGCGGTTGGGTGCATTGCCTTTTAGTAGCGCATATCCAGGATGGGCCGAGCAAAAGTTCTATCTATCTCGAACCGCGCCTTGGTCAAAGGGGGTGCACATAGGTAATGATACGCGTCCTGTACTTGTAAAATGAATGGGCTGGCATTTGGGTCTCCTAGTGTAACTTTCTCTTCGGTGTCATTTTCGTCTAGAGATGCGACAAAGAAAACATGATGATGCCCGTGCTGGAGGCAGCTTGACTTGAAGAAGCCTATCTAGTTTCACCGCGGGAATGGTAGTTTGTTCCTTCCTCCATGTTTATTTCTAGCACGTGACCTAGTATTTCCCCACGTCAACTCGCACATTCCCTCCGCCTTTCTCTTGACACGCCGCTTAAGAGTCTTCGTTGCTTGATCGCGTGTCGCCAGCTTCCACTTCTTAGCGTCCGTTGCCATGGCCGCTGCGGTTCGTCTGCCTGGCCAAACCAACCACAAGTCCGTCGGCCTCGGCATTACCTCTTCTCCCACTCCAAAGGTGATTCTAACCACCTCTCTTACCGCACGCCACTCATCAAACTCTAGGCGCGCCCCCTTCAGGCCATCCACAATCGATCGATCCCTCGCGATCCTCGTGGTTACGTCAGCCCCGGTCAAGAGTAAGGCTCCTCTCTCTGTGCGCTGCCTCCTCATGCGCCTCTCCACGTTAGTCTGCCATTGTTTGAAGTATGTCGATGAATGGTCAAGAACATGGACAAAACGTGCCAACCTTTGGACTAGCGGCTACCTCTGGCGCACCAAACCTCAAGCAAGCAGAGACTTGTGTCCTACGTCTCCATCACATCCTGTACGCCAGACCTTGAGCTTACCCACACATAGCAGGCGTCTCGATCGCCGAAACCGCCGCTCTAGCATCCCCATTCGGACCTCTACACCACACAAACCCAAATCTACACTGCCACGAACAATGGTCACGCCAGCAACTCCCGAACTCGTCAAGCGGTCACCCACTCCCTCGAACCAATTCAGGCTTCCACCCACCCCACCTCCAAAAGACGACATGCTGTCCACCAACTCAGTAAAGAGCACCATCCGTCACGTTCCCTCCACCGACTCCTTCCACACCAGCATCACCCGCGCCTTCGACGAAGTCGACGGCACCTTCCCTAGCGATCCTAACACCGGCGCCACCACGAACCGCAACCTCTCCCCACACCGCAATGCCTCTCTCTCTTCCATCCGTCCTGTCAGCGCCTTGAGCCCCAACGACTCTGACTACAACTACAAGTACCCCGAGGCCAAGGCGCTGCCGCCAACCCACATGCCAAAGTCGTGGAACGCGCAGCACGACCGCTTCATTTGCGTGGCCGATGCCAAGGGTGAGCAGCTCGGCGACATTGCGCAGGCGCTGCGTGTCAAGTTTCCGGAGATCGGCGCACCAGTCAGTATGGGACTAGTAGATAAGCGGCTGAGGATGCTAGATATGCGGTATGAGGGGTACTGGAAGGAAGGGCTGGGGATGGCAGAAGAGGGGGAGAGTGGGTGTGAGTCCGGGGTGGGTAGTGTGGCGGCTAGCTTAGGTGATGCGATTGAAGGGAAGGGGAAGGATAAGGCTTCGGAGGATAGGAGCGGTAGCCGTGGCAGTGAGGGAAAGCGGAGGAGTTCGGGGCTGCCTGTTCCTGTTGGTTCGAAGGTTATGAGGAAGAGTCTTCCCCCACGAGCGTCGTTGTCTTATGACCGGAAGAAGTGAGGATCGGATGGGTCTATCTGGTACGAGATGGTTGAGACTACCTGAAATGGCCCAGTGAAGTGGCTGAAATGTCAGAAAACCAACAGCGGGGGTTCCTTATCTGGGAGTTTACGGCGTCAATGATATCTTCGGCCTAATGGACGATACGGGGTTGGCAAAAGCTTGACCTGTCCAAGGGTCACATTGGGCAAAATGGTATTGCTCATGTGGCAGCATGGGTGTTTCATACTTTTTCTTCTGATTGTTCATAGAGAAATTGAAGTTTATTAAAGCGAAACCCCTTTGCGACTGCAAGTGAAGAGGTTTTGGATGAACGGGCATGCTGTTTACCATGCCATCATCTGTGATTCTCGAATGCATTTTTAGAACCTACTTGTAAGATAAGCCCATTGTCAATTTACTTGCTTCAATATCCGAAAAAGGGGAGGACGTCTCAAAACCCGAACTATGGACGTACTCCGAGCAGCGCTCAGTCTTTTCGTGAGGCATTAGTACGCTGTTGAATCTTTAAAAACCATTACGTCGCCAAAGCCCTGTCGCTAGATCTATGCGCGCAAAAACGACTTACAATGCCATCGAAGTTCCTCAGTTCTGAGATATAAATTTGAGAACGACGTTGTACATAACTCTTTTCAGCCTATCAGAGCTCGGTTTCTGATGGTGCCAAGCACGCTAAGATCCGATCGACTTGCTGCAACCCTTGGACCAACCCTCCTCCCTTTCATTTTATCAAACACAACCACAACTCAACCCTGCGAGACGGACACGCCTATTCTTCGCGTCTTTCACACTCCTTGGATTGTCTCTTCTTTCTCTTATCTCGCTCTCGTCTTGATCCTTACGGCACGTGGAGGTGTCTGCGGCCTCTCGTGTTGCTCTCAACAGAGGTCAAGCCGCGAACCCAAACAAAATAACAGAAGCAACGTACTATGGCCCCGAGTCCTAACTGAACACTCTGCGAAACGATTGCTATCACGGAAACGTTCTATTAGCGCGATTTTGAGCGATTTCTTTTCACTATTATCACCTCACTTATCTTGCACATTCCGCCGAGAGTCAGTACCTAGCTCGACGGACACATCCTCTTCCCTACCATAGCCCAATACACGCATGCTCTGTAACATGGGTTGCTATTGATGCTGTAAGTGGGCTATTTAGCTTTGTACTGTGTGCACGTCATTTTCGTTCGATGGCTCTCCTGCTTTCCAACTACTTCACTTTGTCAAGGTGGTTTTGTGGTCCATGTTCCATCATCTTCTTCAATGTCGCTACTACAGCCAAACTAAGACGGTTCGTACATTTGTTCGACCAATTGGTCATAAGTCCAAGCTCCTTGTATAGTCGAACCGCACCACCATACAGCTGTTCCAGTACATTCAGCACGCTTGTTCGTTTTTTTTCCAAACGAGAACTTGAAGCTAACCGACTGTAAGCTATTAGCTGGTTCTGACTCCTGATTGAAGTGGCTATAAGCCCGTCGGGGCTTCTGCTCTGTCTCGATGGACGACCCAGACTTCCTCATGGGTGATGACACCGTCATAGGGTCGACCGAGTTGAACGGCGATACTCAGACCGTTGACCCTTCCATGCTTGCCATGGATGCTTCTACGCATGAACTATCGCCCAGAAAAGAAGAACTGCCGATTCTTTCGTACCAAAATCTCGCGACAGCATCGTCTCCGCCCAATATGCTTGCAGATCACGAGTTGGCTCAGCAAGATGATCCCATGTATCGTATGGATTCGTCCTCGTCGCCTAATGAGGCGACCAGCGAAGAATCGCGAGAAGCTACCGCGCCAATGGAAGTTCAAGTGCTTGTCAATGCCCCGCCGCCACCGCGATCCTCCGCTTTGCCACGATCAACTCTTCGGTCGGGTCTAGTCTTTGATGCTCGCATGAAGTTACACATGGAACCAGAATCAAATGATCATCCCGAGAAGCCCAAGCGAATCCAAGCCATCTGGGACACTCTATACAGGGCTGGCCTGGTGCAGCAATGGGAAGACATGGTTGAGGACCCAGACAAGCTCTGGAATATTGAAGCTAGACATGCTGAAAAAGGGGAGGTAACTATGGTGCATTCTAAGGAACACTGGAAGTTTGTCAGAAGCTTACCAGGTAAGCGATGAACTTCTTGCAAATGTATACGAAGTACTAACAAAGGTACAGGCAGAGAGCTGAAGGAGTTGACAGAAATGGGTTCGGAGCGTGACTCCATATATTTCAATGCACAGACCCCTGACTCCGCCACTATCGCCGCTGGTGGCGCTATCGAAGCGTGCAAATTAGTTGCTCTCGATAAACTCAAGAATGCAATTGCGTTGATTCGGCCTCCAGGTCATCACGCAGAGCGAGCTGAACCATCGGGCTTCTGCATCTTCAACAACGTTGCTATCGCTGCCAAAGTGTGCCAGGCGCAACTTCCTGAGATATGCCGCAAGGTAATGGTTCTGGACTGGGACGTTCATCATGGCAATGGCATTCAGCATGCCTTCTACAACAATCCAAATGTCCTTTACATATCGTTGCATGTCTACAAGAACGGCACGTTCTACCCCAATGGACCGGATGGTGATCACCTTCATTGCGGAGAGGGCCCTGGCGAAGGCAAGAACGTGAATATCCCTTGGATCGACCACGGCATGGGCGACTATGATTACCTCTACGCATTTGAAGAAATCGTCATACCGATAGCCAGAGAATTCAATCCAGACTTAGTTATAGTGGCTGCTGGGTTTGACGCGGCAGAGGGGGATGAGCTCGGGGGTTGCCACGTATCCCCGCCCGGATACGCGCATATGACGCACAAATTGATGGAGTTAGCACAGGGCAGACTAGCCGTGTGCCTAGAGGGTGGTTACAACCTCGATTCAATCTCGAAATCTGCTTTGGCAGTGACGAAAACTCTTATGGGAGAACCGCCAGATCGCCTTCCTGGACAGGACGCGGATGCACTTGATTCAAAAGTATCCAAGCTGGGCGCCGCCACTGTGGAACTGGTCAAGAAACAGCAAGCAAAATGGTGGCATTGCATGCGTCAAAAGCAACCACCTGGACCAAGACTAACCCCACAGAGTGTCCAAATGCACGACCTTGTCAAATCATGGCGAAACATGTTGTTTGACAGGGATTATGGTATGCAAACAATGACCATTGATCGGAACGTCCTCCACGAGTGTTTCGAAGACAACGTGCTAGTCTCGTAAGTACTCCATGGATTCCCCTTAGGAGGATTGCGCAATGCGGTTGTTAATTTGGCTCAGGGACAACTTCTTTGAGGCAGGCTCAAGGCCTCTCTTAGTCATTTTCCACGATCCACCAGACTACGATGTCGTCAACGACCCAACGAATGAAATTCTCCAAAATGAACTGCACAATTCTTGGCTGGTAAGTCACTAGTGCAGAGATGTGCTGATAATCCCGCTGACGATGAACTATAAGACTGATGGTACTAAGACATATGTCGACTGGGCCTATAATCACGACTTCGCTATTGTCGACATCAACATCCCAAAGGTAATGGAAGATTGGCCGGTAGGTTCACCGCTTCTTGGATTGTCATGTAGACGCTGACTTTTGTATAGGAACCTGGTGATACTAGTGAGAGGGCTCGCTCTGTGCTTCGAGAAGATAGGGGCGACTATCAACCAGCTCGGCCGCTAGAGGACCGAGTGATCGCGACACGTGAGATCGCTAAGTACATGTGGGAGAACTTTATCGAGTATGAAGTACCCTCCGATTTTGAAGAAGTGATACTGACAGACAATTAGGATAGGAGATTTTAGTGATGTCTTCCTGATGGGAGTGGGAGATGCGTCGTCGGGGCTGGTCGAGTTCCTTGGTGCCCAAGGTAAAGCCTCTTACACCAACTAGTATGCAGCTAAAAATAGCTAACACGAGGACGTACAGAATCAGTCAACGCAGACGAGAGTCCCCTCCGTCACATCTTCACCTTTCTAGCCGAAAGCCCTCTCCGCTCCATCAAACGAGCAACAGACGACTACATCGGCATATGGTACTACCAAGTGAGTCCCAACCACCCAAACCCTCCCAGCACAACCTCCATTAACCTTAACTCCCCAGCACTCCCACGTCTACATCAACCACCAGCACCACGTCTGGCAATACCAACGCCTCCGCAAACTGCGCAAGAAGTACGGCAAGACGATCCAATCCGAGTACGAGACCATCGGCCAGATGCTCGAGGAGGCCAAAGACAACGTCATCCGGATTCTGCTCGAGGAAACGGAGGACTGGCGCGCAGAGCATGCAGAGCAGAAGCAGAAGTTGAAGTCAGCGCCGTCAGCGCTGAAGCTGGAGGAGCGGGACATGCGGGCGAGCAGCGCGCCGAACGCGCTGAGGAGCCCTAGCGGGATGCCGCCGATCGGGATGTTCTCAGTGACGAGCCCGAGCCCGAGGAGTCCGGCGAAGAGGTCGTGAGGGGTGTTGTGGCTTCAGCTTATGGGTGCAAGACGAATGCACATCAGCGAGTTGGCGAGATGGTGCTGCATTGCTTGAGCGTCTAGGAGATCAGTTGGGTGCCACTATCGCTGGACAGGCTGACGATGGTGCTGTGCTTAGCGGGTGAGCTCTCGATGGGGCCGACAACCTGTTCTTACCTATCCTTATCTTTTTCACACTAGGTATTCGTGGGTAGAAATACCTACCATGGAGAAGCTGAATGCTTCCTTTTCTGATTGGACTACGTGTGCTTCTTCTTTTTGATGTGCGTGCACTTGTTCTCAATGTGTGTGCACTTCTGCTGTTTGATGGAGGCCCATTTCCTCTTTTCGATGTGGATGATGCGTACCTTTGAACCTACCCGAGACATTGCTGAGAAGTTGACTACGGTAAGGCAGTCTTATAGGAGAGGAGCGATGTGGCAGTGATGGGAGGCGCAGTAGATTGCGTAACGGCTGCGGTTATTTGATGTGGTGATGGATGTATGCTTGTATGCGGTGCCCAGACTTGGTAAGACAGGCTAAGAGGTGGTGGTGAGACTGCTGACAGCACAGCGCATACGTACTTCCGCGCCACTGAAGCATGAAGGTTGTATGGCCTTTATACGTTTGCGGTGGTAGAATATCAATAGTGGCAAGTGTGCAAGAGACGTAGAGCGGTAGATTGCTAGAGTGTTTCTGTGGTGGAGTTGTCGAGTACGGTTACCCTTGTAATAGGGCGTAAGGCAGACTGGAGGAACTCGAGGAAGCTCGTCGTGGCTTGGGAGTAGATGAGTATATATGTGTGTACCAGGATATGTCTTCCAAATACCAACCCAAATACTCAAGCTTCCAAATCCTCAAAACCCCACTTCCTCGCAAAAATAGATATAAGCAACACTCCAGCTTCCCTAAAGCAGCTAGCCCCTCCCCACAACCCGTCCGGCCGCATCTGTGCCTCTCCCTCGCAGCAAACCTCAACTCCCATCCATCCAACCACTAACAGCGCCCTCCCACATGCAACCAACACAAACTCCTGCAGCCTCGCGTCGTGGGTCGCGAGAGATAGGCGTTTTCGCTCCTTCGCGCCGCACAGATCGCCCGCGCCGCCCTCCCGCACGCAGCGTGCCGCAATAGAAGGCGTTTCTTGGCCCGGGGGGTTGCCCGTCAGCATTACGAGGGACGGATGTGTCCACCATTTCGAGATCTGGTTGCCCTGCCTGGGCTGAGACGAAGTAGTCTCTTTGCTTTTCTATTTTCAGCCCTATTCGTAGGGAGTTCTAGCCTCGGACATGACGTCCTATATGCGGCGTTTTGCCAAGCCGTCAGCCCAAGCCTGCAACCGCACACGGAGCGGAGCTGGGGTGTGCAGGATTATATGCGAGGTGAGTGGTGGGTAGAATGGAGGTGGAGGGCTATGGTGCGTGGAACTCGGGCTGACAGCGATACACGCCCAGCAATGGTGGTGCAAGGGTGTTGATGACCTTAATAGATGAATTTAGGATCCCCGCTCTGCCTTGCTGCGTTTGCGCTTTCTCACTCTTCTCTCTCTCTGCTTACTTTGGGCTGTTTCTTCGGTTGCGCTGCCTTATCTGTCGCTGTTTCTGGTGTTTGAGAGTTCGCGTTGCACGTATTTGATACCCAGAGTGTGGTCTCCATTCGACAATGGGCGGATTCACCCGCCACAGGGCGCCGATGGCGTTGCTGCTGCTCATACTGGCGCCAAGAGTGATTTCGGCACAGAGCAGCGATGTTGCGACGTTTTTTTTCCCGACGCCTACGGGAACGGCGAGCCCATCGTCGACGGCGAGTAGTGAGCCGAAGGTGATCGATGTTACGGTCAACAAGGGGAGCACGCATCGGTTCGATCCAGAAGATATCCAGGCAAATGTTGGGGATGTGATTTCCTTCCATTTTTATCCGACGAATCACTCGGTTGTGAAGGCGGAGTATGGATGTGAGTATTGTGGATGGAGGCAAGTGGAACGGGGGATTGATTGCTGATTGAAGGCAGATCCTTGTGTGCCGTATGACTACGTAGAACCTGTGTCGAAGGATATGTTTTTCTCTGGGAATCGGCCGATGCAGGCGGCGGATCCGGTATGCTTCTGATACACATAACTGATAGGCTTTTGCTGAACGTTGATCATAGGTCCAAGTATGGAACCTTACTTTGAACTCGACCGCGCCGGTCTTTTTCTACTGCTCTGCGCTGGAGTCGTGTAATAAGCAAGGCATGCTTGGGGTTATCAACTCGGTAAGATGCCAACGTTGAACTCTCTCCGCCGGAATAGTAGCTCATGTGAATACAGAATAAAACAATGACTCTAGATCATCAGAGACAGCTAGCACTGGAGCCGGACACCGTCCAACTGAGCCCCGGCGACCCAATTCCAGCAGAAGCCTCAGCCACAATTGTACACTCTACACCCACAGCTGCTCCCACAAGTGCCACCAGCGCACCAGCACCGCTTCAAACAGCAGAGCCCTCCGACCACCACCATAGTGGACTATCAGGCGGCGCCATTGCCGGAATCGCCGTGGCAGCCGTGGCCGCAATACTAATATGCGGCCTCCTATTTTTCTACATGGGCCGCACGAAATCCCTAAAGGACGTCCTGAAGCGGAATTCCGCCACTATCCCGATGAGCAATGCACCGCAGGACCCGAACTTCCCTGGATATGGATACATGCCGCAGCAGCAGCACGACTACAGGCAGAGCAACCTCCCGCCGTATGGAAGCCCGTATACTGGGCCGCCTTCTGAAGCTCCGGGGAGTCCGGGGTTCACTGCGGCTGAGTATGAACGGCGGGAGATGGCTTCGCCGACGCCTGAGTAAGTTGATTCGATAATGGCGAACGTGATGGAAATGTGGCTGACGTTGAATAGAGAACAAGCTCACAAGGCCGCATTAGCAAGTCATAGAGTCCAACAAGATGGCCCGGCGGAATTGGCGTCGGAGCCGGTTCCTGAGAAACGAGCGGACCCTTGAGATTGATATACCCTTTCGTCCGATCTCTCTTTTGACTTGTTCTACGGCACCGGCGTTGGGGTCACGCATTGACATGGGGAATAAAGGGATCTGAGGAGAGTCGGCTGTGATACCAGAAAAACCCCAGATTTCCTATGGGGATGCGATATTGGTGTGGTGATGGCCTTCTTGGAGCTCATCGTCCACTTGGAGCTCGTCTCCGACTGGAAGATGTTCCACGATTCAAGCTTTCACGGAGGTTGACTTGAGGCTCGAAAGAAAAGGGCGTCAAATCAGGGATCCTCTATTCATGTTTACGTCGATCTTTCTGGTTTCAACCCGGCACCCCCGCGCTGATGAAGCCTGGGCTGCAGGTGTCACGATCGACATGGCATTCACAATGCCACTTACTCTATCAGGACTACCACTGTCGGTGGCCCGTATATATACATAATGCTATAGTGTGTACATTCACAATAACTCCATACTTCTAAGTGATCTGGGCCCCCGCTGCTCGTCCCGAGTCCCGATAGCGTCGGTACAACTCCGACGTCAAGTTACCCTGCTGGTGCTGGCCTCGGGCTCACGATTGCGTTCGGCCAATCCCGTCCCGCAAAAGAGCCCGTGGTCATGAGTCTGGCTCCACGGCATCCCACTCCCTCGACAAACACCGCAAATTCTACCTAGGTACCTCTACGCCCCAGTAGCCTCACCGAGCATGCCCACAGACGCCCGGCGACAACGGCCTCCCATTAGCACCAGCGTGCGCGCACCTCGAGCCGTGGCCTCAATACCGCCATGCTGACTTCGTCGCCGTCGCCTACGCTCTCTGCACCCTCGAGCCCAACCTCTTTCCACCAGCGCTCCTATCATGCTACCTACCGCGCCGCCAACTCGACTCACTCGCCGCGCTTTCCCCCACAGCCAGCGGCCGCTAGACGCCTGCCTCTAGATGCACCCGCCGCCCCAGCCCATTCACCAGCCTTGAGCTTCGCCCGCTCACCTCAACAACCACCACGACGAGAGTACGCCAATGCGAGCACGCAGTACACACCGCCAGGACTTCCGCCGACAGCGAGACCCACGCGTATACGAACAGAACCTGAGCCCTCGCCGTCACTCGGCCTAGGCACGAAGCGGCGGGAAGCCTCTGCAGAGATTATCGCCTCGGGCCCTCCCGAACCCAATCTGCGGGTGAACCCCGAACCTCCCAAGCCGCTGGATGTCGCGCGATCTTCACAAGCAGGAGCAGCAGGCGGGGGGACACAGCAGCGGGCGCAGCAGGTGGCGTCAGCCGCAACAGCGGCGAGCAGTTCAGCGGCTGAAGAGAGCCAGCAGCAGCCGTCGTCGGCGAAGCGGGCGCGGAACATGGACCCCGGCCTGAAGGTCATGCCGCTGAAGTACGAGACGTGCGACGTCAAGGATCTGGGGGTCTTGATTTCAGATATGCTCATGGAGCTCGTGCGGCTCAACGACGGCATCCCGCTGCAGGACGGGCAGCTCACGCGGTTTCACTCCAGGTATGATCGATTTCGGTTTATTAACGGCATGCGGGTGTACTATACGGCTTGGTATTCTAGGTTTGCTCCGCGCGCTGTTCTTCACGCAATTGAGTGGCATTGATTGGGCTGACGCTTGTCGTGTGTGCAGAGCGCCGCCTGGCATATCGGTCCGCGACTACTTAAACCGCCTCATCGTCCATGCGACTCTGCCCCCGCCTATTCTTTTATCTATGGTGTATTACGTGGACAAGTTATGCGCGCTATACCCGGCTTTCACGATTAGCAGTCTCACTGTGCATCGATTTCTTATTACGGCCGCCACCGTGGCAGCGAAAGGTCTCAGCGACAGCTTTTGGACCAATAGCCTCTATGCGCGAGTGGGCGGCGTCAGCGTGCGGGAGCTGGCGCTGCTGGAGCTGGAGTTTCTACGGCGGTTGGACTGGAAGATTGTGCCGAAGCCGGAAGTGCTGGTGGACTACTACAAGGGATTGGTGGAGAGGGGAGAGGGATATACAATGGATAGGGAGCCGGAGCCGGCGCAGCAGGTGCAGGAGACAGCGGCACAAGAGGCGGCCAGCATGCAGAGTGGGTCGTCGAGCAGCGGGGACGTTTTCATGGAACCGACGCCGACGCCAGCGCCAGAGACACGGAACACAAGGTGACGGTGAAGCATAGAAAGGAGGAGGCTAGCACGCGATCAGGTAGGACTATTGCTCAACCTCTCACTCATCCTGTCTCTTGAGTTTCCGCGATCTTGTTCATGCTGGCTTGAGTTGCTGTGCGGTTCGCGGGTCCAGTGTCCTGCCGTGCCCGGACAGGCTTCGACCATGAGTCACCTCGCAACAACGGGATTCCTTGCGCCGTGGCTCCATTCACAGAGGACAGAAATCTCATGACGATGAGTTGTTCAATTCCCATCGACGACGCGATAACGAGCCCCGATGGCCTGCGAGCGCGAAAGCACGCTTTCCAGCTCGTGAAGGCGCAACGGCGTCCAGAGGTAAGAGCTCGTGTGCCTCTGCAAGCCCGTGATAGGCATGCCGGCACGAGGTCGCCGCGGCTCTGGATTCAAACCCAGGTTGCCATCCCTGGACTTGCAGCGGTTACGGATCAGCCCGCCTGCCGGGAAGAGTTCCAATTGGGAGGCCGCTGGGACGCTGATAACATTCTGGGCGATCAGTCGTTTGCGCCGTGCCGCAGTTGTTGATGGTTCTGCGGCAGCGGGCAGGGGAGGTAGAAGTATGGCTGGGAATAATGTACTTGGACAGCGCTACGGCAGAGGTCTTTGTACACGTACGCGGCGCTGCTTGAGGTCGTTCGATGCTTTTCAGAGATTCTACGGGATTGGCAGACCACGCTGGTTGGAGTGGAGTCGGACGTAGCAGGGTTTGGAAGAGGAGAAAAGACAAGTCATTTCTATTGCTGAAGATATATTGTGCAACGCCAAACTGGAACAACAAGGTGCATCGTACTAATGTGCGACACTGCATTGGCGGCGCAGAGGGCAGGCAGCCCTATCTCACGAGAAATCAGAAATTAGGCCGGGCGCTGGGGCAGTTGACAGCGTGCTGGGCGAGCACGCCGCGGTTGGAGGGCGTGGTTGAGTGCTATCGAGGGCTAAAGTGGTTCACTGCTCGCCGTGCTGTCGTGAGGTGATGCGTTGGCCCAATGAGGAGGGTTGCTGCCGGGCCTGCTCCGCTACCACGTCTCTCTGGCAAAGAGTGAGGCTGCCGGGAGGCTAGTGCAGCGGCCATGGTACCATTCCACGCGCCTTCCGCTGGCTTCCTTGCAGAGTGCAGCGCATGCCGAGTGAATGCCCCTCCGGTGCCTCCTGATCCCCGCTGCGATCGAAGAGTGGCCGGGCTCGATGCATGCCATGGCGTTTGCCCACAGCACGCCGCCAAGCCAGCTGCCGGACAACAGCATTTTGAAACACGGCAAACCTAGAGTACATATCCACCTCCACCGCCCTCTCCCGCCCCACAGCTCGCACAGCTCCGCCAGACCATCCCGCCGAGCACGCGCGCACCCGTCCAGCGTCCAGCGTCCAGCGTCCAGCGTCCAGAGCGCCCCTCCCCAGCCTCGGATCCAAGTGCCCGTGTCTCTGCGCCCATACATCTCACCACCCCTCCCGCGACACGCCTGCTCTGTTTTGAGATTGCGGCATAACCGTCTCAGTATCATGAGAGTAAGTCAGGTCTCGCCTACGCACCCCTTCTATTGTCCAAACAGGCCCTCTGCTTCATGTCCGCCGCACCTCCACTCCACCCACTGCCCCATCACCACTTCACCCACTGCCCCACCACCACTTCGTCCGTTCTGCACCACCGCAGAGCCAGCGGGGTGGGCGGCCCGACCCCTCCACTGCTAACATGTCGGACCACAGAAGTTCCGGGTGCTATAGCTACATAGACGATCGTTATGCCAAAGACATGAACAGCGACATTGGCCGGTGGGAGCGGAGTCAACGACACCAGTTTGATGCGTACCAGCCTCAATCTCCTCGGGGATCCTACCGACCGAGTCCGCCGCTGCGCGCCTTCGCTGCTGACTACTTCGCCGCGCCCGATCAACAGTTCAAGCAGGTTTCCCGCACCACCAAAACGAGCCCGGTCATCACGCGCACGCGTGTCGAGCGCCATGCCTCATCACACGAACGACCGACGTCGAGTGGAGGCCGCGGTTCTCTACTACCTTTCCGACCCTTCATTCCCCCGCGACGCGCCGAGTCGTACTCGCATCCCACCGCTCTCGAGGATTTCCGGACAACGAGGAGGTGGCCGCCGCGCGGGTTCGGTGAGCATCAGGCCCTGACCCACAGAGAGGCCGAGGACTTGATATGTGCCGGAGCATCGACGTTCAAGGGATACTATGAGGCGATTCCAAATGCGCCGGAGGGCTACAACAAGTTCTTTGCCGTCATGGGCTCGGAGCATAGCCTCAGGACCGACCGCGCCGAGTTCCATCACCCGTCATATAGGGACATGTCGCTGCCAATGACCGGGCCTGTGGACTGCGAGTTTTCGTGGATCTCGTTGGAACAGCCGTCGATGGCGTATTGCTTTGGAGCGAGTCCGGGGACTACGACTTTGAATTTCCGGGTCAGCAAGTCCGGGAGCACACACCCTGCGATGAAATTTGCGAAAAATGTCAAGCCGCGGAAGCTGAAACTACTATTGATTTTGGAGCGCCTCAGGCAATTGGAAACAGGGCTCGAGGAGGATGTTCGTTCATCTTTTTCACTCCCACTAGGTTAGGTTTGGTACGGTTTCTGACTATTTGGTTTGTAGGATCCCGAGGAGCTCTACCGTTACCTGTACAGCCATCTCATCGAGGACCCGGAGCGCTATGACAACCCCCACACTGGAATGGAGCAGCAGATTGCGGACCTCATCACTGTGTTGACAAATCCGGATTGGATTGATTTCACGTCGCCCAAGAATCAGGTCGTGGCCAAGTACTTTGACTCTCCGGACGCGAGCCGGAAGCAGCTTTTCTTTCATCAGCTTCTCCTTTCTGTAGAACTATATCTTCGCATCCATTCCAAGGACCACACGGACAAGGCCAAGCGGAAACTCCTGAAACAACTCCCGCCCAAGATTGCCTGGGATCTTGCAGTGGCCCAGCGGTGGTTAGAGAACATGTCCATATCGAAACCGCGGACTTCATCTAAGCAGAGTACCTTCAGCTTTGACCTCCGGAGTAAGAAGAGACAGAAGACCGCTCTCCGGACGTTTGCCCTGACCCTCAAATGGCCAAACATGGACGAATTAGACTACGTGCTCGACGAAAAAGACCGTGAGGAAAAGACCCTTGAAGACCGCTCTGCGGACACCATGTCCTGGTTTACAGGCGTCATTCTGCCCGGCGTAACCCTTCCCTGGCTCCTCATGAATACCCTTATAGACTGCGACCGTGACACCGGCGACCCCTTGAAGTACCTCACCCACATCCACCCGGAATCCGGCTTCCAGTACCGTGCCAACACTTACTGGTCCTACCAATGCATTGTCGGCAAAGTCCTCGGCGCCGCCCGGGGTGTCAACGCGATCGCAGGCTGGATCGGCCCGTGCATCTTCACGCCTGACCTGAAGCGCACTGAATGCGTTCGCGTGCGGCAAGCCGTACCCCCGGAACCGCGCCTCACGACGCAGGACGTCAGCTCCATGGATGTGCGGACGAATCCCTTAGGACCGTTGGAGGAGGCGTACCCGATTGCTGACTACGAGGTGCCGATGCCGGATACGGAGGATATCACTGATTTAATCCGCATGGAGAAGCTGGGATTCCAGCCCGTGAAGAATCAGCCGAGCTCGAGTCGGTATGGGGATGGGGCGCCTTTGCTATTTGATGCGGCGATTGTGTTTGCCTGCGGCGGGCAGAGTTGGCCGATGCGGTTGCGGTATGATGTTGATTTTCTGGCGGCGTTTCCGTGCCATCAGGGGCCGCATGGTAAGCTGAACCTGCCTTCTATCTTATTTTAATTTTTTGGGCATGGGGATGACGGTGTAGAGGGCTGGAGGGAATGTGGAAGAGCCTTTGAGATGGAAAGCTAACAAGCATAGTCCTCTTCTACGACTTCACCTACCGCGCCATCAAAGTCGACGACGGCCTCGTCGACATCCATGACTGGGACCGCCAATCCGGCCGCTCGACCATCTCGCGGTCGTCCTCGCGGCCCTCGTCCTCCCATCACTCTCCTTCCTCTCGCGCTCTAACTACCCGTCCTTCACCCGCTGATGCAGACCTCGCGCACATGCAGGTCAAGAAAGTCCTCGTCATCGAAGCCCTCGGGGTCAGCGACAACGAGGTCTTTGCGAGGGCGTGGTGCAGCCAATGGGGCCATTCGGCGGTGGTAGCGAATATGAACTACACGTGCTTAGCGTGCGCGGTTAGAGAGGCGTATGCAGCGTGTGTTAGTGTGGTGATCTTTACGCAAGGGGGCGTTAAGGGGGAAGGGGATGAGGGGGTGAATGGGTGAAGAGTCGAAGAGTATCAAGGTGAGCGACCGAATGATCCAACCTGCACGGTTTTCCCTTTGTCACATGGAGGTGTCTTGCATAGTGAGCATTGGCGGCGGGGTTTCCGGGAATGGATGGATGGATGGACTAGGAAGTCTATATGACGGACGGCGTCTTTCAGCGAGCAGCACGGGTGGATGGAGGATTTGGAGTCTTTTGCATTGAATGGGACGGATTGGATGGATGAAGTCATGTCTTACGAGACTTGATGGGCCGACGGCGGTGTTCTGAGTATCATGAGGTTTCTATCTCCGGCGGCTGGGGACGGTTCTACTCATGGGTGGAAAAGTGGATTTGCTTGGGGTTCTGTTTATTAGGGATCTGGCACCTCACGGTGGCGGCGGTGGATTGGTAGATGAATTGAACTAAGTTCTAAATCCATTTAAAGACTAGGGAGCGTGCTTGAATTGATCAGAGCGCTTTGGATAGTGTCAAATACGAAGTAATCTAACCTCAATAGCTCTGATCTCCTCCAGAGTTATGATATCACAGACTTTACATCCAGTCCGGAATTCTTGTCATAGAATGGAGTGCTTCTGACAGCGCTAGACATCTTGATGTATGCATGCAAGGCGTAGTCAATTTATACTCCTGAAGGGTTTTAGTGGTGAGTGCTGATTGGTTCCATACCACTTCGCGGTAGTCTAGGTACAAAGTAGATCAAGACGCTGTTGGATTAAATGCACCATACTTTGGTGCATCATTGATGGGCTCACATTTTGATAGAAGCTTGCTCCGCACTGGTAGAGACGGTAGACTAACTAAAGCTCTGAAATCGATGACTAGTTGTAGATGGGTACGGTGATCCTTACCCCAGTCTTCCCCGCGGAATTAAGATCATGATGCCAAGCCGGCCGCCTTCAGGACGCCCTTGTTCCAACGACACTGCTTTTTCAGACCTCGCGACCGTCGCATACCCGCTGTCTTCTTCTCGAGCATCTCACGACATCCTTTCCATTCGTCTATCCTTGATGACCGCGACGGTGTCTAATTACGGATGACCCTTTACCAAATTTGTCTGGACCACCGCGCGGCCGCGGGATAGCTTGACGAAGGGACGACCTTTTAAGCTCTGGTACGCCCACAAATTTCCACCACGGTACCAGACAACCTTACCTTAGCCTCACGTGACTGTGGATCCGGAGGAAGTTTGGAGATAGGAGCGCGACACGACGGACGACTGCTATAAGAGTTTCTTTTCCCTCCACTGCGCCTTCCGAAGAGCCCGCACCGAACCTTACATCCGAACGTCACGTCTCATTACACGATTCCACGAACCTACCGAACTCGACCTTACTTTCTGAATTCCCAAATCATCTGTAACTAAACGCGCCGAGTCAAACCGGCCCGCAGCAACAACATGACCCGCTCCTCCATACCTCCGGCTCTGCTTGAGCTCCGCAACCCCTCCACCCCCTCCGCACAGATTACCGCCTTACGCGATCTCAAGAATGAAATCGTAGGCCATGACCAACGGAAAGAGATGGCTGTAAGGAGTGGGGTTGTGGGGCCTCTGGTCAGGATACTGAGTGAAGGATCAAGGAGGGTCGGGAAGAGGAATGGCGGCGGGGTCGAGCTGAATGGGAGTGCGACTAGGATAAGAGGTGGCGAAGCTAGGATAGGCGGTAGTCAGGAGGACTGGTCGGCTGAGGATGAGATGAGGTTGCAGGCTGTGCTTGTGGTGGGGAGTCTAGCGCTGGGTGGACCGGCTTTCGTTACGCCTCTCCTGGCTGGCAACATTCTTCCGCCCCTTCTGGACTCTCTGGTCCTGAGAGATGTCCCGTCGAAGCTGATCGTGGCTACGTTACGGACGATTATAACGATTGCGGATGCTGTGGCTTTGGACAGGTCGTGGACGGAGACGGCGGATGGACCCCTACGACCGTCAGCCTCGACAGTGATGGCCTCGCAACTATATACGAAAACCGTGGTAGAGAGCTTCGCAGAGATTCTTGTGCAGCCGCATCCATCGATGATCGTGCATCAAGAGATATCACTGACGGTCCAACTAATCACGAAAACGTGCCAGGATGATCGGCAGCGGAATCTATTACTCGGCGCCGGCGTACTAGACGTTCTTGCAACGAAAGTAGCAGTCATGGCAGCCAGTGGAGATGTAACGCTGAGAGCTATCGGATGCGAATCGAGGCACCAATCTCGAGAAGCACTCCCTATCATGTATCTCCCAGACATCCTAGAGGCCATTTGTGCGATTGTCAAGGGCTCGAATTACCGCACTGCACGGTTCCTCTATTCGGAACCCATCACAGAGATATTCCCGACGTCCTCCAAGTCAAGTGGCGCGGGCGAGATCCCGAACCTGGATGGACATGCATCATCACAAGGCGCCGATCGATTCCTCCCTCGACTCCAGGCGGTAGCGAACAAACACGAAAGTCAATTCTCAAAAGCCTTCCCCGCGCTCGGTTCAATATCAATGCTGGGCATGAACCCACAGGTCGATGGTGGGCAGTTCGCGCGTATTCCCAGCTTCATAGACGCCCACGCAGCTATGAATCGGACCATCTCAGGCGACGAGTTTGAAAGCCCCATATTTCCGTGGCTAATCAACATTGCGAGGACGCGCCATGGATTCGACCGTTTGAGCGCGGCGAGCCTGCTTAGTATGCTGAAGAAGTATAGCGAGGCCTATCCTTCTGACGAGTCACCCAAGAACCGAGAGAGGGCGCTGGCTTTTTTGGTGGTGCCGTTGTTGGTCAATATGATCCAGGAGGCCGCTCACAGCTGCGACACGAAGAATAAGAGTCCACCGGGGAACGCGCAGCAGAGGGTAAACGATCGGAAATTTCTTGAGCAGGCACAGATTGTGCTTGCGGACCTCATCGAGGGCAGTCCGGCGCTACAGAAGGCTGCTGTGGATGCGAGAGCCATCCCAACTCTCTGCACGATCCTGAAGCGGTCGTTCGACCCGGTCGCGGCCTCGTCGAAACCGCTATGGAGCCCACGAACGAGCGCCGAGGATGTGATAGATCCGGATGTCGATCCTGGATCGAGTACGCTGGGTAGGCCGGGGCTGAGCTCCGAGCTTCTGCATGCTCTGAGGTATAGAGAGGGCGCTCTTAGGAGTATTGCCGCTCTTACGGATAGAGAAGATGCTTACCGAAAGGTTGTTATCGAGAACGGAGCCGTAGCTTGCATCACAGAGGCGTTGGTGCCATATCCCTCGCAAGAGCTGGAAGAAAGTAATGCGAAACAACCAGGACCGAAAGATGGTAATCCGATACCAGTTCTTATTGCGGCGTGCTGGGCTGCCAGATCCATGTCGCGGTCTGTTAGCATACTAAGGACGAGTCTGATTGATTACGGCGTTGCTAAGCCGATCCATGGGCTTCTGACGCATCCGAATGTGGAAGTACAGATTGCGGCGACGGAGGTGCTGTGCAACCTTGTGCTGCATTTCTCTCCGATGAGAGATGTGAGTTGTTCTTCTTCAGCAGTACCGAATCATCACTTATTTGTTTTTCCCCAGAGCCTTATTGAAGCTGGATCACTGAAGACCATCTGCGAGCATGCTCACTCGGCGAATTCGAGGATGCGGCTGAATAGCCTATGGGCTCTCAAGCATATGGTTTTGACCGCGACGAACGACATCAAGACCAAGTGTCTTGACGAACTAGGAACAGGTTGGTTGATACGGACTATCCAAGGCGAACAAAAAGACTATGCCGGCCCACCGAGTCAGAGCCATGTGTCAACCGCTATTGGTATGAGAACGCCCAACGCAGCCGGCGAACAGGTGGATCTACTCAATGCCGTCGACGAACCCAGTATGGAAATCGACGAGTCGTCCTCGTCGTCAGGCGATGAAGACGAGGACAACACTCCTGAAGTCCTCCGCCGACCACCTCATCGCGCCCTCAACTCCTCCACCATCCGCTCCGAGCTCAAAGCCATCAAGCAATCCGAACAAGATCCGCGCCTCCGCGCCGAGCACGACGACCTCCGCATCCAAGAGCAAGCCCTCGACTTCATCCGCAACCTCATCGCCGAGTCCAAAGCCGGCGCCGCCGAAATGATCGATCACCTCCTCAGCACCATTGGCTCCACGCGCTTCTTCGAGATGATGGCCAGCAAACTCCGCCCCACGAGCTCCTCCTCGCCCTCGACCATCTTCCCGCCTTCGCCCGCCCGCACCCGCTCACCCTTATCGAACCCGCGCGACCAAGGCCTCACTTTCGGCCAACTCCACTTCAACCAGGCCGTCCTCGCGCCGCCTGAGATCCTCCTCTCCGTCGTTTTCATCCTCATCCACATCGCCAACGGCCGCCCGCAGCACCGCGCGCTGCTCATCTCGCAGACGCAGCTGCTCAACCACGTGCTGCCGCTGTTCCAGCACCCGGACCGCCGGCTGCGCGTCGCGTGCGTGTGGCTCGTGATCAACCTGACATGGATGGACGATAGCTCGGACATGCCGGCGGCGCGGGACCGCGCGCTGAGCTTGAAGGCGCTGGGGGTCGAGCAGAAGGTGCGGGAGCTGACGACGGATCAGGATCTGGATACGCGGGAGAGGGCGAAGACGGCCGTGGAGCAGATGAGTAAGTTGCTGGATGGGAGCGGAAATGGGGGGCCCGGGTTGGGGTTGGGCGGGATGGATGGTGGAGGGTTTGAGAGTAGGCGGCCGTTGGGGAGTGGGTTTGGGGGGGCGAGGGGTTGGAGGGGGGAGTGAGGGGATTGATTGAGGAGAGGCTGTGGCGAATTGCGTACGGGTATGGCGTTTAGGGAGGGGTTTTAGTGATGGACGTTTCTTGGCGGTTCATGAGGGAGGCGGCATCGTTCATCGAGGAGGATGACTGCGCGACTGCGCTACGGATGGGAGAGAGCGGATTGTGCGTTTTGCGGCGTAGTTTTTATAGCGTTATGAAACATGAATATGATACGCGTCCTCAGTTCTCGACCTATCCGAAAAGAAACAAATTTCTTAGCAACCAAGGCTATTCAAGCTACAACCCATCCAACAAATTCTACGGATCCTTCTGCTTTAGAAGTCAACGCCTTTCCCCCGCCGTCTCATGTCAGAAAAGATGCCAATAAAATGAATATTTGGGCCGTAGATCATCCCTCCCACCTGTCCACACCAAAACAAAATCCCCCTCCTCACCTCACATCAACCCAGCCATGTTGTTCGAGTAATTCTAATCCGACTTGTACTAACCAGCAGGAACATTGCCCTAGTGGCGTCGGCCCCGTTACCTTACATTGCTAACCCTAGTCTTTTGTTTTGTTTTGTTTATTTTGATGTTGGATGGCTGGGGCCGGGTTCGATTCCCGCTCCAGTTTGTATGTTTTTGGAGGAATTTTCAGAGGAGCGTTGTGGTTGGCAAGTTGCTAATTGGGGTCAGGGGTATGTGCTGTATTTATGTAGATGGGGGAAAGTGGGATTCCGTTTCTGCTGGTGTTCAGCTTTTGCTTTTCAGCTTTAGGCTTAAAGAAGCTTTGGAGGGGGTGTGAGTCTTTAGACGGCGGGGCATCTCTCGAAAAGCAAGTCTTGCTGGGTCGTTCGCAATAGGTGAAGGACTCCAGTCTTCAAAAATAGCACTTCCGATACCGTCAGAACTGGATTTCAATATGCGACTCTGCGAAACAAACCAAGAATCGTAATCTCACGGCGCTCTCTTTTATTCACCTAATTCTAATCGGGTAAGCGTATTCTATATCTTAGCGAGAGGCTGTTTCAGTCACGTGATACCCCTACCTCGACCTCATCCTGAGTTAGCCAACCATCTCCCCCCCCCCTTTCCCCCACACATAACATCCAATACCCCCATCGCGCACAACCCACCCCCACAACCCAGGGCCCAGCCAACCAACCCGAAAAATATCCAACTTCGCGCCCCCGATCTCCCGCGACGGCTTCGTCTACCACGGCGCGCTGTACGCAGACGTCGGGAACTTGAACCGACATCCCCGCGCGACAGTCGCTGAACTCACGGCGCTGTTGCGCCCGAAGCTTTCGTCCGGCGCAAAGTCAAAGGCGGCGGAGACGGCCAAGGATCAGGTCGGCCACTGGTATTTCGCGCAGCTGAAGCACTATGGGTTGGGCATGAGTAAGGATAAGAACGCGGCGAAGGTGAAGCTGTTGAATGCGCTGAATGAGGGGAGGCTGGAGGTGCCGGGGGAGGTGAAGAGGTTGGAAGCGGGGCTGAAGAAGGAGTATGATGCGGCGAATCGGAAGGCGAGGGCGGAGATGGCGAAGGAAGGGGGAGGGGGAGGAGGGCCAGGGGAAGATGAAGCAGGTCAAGGGGGCTGAGGTTGGGCTAGGGGGGTTTGGAGGGTCGCCGACGAGCGTGCATTATCATTTGCATATTGAGTCGCCTGTGCCGGAGGAGAGGGGAAGGGTTGGGGGAAACGGTGGGGCTAAATCGGCGAGTTTGACGAAGAAGATTTTGGAGAGTAGAGAGTTGGAGAGGCAGGAGTTGGAGAGGATGGCTGCAGGGAGGACAGAAGAGGAGGCGAAGAAATCGGGGGTGGGCAAGAAGAATGACCCTGCGAAGAAGGCTGCTCCGGCTAAAAAGGATGCTCCTGCGAAGAAGCAGGCAATTACGACGGAGAGTGATGCGGCCAGCAAGCAACCTGTTCCGAAGAGCGGACCTAAAGTCAAGGATGAGCCGAACGTCAAGCAGAAGGCGAAGCTGAAGAAAGAACCTGCTGTCAAGAAGGAGCCCGCCGTAAAGAAAGAACCCGCTGTCAAGAAAGAACCCGCTGTCAAGAAAGAACCAGCTGTGAAAAAGGAGCCTGCCATCAAAAGGGAACCAGCCATGAAGAAGGAGCCTACTGTCAAAAAAGAACCCGGCGTCAAAAAAGAGCCAGACACCAAGAAAGAACCAGCCGCGAAGAAGGAGCCTGCTATCAAGAAAGAACCCGACGTCAAAAAAGGACCAACCATAAAGCGAGAACATCAAAACGACATCGAAAGTCACACTCCCAGCTTTGTAGCAAATGCCTTCTACAATCTTACATGTCCTGCTATCTCTGAAGATTGGCCATATCAGAGCCAGGGGATGAACCTCCGCCTCCGAGGCGATCACGACAACGGCTGTCTTTGGGGTAACTTACAATCTTTTGGCCCCTGGTCTGGAATCATCTGCGTAGACGTACAACATGGACTTTTCTTCGGCACGGAGCTACAGTTCCGCTGGCGTATGCGCGATGACGATACAGGCGAGCTGCTCTTCCGGCGCGACCAGCTCGGCGTGCTGATGTTCTTCGCCGATGGAGATATGCAAGGTCGCATATACGGATTGCATGGAGAGGAGATGGTCTTTTGGGGAACGCGGCGGATTGGCCCGGCTGGTGGTGGGACTGCGCAGCAGTTCAAGGCGGAGTGGGATGGGTTCGTGCAGCAAGCTTATGGGGGGGAGAGGGGTTGGTGAAACTGAAATCATGAATATATAAAAGCTTTGGCGGTACTTTCAAAAGTACATTAAAAGCATTCTCACGCTGATAAGGATGTCGATATGGATACTGAAGGCGTCAATATGGGGACATGTACGTGTCATACACAAGGTCGCGGGATTGGAAAGGTCGGTATGTTTAGATCAAGCGGTAATGCCTTGTACAAAGTCGATATTTTGTATCAAAGGTGTGTGATAAGTATGAGCATAGTTTTTAGCCCTCCCATTCTTGATTCTAGCTTCTTTCATACCATAAACTTCCTAGTGCAGCCTTTTTGCATAGCTTCATCAAAACTCCGAAAACCTCGAGCCTATCAATATTCCCGTACGAGCAAACCATGTGTCCTTCATACGATGTCTGATGTCGCCGTTTCTCTTTCCTTCGGAGCCCTAGACCAGAGCTAAGTACGCCTGCCTCACTAACATAAATACCACGAAAAGTATGCAAAAGAACTCGATGCCCAGAAACATATCCAGCATAGTCCCGTAGCAAACCTTGGCCGCGAAGAGAATGGTGGCCTGCGCCGAGTCCACAGAACTAAGTCGATGAAACAAAGCAGCTAGGTTAGACATGCCTCCGAGGATACCGGCGACGCGGCGGATGTTTATGCTAAAGCGGAGAGTCGGATGAAGGTGAAGAGTGTAGTTGCGAGGGGCAAAGCCCAATTCTCGAGCGACGACCGCCATACAGCTGAACGCTTCGAATGTCGTGATTGCCACCATCATGCCTGCGAATAGAGGCGGAATCGCTCTTTGGGCAAGATGAGACAGTATACAAGAGATCGATGAATCCCACCCTGCTTCCATCAAGCTCCGGACGATACAGAAGGAGAAGAGACTTCCGTAGATTACGACATGGGCGCAAGAGACATCCATATTGCTTGTAGCAAGTCGTCACAACGCGGCGCTGATGGTCAGAATGCTGCGTGCAAAATGCAAGAGGTGTGAAATTGAGGTTAGAGGGTTTCAAGCGCGACGTTGGCTGCTTCTTAAAGTTATGGGGGACAAAGCAGCCAGTAAGTCAAACCCTCTTTCTGATTCTAGAGTTACAGCAATTAACGCCCCTAGAAAGGCCCAGAACAGCCGACCATTCTTCCAGGATCGATGCATGAAAGAAGCCACCCACTCCCACCTTCCGTCGGTTACAGTCTATGGGACGTATCCTCTTGCTCTATACATCGAAGAACTGACACGATATTCAGAAGTCCCATGGCGTCAGCAACCCAGCCCCCGATCCGTTCTTAACTCCCTAATGCCACTCCATAATCCCCTCGCGGGATAATTTGAACCTAGACCTCCTCCACATCGGCCTCGATCAAGTCATCCGCATCGACATGCATTACACTTCCCCACGGCTTCTCCGCCAACTCGTCCTCTTCGATGAAGCTCGTGCTTTGGTCGCTTTCATCATCGTCTTCATCGATGATAACTGACCGTGCTTCTCCGGCTTTGACTTCTTGAAGCTGAGAGATACGGTTAGCAATTCTTCCACAGATTTTGAGGCGAAATGCTTACCAGTTGCTTCCCGGAAACCACCCGGATCAAAGGTACGGTGGCTGTACGTGGCTCCTCGGTGCCGTCAAGGGTCCAAGAGTCTGGTGTGTAGAGGCCTCCGCAGTAGGTCAGGACGATGATTTGGGCTGTCATGGAAATGCAGTGCATGTAGCCGCAGGTAATCAAGGTCGTCCTGTAGAGTTCTTCGAAATCTACCAGGACGCGGATGGGGCTCCAATTCCGTAGTACTTTGTGAGTTCCCATGGGCACATCCAACGAGATACCCAGTACCGTGAAGGCAATCAGGAGAGCCGCGATAAGTGGAACAAGTAGTTGACGATTGACCCGAAGGTGAATTTGGCAAAGTGGGAATAGGAGCGCATAGCTATGCCAGGACGCGAGCCAGCCGATGAAAGATAGGAACAAGCCGACGAGGATAGGTTTGAAGACTGTGGACGCGAAGATTTTGAGCGCATTGGATTTTGATAACAGTCGCTCGATCCATGTCTCGACTTCTGGGCCCTCTCTGGCATCGAGCCAAAGCAACACGGGGACGACGACGTATACGAGATATACGCGAGACTTGGGGAGAAGGGTGTGGTCAGTGTGCCCCGGCATATTCGCGCTTGTGGACAAGAGGGAACCTGGTATTGGTATGTAGATGGTGAGGTTGCTGTTTGAGGATGTGCTGAGGATGTGCTGAAGCTAGATGCGGAACTTTGGGAGGTCTTCATATGGTAATTCTTCGCCGTGAGTCAGCATGTCATTCACCGATGGCGACGGTGGCTGCACATCGTTCTCTCTTTACCGGCGAGCCCCGTCAATACTCCTAAGAGCAGGCCTGGAAGTACTCTTTACAGTTGCTAGGAGGTTATGATAAGTGCTCGCAGATGCTCTACCATCGGTCAAAATAACGGAGATAGAGTTCTCAACGTCTATGCGCATTTAAATACCTCATGGGCAGGTATCACACCGGCTTAGGTTGCCAGGGAATATACACGCCGCGTGGAAATATTACTGTAAGTTTTGTTCAGAGTTCTAAACCTAGACTGAAGCACTTCATGCATTGACAAATAGCAGTAAACAGATCCATATCCTAGTACTGTATCCTCGGAAGGATTTTGGCTACCACTCCAGTGTATGGATTCAGTACAGTATTATGAGAACCTCAGCAGGAATACAACGTGTCTGGATAGATTAGGGGTTTACGCCACTTTCCTCGCCGTCACCTTCACAACCTCTCCCCACGCATTCCTCGCGAGCTCCTCTGCCTCGACGAAGCTGATATTTTTGTCTTCTTCTTCCTCTTCTTCTACTTCATCGATGACGGGCGGGGTTTGGTTATGCAGATCTCTAAGCGCCTTAGTATGGAGTTCCCGCAACTGGTTTGCGAGTTCGGAGTCGATTGTGACAGCTGGTATGTCGAAATCATCCTCGAAGTCGAAGATCGTCCAAGAATCTGGTTTGAAGAGTCGTGCCGAGTAGCATAAGCTGAGAACTTGTAGGATTGCTGAGAAGCAGGAGACATACCCGGCGGTGAGCACAGCCGTCTGGTAGACTTCTCCGGTATCCACCTTCCTCGTGAAAATACACAACTTTCCCCATACGTCATGAAGAACCATGAGCACGTCCGGTATTGCCATCAAGAACGCCGATACGACCAAAGCAGCGGCAAGGAATGGTAGCAGCAGTTGATAGACAGAGTATCCAAGCGAGCGGGTTCGCCTAAGCGGAAAGAGGATGGCATAGCTGTGCCAGGACGCGAGCCAGACGATGAAGGACAGTGCGCCACTAACGGCAATGGGCTTGAAAACTGTGGATTGGATGATATCGAGAGCCGTGGAGGAGGACTGGTAAGTTGGTAGTTTGACTGGGCCCTCTCTGGCATCCAGCCAAAGCAGGCCAGGGACAACGGCGTAGACAGCGTAAACAGCGCTCATTTGCATCCAGGGCCGCATTTTCAGGGCTGGTGACTAAGGTGGTAGTAGTATCCTGCAGATGGATGTGTTTGTGGATGTGCTGGGGCTTGCTTCAGGTTTTGAGAGGTCATTATATGGGGTGGGTAGTTCGCGGAGCATTCACCACCAGTGGGGTCCTTCGCGATGATAATGATTTGCAAGAAGCTCTGAGCCTAACCAGCAAACAGGTACTTGCTTTTTTGATAAATCTAGGAAAAGGCCTCGGACCACCGTTTGCGCACAGTCTTTGTTGTACTCCAGGAACTCCAGGAAAGTGACCGATGATCTTTTGTTGTTGGTCAAGACAATGTCACTGCTTGGTGTCTTGAAAGAGTTCAAATGGCTTTAGGGGCTATACGACACTGCTTTTGGGGGCTTGGCGAGTGTAGGCATTGTATAGAACGGTGTGCGTGAGTTTTGTGTAGAATCTTCAAAACGGATTGAAGCACTTGGAACAATATTAAACAGGCGTGCATTGACTTACAGTGACAGATCATAAGTCTGTGCACACGCATTTACCACTGTTTGGAGTAACCCTGTGGAGTTTCAAAAACCCAGGCACGATGTCAAGTCTCAAGTAGTGCAAATTAGACTGCCTCTTGCGAGAGGAGCTTCATATTATTGTCAGCATTCCCAATAAGAGAGAAGTTCGGCATTTTAGACAACTAGTAAACTCTCGAGGCTACCCCCGACAGCGCCAACATGGTGTACGCGGATAGCAAGTATATCCGCTGGACCCGGTTTCTATTAATATGTTGGAGCCCCACAGACAGTTGCAGAAAAGTGTACAGATATGTACGGCAAGGCACTGTAGTGCTCACACCGTTACACCACTGCCTGACGGGCTTCAACACATTTTCAGCAATCGAAACAAGGCATAATTTTATTGTTTTGAACGGTCTATAAACTCGCCAGGCCACCTCAGGCGGTGGTGAAAGATCCCTTCACTAGACTTATTCGATGTGGTTCCGGATTTCCTCCTCTATAAGCCAGAGTGTCTCGTCAACGACCTTCACTCTCTCCGCCAGCTGTTTCATCTCGTCAGATTCTTCGTATGTTCCGCTGCGCGCCTCCTCGCTCTCCACGAGCCGGTGCCGGAGGTCCTCCAGTTCCACACGTGAGTTAACAAGCCGAGTCTCCAGCTCTTTCCAATCATCCTCTAGCTGCATAATCTGCTCTTGAGTAGGCCCATCCTCCCCAATCACGGCGTTGAGTAGCCAATCCAACCAATCTATCGTTACACTGTCCAGTGCACTTCGCCGTAAAGCCAGCATCCGCGTGTATTCTTTATCCAGCGCAGGGCAGCCGATCCAGCGCAAATAGCACATGTAAACCGCCGATATCAGGAATCGCAGCATCGATAACAGAGGCACCCATGCCCAGAACCACATGCCTGAGCTCACCGAGAGTAGCATTGCCAAAGCCATGATGCCGACGAGTAGGAATGCGGGTATGCGCATGCGCCAATAGCCCAGCACTGTAGCATACGTCCAAGGCTGGCCCACCGCCGTCCGCCGTAATCTTTCCATTTTGATGGCCCGTAGCCGGAAGTCGGGTCGTGGCTGGGTTGACGGATTGAGGCGACATGCCAGGGTGAGCTTGGCGTCGAGGGCGGACGCAGTGAGGAAAAGAGTCAAACGGAAGACACAAATGAGCGTCCAGATGCTGAATTTGATTTTGATGATCGTTGAGGAGAGTATCAGGAAATAGAAGATTTTAAAGAACTCCCAGAGTGAGATGTAGGCGAATGCGATGGCAGGCAAGGTGAAGATGTAGATCAGAAACGCGTTGCGCACAGTGTGGATAGTGGATGAGATCGTCATCTTGAGCGCTGATGCCTCGTCCGCTGCGAGAGGTTCGTGGCGGTGGTGCAGAGCGAGCGGGCAGGTTAAAGATTCGAAAGGCTGACGTTGAAGATATCGTCGCTATCGAAGTAGTGAACGACAGATATGGTGATTTAAGCGAGCTCCAACCGACATCTGTAGAGCTGGATGTCACCGTCTGAAGTGCCTCGACACGTTTTGAAGATTCTGGAAACGACTTGCATCAAACGTTTTGAACAATCAAAAAACTCGCCCGGCGACCTCAGAAGGCGTCTACCAAATGTACACACCTCATGAGAGAACCATTGCATAGGCCTAAGAATGGACTTATAGTCGCGAATGAGATGGGATGGAAAGAAATCAAGATGGAGTTGGAAGACGGAAGGTGACGTACGTTTCCTCCAATATCTGATAAGGCCAAGAGTCATTTGCAGATGCCGCCGACTGAGGTGGCCTAGCAAATTTACACATAGTAGACTGTCTAGGATCGTCGTCGATGTCTCGGGAAGTGATAGGAAAGGAAGCCCTAGAACTTCAATCACCATTACGAGACACTTCGAGAGGAACACTCCCACTCTAGCATGCTATTATAATTCAATGAAAAGCTTATACCCCATCAACTTCAACAACTCACTCAAAACCTTATCAACTCTACTATGTCCACCAGCCTAACACCCCATGCCGTCTTCTCCTGGACCTGCTTCGCCGCCTACCTACTTCGGCGCTTATCCCAATCTAACTCATCCCTCTCGAACCCAATCATCCTTCTTCTCAGTGCTATCGACGCCATCGCCGAGATACTCGTTCCTCCCTTTGTCGCGCTCTTGGTGCTCTTCGTAGCTGCATGGCATACATCGCAGACCATATCCTTCCTTACCAAATACCATCTCCCACGATCCAAACTCTCTGCCTTCCTTGCTCGCCACCCCAAAATCTGCAGCGGTGTCGGCAGCGGCACGGGGCTAGGGCTGTGGATATATCGACTGCACAGTGCCCAAGAGGGCCGATTCAGGCCTCTCTCCACCGTAAAATCAGGGCTCGGCACGATCTTAGACGGATGGCTGTATCTCGAGTGGGCTATTACCTTTTCTCACCTACTATTATGGGCGAGAGACTATCGTTGGGTACTGAGAAAGTGCTTGGAGTTACTGATCGTGATGAGCGAGAAGACGGTTGGAATGGCGCAGTGTCTACTAGATCATAGAGTTCGGTGCCACGAATTGGTAGCTTTTCGGCATCGGGTCTATGGAGGGGCGCTAGAGTGGTGTGTTGGGCGCCTGTTGGATGTAAACAGGCTGGTCTTATGGGTAGCTTGGGAACTCTTCAATCTCGGTATGGCATGAAAGGGCTGGGCAAGGAGCAGGAGTTGAGCTGGAAAAAGCCACGCATAGAGTACTCTGCATGGATTGGAGAAGTAAGAAAGAGATGATACTGAGGAAAATTAGCGGGACACACATATCATTAGTTGGTCATTTCAATGCTTCTTCCTATCCCCGACATCTGGTCCATATTTAAGCTCCTCCACTGCCACAAGTTACCCCTTTTTAGTTCTAACTTGGATTTAGCAGAATATAGTAAGGGAAAAAGTCTTCCTATTCGTAAAAGCGCGTACGGAAACTCTCACCAACTCTTCTTGCCTCTGCCCGACTTGGCATCAAACTCACACAGTGACATGATACTCACGTGACCGTTCCCTTTTCCAACTATATTAACTTTCTCCGCCCCGAACCTCGTCCGTAGAAGTCAGGTCGGATGTAGTTCCTTCAAAACGTCAACATTCGTCTTTGATAGCCTACGGTCGCTGGGATCGGGCTCAAAATAGGCTCAAAATCTGCTGTTTCGGAAACTTGATAGAAGACATTAACAATGAAGATGCTGAGTGCGCATGGAGTGGTTGGGTGTTAGAAAAACACTTGACCATACCGACGAATGGAGTGCTTTCGATGTTTCAAAATGATGGTGGGTAGCTTCAGAAGTTGATAGCGCTGTATACTGATTGGAGGTTATAGGGGTGGTTGTCTTGGAATTTTGGTGCCGATGGACATTTTTGCGAGCTGACGTGATATAATGAGAATAAAGATGGAGATCTGGAACTTGTATTGAAGATATTGGGGGTTGGACTTGAAGTGGGATGGTTAGTATCACTAAAATGATTTGATGTTGGCGGTCCGACTCTCCATTCTTTTCGATGTTCATCTGAGTTGAACACACTTCCCATCATTCCAGTTTAGTTCTGGTGCTTTTAAACCCCTCAGACCCTAAGAACAACTTCCACATAGGATGCGGGTGCAGTCATTGTAGCTTCCAGACAGGCTCAGTCCCACCATGATATACCAGGCGGTCGGTTTTGAGCTTGTTTGAAAACGATCTACTTTTGTTGACACGAACGAGGTGAGCCTTTTATACCCCCACGACGGTAGAGGGTGTCTGCAAACACGTGATAAAGCTCCACCACATGATAGTCTCCTTTTATTAGTGTCTCGTGTTAGACAGATGTTGGTACGCCTTCCTGCTACTGCCTGCTTACAGGCTCTCAACGTATTAACTCACATTCCAGTCCGTGCACTCCTTCCACCACTATCCGTACTGCCATAACAACTAACTAGTCGCTCAAAATGCCTAACTTCAATCTGACTCGAAATTCTTAGCCTCCCATGAGGCACCATGAGCAATATCCGGATGTCTTGAACAAGACACTGTATCACCCCTGCTCCCAGAAAACGCTTTACCTCCATTACTTCCGCCGGAAGCCGTCTCGAAGCCGTCTCCCTCGAAACCTTAAGTCCCCATCAATTTCCCTTTCGCGTCCATCACGCCCTCACTCCCCCGATCCCTCAGCACTTCCTGCACCCAATTCGGCAGCCCCTTCAGCATCGTCATCCAGCCCACCCTTCCCGGGATGAGTAGCTGGCCACCCTTGCAACTAAGCACCTGCTCCACCACTGCCTCCGCAATCTTCTCCTTCTTCAAGATAGTTGCCCCATTCCCTTCGAGCGTGCTCTGCCACGATGCCGTCAGGGCCGTAGCAGCAAAGGTAGGATGCACCGAAGTCGTAAGCACATTTGGCGCGTGGTATAGGGCGCGGAGTTCTTAGTTAAGGCCTGTTGGGGGTCAGCCTCCCTCTTTACTTCACTGCCTATACTCGTATAAATGAGATAGGCATGTCAATGGTCACGCACCCTCATGGAACGAAAGTGCCCCCGCTTTCGCCGCCGCATAATCCGCCATCCCTGCCAGAGTGACATAGCTCGCGAGACTAGCTATACTGACGATGTGGCCTTTGTTGTTCTTGATCATATCTGGTAGAAACGCTTGAACCGTGCTCCAATGGCTGAAGAGGTTGACGGCGAACATCTTGTGCAGAAATTCGTCGGAGGTGTCGAGGATGCTGTGGCTTTTGGCGATGCCGGCGTTGTTGATGAGGATGGAAGGGTTTCCCAGAGCCTCGCGAATGAGGGTGGCGGTAGAGGCAATAGCGGTGGGAGAGGTGAGATTGCAGGGGAAGTGGGTGATGCGGGGGTCTGGGAGAGGGATTAGCACTACGTTCTTGGTGTAATTTCTTCATCTGTTTGGCTTCTTCAGTGACAGATGTAGTGCATCCCGGCCTGCCACTGTCTGAAGTACTTCGTTGCATGACGAGAAGGTCAGATGAGACGTTAGAACCAAGACGGCGCAGACTGGAACGATTCCAAACGCTTCTCATTCGCCGATCATACAGCTGTTGTTTGGGTAGCTCAGCGTATGATTGAAACCCTCAAAAGGGTTGAAATCGACGGTAAAAGAGAGTGCACAAACTTGTATACCATGTTGTACTCACCCTTCTCCGCTTCCTCGCCCAACGGCAGCACATCCACAATCGCAACTCTCACGTGCCTCGCTACCAGCAATTTGACCACCGCTTCCCCAATCCCACTACTGCCACCCGTCACGACTGCAACCTCCTTCTCCCAATTCCACCTCTTGTGTTCCTTTGAAGTTCTGAAGCGCCATCCGTTCAATGCGGCTTGATTGAGGACGCGATTGACCCTCGTTACCAATCCGAGCGAAACTAGCCATTTGAGGGTCTTGATGGTCGTTGGAAGTGCTTTTTGAATATGTAACGCCGAGGAGGATGAGAGTCGGCGAAGTAGCTCATCGCGAAGCGATTGCGGGATCTTAGTGAGAAGGAGTAGCAGGGGCCCGGTGATGTAGGGATTTAGTGCCGTGCTAGTTGTGAGGGACAGGAGGGGGGAGTTCGCTGTGAGGATGGAAGACATAGTGACACAGCTCTGTGATCAGGAAGAGAGAGAGAATGCGTAGTTGTGGAGTTATTTTATTTAGGCAGGCAAGGTATTGGTGAGACGCGTTATACGAGCGTACAGAAATATGCCGAGGCACAGCACTATCTAGGCCATAAGCCTTGCTTTGTGTCACTCTGACTTACTAGACACGACTGACTGGAGCTGTCCCGTCCCGCAGCCTGTAAAACACAAGTTTTGAGACGCTATCTTAAATTAAGGTGCAACAAAATTAACATCCTGCCTCTGATTTTCAACTCCGTGGGAGAACCCCAAGCAGTGGAAAACGAGTGTGTACAGATTTCTGGAAGTCACTGTACCTACCCTTGTTGTGTTCCCAGTGACCGATACGATGCGGGGGAGGTGCGGAGAACATGCATGGCATCCTCGCCACATTGGGGCACAGCTAGATTATTGGGAACGTTGAACTTTGGTCTTAATTGTGTAATTTAGGAAACCGGGTCTCATGTAGAGTGCCGTGAAGTGGAATTAACCATGACTCTAAGATAGCGGAACCTATTGTGGTTTAGCTGGGCAAGTCCGAAACCTTAATTGGGAAGCAAGGGGTGCCTGGCTTAGGGTCACGGAAAGTGAGGTAGTGCGCTTGTAATAAGCTGACAGTTTTCATCCTTACGAGCATTCTCCCATTCTACGGAGTATGGTTCTGTGAACCCTCAAACATCATTGATCAGCGCTGGCCTCTCGTGCTACGTGTCTGATGCCAGCCCCTAAAATCTCGAACTCGACGCCCACAGCATCAGTTGGCGCAGCCCAAGGTGCAAAAACCACTTTCAGCCACCGCCGCCACTTCACAATTTCTTTCTCGCCATCGTTCCAGGCGTCTTGCCCATTCGTAGTTGCGACAAGCGGCTGGGTGTTGTATACCGGTTCTTTGGTGAGCGCGAGGCGAGAAGAAATCTGATTCGCCCAAACGAGTCCTAGAGAAGGGGTTTTTAGGTTCTGGGTGCGACCATTAGACGAAGGTTGAATATCGCCCCAGCCAGTAAACCAGCGCTGCTGGTGATCAAGCGCCAATGGGTCGGGAGATATCAGAGTGACTTCCGGCTCTTCGCTGGGCACATTTGGCATGCCAGGCTTCTCTTTGATGTCGCCATTTTGGCTGTTATGGGACGGGTTTCGAGATGTAGGATTCGAGGTAAAGCTTGAATTAGTAGTGAACCTGTCCCCGACTTGGTTGGCCACTACGATAGCAATATTCTCATTCCGTGCAAGCTGGCGTAGCATAGCCCCTAGCTGCACCAACTCTGCACCACGTCTGGCCATTGCAGTCGCCCCTGCTCGAGCACCTGCCCTCTCGAACTCTGCTCTGTAGTTCGCCGCCACAGAGTCGATAATGACGAGTCCAATGCCATGTTTCCGGATGGCCACAGGCAGCTGATATCGGAGTATGTGGTCCTGGGATTCGAGATCGGGCGTCTGGATGCTCAGGATGCGGTCGAGGGAGGGCTTCTCGACTGCTGGAAGCGAAGACAGGTATGCGTTAGTCGCGAGGAGCTGCGTCAGGCGGGTCGTCGCGAGCGGAGCTTCGGTTGAGATGTACAGGGCCGATGTCGAGATCCCTCGCGGAGGAGGCAGCTGGGACGAGAGCAGCAGAGTGAGGAGTAGTTGTGTTTTACCGGCTCCACTACAGAGAATCAGTCAACACCTGCAAGAAGAATTTATTGAACTCATGAAGACGCGTCTGTATGAGTGCGTTCACGTACCTCTCTCCTGTCACTTCAACCAGATACCCTGGGAGAATGCCGCCGCCCAACGCAGCATCCAGGCCCTCGTCTAAGGTGCTGATAGTATTCCAGGCGACGTCTCCAGCTGGCGGTAATAAGGTGTTGCTCTGGTCTTCCTCCAGACCGAACCCGAGATCCCGATGCAGTGCAACCAGGATCGCGTCGGCCAGCTTCTTCAGGTCCTGGGCCGGCACCTGGGCACGCTTTGCGACATCTTGGGCGTCGAGGGTAAGAAGGTCATTCGTCGTGACCAGGGCCTTGTCCAGTGACGGCAGCAGGTGCGAAAAGGGCCGTGTGTCGAGGTCAGGACACGCCTGAAGCAGGTCCACGGTCATCGATCACCCGCGGCTCATAACGCGGCTCTGCGGATAGACATGCGGCGGGTGGCATCCACGGCGCCGGGGCAGCAGTCCGGGAACTGTTCGCGCGGTGGCACGACCTGGGGACCGGGTGGGTGGTGGGCGATGGCGCGGTCGGTGAATGCTGCAGTGTTTCCGGCGCGTGGTGGTGCTGGCGGCAGGGCTTGGCGGGCTTGGCAGCCAGATCAATTCCCCGTGCTCCTTTGCTCCGTGAAGTACCCCACACGTTGCCGCGAACGACAACGCCCCGCGTCCGCAGATGACCCAGAACGTCGCCCAGAATATTGTAATGGCACCACGCGATCCCCGCGGCCGTCACGGTAATCGTCCCATACTGCTGCCGTCACGCTGCCTCGACGCCGACGCCTGCTTTATCTCCGAGTCCTGAGTCTCGAGTCCCGAGTCTCCAAGCTCGACACGCCCATACGCTTCCCAACGACATAGCCACGCTGCGTGAAGCTTGCATAACGACCGTGATAGCTCAACCGCACTGCATCTCGACGACAGTCGTCCGCTGTACTCTCTCTAACACTCCTGCGGCTCCGATATAGCCGGCCGGCCAACCATCGGGCTCTGCTCGCTTTAAATCCCACTCTACGGGCCTTCCACTCGTCCGTCGTCCTATCTGCTTCGTCTCGCATCCTTGCATCCTCGGGCGAGCTCTCACCACCGTATCCTCTTGGCCGAATTGTGTGATACTTGACCGGCTGTCAGCGGCGGCAGTCCTTATCCGGCGGCGCATCCTGCTGCTTGTCGAGAGAATTGTCTGAGTGTGAATCGCGATCCTGACTGGAAAGTAAGTACGTGGACATCACTGACCCGCGTAGAACCCCGATATCACGACCCCCCGGATCGGCCGCTAGCTGGAGCGTTACACGGTACGTGTTTTCCTTGTAACCGCAAGCCATTCCCAGCCCCCAGTTTCTCCACTCATGTACAATTTGTCCATAAGCGGCTTGCTGTCCGCCTCTGCGGCTCGCTAGTTGTTGCTCTGCGGCTCCCACCATGTAATTGCATAGGCTATCGCGCGTTTCACATGTGCTGAGTACCTCTGTGGCGGGGTCGGCTCTGATGCCATCTTTCCCCATTCGTCCTGCCCGCTATAAGTACATACACTTCCAGTCCCCTCGGGTACGCGACTTGCCACGCAGAGTACCAATGCCAGCCTACTGTCTCCAGGACTGTCACTATTTCTTCCGCAGTGCTCTGCGGTTGCTCTCTATCTCTACCTCTATATCGCCGCTCTACGCTTAGCTAACGTCCCTTCTTCCACCATGGCAGTCCGCACCTTCACCCAACCAGGCTCACTGGACGAGTCTCTAGCCACTGTTGATCTCAAGATGGCAGCAGCTCAGACAAACGGCGTCCCGCGGTCTGCGGAAGCGGCCAAAGAGAAAGAGCACTCATACTCTCACGAGGAGAAGAGCCCTCTTGCATCTCACACAAACCCCAAGTCGAAGCCGGGCATCACGTTTGCAGCCCAAGACCGTCTCCCCAAGCTCCCTATACCAGTCCTAGAATCTTCTGTCAACAAGTACATCCGTGCCTTGAAGCCACTACAAAGCCCTAAGGAGAGCCATGACACTGCCGCCGCTGTGTCCGAGTTTCTAAAGGCAGATGGACCCGATCTACAGGAGAAGCTGAAGAAGTATGCCAACGGGAAAGCCAATTACATCGAGCAGTTCTGTATGTAGTCTATTCCGTGCAGCTCATTCCGAAATTCCGAGTTCCGATGTCGCTTCGTCGTTCATCTCGTCTACAGCCTCGTGAATGTACAGAATGGCTGACTGTACCTAGGGTACGACTCCTACCTCAACTTCGACAATCCTGTAGTCCTGAATCTCAACCCGTTCTTCCTTCTTGAAGACGACCCGACTCCAGCGAGAAATAATCAGGTCAACCGTGCGGCATCACTGGTCGTCTCAGCTCTATCATTTGTCCGTGCTGTGAGGAAAGAAGAATTGCCTCCTGACACAGTCCGAGGACAGCCACTATGCATGTACCAGTTCTCGAGACTATTTGGAACCGCAAGGATTCCCACCGAGAATGGCTGTCAAATTGGCCAAGATCCGACTGCTAAGCACATCGTTGTTCTCTGCCATGGCCAGTTCTACTGGTTCGATGTTCTAGACGACAATTCAGATCTCATAATGACTGAAAAGGATGTAGCTCTCAACTTGCAGGTCATTATCGAGGATGCTGCCGAAGTACCCATCCTGGAAGCAGCGAAAGGGGCTTTGGGCGTCCTGAGCACAGAGAACAGAAAGGTATGGTCCGGTCTACGCGACGTGCTCCACCGAGAAGAAGGATCGAACAACTCCGACTGCTTGAACATTGTGGACTCGGCCTTATTCATCCTATGTCTGGACTATACCGAACCCCAGACTGGCGCTGACCTGTGCATGAACATGCTCTGCGGGTCTAGCAAAGTCGAGCGGGGTGTGCAGGTTGGGACTTGTACGAATCGTTGGTATGACAAGCTGCAAATCATAGTCTGCAAAAACGGAAGCGCAGGAATCAATTTCGAGCATACTGGTGTCGACGGTCACACGGTACTGCGCTTTGCTAGCGATGTCTACACTGATACCATTCTCCGATTTGCTCGGACCATCAACGGACAAGCGCCAAGTCTGTGGGCTTCGACGAGCCCAGATCCAGCGAAACGGGATCCAGATAGCTTCGGGGACGTTCAGACGACGCCTCATAAACTCGAGTGGGATATGTTGCCGGAGCTTAGCACCGCCCTACGGTTTGCCGAAACTCGGCTCGCAGATCTCATCCAGCAAAATGAGTTTGAGACGCTCGAATTCCAAGAGTACGGCAAGAACTTCATCACTTCTATGGGATTCTCACCAGATGCCTTCGTTCAGATGGCCTTCCAGGCAGCGTACTACGGCCTCTATGGAAGAATTGAAAATGTATACGAGCCTGCAATGACGAAAGCGTTTTTCCATGGGCGAACGGAAGCTATTCGACCGGTTACTGAAGAATCGGTTGAGTTTGTACGCACTTTCTGGGCGGAAAATCCAGCAGCCCAGAAAGTCGAGACTCTCCGAAAAGCTACCCAAAGGCACACAGAGATTACTAGGGATTGTGCCAAAGCTCAAGGCCCAGATCGCCACCTGTATGCCCTGTACTGCATCTGGCAGCGTGCCATTGACGAAGAGGGTGCCGAGATGGCTAGCAGCGACGGCATGGATTCGACACGACCAAATAGCCCCAACGGGTCTGAAAGAGTGAACTCTGTCATCGGTTCGCCAGCTCGAAACTCAGTGATCTCTGATAACGGCTCCATATCCAGCTCTCCGCCTACGCACCCTGTCCAGCACTCGATGCCTGCGCTGTTTGCTGACTCGGGATGGGACAAACTAAACACGACGATTCTGTCAACGTCAAACTGTGGCAATCCATCTCTTCGCCAGTTTGGTTTTGGGCCCACTTCAGGTGACGGGTTTGGTATCGGCTACATCATCAAAGACGGCAGCATTTCGATCTGCGCGTCGTCTAAACACCGACAAACGAAACGATTCATTGATGCACTTGAGTCATATTTCCTTGAGATACGAAAGCTGCTCAGACAAATAAAGCGTCGCGGCGCCTCACAGGATAAGACAGCTTCACGGGCCCGTGAGGCTGAGGACAAACACCGACCAAAGAGCGGCCGCATGAAGAGCCGCGGCCGCATCATCCTCGCGGACGGAAAAGCGCAGACACCCACCACGGAAAGCGCCGCCGAATCCGACGATGAAGGTCTCGGAGGATGTACGAAACCCCCTTCCCTAGAGTCAGATCCTGCATTCACTGCGTTGCCCATGCCTGCATTGCCCCCGACACCACCGCATTCGCCTTCGTTCAAAGCGTCAATTCTCAACTCTCCGCGTCGCCGCCTGGAATTAACTCCGCCGCGGAATGCGCGGAGGGTTGTGAAGAGACCGCACCCTCATGTCTTTTCCTAGATTTATTTTCATCTCATCGTCACCTATTCATTTCCGTCCTCAAGAGTCCCCGTTTTCCTATCATCCCGTCACAGATACCCAAGATCTAGACACTAGAATTACACTCCCCGTCACAAACTATACGCTTGTCCTTCTTTCAATCTATTCTCATTTGCTGATTTTATTGTTTTCTCTAGATGGCTTCTTCGACGCGGGCATGTTACTACAAGCCCTGAAGGCAAAGGAGGAAGGCCCCGCCGAGACCGAGAAGGATGTTGTGCGAAGGAACATTGGGAGGAGGCTGAAGCTAGCTGATTATTGATGATTGCACGGGAAGTGCCGAAGCTCGTAAGGGATTGTAGGATAACTGGGAAGCATCTACGGAGGGGGCAGGGAAGGGGGAATTCGATATTCAGATTGGAGCATAGCTTGAGGTGTTCCTATATCCTTTTTAGCGTGTACTTTACCTCCTACATTCATAGTCTGATTAAGTTGAAATCATTATGAGCTATTTAAACACTTCAGTCCGAGTCTCAGAATGATCTCGAGCTCGGAAAACTTACTCTAACGCTCCAGCCATGCACTAGCAACGCGCAGCTTGACGGCAAACTGCAGCGGATTACCAGGACCACTATCCAGGCTAGTCAGCCGAGCCGTCTGATATTCAAACAACGCTAACTCGAATATCCAACCAGTCTTGCATCAGCCATTAAACTCCCAGTACAGGACTACTTACCAATCGCCTTCTTTGTCTCTCGCCAAACAAGTCCTACTATCCGATCCTATCTCTCAAAGACCACATGTACGCCTTCGCACGTGTCTCTCGCCTCCGCACTGCCGAGAGACTGCTTTTGTTTCAATTATCTCCAATGCATCCTGCCTATGCGTGACGGCGAGGCACGTCCGTGTCTTGCCGACGCGCCGAGGCTTGAGACAATTTTGCGACTGTCTCCGGCGAGCTTCATCTTCTTTGAGACCGCTGACTGCTCGGGAGTCTAAGACTTGTATATCAATACCAAGCATCACTCACTCTACGATCATTCCTTCATCCTTCATCTGCATTTACTTGCTTCGCTCGCTATGGGCTCAGCGCCCAGTTATTTACCTGTCTTAGCCTAGACTAGGCTCATGGCAGGCTTCCTCAGCGGTTGAGAATGACGCTATACTCAGTTCTGTGTTTGGTATATATACGTTTCATTTTCAGTATATAAACGACCACTAGGTCACTTCGCACGGATCCCTCATGCTCCTACATACAATTTTGGGAGATTTTACTTCGTAAATCAGTCACGGGAGCACAATTTGCCCAATCGGTCGCTAAGACACACAGGCCCGTTCTACCCCCTTCGCAGTAGAACTACCAGTATAATTCTGGCCGTTGCACCGAGTGCTGATTATCGAAGGTTACGATGAACACCACCATGTGGCATGCCCTGTCCGTACCGAGCAGCCAACAAAGCGGTCATGCCCTCCAGCTCTGTGTTAGCTTTTTCACGAAAATCATGGCCAGGCCCGTCTTGGACATCGCGCTTAATTCCAGATGCTACGTATATGAGCAGTTCTATATTCCCATGCACCCTGGGAGACGTCAAAGGCTTAGTCGTTGCCCCATGGAGACTTTGCAAGCACTTCGTTCGATCTTGTCCGGGACCTTGCAGCGCGGTCCGTGGAAGCTATCGCACAGTCATGTCAGATGACACAGTCATTCCTCAGACGTCTAAATTATCGAGGCTACCATGCTCGTACTTATTGCACTATCAAAGGTACGTTTTCCGGGCAGACCTTATCTGGAGTTTGAACTAATTGGTTGATAATGATTGACGGGGACGTAGCTGGGAGCCCAAGACGACGCCGACATCAATATGGCATTGGCGCGGATCAACCTCAGTCAAAGAAGGTTGCTGTCACGGCGCAAAGTTTCTGCCTAACCAGGAGATTGCATCCTACTTAGGGCAAAAGATATGTCCCATGGCACCCGGAAGGACGGCTTTCCTGCGAAATAACAGAATTGAGCGACAACCCATAAACGACAGCATTCAAGACCGTCATATCCCGAGGTGCGAGGCATTACTAGATCACATGTTGTCGGCATCTGTACTTTTCTTAGGCTCTCTTGTATCGTGTATGGAGTCAGCTGGGTGCTAGGAGATTCTTGACAGGGTGGGCCACTGGCAGCTGGCGTAGGAAGGGCAAAGGATCAGTGAGGAAAGCATGAGTTGTATTGAGGTGCTAACGAGTGGCTATATAGTGAAGAGAGACCAGGGGTTGCAGGCAGCAACGGTGACAAAACAACAGGTGAACCTTGTCCAGCTGAGAAGTGAACCCTGTACAGCTGAGACGCGTAGACAGACGTGCGTAGGAGCATTCTAACTGGCTGCCAGCCACAGTTGCAAGGAAGCGATGACACCTTGCCGGAATGCTGAATACAGAGATTCCAACACAGTACATAGCCACGGCCTTCCTTGCTGCAACAATTGGTGGCTGATAGGCAATTCTGTGGACCTAATACTCCCACGAAGAGGCCAGCGTTCACAAGATTCATACCTCGGCTAGAATAGTTCAAGGAGCTGTGTCAGGCAGGAGTAGAGTACCTAAGCGGCTGTCAGTGGCAACAAGTTTGGATTTGTATGTGTGCGCTCTTGTCCTGGCCTTCACATCCACAGAAAGACGCCGTACATGTTCAGTTTGCGAAGCAGGATTTCGATGTTCTGGAGCAACCACCGCAATCGGCCATCATGGAGATTCCGGTGCTCGTTGTCGAGCAGCCTCAAGAGCTTATTTCGACACACGGAAGTCTTCTCCGAAGCCCAACACTTGCCGACGACTAGCTCGAAGCTCCTGGAGCAGCGATGCCTGGCCGAGAAATACTGCAAGGCTGTAAGCTCCCCTCAACCGCAATCTCCATCGCTCTTTACTGACTCCTTCAGACGCAGGCCAAAGCATTATATATAACATCATCCTCAACCCTAGCTCGCCGCTATCGTACATACGACCCATTTAGATTCCGTCGACTTATATAACGACTTCCAATTACCCTTGAGCTACTGCGGGAGACTCAGCGATGGGGCAGACGTTCACAAGCACAAACCTAAGCACTACCCCTCGCTAGCGGCCTTATCAGATCTCATAGGCAAGGTCGCCAGGACCTACACTCTACTCCTGCAAGCGTATATGACAGACCAACACTCCATTAGTATATAACACCATCGGCGGGACGCCTTCTGTGACGAGACGACCGAGCCATTGGAGTACCTGGCACCTGCCAGCAACTATGAGCCGATCAGAGAAATAAAGCCTCCTTCGGCACCACAGGCTTTTACTCCATGCCATACGAGATTGCGAAGAGATCTGTGACATGCACTACGCCAACAAGTCCAAAGAGTCTCTCGATACTTGGGAAGATATTGAAGAGCGACTGCTTGACGTTCGAAATCCAAGGAACCGACTATTCACCGGAAATACAGTCACGGCAGGCTGCAACTTTGACATGCGTCTCGTTGCAATCCTTCTTCGTGGACTCATCGGTCTACTGCGGGCAAGAAGGGGCCTTTCACTATCTGCAGTCAGCTAGATCATCCTTGGACCACAGCTCTCATACAGCGCCTATCTGCAGACCATCAAACGCATCCATCGGATGGGCCAAATTTTCAACTGTCCGGCCTACTTAGCGCCCGCAATAAAGAGAGATCCCCAACTTCCATGGTCTTGCCGTCTGGACAAAGTACAATCGAGCACGATGACTGGGAGTCCCTCTGTCGTGAGAAGTCGAGCGGGCTTTGGACGTAAGATTGATGATGTTATATATCAACAAGATAAGAGCGTGATTATATAAGAAATGGGTGAATATTGGCCACTATGGAGGAGACCAATTCGGATCGCGATAGGAAACAGTTTTGCGGGTTTCTTGGCAGACGCTTCTTCAAGGGGATGAATATTGGCACACCCCTTTTCACTCTACGCACACCCTGTCGCTTCATTGCTTTTTGATTGGCTCGGAGGGGCCGGAGCTTCCTCCGGGCATTCACCTTTACGTCTCTCTACACGTGACGCTATACGTGAGGCCGTACATAAGCTCGTACGTGAGGCTATATGTGATGCGGCACGGCTATACAGCCTCTCTGTTTTACGGCGCATTCTTTCTGTTTCCTTCAGCCGTATATACAGTTGTACGTAAGACAGTATATAAGGCCGTGAGTAATGCTGTATATAATGCTGTGTGTATAGCTAGCTATACGCGCAGTGCCAATGTGCCTAGGAGGATGCCGAAACTATTAAGACGTCGCTTTCTAGAGGCTCCTTTCCATCAAGCCTGGCTTGCCTGCATTGCCGCCTGCACCTGCATCGCCGCCTGCGCTCGCTCATTCACTTCTAAGAGAGCACGAGATGAAGCTCCGAAGAGTCGACCCGGCCCCTCCGAGCCAATCAGAAGGTGGTGAAGCGACAGGGTGTGCGTGGAGTGATTAGGGGGTGTGCTAATATCCCTCCCCTTCTTCAATGGACCGATGGAACTTTCTTGGCGAAAACGAGAGCAGTAAACTTCAAGTCTTCACCTTTGATATCAAAACCGGTCTCCTAAGAGGTTGGTCCAATAGGCCGGATTTCTTTCTCTTTCTCCATCCAAATAACCCATGAAAAATCTCCATGACATCCGGCATCGAGTCTAGCTGCAGCTTCGATGTTGACTCGCATGGGAACAAGAGTTACGGGTAAACAGCTACCTTTTTCTCAATTCCATGTCCAGCATAAAGTATGCACGACATTTGGGACCTCTCATGCAAGAAAAATCCGCGAGTCGTTTAAATACAAGCCTTGGCACTACGAAGCGCGACAGTAGTAGCTAGGGGCCACCTCAGGGCGACTCAGAAGCTCCACGCTGAAGATCTTCTCGCTTGGAAGTATGCAGTTCATACGACAGAACTGGAATTCCAGAAGAAGGCAAGGAAGCGGGAGAGGAATGCAACGAAGGACAATCCCTGCGATGGGGGGCGCGGATCCGCCGAAAACCAGTTCTTGAACCTCATATCAGCGCAGGTCAATCCTCTACGGACGATCCTTCGGCCTTATCGACGCAAATAACGTTCCTTGGTCAGCAACCCATCTGACGCAGGATGAGATGAACGAGCACCCAAACGATCATACCCGCACTTCAAGCCATCAGAGGCAATATCATGGAACATGTCGCATCAGCAGTTGCAAAGGCTCACTCGTTGCCCTATGAAGACTTCGCGGTCACTTCTTTCGACCTTGTTCAGGACCTCGCGGCGCGGACCGTGTCGTTCTCACGACCTTCAACACCTATAAAGAGGGTCGACAGTGAGAAGTTGCTACCACGAAATCTGCCAAATTCATGACGACATCTAAGTTGCAAGTCATGTTTGGAAACCGAGCTCCGTCGAAGAGCAAGGCCGCTGCTGATTTGCGAGACATTGCCCTTGAAGGCGTGCAGCTTATTGCTGCAACTTCTGGTGCCATGGCGTTGTTCAGCGACCTAGAGGACAATTCCAAGTTCCCATGGGACTACGAAGTCGTCATCTTTGACGAAGGGTCTCAGGAAACCGAGCCAGCAATCCTGGTGCCGCTCATGGGCAGTAAAAAGATCGACCTAATTATTATAGCACAAGTATTGAAGCTGAAGGGAGATTTGGGAGCCTCATCGTACCAGTGCTTATACAATATAGATTCGCAATCATATATCCTTGCCCGACGGAACTGTATATGGCTCACTTGACTTGATGATTCTCGGAGAGTCTAGCCCCTGATCGACTAACATCATTCTCGAACGTAGTAGGCTAGAATTGTTTTACGCCCGTCTTTATACCCTGTCACTTTGAAGAAGTCTTTCCACACATTGAAACAAATTTTTCCTATCATATTACTGATCCGTCTCTTACGACTACCACTTCATCACAGCAACCCTAGCAAAAAGAAATATAGATAGAGAGTGAAGGTCGGCACCGAGGATCGAACTCGGGTCAATTACAATTTTAGTCCTGGGATTGCAGGAATTGGAATTCATTATAGCCAACTAAAGCACACCGACTTTGAATTAAGTTGAGTGGTGTGGTTGAAGAAGTATCTCATGTACATCATCATCTAAGTAGATGTCTGCGAGTAGTCAACCCTGACGATTGCTTTTCAGTCATCAAAACAAGTATCTCTCACCTTGATGCCTATCCATCTCTTCCGTGCACGCCCCCACTACAACCCCACAAGGAAAAAAAGATAACGAAGAGGGAAGGGTCGGCGCCGAGGATCGAACTCGGGTCCTTTTTACGGAGCCATTACTCCAGTAGAACCATTATAGCCAACTAAACCACACCGACTTGCATTAAAGTTGAGAGACGCGGTTGATTTCAGCATCTTATGTACACCATCAGCTAAGTAGACGTCAGTGAGTAATTCTGTGGCTAAGGAGAGGAAAGTATCGAAAGGCTCCATACTCCAGTACGTTCTCAATTTCAATGCAGCAGTCATAAAGCCCACTCACGAGACTTGAGCAATTGGAAAGAAACAGTATAAATGATCGGATTGACTGAACGAGAGTAATAAAAAATCTAAACTTCCTACATAGCTCATGCAAAGGCTTCTCCGATCCACCCCTTTACCATACCATCCTACCCCTCCTAGGCCCACGGCCAGCCAAGAACACCCGAAGTCATGAAAAGCGGCTCCTCTTCCACTCTCTTCAACGCCTTCAGCTGCGTGACATTCCAGTTGCACCAGATGAACCTGCCCCTGGCAAATGCCGCTTCGGCACTGGCAGCCCACAGGATGAAGTGCGCCGGAAGCTTGACTAGATATCACACAAAGCTGTCAGTTTTCGTAGTTCACTTCTGAGGAATTGGACCACTGTGGTCCCAAGTAATTGCCTCACCATCGTCCATCGGCATATTGTCAATTCCCGACTTCTTGTTCATCGCCGTATCGACCACTCCAGGGTGCAGCGTCACCACGTGCACATCCGGATACTCGGCGGCCACGAACTCGAAGAACTTGATAGTCGCGAGCTTAGACGTGACGTAGGAGGAACCACCCTCTAGCATTGCGGCGGGCATGCTGACAACCGCGGAGGAGACACCAACGAGGGAGCTATTTGCGTTGCGCTGGGGCAGGAACGCTTTGGTGACGATGAGGTTACCTTTGACGTTGATCTAGCAATCTGTCAGCTTCCGCAAAATACAAAGAGGTGGGTATCAAGCAATACCTCAAATCCCTGCCACCAATCCGCAAGATCGAGCTCCTTTAGCGTCTTACTCTTGGGGAGGTATCCCGCATTAGAAACGAGAACGTCCCAGGAGCCGACTTCCTTGGCCGCCTTCTCAACGCTCGCCAGGTCGGTCACGTCGGCGACGTGGAGGACGATCCTAGTGCCGGGGATCTCTTTCTCGACGATCGCCTTCGTCTCGGAAAGGGAGGACTGCGTGCGGCCCAGGATATGGATGGTTTTGGCGCCGGCAATGGCGAAGGTGAGGACGGTCTCGCGGCCGATTCCAGTGCCACCGCCCGTGATCACGATGGTCTTACCGGCCATTGAGAGCTCCTTGTTGCTGGGGTTGATGGCATCGTAGGTCTCGTTGTGCCATTCGGCGACTGGGGAAGGCCAGGGAGGAAGCATGGTGAGAGAAGTTATTGAAGAACGGCTTAGAAGCTGAGGTGATGAGGCGCTGAGAAGATGATTCTTGGGGTAAGAGTTGCTGGTTGTTGGCTTGTTGAAGTGATGGTTGTTGGATGAAAATATGAAGTGTGAGAAGGTACGGCTTCTTATACTCGTATGAGATGTGAGCTCTTCACCTACGAAGCTTCTATCTGCACGACGATATCCGGTTAGCACAGATTCATCATCAAGAACTCCTTGCGCGACTTGTGCTGTTGAAGGTGATTAGAAATGGCTCATCTAGTTCCATTTCAGGAGGCTGGTGTCGCTGTTTCTCCTTGTCTTCAAGATAACCGCGTTGGGACATTGAAAGCTTGGTCACTATATCTGACTACATGGAGCCATTTTGTTGAAGATCTTTCGTGAAGAAATCATGCCTGTATATGCTAGCTTCGTTTTATTGCACTAGGGCTTGCACAACCTTGCATCCACGGCCTGCTTACAGCATTCCTCACACTCAAGCCAATGGAAGAAGTGTTGGTTAATTCATGATGTAGATATTTTGGCTTCATTTCGTCGCACTAGGATTTGCGCAACCCCGCATCCAAAGCGTGGATACGTCAAGTCTTCACAATCGAGCCGATATTGAAGAGAAGTGCTGGTTAATGCATGATAAAGGCGCCTCTAGGGGAAAGAAAGTGTTGGTTAGTTGGTAAACGCGCCTTCTCTAGAAAAAACGAAAGTGAGTCTAGACAACGCGTACCACGAGCCACACGATGGAGATATCTACACACTATGACGTGTTGTAACGTGTTCCCGTAACCTGCGCTGTTGGGTCGATGCGCATTCGAATAATTGAGCGTGCTCATGCTCCACATCAACACGACCTGTCGTGATGACGGAAGAAGGCTTCACTTCTTCGAGCCCTCATTACTAAACAGCTTCTCTTCACATAGGCTTAGGACTCGTAAAAGGCCGTCATAAAACCATAACTGAGTACAGTGCTAGCCTAAAGCGGTCGTAATTACTAGAAAGGGCTCCCGGGTATATGCAAGCCACAGTCTCGCACTTCGGCCTTTGCTTACTTGCCGCTGCGGAGAAAGGTTCAGCGATTGGTGTGACAAGGATCCTCGAAAAACGTGATCTGGCTCTTTGTTTAGTGATCGGTGGAGACGTCTGCGTCTATGGTGGACGTTTGCGATCCACGGTGAGATAAGTAAGCGAGTCGTGAATGCAGATAGGCTACACCAACCAATCAGATGCCGGCGATGAATAGTCATCACCCGTGCTTTCCTCAGGGGTTTCTTGACATTGGAAATACGTTATACAGACCCAACTGAAGACGTGATTATTAAGAAAGGACACAGTGTTCCAAGGAAGCACTCATACTGCTGCGAAGTAGGATATAAATTCACCTAAAGTCCTTAGAGTAGAGCAATTCACTCCTCCATTCCTCTGAAACCATCACTCGAAGTGACTTCAATTGAAAAGAAAATCCACCCTCAAACTTCAGTTCCAATCCGAAATGGCGTATATCCTTCTCACCGGCGCGTCCGGCAACCTAGGCGCGGTGATTCTCGAGCAGCTCCTGAGCGAAGGCCACAATGTCAATGCCATCATCCGATCTTTCGCGAAAAACAAGGGTGCTATCACAAAGATACACCAGAAAGCAGTGGATTCCGGCAGACTCAGCTTTACCGAAATCCCCGATATGGCGGCCCCGAAAGCATTCCACGAATCGGCGAAGAATGCATCCGCAATCATCCACGCCGCAACACCCTTGAGCTACGACAACTTCCTCGAAGAAATCATCAAGCCTGTTTCTATCATCACTAATAACGTGCTTGATGCTTCCGCTGCCTCGCCGACTGTCAAGAGACTCATCATTACCGGAAGTATTGTGTCCACGCTCAAACTCCCGGATGAGCTTTACAGCGGAAAGACTCTCAGCGAAAAGGACTGGAACCCATTGACTGCGGAGCAAGGGGTCGAGAATGTATTCAACGCATATGCGTACTCTAAAACAATTTCAGAACAAGAGGCATGGGCCTACATGGAGGAGAAGAAGCCATCCTTCGAACTTATCTATCTCCTGGCGCCGTCTATCACTGGAAAGAGTACCCAACCTGGTGCGAAGCTCTCCAGGCAGCAGCTTGGAGGTATCGGAGGGTTCTATAGAAGCCTTTTCGATGTGGAAACACTTGGATGGCAGTTCCCCTACTACATGTAGGCTCCCGCTCACCCTCCTCCGTCGCTTAAGGAAGCTAACAAGCGTCTTAGGGATGTCGAAGATGTGGCCGCAATCCATTTGAAGTCTCTCTCGCCATCTGTACCTGGAAACCTTCGCTACCTCTTCCACAGCGAGGGCATAATGAACGAGAACACAGTCGCAGACTTCGTCCGAGAAAAGTACCCCGAGTTGAAGAGTCGAGTCCCAGCCGGCGCAGAGAAACTGGTCATACCGGAGGGATTGGTCAAGACGGACATCTCAAGAGCGAACGCCGCTTTCGGTACGGGATGGAAGAGCTGGCAAGACTCGGTCGTGGAAATGGTCAATGATGTTATTCGATTCGAGCGAGAGGGCTTGGTTGACGGGGGAGTACCGAGTGTCGTGCTCCCCAGATTAGATGAATAGATACCATGAGGTTTGGCAACGAGACAGACTCAAGGTTGCTGTGTATATATAGGCATGGCGCTTTGTGGAACTGTTTTAGCCACTGTTTCTAGTCTTGACCTAGAAACTTCAAATATGCACATCGAGCTACTAGAATACTAGAATATCTCTGAGAGATCGCTGATTGAAGCCTTAATATGTATCTAATTCTGATGACTGTTGTAGTAAACGTGAGGAATGAAGTTAGTATTCATTCGATAAAATGATGGGAACGGGAGAGCTTGAAAGGTTGCTGGTGCGAGAAGTAGTGACGCTTAGTCATCTAGAATAGCGCCTCGTCTCGAGGTCACGGAATCGGACCACCATCTCTTCATGCATCACATACAGGTAACGCGCACTGTTGTTCAGCCCATCGGTCATGACATAATATGCCCTCTCAAAAGGCATCTCTGTGAATTAGTTGCAAGAAGGAGTGCCTGTGCTACCTTTCTGCTTACAGATGGGGTCTGAAACCCCCCGCTGACGCCAGCAGACAGGCTGGCTGTTGGAAACGAACGAAAGAGACCAAGATTTGAGACTCGTTATATACGCCACAAGAGTCGTCTTAGCTTATCCTTCTTGACAGGGAACAGGCGTATTTACCTTGACTGGAGGGACGCCTCGTTGTTTTGCACGACTAAAACAACAGCGGCCTCTTTACTGCGCCCTGCTGACTTGTCACTCACCTACATATTCAATTTATTTTAGGGTCTAATAAATATTGGTAATACGTCTTTTAGTGGTCTATTTGATGAGCTCTGCGTACTACATGACTTTCTTATCATTTTACTTTCCGGTTTCAGCTTCGCGGGAGTCCGGGAGTTACTCGTAACAATGAGCGAGCAACCTTTCTTATCAAATCCGGCAAACGAACAGGCAGTCGAGTCGCGATTGATCAATGGCAACAACTCCTCGTCGGCGTTTTTGTCCCATCTAATACCAGATGATGGTGATCCTCCGTCTTCTTCACAGGTAAAAGGAACAACAATACGAGGCTTCTGGTCAGAGAAAGTTCGAGCGAAATCTAAGAGCCCTCCAAACAGCCGCCCGTGGTCGTCACGACAGAAGGTTCCATGGACAATACTGCTCGCTTTATTCGGAGTTCTCTGCTCCATCATCGGTGCCGGAGTAGTCCTTTTCATCGCACACCACCATTCCACCAAAGATTGGCCAGAAAGCATCTCGCCTACAGTATGTCTTGCCATAATAGCAGCATCGGGAGGACTCTGCATCGACTTTGCGATGAAAGAAGGTGCCGCAATTGCGTGGTGGACTAGATCGCTGAAATCGGGGACTCTAAACGATTTGCATCGGCAATGGATGGCTGCAGATAGCACTTGGTCTGCCATCATAAGCTTCTGGCCACTTAACCGAGTATCTGTTGCGAAAGTCCTTGTCCTAATAGCTATCGTCTATGGAACTCTTCTCCAGCGTGCCATATCGGCCGAGACTATGGACAAAACCAAGGGCGGAACGATAAAGATTCAGATCGCAACAGACGTTTCTCGATTCAACACGACGCCAGTTAACGACTTCTATACTGATCAAAGGAAGGCTGCAAACGTACTTTCTCCGTGGTTTGTGGACGTTATCCGAGGCTTTGGCACCAATAGCCCGATACTGGCGGACACAAACAAATGCAATGGCACTTGCACCGGCACTATTCAAGCGTTTGGGTTGAACGGAAGCTGTCCAATTGGTAACTCGGTTGCCACAGACTGGGCACAGAAGTACTACGACAACAACCTGGATACTGCGACACTATTCAATATTAGCTTTCCTGTACTAGAGCTACCAGTAGTGACGGTCAACAGCCCTATCAGCCTTGACCCCGAAGCAAACCCACAGATCGTCTTCGACGTCACCTACTGGAACCCTGACGCTCCCAACTTCGAAAATCATGGCGCTTCCAATGGTAATGCTGCAGGAAACTACACTTTTTGCCCTGGAAAACTAATGACGAAGTCTTGCTCGTTCTTTATCGACGTCACGGAGTATCCCGTGGAGATGAATAGCACCACGATGTCTCTAGACAGCAACACTGCCACGTTCCCACTCAAATCTCACATCTCCAAGGGCCACCTCGAGTACCAGCGCCTCGCAGGCTTCCAAGTAGCAGCGCGCAATCTCTTCAGCGCCAGTGCCCGGCTCTCTGACCCAACATTTTCCGAAGTGAGCTCGGGCACGCAACCCACATTTTCCACCGTGTATTGGAACGTCGACACCGTCGGTTCTCTTGCGTCTGAGCATTTCCAGCTTCCCGATGGCGTATACCCAAACACTTGCTCCCAAGGCTACTCAGATCCGACAGACCAAATCGTCTCGTCCCTCTCGCGTCTCATCTTCCGCAGCGCTGTCGCCGCTGGACGTGATGCGCCGTCGCTGTATGGGAACTATGAGCAAGATGTTGCAGTGCAGCAGACGACGTCCGAGGTCGTATACGTGAGCCACTACGTGTTCTACTACATTGCGGCGGCTATCATGGTGGTGGCGATGTTGGGCACGATAACGACGCTGCATGGATGGTGGAGGCTCGGTAGGGCCGTATCGATGAGTCCCCTAGAGACTGCGAAGGCGTTTAGTGAAGAACTCTTGCACGGGGATGGCACTTCGAATGCAGAGGTGGGGGACTTATTGCGGGTTGTTGGGCGGAGAAGGGTGATGTACGGAGAGATCGTGATAACGGATAGCCAAGGAGTAAGAGAGAGGAAGGTCTTGAGATTTGGGCATCCAGATGATGTGAGGGCGCCTGTTCGAGGAGATGTCTTCGAGTGATTTTCAGACGAGTAGGAGTCCGCTCTCTTGTCCTTCATGCCTTCCTTAATAAAGACGAATTAGGTCGAAACTTCCCCAGAGTCGACGAGACTCCAACGAACGACGCAAACTTCAATTTGAGTCCCGATGAGAACAAGCACAAGAAATGAAAAGTCCTCAATCAGCGGACCATAGACAGACCCCGTATTAAACATACAGAAGGCGAGAGCCATCAAAGAAATCTCGTACCGAGTCCGGAGGTCTTCCATGGTATGGTGTTCTGCGTGCTCTTTTCAAAATATTTCAAGGTAAAGCGGACACAGGAGCGAAGGGCATAGTGGGAATAAGTAGTTGGCGGGTGCTGTGGTATTTCATCTTCAATTCCGCGGTAACGATGATTCCACAACCCTCACCAACCATGGAACCCTCAAAATCAGCGCGCCGACTCCCACAGAGCGCAAAATCATGCTATTAAACTTGCCCATCTTCCTTCTTCCCCTCCCAACCTCACATACGCTATCCCATAAAACCCAACCGCCACAACCTCTCCTTCTCACAACCCCAAAACGCTACCAGACGGCACAGCACCCACCACGATGTTTAACCCCTTCAAAAACCCCACCCCAACCCGCAACGAGTTCACCACCAACTTCAACCGCTACGCCACATTCCACCTTTCGGGAACGCCGGACTCCCCCGACTGCGTCATCTGCACATGCCCTTGCGGCCCAAAGCGCCCGCGGATGCGCCTCCGCGACTGCCAGCACGACTTCTGCTCGCTTTGCTTCGAAAAGTGGCTCAATAGCGGGCAGCGCGCCGCTGACAAGTGTGTGATGTGCCGCAAGGTGCTTTTTGTGCCCGACGACGAGACTGACTCCTCCTCCTCCGAGGCATATGATAGCGATGACTCCTTGAATGCATTGATCGACCGTATGGTGCTAGCATGATTGATGCGTTCGTCTATCTCTGCTGAGATTTAAGTGACAAAACTTCAACACATGGTTCTATGAGTAAGTTAGCCATCTTATCACCTAATAAGGAGATTCTCGAAGCTTTGCTGTGGCATATTAGGAAGCTATATATTCACCTCAATCCCCGGCCTCCTCTATGGAATAGAGACTAAAAAGAAAATAGGATAGCAAGTTATATGCACACAAACGCTTTACAATATATCAGGCCAAACTTCGCATATCCAAACTCTTCCAGTTCCGACACCGATGCCAATTGTGTTCCCTAACACCGCTAAACATGACGGCCGATACTCTGACGGTAGCCATACTAAGTTCTCAGAATTATGTGTTATCCATGCTCCATTTGAACTCAACGCTAGGCCTTGATATCTTGGACTCTGAGGCTTTATAACCGTAGATGTACTACTTAGAACTAATGGTGCTACACTAATACTAATAGTACCAATTGCAGTGTGAAGATAGAAACCAGTAGTGTCAAATGATATATTGCTGAGCGCCGTGCCAACGTACTCGGGTTGCAGCACTACAACCTAGGGTCAGCAACTCATATGCAGTAACGTATCAGGATAACATGCTGATACAGGAGGAAGTAACAGGTAGTGCAACAGCAGTGCTGCAGCACGGTATCAGTACTGTATCAGGAAACAGGATGAATCAAGTAACGCGTCAGGAAGAGATACCACGTTATGCCCCCGGGGCTGGCCCCCCTCCTTCCCCTAGTATATAAACAACGAGCTAGACACCCATAGAAATCAGAGTTCACATCAATTTCAACCTGAGTAACGTCGAGCGTCTGCAGGCACGCGCCGCTGTTTGCATCCCAGATCTTGACTGTGCGGTCGTACGACGCCGACGCCGACGCCGACGCTAGCCGTGTTGAGTCGTGAGAAAAGGCCACTGAGTTGACCGCATCGCTATGGCCCTCGAGCGTCTGCAAGCATGCGCCCCATTCATCTTCTATAGCCGGCTTTATCGTGATCCACCTTGGCTCTTCCTTCTTAAAAAGACCCCTTATCAGGCTGCGAGCTGGACTAAAGACAAGTGCAGACGCATATGCCTGCAGAGGACAGTTTTCTATTGCCCACTTGTGATACATGATAAATCGGCGTGCGTCTTGAACAAGCTTAATTAATGCACATGCATTTGCTCTTTCCTATGTTATATTAGCATATACTAAACAGAGGTAGCATTAGCAAGTTAAGAGATACCTGGATTACAGCCTCGAATCTTGCTACCGAAACAACCCCCTCTGGAATGCTCTTACAAAGGCTAAGAGCCTCTAGCCAGTACAGGTACTTTTCTTCAAGAAAGCTTTTAACAGCACCGCTATCTTGCAGGTCGAGACTGTGATCTATAGAAGCATTGGGAATCCAGTTACAAAGGTGATTGACCCAGTAGACACACGAGTAGCGCGATGCTGCTAATGGGTCTGGATCTGGCTGTGTAACCAGCTCAGCAGGATATCCTAACGAACCTAGGTTGTACATGTTTCGTTGTAGCGTTCTGGACATGACCTGGAGAGATCTTGAGAGGATTGCATAGTAGACCTCTTCCCTGCCAGAGGGAAAGACCGTACTAGATGCTGTAGTTAATAGAAAGTCCTTTGCCGACTGATGCACAAAATAGATGATGCCTTCTCGATGAGTAAGGAATGACCCGCAAAGGTCAATGATCTCCCGGGTTGACGCTAGATCGTCGGCTATGTCGTCGAGCATCTCTACAAGAGATGTTAGCTCTTTCAGTGTAACGGGTCGGTATACAATCGAAATTAGGGCAAGTATCCGCTTGCAGAGATCAGCATCGTCTGAGTTGCATATTTGCTCCATCATTCGCTCGTAGAGAGAATCAAGTCCAGGTGGAAATGCGCTTAGTTTAGCGACGGCATTCCATCGTAGGGTCTTCTCAAGGTTTTGACAGACTAAAGCTACCCAGAGGAAAGTGTTATTCGCATTTGCGAGCAGATGAGCTAGCACGGCATCTCTCGTCTTGTCGTTGTACATCTTGTCCTCGGCCAGCTGAAGCACTTTATGTCGGATGTATATATTGACAGCCATAGAAATAGACTCTGTATTCAGCTCAAGGGAAAGATTCACCCTTTGTCCCACCTTCCCTAGACGCTTGCCAATGTCAAGACAGTTGCGGCTAGAGACAACCCATTTAACACGAGAAGATACAGGTGTCTTCTCAACAATAAAGGCTAACAATTTTGATAAGTCCGTGATGCATTCGTCTAGCGCATCGATAATCAAGTATGTGCTGCTCAAATTCGGGTCTTGCAGGATGTGTGTGAAGATCTCGGACAAGGCGACCCAGGCATTCGGATCTTCGAAGAGAGTTTTGCCTGCGTGATCGTACTTCTTCCGCATATGGGAGATGAGCGACGGCTGCTGTTTAACAAGTAAGTACAGCAGACCTCGCAGCACGGCCGTGGCGCTGTTGAGTCGCGAGTCCGTGGCCTGGCAGAAGAAATAGGACAGGAGATTCGTCTTGATTATCGACTTCTTTAACTCGTCAACAATGCCGCAGAGCAGCATCGTCTTACCCTTACCAGGATCCCCTTTAACCCATAGCAGTCGACTCTGTTGGTTGTCACGCCATTGTTGGAAGTCCGAGTTTTTAAGTATCCAGTGGTAAGAGTCTACGAGCAGTCCGCCCTTGGTGTCTTCGATGCGCTTTTTGTCATCACAGGGATCAGTTGAGCGTAAGTCTCGAAGGCATTTGTTTAGCTTATCAATCTCCTCTTCAAGCCGTTTGAACGCACTTGTGGATCCTTCTCCATAGCGAAGAGGCATTTCGACGTCGAAAATACCAAGTAGTGAGTACGCTTTGTCTTCTTCAACCTTTGTCTGGCGGCATTGTATCCACAAAAATCGCTCGGTGTTGCTAAACTGAGACAAACGTGCTCCTTCAAGTGCTGCATTAGGAATTCCTGTGATTTCGCGGATGTGTTGTCTTAGCGATCGTTTGTTGCCAAGTTTCTTCTGTTCTCGGGAGAAAAACTCAACTGAAGTCGGCGCAAGAAGCTCTTGGAGGGTCCAGCCCCGGGTGAACCATCTGCTTTCCCGAAAAGCCCGCTCCCAAGTATATTGATAGGAATTATCGTTTGCTTTTCGCTTGACTGTCGAGACATCGGAAAGATAGACATAGCATCTCACTGCGTCCTGATACCAACGAAACATAGAGTTGATAGCGTCCCGAAGCTCCACTGGGTTGGACTTATCAATGCAGCAGGTGTCCACCCAAAAGTATGGTAAACCATCGCGTTCAGCCTGTCGTCCACAAAACTGAATCTTATCGTAGCCAGCCTTGTCCAGTCCGGTACCATCCATCAAATCGCGGAATGTGACTTCGTGGCCCTCCTTCCAGGTATGTGAGAGGATCGCATATGGAGGGATTGGATCGTCGCCCACGAAGTACTTGGTAAGACTGATCTCACCAGCGTCGTTGCGTAGCAGAAGACGCATTGTTTTGCATGGAGCTGGACGGCGGCAAGCAGTATAGGAACGGATTTCGGCCGGGTTCAAATGTAGCAGCCTGACCGAAAAGACGAGCGCCGCAACTCGTTCTTGAGAATATCAGACCTAGCCATCGAGTGTTAGCGAGTATACTGGAAGATAGGACGCTGAACTATACCGAAGATCCGCATCTGAGAGCGAGATGCTGCAGAGTGCTGTGGGCCGATTTTGTTGTGAGCTCGAGGTGGGGTGCGGCTGGTTACACAGCCCACATTGTGGCGCGATTAGGCTGCCATGCAGTGCTTCAGCAGAAGGCGAATTTGCAATTGAGTAGACTGAATATGCTTTATCTTGAAGTGGACGAACACCTTGACCACACTAGCAGGGAGGACGGCCGACCCGCTCCGGCCACAACCTTGTGCGAGAGGAGTTGAAATTTTCCGAAACATAGATTTGGTTGAGAACACATTGTTCATTTTGTGCTGGGTCTGACATCAACATCCAAAACATAGTGAAATGGAGCATTGTTTTTGCATGATGTGATGTGTGATTCGCACTCTCGACCGTTTGACGTCCGTCAAGATGTTAGCAACAGACTAGAGCACCTCTAACAGTGGGTGGCGAAACGAGCAGATCCAAATAGTGTATTAGTCTATCTATTTTGGACTTTGACGATCTTACCTCTCAACCCCGGTTTTTGTGATTTCTGAAGTGCGTAAACTCCCATCCAAGCATTGTGTAATGATCTTTTTCGAGTCCTATACCTAGGTCCGAACTGAGGAGGTCTGAAGATAGTCGAGGTGTTAGGTTGCCGTTTTGAGACCAGAAGTACCAGTTCTAGTCGCGGACTAGTAGGATGACTATGACACTGGACGGTCGCACTCTCGGACGACTATTATCATGAAGAAACGGTGGAAGTAAAACCTCTTCGACGTCCTAATGAGCCTGATCTGAGCGCCGCTGCTGCTGCTCCTGTTCTGAGCGCCACTGTTCCTCCTGTATGTGCTGATGTTGATACGCTTCGAAGTGCAGTCGTCCGAGTTCATTCGACGGCATACCTGCCCGCTGTAGCGTCACAGAACTCCCCATCTGAGCATGCAGGTAACGCTCGTCATACGGCATTGGAAGGTCCACTGCGTTCCGCAAAGCGGCCACCAGCTCGGCCGGTCCCGTGGCATTTCTACCTGTCGCCGCGACTATAAGCCCGGCTCCCTCTCGCTGAAGTTGCTCTTCCCGCTCAAACTCCTCTTCCCGCTGCGAAGCCTCTGCAATCCGTCGCCGAACCTCCTCAACGGCCTGCCGAGCTTCCACTTCGCGTTGCTGGGTCTCCTCTAGCCGGACCTCTAGGTCCCACCGCCGATCTTGTTCCATGCGGAGAGAATCCTCCCTAAGAGAAAGCTCCCGGTGGAGCTGGGCATGGTTGTGCATCAAGCGCCCCCGAGCACGCTGTCGATTCTGATGCTCCCGCATCTCCTGATCCCGCTGATCTAGATGACCTTCGTTGATAGCTGCCATCCTGGCATGCCTTTGATCGAGCTCAGACCGGATCGAAGTTTGCTGCTCAGTAGGTTCTGGGAAGGTAGGCACGGTGCCCTGATGCTCGTTCCGAAATGCTCGAACTCTATCCCTCAGAGCTTCGTAGCGACTACGTGGAGCCGAGAGATCATCCCTAGGACCTGTCCGGGCGCGGGGAAGAAGAGGGCCCCGACTTGGTCTGGGGGCTCCCGGAACATGCTGTAAGGTGAGGTTCACAGGAACAGCCGTCTTGTTCTGCTGCTGATACCCCGAGTCCTGAGTTTCCTGCTCCCCAGGACGTCCCAGAGGAGCTTCGAACCGACGAAGGCCGGGTGTATCGTTGTGTATACGGCGTGCAGCCAGGTCCCGCTGAAGGCCCTCCGGAAGAGGTGCCACGTCGATTCGATGCCGTTCAGGGAATTGCGCAGCACCCGCCGTAGCTTGTTGCTCATCAACATCCCTCCTAAGAGCCCCAAAGAGAGAACCAGCAACCGGCCGACCTCGCGTAGGAATTGGCGTGGTCTGCTGCGTAGGTTCTGGACGCGCAGCCATACCGCCCTGTTGTTGACCGCCGGCCGCAGAGCTGGCCTGATCCCGCGCTTGAAGAAGTCGTCCTCGAAGTGCTGAGAGGTCGCGCAGAGCAGCATTAGTCGGAGGTACCGAATTGTCTAGCTGAGTAAATTCCACCCGGTCATCCAGTCCAGCGGCATAGCGATGACGTGGCCGAGTCAGTTCATCGATGTGCCAGCGGGCCGCACGCGCCATTGCAAGCTGATGATATCGTAGGTGCGGAACTCTTCCATCTGGACCCAGTTCATTCCCACGCCCAAACAGCGTAATCCTGCACATTGGGCACTTGTCATGGTTGAAGTTAACACTGCCAATCCACGTCATCAAGCAGCTTCGCCCAAAAATATGATGGCAGCCATCGATGCCCGTGATCTGGACCGCTGGATGATTGGCGTTGAGCATTTCGTGACAGATATTGCACTCGTGTGGTTCCGGATTGTTGATCTCGAGGGCGGTGAGATGGTTGGCGACGAATTCGGCGGGGGTGGCGGGACGGGTTGGAGGATCGGGAGAGGACATGCTGGGAGGCGGCGGATGGTATTGGATGGTGTGATATGGTAGAGGACTGATTTGCGATGTGGGTTGTGTGGTGTGGGCCGTGTGTGGTTGTAGGCGTGTTGTAGGTGTAATTGGAGAGCGGGAAGATATAAGAGCGCGACTGGTATTTTTGTGGGAGCTAATATGGGTAGGAGGGTGAATGGCGGGCGCGCATTGAGAATAGAAAGAGAGAGACAAATGGTGAATTCAAGATTACTGGACGGCGCTGCCAGGCGCGGCATGAGAAGTTCACCTACATTGCATCCAAAATTTGTGATTCAGGGAGACAACAAGGCGACAAAGGCAATCCCTTGTTCTTGCATTAAGAAAGCTCTAAAATCTCTGATACCGTCTCAGAGAGCCTATACCTACACGTCACCAGATAATTAAACGCCCAAAGTTCGCCGCCCGCCATACCGCCGTGATGCTATTCACAGGAGTGTTTCCCGTAATAAAACCATTGCCAAAGAATTACCTGATGCGCCCATCCCTTGATCTCATCCACTCATCTCCGTATCCACGTTCCCTTCCTCTTTCCGCGGGCCTGCTCCTCCCAGACATCCAGGACAATTATGTAGCACCTCATGGCAGAACACGTCGCAGTCAATGCAGAAATGGCTCTTGCAATCCCGGCACTCGTACCTGAAAGACTCGCTCGCTGTCGCTAGTTCGTCCTCGTTCGATCCGTCGTCCTTTTTCTGCTTCCCTTTAGGAGCAGTATTGCGCGACGCTGCCGCCACCGCCGCGGTCCTGTTCGCTGCGCCATTTGAACTCTCTGCGCCGTTTTCGGTATGTGCGATATGTGATGATGGAGGTTCCGGAAAGTCACTAAGACAGCTCAAACACTGCTTACTCCCTTTCTCCCTAGCGCGCTGCCAGCTGACTTCGACCCAGTTGCGGAGGGGGAATAGGTGGTGATAACTTCGCGCCAAGTGGGTGGACAGAATGAGCGTGAGATGACATCCCGGGCAGGTTGCTGGAAGACTGCAAACTTTGGCCTTGCATCTCGAGCAAGTGTATCCGCCACGCGTGAGATTACCATGGCAGGCGCAGAGAGTGGGGACTTCTTCGACGATGCGGGATGGGAAACCCATCTGAAGCAGCGATGCGGCGGATTCGGCTGGAACAGCTGCGCCGTCGGTGGTGGGTGCGGAAGAGCGAATGACAGGAGGTGTGGTAGTTGCGAGAAGGAGCTCGCGGAGGAGTTCTTGATCTGTGGCGACGACGTAGCCGCTTTCGTCGCCTGAGTTTGTGCGGCTGACGATCTGTGTGCAGATGTGCATGCGACCGCCCATGCCGATGATGCTGACCCGTATTCGATCCTGCACACATGACTTGATCGTCTTATGGATATCGCCTGGATCCAGAGTGAGAAGGGCGCCAAGTACTATGATCACTTCTCGAGTTCCATGACTAGGTGTGTGGTATAAAGTCGCTCTGGAGACCTCCAAAGCATTCTGTAGACTAGGTGATCCCTTTGGCTCTTTAGACGTCGAGCTCTTCGGATCTCGTAGTCCTTGTATGGCGGAAATGTGGTCGGCCGGATTTCCGGATAGCTCAGAGACTCGAATGCATATCCCATCATGCATTCCCATGACACACATTTGTGATATTGGGTTCTGCTCGAAGAACTCGCGGACGTACTCCTGGGTGTACTTGATCATGGTGAAGTAGCGATTTGGCCGCATGTCTTTTTCAAGCATAGCTTCGGACAGGTCGAGAACAAGAACAATATGGCGTATGATGCCGCGCTGGAATGCTTTTGTATCCTTGCGGAGCCTATGTATCGCGTCAGTTGAGGAACTCATATGGTTTGATTGCTGATTCCGACCGATGCCGCTTTCGAATATGATCCGCTACCCCCACTGTTTCGGGGGACGGTGGACGAAAAAAACTATGAGATGGCAGAGAGGGAAGGAGAGTAAAGTCGAGGCTGGGCGCATAATCCCGCTCGTAGATGCTGAGATCCATAGAGCGGCGACTTTTGTACATTTTGACTGTAGCCAACACTGTAGTCGCGAGCCATCTTTTGTACGAGGTTCATGGAGAAAGGAAATGCTGGAACCGGAAAGAGTGGACGAACCATGTAGGAAAGCTTGAGCCAGAAGCTACCTTCGAAGAAGTTGATATTGACCGGGACAGTGCACCTCAAACAATGCAGCCACTTTCACTCGCCTTGTGGCGATGCAGTTGGGTTTTTGCAGAGATGCACGTTTCCGCTCAATAGCCCCCTCGAAGTCATTCTCTGGCTCAAAAACGCTACTTCCAGGGCTGATACAACGGGGAATGGGAAGAAATGAGACAAAAAAACCAACCGAAAAGGCTAGCTACTCAGCCAAGATGTTCTTTTGCACTACGGCGGTCTCATGAGTCTCGAAGGCGATTCTATCTCACCTTTTGCGTTTCCTTTCCTCCTCCCGCTCCTGTATGCTCTTCCCAATGGTTCCATCCGCAGATTCCCTGTATGACTCGAGACCAGTCTTCGCAGATAGCTCCCAGGCGTTCTTTGCGCGGCCGTCGGCTCTCTGGCCCTTTTTCCCTTTTCCACGACCTCGTGTGCCATAGCTGCCACCTCCACCTATGTATTCATCGTCCGATGCTTCGATATATTCCCCATCCGAGTCCGCCATTGATGTGGGTAGAATGAAGTCGGTGGTGAGGCTTAAGGTATAGGTGCGAGTACCGTTCTTGGGCCGACGATGTGCTCAAGTCCGCGCTCAGGTGAGCTCTAGTGGTGTGTTTCTAAGCTATCAGCATGAATCTAGATAGCAGGTGGTGCTTTAGAACGGGTTGCGCGTCGAGGCACGTCGAGGTGAGGTGCAAAAAGCGGGAAAATACAACGGAGCTTTAAGAAGCTCGAGGTGGCTCCGAAACATTCAGGATAAGTGAATCAAGAACAGCTTCTAAAATGAGCGGTAGGTTAATTGAGGAATTGCCACGTCACTATGCCAGCATCCAAGGGACTTCAAGGACTGGAGCATTTGGTACTTGGTACGTCGAAATCGAGCCATGGAATTATGTCAGAAACTCAACTGCTTCGAGAGGAATTTTGTAGCGGGCAGTTGCATAGCTGAGCACAGACCCCCTGCCACCCACGAAGTCTTGCATCAGCTTCGAAAAGCTCATAAAATGGATGACTCTGGGCCACGAGGTAGAAATTCCTCACCAAGGGTCTAATGTAGAGGCGCCTGAGATAATCATGGAAGTTGTCTCTCCACGCGAGCAGGTGATTCATTCCACCTCTTCGCAAAGTCTCTCTTCAGTCAATTGCGAATGGGCAGATCAAGGCATTTGTATAGCTGATTGTATTATTCTATCCTACTGAAGAAGCTTCTTGTTGAGTCAAACCCAACAGAAAGCACCAAGCCTGGTATATCGCTATGCTAAGACAAATCGTCTCGCTCATTAAGAAAGCCATTAGTCCTCTCCCTCTCCTTTCCATTACGCCCTCACTATGTGTACGTCGCGGAGCCTGCTACTCCTGGCATTGGCCAATCGTCCTCAGTAATGCTAGACCAGAATATCCAGATCGTAACGACGGCAAGCAGGGTGAAAAGCGTTTCGAACAGACCACCATTAATCTTACCACTGGTTCCGTTGCAGATGTGGACACTGGCTATGTATTGGAAGATCTGACCAATTGCAAAGAGCAGGGCTGCGCCGATGAGATACACTGTTCAGTATTAGCAGATTGTAACAACCAGCAGCGAGGGTGCACCTACTCATAGGCTTCTTTTCGCCGAGAATTCGAAGGACCAGGAAGGCTTCCAAGAGGAAGAAGGCGACAAGGAACACGAGGGGAACAAGCTGGTACAGGGTGTAGAGCGCGTATGCTTGGTTCGGAGCGACCAGAGTGTCGTTCCAGTATCCAGTCCATGAGAAGCCGGTGTCGAGGGCGATGTAGCCGGTTCCAACGAACAAAACGGCCGAGGAGACAAAGAGCAATGCCATCGACATGGGGGTTCCATCGTCAAGTAGCTGGTATCCAACAACCCCATTTAGCATCAGTATCCAGAGTGTTGCAACGACCGCGGCGATATGGACAGCACTGAATGCCTAGCTCCATGTTAGACTCGTCCCCGAATGATTAGAAGGTGCGACATACTCTGCGCACGCCTCCCTGCAACGGGAAGCCGCCGACGGTGAAGATTTCGCATATCTCGATAACGATGAACCCGATCAGGAACAACTGCATCTCCCTGTTTCAACTATCAGTTAAGGCCATCGACACAATGTGGCTCGCGCGTACCGTCGTCCAACAGCTGCCTTCTTCCTTTCCGATCGCCATATCAGGAATGCCGAAATAAGAATCGCGAGGCCGCAGAGTAGTATCGATCCTGCCAGAGTCAACCCAAGTCCTCGACAACCGTTCGTAGTTCACCAACCGAGATTCCCTAGATGTCTCCCTCGACTCAATGATATGCCCAACAGCTCACATCCACCGTATCCATCCCCTCCTCTCGTTGGCGACTCTTTGAAAAGCTAGTGGCGTCGTCAGTAGGGTGTCGCGAACGAGGCTGGAGGCCGGCGCTAGTACGTACGTTGCAGACTGCGCATCAGGTCGTGTTAGAAAGCTTCATTAACCATTGAGGATTTTCGGGTATCGGAAACTGACCTGGTATAGTTGCGAGCCGGCTGCCCGAATCGCGACAGAAGTCGTGGAATTTCCCGTACTGCGTGGAAGGCATCGTTCGGGACGAGGAGTCGATGCCCTTTGTTGCCGTGCTCGATGTGTCGCGCGCCGGCGGGGCGAGATTGCGGCGGATAGCAGGAGCTTTATCGTCAAGATCAGGATTGAAAGCTGCACGATGGCGATCTGAAGAATCTGGGGCGAGGAGGCGTTGGATGGTGTTGGCGCGCTGGCATTCGGGGGTGGCTGAGTAGGCCTGCACGCCTGGTAGGTGTCTTGAAACCCTGTTTTGGTTGGCCTAGTGTCGATGCGGCAACCACCTTCACCTTGAACAACGTGCGCTCTCACAAACGCGACAGAAGCGAGGTCGGTGGTAAAATTTGGGCAGAAGGTGAATCTCATTGGCAAAGTCTTTACACCGATCGAAGGGTAAAATAACGGTTAAGAAGGCAAGGGAAGGCAAGCAGACTATCCGTCACGTAACGCAGCCACGGTTGAGTATAAATAAACTCGTAGCTGTTTCATGTCTAGCCGCCTATCATCATAGTTTATGCATGCTCAAGACTAGGCCGGGCGCCGTTAGAAGGTCTCGCCACCCTTCCACTCGTTCTCTCTGCTCAATCACATTCGAACATCTAGAATACGAGACAGTGGTGCCTTGCTAGGGATGATCATACATACAGAAGGTTAGGAGTCGGAATGCTGACATTTACGCTACTTGGAACTCTACCGGTTGCCCTTACTCTAGATCAGCGAGCGCCTCCTTTCCCCCTCATCCGTATTACAGTAGCACGTAACCTTTTCTTGTTATCGTTCCAGATAAAATAGCATAACTAGCAGGTAATCCCCAACTCAGTTTGCCGATTCCAAGGCTTTCATTTATCCCACCCAATTAGACCTTGTCAGAGAGCGGAGGCCGTCCCGAAACCTCCAGGATGTCCACGCTTCTCCAGCCCCTTAGAGCGACGAATCACTTACAGAGTCTACCCGCGTTTCGACTGGCCGCATTAGTCTCTTCATCTCCTTGAATGGAAAAGGCTAGACCTGTTCTCGGCTGTTCGCTATGAACGGGCCTTTCACGGCATAACACTGAGTCCTTCGTGTTTACCAAATCTCAACCCCTCCCTTAAGCTGGTACTGATAAATACACCTCTCAAGTAATCTGATGCGCACAACATCTTTGCTGTTATCTTAGGAAGACATGTTTCAACCGTCTGCATGGCTTGTAAGACAGTACTACGTGCGCGTCACCGCCTAGTCTGTGTCCACATCTCTGTCACGCGTCTACAAGTGGACACAGAGAACAACAGGATGTAGGTGTAACGGCATTATAAGCTAAGGAGGAGAGAGAGGCCAGAGGGCAAACCGTAGATTCAGGCGAGGCTTCAGGCCCACCGTTCAATCCAGGGATCATGTGACTAGTCACGTGTGGGATGACGGAAAGGTACTCGTTCCGGCTATGACAATCACCGCTGCTAGTGCTAATGCCATGCCTTATATTGAAGCTACTAGTAGGCCTTAGGTAAGGCGACATTGTTAGACAAGACAGCAGCACCGTCCACGGCTCCAGCTGTAAAGTTTGTAGCTCTACAGTGCTTAGAAGTACACAGTATGTTAGTTAAGTTAACACTAGTATGTTACCGCTCGAGCTGCTTCGAACATTCTTCAAGGACTGCAGGGGATCCAAGTTCATCTTTTTGAAGAACTACTAAACTCGCTGGACATGCTAACATACCTCAGACGGCCTCAAACATCGTCATGGTGTCAACAAAGCAACGTCCCAGTCTTGTACTGCTTGGATATTTAGAGCTTTGTGAAGTTTTGAGACTGCTTTGGTCAATGCAAGCGGACGATAACTAGCACCTGTCATTCTAAATAGGGACTTAAGACACTACTATTCTATTAGCTAGCTCCATTAGACGAGACTAGGAAGTATTACACGTGACACATTCCCCACGGTAAATATACCTCCAGCATTTGCTGGGAATATTGACCCCATGGGGTATAGGAAGGATGGTTTGGCTATTTGTGGTAAGTGTTCAGCTTGTGCCTGTAAACTTGTAGGCTATGGGAAGAAGCAATGATCTTTTCATGCCCGTAGGGGGTAGTACTCCTCAATATGTATTATTTGCTAGCCCTTGGTACTTCCACCTAGATTCTAGAATGCAGACTGTGATGAGAAACCACACGGAATTCGCGGTTCCCACGGAAGAAGAAACGTGCTCTGATACTCGAAGAGTCTGCAACAGCCAACTGATGGGGCGTAGATCGGCATCCTTCGCTGACCTCGGGATCGGTCAGGCAAGCCAGCGGGTCACAAGATGAGAACGAAGCTTGGCTATCATGATCCTCTCACGCAAGGATTCGAAGACAGTGGCGGTGTCGCCTGGGCTGGCTCGTATTCTTCAGCTTCGACTCTACTGCATGACCCTTAAGAAAGGTGCCTTGCAGATATCTTTCGTAGTGCCTGACGATAGATTAGAAGCAACGTCAATGTATGAACGGCATCCTTGATGGCTGCAGACAGGAATCTGGGGAATCTAGCAGGCATCGCAGCTTTATCCATGGCTGCTCCACTACATCTCAACCCAAGGATGTGGCCCAAACGTAAGCATATCCGTTTATGGAGACAGACAACGGCCGTGCGCCGGCGTTTGCCCTGCGTGCCTGTTTCTCGGAAGAGTGTCATGTAGCCCTGAACTCGATCATCCTCCCCTCCTCCGTGACCATTCTGCCTGGAGTCTTGTCCCAGCGATCTGTTAGTTGCACCCTGAAGCTTTCGATGTCGATGCCCGCTTCTTCGTAATAGGCTTGATCCAGCTCCCGCGAGCCCTTTTGGATTCCGACCCTTGCGACGTCACTAGACTACCGCGTTATCCTCCACCTCAACTCCACACCAGCGGGCTACCAACCAGCCCGCCAAAGCCGTCAAAATTCCTCCCTCGTCGAACGCTCGGAGGCCTGCCAACATCCCCTCCCACACTCTTTCGTCTTCATCGCGCCCGCGGGACCAAGACTCAGCCTATCTGCTCGAGGACGACGAAAAGACCAGTCCGCGATCCTCCTTCTCGTCGGCGACCGCTGCCTCGGAATTCTCGCTTTGGAGTGACACAGGCGATCTTGTCGACCAGCTTGCAGACGACGAAGACCCTCTCTCGAATCGCCTTCGAGAGTCCGTCGAGGGCGTTCCTCTCGTCACCCTTCCCAAGCATCGCAGGCACCAAAAACGGGTCCGATATCGATCCCAGGATAATACTAGAGAGAAGAACGCACAGCCTGGAGTCGTTAAGAGGAAGGAGGACATAGAGATACCCAATCCTGCTCCCCGGATTATCTCTCGTGCAGAACGGATTCTCGCTTTCATCATGGCTCCCCGAGATGGACCCTCCCGTATCCACGGGCTACATGGGAAGAAGCTCATGTATGTATATTGCCCTCCCACCCCAGAGTAACGGCCCTAACAATCATTTCAAGTTACTTCACTAGCGTGTTTGTATCATTAGGCGTTTTCTTGTTCGGATATGATCAAGGTGTAATGTCAGGCATCATCACGTAAGTAAAGCATAACCTATCTAAACTGCTGTAACTAAGTACGTGATAGCGGTTCGTACTTCAAAGACTATTTTAATCAACCCTCGAGTGCTCAGATCGGCACAATGGTGGCTATCCTCGAAGTTGGGGCTTTAATATCATCTCTGGTGGTGGGAAGGGTTGGAGATATCATCGGACGTCGGAAGACTATCCTATACGGCTCACTCATATTCCTAGTTGGTGGTGCCTGTCAAACATTTGCCAATGGCATGCCGATGATGATGCTAGGAAGAATTATCGCTGGTCTCGGGGTGGGAGCGCTGTCTACCATCGTCCCAGTATATCAGTCGGAAATATCTCCGCCTCATAACCGTGGAAAGCTAGCCTGTATCGAGTTCACAGGAAACATCAGTGGGTATGCTGCAAGCGTCTGGGTCGATTACTTCTGCAGCTATATCAAAAGCGACTGGGCATGGAGAATACCATTGCTCATGCAGTGTGCCATGGGACTGTTGCTCGCTTTCGGCAGCCTACTCATCTGCGAGTCTCCGAGGTATGTTTCCATTTCGCTAGTTTAGAGAACACTGCCCGCTAATTTCACTCAGATGGTTACTCGACAATGACCATGACGAAGAAGGTATTGTTGTCATTGCCAATCTCTACGGAAAGGGAGATATCCACAACCCCAAAGCGCGTGACGAATACCGCGAGATCAAAATGAATGTTCTGCTCGGACGCCAAGAAGGAGAGAGATCATATACCGATATGTTCAAGCGATACTCCAAGCGCGTTTTCATTGCCATGTCCGCCCAAGCCCTCGCGCAACTCAACGGCATTAACGTCATATCCTACTATGCGCCACTAGTCTTTGAAGAAGCCGGCTGGTATGGGCGTCGTGCCATTCTGATGACTGGAATCAATGCCCTCACCTACCTTCTTTCCACCATACCGCCCTGGTATGTTGTCGATAAATGGGGCCGACGTCCAATCCTCTTGACCGGCGCTCTTGCTATGATGCTGTCACTTTCTCTCATATCGTATTTCATCTACCTCCAGGCCAGCTGGACGCCCAACTGCGTCGTCTTATTTGTTATGATATACAATGCCGCATTCGGCGCATCTTGGGGGCCGATACCTTGGCTATATCCACCGGAGATTCTACCGCTAAGCATCCGCGCGAAGGGCGCGAGTTTGAGTACAGCTTCGAACTGGGCTTTCAACTGGCTTGTGGGCGAAATGACGCCCATCTTGCAAGAGTGGATCCAATGGCGGCTGTATCTCATCCATGCGTTCTTCTGTGCTGTCAGTTTCGTTGTTGGTAAGCTTGACTCAGTAACTATTATCCTAGAGTGCAAAGGCTGACCTTATTTAGTCTGGTTCATATATCCCGAAACGGCCAACGTTCGTTTGGAAGACATGAACTCCCTCTTCGGAGACGCAACTTCCGTCATGCCTACACCGGCCACTCTCGCGGAAGCCGAATCTCTGTTCAGCGGACACGGTTCGCCAGTGCCATCGCTCGATATCCGACGGCCAGGCTTTGGTGCCGACAGTGCTATCCCTGGCCTCGATATCAACCCGCCCGAAGTGGGAGATCGGGATAGAGCGGAGACAGGTGAAGGCGTGGGCGGATGGATCTCGAATCTTGTCAAGAATGCCCGCGGGAAAGGCAACGATGATGACGCCCAAAGCGCTAAATACAAGCAGGTCCACCAAGATGATGAAGAGGAATGAAAGATTTGAGTCTTGGGGATGATTTGTTCTACATGCATCGTGTCCGGGGTGGCACGATATCGAGCGAGAGCTTAGAGGCGCGGCAGCATGGTTTGTATATGGCGGCTGCGAGGCTAGTTATAGAGAGTAGAGTGGGGGCGTTTTATGATGACGCGGCCCGCGGCTGCTCTGATCATTCTCGATTTTGTTTCGAAACGGCATTCTTGTACAGGTACCAGAATTAAGTATATTTTGGACTCACTCAGCCGCCCATCGTGGTGTTAATGGTGGAGTTCGTGGTGAAGCATATCTAATTGATCTGTTTGACCTTCGGCTAAACTTGCTCTTCGGGCAAGTATACGCAGGAGCTTAATATACGGATAAAATAGATCAAAGCTAGACAAGCTGTAATTGTTGCTCGCTAGAGCTGTAGTTCAGAAGCAGGTATATGTGTATGTACAGAGCTTCAGTTGCTAGAAAGATAGTCGAGATCAAACGTTTTGGTGCCACGCCACCCCTTTTGGCTCAGCCCTTCGAGCCCCTGCAGGGGGAAAAGAGACGTGGTCTGTTCGTCGTTTCGTTGCCAAGACCGCTGGACCTCTCGAAATAGATGCGCGTAAGGGCACCACCACTGATTCCCAAAACTTTCTGCGCTGCCATCACCGAGGCAGACGTGTTCCCTTTCATGAGGGTGCTCTTCTTTGCACGAATTGCTATTCTCTACCGCCTTTGTAATATACTACCATTCGCTTCTCTTCTTTCTCAGGCTTGGGAACAGCTCCTTGTTCAGCCTCGTCACTACAAGCGCACAGGAGCTCTCAGCCCACGTCCCTTACCTTCTCTCCGTTCCTTCGCCGTTACCACGCAGACCGAGACGTAGCTCTCTAGCCACCTACCGATCTCCCCAATCCCTTCGACCCGTCATCATGGCGGCGAAGGCCCAACAGCCGTATTCAACGGGCGCCGACGCCCAGGCGGACGAGTTACGAAGACGAAATGTAGCTGGTCAACAACAGGCGGCGCAGACTGAGCAGGCGCCTCTTGAAGAGAAGTCCAAAGAAAAGGTACTTGCAGCTGTCTTGCACTACGATTACACCCACAATGGCTAACTTGACCGCAGGCTTTCTCAATCATCTCCGCATTCAAAGAATACGAGCCCATATTTGCCCCCATAATATTCACCGCACTTTCCCTTTTCACACGGTTATGGAAGATTGGCGCTTCCAATATTGTGACATGGGACGAGGCACAGTAAGACTTCCGCCCTTCGCCACGCAGGAGTACGTATGGGACGAAGTGCTAACACTTCTTCACAGTTTCGGGAAATTCGGCTCACACTACCTCAAACGAGAATTCTACTTCGATGTACACCCTCCCCTTGGAAAGATGTTGGTTGGGCTGTCTGGATATATGGCTGGGTACAACGGTTCTTTCGAGTTCAAATCTGGCGAGCAATACCCCCCGGAGCTCAACTACACGTTCATGCGCCAATTCAACGCCGTATTCGGAGCCCTCTGTGTGCCTCTAGCATACTTCACAGCGAAAGAGCTGAACCTCAGGAGACACACGGTCTGGCTGATTACCATGATGGTTCTGTTCGAGAACTCCTACACCACGATTAGCAGATTCATCCTGCTTGACTCCATGCTGCTCTTCTTCACGTTCACGACCGTCTTCGCGTGGTCCAAATTCCACGGCCTACAAAACGACCCCTTTTCCCCAGCTTGGGGTCTATGGTTGATGTTGACCGGTGTCTCCATTGGCTGTGTTACCAGCGTGAAGTGGGTTGGATTCTTCGTAACGGCATTGGTAGGGCTTTACACCATTGAAGATCTCTGGAACAAGTTTGGCGACCTCAAGATGAAAAAGGTAGGACTGAGACAGAATTCATGATTTCCAAGTAGATGCTAACTACAGTAGGTGGAATTGGCCAGTCACTTGGGTTTCCGCGTATTCGGTCTTATCATCATTCCGCTCATGGTCTACATGTTCTCCTTCTTCATGCACTTCCTCATTCTCGAGAACAGCGGTCCCGGGGATGCACAGATGAGTTCCCTTTTCCAGGCCAATTTGAGGGGTACCGAGGTTGGGAAAGATAGCCCATTGGAGATTGCGTATGGTTCTCGTGCCACTCTCAAGAACATGGGCTACGGAGGTGGTCTTCTTCACTCCCATCACCAAACCTACCCTGAGGGTTCCACTCAGCAACAGATTACCTGTTACCACCACAAAGACGCCAACAACGACTGGTTCTTCTATCCGAATCGTGGCGATGTTGAGTATCAAGCTGATGAGGAGATCCGTTATCCCGCTAACGGAGACACCATTCGTCTCATTCACGCTCAGACTGGCCGCAACCTCCACTCGCATCAAGTCGCCGCTCCCGTTACCAAGGCTGATTGGGAAGTTTCTTGCTACGGCAACACGACTGTCGGGGACACAAAGGACCACTGGGTCGTGGAAGTTGTGCGGGATGCGGCCTCGAGAGATCATTCGAAACTCCGCACTTTAACCACGGCGTTCCGCTTAAAGCATGCAGATCTTGGATGCTACCTCCGCGCTGGCAATGTGAACCTGCCCCAGTGGGGTTTCAAGCAGATTGAAGTCACCTGCACCAAGGACAACAAACCGCGGGATGTCTTCACCCACTGGAACGTTGAGAGCCATTTCAATGACAAGCGTAAGTTCTGAACATCAATCCCGGGCTTCGATATACTAACGCATATTTTAGTCGAGCCCGGTGACCCAGGCTCCTACAAGTCTCCCTTCTTCCAAGACTTCATCCATCTCAACGTCGCCATGATGACCTCGAACAACGCCCTCGTCCCCGACCCAGACAAGCAAGACGACCTCGCCTCTCAATTCTGGCAATGGCCCCTCCTGCACGTTGGCCTCCGCATGTGCGGCTGGGACGATAGCAGTACGTTCTTAATTACCTCTTCCAATGTTACCCCAAACACTGATAAATCCATAGTCACCAAATACTTCCTCCTCGGCAACCCCGCCGTCTACTGGACCTCGACCGTCTCCCTCGGCATCTTCGCCCTCATCGTCGTCTGGTACCTGATCCGCTGGCAGCGCGGCTACACCGAGCTCAAGCCCGCGGATATCGACCACATCCACTACTCCGGCCTCTACCCCGTCATCGGTTGGTTCTTGCACTACATCCCATTCGTCGCCATGGCACGTGTCACCTACGTCCACCACTACTACCCGGCCTTGTATTTCGCCATCCTAACGGCTGGCTTCGTGATCGATTGGTTCACGAGGGGGCTGGGGCCGAAGGTCAAGGCCGGGCTCTTCCTGGCCATGTATAGTGTGGTGATAGGCTTGTTTGTGCTGTTTAGCCCGATATGCTTTGGCATGACGGGGAGTAGCCAGCAGTATAAGTACCTTAAGTGGTTGCCTAGTTGGAGGGTGACGGATTAGACGTTGGAGTCTAGAGTGGGTTTAAGCCTTGTGGGTGGACGATGGAAAAAAAAGGGCAAAAGGGCGAAAGGGCGAAGATCAGCCAGACGTGAGTGAGGGCTGGCATTGTAACATTTCCTTCTCCTTTGTTCCCGTTTTGGGTGGTCTCTGCTCTTTTTCTGCTTCTTTTATAGTTCAGTCGTAGGGTCGGCATGGGTGGGTTTGGGTATGAACATAAGTAGAGATAGCGGAGGTGTCAGTTAGAGTGGCTGAGATAATGGGAGATCGGAGTTTTGCTCTGATTTCACAAATTTGCATGGCCTGGAGTGGCTTGTGATGGGGTGTGTTGAGCTAACGAGACTTCCTGAGGGGACCGGACCCCTAAGTACACGTGGCACCCACGTGCCCTCTCCTTCTCTCACCTATAAATACTTCGCTCGCCCCTGTTCTTCCTGGAACTTCAAAGGAAGACTCGATGAGGGTCAAGGAGGGGATGAGTTTAGGGGAATCAGAAACAGGAACTGACACCGCTGCATAGAGTGGATGCCTTTCTGGGGAGACACCAAACGCGGAACTGACACCGCTGCATGAAGTGGTTGCCTTTTGCTGTGGGTGGGTCACTACGTCTTCAAAGCATGCTCTCATATTTGCTATGGAGGTGCTGCAGCTGGCGTGTGAAAAGAAATGAGCAGAGAAGTCATGGAGGAAAAATCCGGAGCGGAGGGCTATACAGTGGAGTAGCTATTGTCAGGAGAGAATGCGTCATGCTTCTCCTTCGGAAGAGCGAGACTTCGAGAAGGACGATGGTCGGTGGGTGGGTGGGTGGAAGGCTTTTGATAGGTGGTGGCGGGAACCTTAGCGGGCTGATGATGCGGAGGAACTGTTCAGGTCTGGTGGCGGGAATGGGAGTGCGGTATGGGATGGTGGTGAGCAGCACTAATAGAGTCGTGAAGTAGGCTGGCGCATTCTTTCCACTCCTCTTTCACATTTTGATTCGAAACCCAACTTTCTTTGCACTTACAAAGGTATCAACCTCCCCACAAACCTCCTTCACCACTCACCAAGCCCAACGTACGTATCTCAACCACGCCAACATTCCTCCCGCCTCCAACGTCAACGTCCCCCCAACACACCCTGGCCTGGCTCCTTCGGCAAGCGCCGCGCCCAAACTACCGTTCCTTCCTCGCATCTGTGCGCTACATCGCCCTCCTTCACCTCACACCCCCTCCGCCCAACCACACACGCTCAATCTCTCGAACTCCGTCTTTGAAGCACCGTCAGCGCCCGTCTCGTCCCTCCCTCAACCCCCGACCTACGGCAGCTAGGCTCTCTCTTCCTTGTCTCACTCGCGTCGCGAGGTTTCTTCCACACTTGTTCAAGCCTGTACGGCGTAATCGATCGCGCTACTGCTTCTCGCATCTCCAGCCTCGGCTGGCGGCGGAGAAAACTTACATGGCCCCTAACACTGCCGCTCCTCCCCCCCCCAACACACTTCTAGGAAGGCCATGGAACGCAAGGCTTTTCGTGCGTTCGTGTCGCGCGCACGTGTGGGCTTCGCGTGAGCCGTCGCTGGGTTCGTTGGTGCGGGCGGCGCGGGTAGCGCGGCGCGGTTAGTATATATATATATGCTGAAATGCGTTCTAGAGGATTCTGCGTAAGACGAGTATGCGCTGTGTGCAAGCGCGAGCGGGACGCAAAGAGGTGCCGTTGGCGATTATATGTTTCAGTTTCAGTTGGCGTAGCGTAGAACAGAGCGCGGGATTGGCGGGGGGGGGGAATGGAGGAGGTGTTTGTGTGGCGCGCCTTATGCCGGGTGTCTGGACAGGTGCGTGTGGGAAAGGTTGGACGTGAGGAGGAACGCTTATTGGGGGAGGGGTTGGGACTTTTGTTACGCTTGTGGGGGTTCTGGTGCGGTTTTGAGGATCGGGGGCGCGGTGGCTTTGGGGAGGGCTTTGCGCGTTGTTGACGCGGAAGGGGAGGCCACTTCTTACATTTATAGTATGCTTGTACGAAGGGAAGTGTTAAGTGCGCTCTTATGGATGTATGGGCTCGGCGGAAAGCGTTATTAGCATTGGCCGTGCAATGGGCGTCTAATGTGCTGAGTGTGCTCTATAGAGCTATGTGTTGTACAGACAGTGGAGATGCAAGAGTAGCATTAACACTTGAGGGAGACTTTGTGACATTAGCCTACGCAGAGTGTGAGAATAGTAGAGACGCGTTGGGTATTAATACGGCTTGTGAGGCTAGATATCTAGATACTCTATATAAGGGACGTGGACGTGATGAGGACGCTTAGGGGAACTCTTTGTTACTTTCGTTACTTACTATTTCGAGAATTTTTAAGTTAGTTACTTGTGTTGAAAGCTCTCACATTGTCGATGCGAAAGGGGGGCCGACATGGTCACTCAAACGCACCACTTCCATCATTCGTCCCACTTCCTCACTTCGTTCCTGAATTCGTATAACAATGGCGTTACGCCGCGAGTTTGACACTGAGACCAGTCACTGGTGTGGTTCTACATTGTATTCCCCGGTGGTGAGTTACATCGTCACCCTTACGTGTCTCCGTAGCCCACGTGGTAGCTGGTCTCCTGTCCTGCCTGCCCTACCACAGCCGACCACCACACGAGCGCCTCTCCTTACATCTTGAGTCACCACACCAGAAGACGCCAGGAGACAGCTATAGGTGTATTTGATCTAGCGCTGTGATGACAGGGTAGGTATCGAAGATCTCATCCGCGAGCGGTGCGTTGCCGGGGCGGTCGACTACGATTGTGTACACGCCGGCTTGGGTTGCTGCGGTGGCTTCTGTAGCACGCTGGTATTAGCTGAGTGCAATCAATGTTCTTGTGCCGAGGATGTTTGAAAACAAAATGTAGCAAAGGAGGTCAGCGTACCCTTCACATTATCAGTCAAGAACACAACCTTCTCCGGCACCGTCTCCAGCTCCTCACAAATCTTCTCGTAGCTCGCCTTCTCGAGCTTCGAGCCGGCGGTTACGGTGTCAAATTTGTTGATGAAGAGGGGGTTGAGGTCGCGGGTTTTAGGAGGAGATTCATTTAGGGTGGCCTCCAAGGTTGTGGTTTTAGTCTTCTTAGTAGATAGGGAGGAGGGGAGGTCTGAGGAGTCTGGGTTGGTGGCGGATGGGGAGTGTGGACATTTGCGGGATGTGTCGTCCTGTTTTGACTCGTCTACCTGTGCTTCTTCAGTGGGATGGGTTTCCAAGACATCTGTGGCAGCTTCGTCGTTGCCCTTCTGACTCAGCTCAGCCGTTGCTAGCTGAGGTATCTCGATGTACTTGAAGAAGTTCAGTTGGGCCTCAACGCTGCCGGAGGAGAAGATAGCGAGTTTCTTCGGAATGGCGAGCCAGGACTCGAGGATTGTGAGGACGTCAGGGTAGAGAGGGGTTGTGATTTCGCCGTTGGAGTAGCCTTGTTTCCATAGCTTGCCTGGTGATTAGTTAGCTTGGCACCGGGATGAATGGTAGAGGTGTTCAGAACGAAGGGTCAGGTCAACAAGATCAATTTTGAGGGAAAGGATGTGTATTGCAGCGTTGCTACGATTGTGTGCTAAGCATTGAAGGAGATCGTATTATGATAGTGTAAAGGTGGTCATAGAAATGTAGAGGTAGACAACATTCGATCTATCTCTCAGCTTCATAGACCCCTCACGGAAGCAATTGACGAAGGAGAGAACTCCGAATCGAGACAACCTATAGGGAATCTCTCCCACCTACCTTGCAATTGCTTCAAATACACAGCTTTGATATCCTTACGCGTCAACTCCTCAACATGCGCAATCAGCGTCTCGGCATCTCCCCTCGTCTCCTCTGGGAACCCCTCAATGAGCTCTTGGAAGGACTCCTGCTCCCACGACTCATGCGCTAGTCTCGTGAGACGCCGCAAAGCATACGGATACTGAAAGCCGTAAGCACTTACACGATCGGCGGTTAAAGAGGAAGACCCGTCACGCGACACTCGCGATCCGCACGATCACTTCGCCTATCCTTCCGGAAAAGATACGATAGAGGAAATTACAGAGGCTGGATGGGGTAACGAATGGCTTGAAGCCCAACGGCCTCGACGATGCATCTGAACGTGGGCTGGGAGCGACAGTCGTCTCTCAGTGGATAGGAGAGTGGTCACAGGGCCGTTTTCCAGCCCCTGGAGAGGAAACAAAAAGTCCGATGGCGTGTGCAGCGCAACGGGTGCGGGGAAATAGGGTTGTGACAGTGTGAAATTGGAACTCGAGACGAATGGAGCTATGCTCACCAGGGTGTCCTTGACAAAGGAGATGGACGATATGGTCCCCTCTGCGTGAAGCCATCGTTAGTGGTGTTCTCGTGAATCCGGGATTCTAAACGACAGCCCGGCTCGGGATGCTCAACCCCGCCGCGCACTTCGCCACGGCGCAGAATCTGGGGAAGGCGACGGGTTCAAGCTGAGGCGGCTGGGTGTCACAGAGCGCTTGTGCTGCTGCGCGACGCAACGAAGGGATCACCGCTGCTGGTGCGCCGGGTGGCTGCTGAGCCAGAACAGTCTGCGCGACGCCGGTTCAGGAAGCTCACGGAGAAGTGCGAGCGACGGCGCATCGGACCGGACTTGGAGAGAGTACTGACCTATGTCGAGTAGGACGATATCAGCGGCCTTCCATCGCTCGATGTTGATCGCCACTGGAGACATTGTTGATATCTGTGATATTGGCGGTGAGCAGCGGTGAGGGGTGAAAATTTTCTGGGTAGACGAATGGGGGGGGAGGGTGTGTGCGAAGCGAGCTTGGGATTGGTCTGAGGGACGACAGGGAAGCCAGCAGTGAATGTCAAGTGGGTGTAGGCGAGGAAGGTGTGGAGCATGAAGACGGGAGGTATCAAGATTCTGCAGAGATGCTGAGGCTGCAGGTAGCGGGAGCGCATCTACCGCGCTGTGGGTTGATAGGTCAATAATTGTAGTTTTTATCTATGTTTATCTAATTCTAAACGAAGAGTGAATGCACAGTAGCGGTCAAGATGAAAATTTTCATGTTCCGTATCCGTGGACGTTGCTTGATGAATTCACGGTGTTGAGTGTTGACTCGCGACGATTGCCAACATGGTCTCAAGGTCCTGAATTTGGACCCCAAGTCAGGGACACTCTAGACGAAACAGGCTGGCTGCAGGCCTTGTTAGTAAGAGGCCACGACGCGGGACCACGCCGTTCGCTTGAAGCTTCGTGGAACCTGTTCACGAAACTGACACGTTGCAAGCTCCCGTTGAAGCTCCAAGCGGCGAAGACACGACGAGTGCTCCACTCTCCCTCGGCGTCCCGTAGGATGTAAACATGTAGCCAGATTCGGCGGTGAAGAAACAAAATCTTCTTCGGCCGTCCACTGGCTACGAGGTGCAGCGAACCTGCAGTAGCGCGGTGGATTCGGGGTTGCGTTTCGTGGCGAGAGCGTGGCCTGTCCTTGGTGTGCTTCTCGAGGTGCAGCGTTGGCGTCTGTCAACGTGCATGGCCCGAAGCGTACCTTGTTGGACGCCCCGGACGAGGCCGAATGCGATGCTCGTGAGTTCGACGACTCCAGCGGACTCGAAGCCAGCGGGTCTGCCTCTCACCGACTTTGTTTCATCTCTGTCGGCGTATTCTGGCCAGCCTGGGGAGCCACGATGCCGGATGCGATGCCGCTGAGGCTCCACCTGCTGGACGCAGCGATGGGAGAGAGAGAGAGCTTTCCCCACAGCCGCGGCTGCTACCCGCTGGCCGTGCTCGTTGCTCACGCAGAGCTCAGGGGCTCGATCGAGGTGAGGATTCCATGGCGCAGATTCCAGCGGAGCGGGCAGCGGCATCCCGAGCGCCAACAGCGGCATACGTACAAAGGTAGCAGACTGCAGCATGGCCCTCAGACGCAGCTGTCCAGACAATCGCCGGCGCAGGAATGGCGGCCGACGTTGCCGTATCGCACGCTCAGGTCGCGCAACTGGTGGTGTGTGCCTCAGGCCAATGGCGTTCACGATGGCGCCGTTGGGTGTGACGGCAGAGAGGAGGTGTGGGCTGCGTGGCAATTGGCGGGCGCCCAGCAACAAAGAAAGGCACAGAAACGGGTCGAGTTCGGCCGTCGATCTTGGCTGGCTCGGGGGCCCTTTGACAGTTCCAAGGTGGGCGACGGGCGCTGTCATCTCACGCGAGCCCTCGCTGCTTCACAATAACGGGGAGTGCGTTTCAGCGGCAACCACCCAGCACGGCGGCCCACGGCGGAAGCAGCGGGGTCAAAGGAATGGTGCGTCAGCTCAGCATCGCGAGACTTGGGTCACGATGGGCGGCACGGCGGGCGTCACGATGCGAGGGCCGCGAGGGCCGCGAGGAGAGGAGCGAGGCGCGGCTTGCCGACGGGGTCAGCAGGCATCGCGAGGACACATGGAGGGTGTCGAGGAGTGTGACAGAGCGTGGAAAGCTCCAGAAGTGCCGACTCCGGCCAACTCGAGGCGCAGACCGGGGCCGACGACGGCAGCAGGCACGGGCGGGGGTAATTTTAGGTGTGCTAAGAACGATGCGGCAAAGCGGGCGCCTTCATGCGCATCCAACGCACGAAAGCAGCCACTCACTGGCCTCGATCGTCGCCACTCTGCTATTGGCCCTGGCCGTGCGTTGACTGGGGCAGGCAGCACCAGACCTGCCAGGCCTGCCAGACCGACTCCTGCGCCCGGCCGTGGCTGCCGTATACAACCAGCTGTCCCCCTACCTGTGTCCTGCACCCACCTCACCACCAAGAAGCCGTACTATGTCCTGATACCGTCCCCCGCCCGCTGTTCCGCTGCAAAGCTTCGCACGCACTCACTCCTCCGCCCGCTCCTCCAATTCCTGCCATCCTCGCCGAATTCCTCTCGTTACCGACCCAACCGCCGTGCCTGCCTGCCCTGCCAAACAGCCCAACACTCCCTCCGACTCCGCCCTCCGGCTCCTCCTCCGACCTCTCTCACGCCTCCTCATCTCGCCCTCAGATCCTCATCTACGCCGCCACTCAAGTAGTCTGTCCGTCGTCATCGCATTGATGTGAGGCTAGCTGCTACGGACAATCGGACTTGGTCAACAAAGCCTCGCCGCCTGCGTCGTCATCGGATCGTGCCCCGACGTGCTCCACAACATCCACCCAACCACCACACCTCAGGCTCCAGAGACTGTCTTTGATGCGTGCAACAGTATCAGAGTCTACTCGAGAGCCCCGCCGCTACGCAGTATCGTCATCCTCGTCGATCCCCTGCTCCCGTTGACTCACGACGTAAACAAACCGACAAAACTACCATTTGGCAGCCCATCTGTCAACAGTCATCACCCGCCATACCCACGCTTTCCCACGTGTTACGAACATTTCCACCACCCTATTTACGCAGCGACCTCTTCGTCTTCATCTTGTGAGCCCAGCCTCGACCACGACCCAACTCTTTCCTTCGCCCTCTCGTTGATACGGGTTATCCATACAACCAATTAATACATCAAATGACAACAACAACTACACTCTTTTCATTTCCTTGCCTCTAGTCGACGGAACGGATCCCCCTGTGCATATTTCCCTACCCGACGACCTCTTTTAGCGTACCTGGAGTCTCCCTGGAGCGGCGGCCACCGATACCCCGGCCATTCTGTTTTGCGTCTCCCTCTTCTGCCTTTCTCGACACCACCTCCACTGGACTCGAATCTCTCCTACTTACCGTCTTATTGCTATTCGCCCCAAGTTCTGTTGCACCGAAAAGTCTCATAGACCTTTGTTGCTAGGGCTGCTTTCGCCCCCCTGTCGGTTTACGAGCCACTCCGTCTTTAAGCGTTTCCCTCTGTACTCAATTGCTTGCCCTCGGACCCGTCTTCGGACCCTCTCGGCAGTTCCACCATCCCTTCTACGTCGGTATCCATGGATTGCATGCGTAATCAGTTGTTTGAAGGCGTTGTACTGGATGGACGATTCGAAACCATCGCACCCCTTAATCATGGCTCCTTCGGCATGGTCTTCCAGGCGAAGGACCTCTGGACCGGAGATATTGTAGCCATCAAGTGCCTCACCAAGACTGCGGGAGCGAACGACTGCTCCATGTTCGCTGTTGACGACAAATCTGAGGAACTTGACATCCACCTCCGCATCGGATCTCATCCAAACATCGTCAACCTGATTCACTCCTTCGAGACCAAGAATCACATCTACCTCGTCCTGGAATTCTGCTCGAATGGCGACCTCTATGAAGCCATCCGCCTTGGCAAGGGACCCCTCCAGACCCAACACGTTCGAGACTTCATGCTCCAGCTGGTCGACGCTGTTGAGCACATGCATTCGAAAGGCATCTACCACCGTGACATCAAGCCTGAGAACATCTTTCTCAACCAGTACGGCGAGATGAAGCTTGGCGACTTTGGTCTTGCCACCAAGGACGCCTGGTCTTTTGAGGCAGCCGTAGGCAGCGACCGCTACATGGCTCCCGAGCAGTACGACCCTTCCAATTTCGGCTACTCGACCGCGAAGGCAGACATCTGGGCCATCGGTATCTGCCTGCTGAACGTCTTGTTCTCTCGTAACCCGTTTGCTGTGCCTGCCACCTCGGACCCGCTGTACGCAGACTTCGCTCTCGACAAGCAAACACTCTTCGACGTGTTTCCAAACATGTCTCAGGACACCTTCGAGGTGCTGATTCATTGCATGGCAATCGACCCCGAGAAGCGATCTCTGTCTATGGTCAAAGAAGCACTCGAACGCGTCCTCAGCTTCACCACTGATGACGAGTCCCTCGATGAGTTCTGCACTGAGGAGCGCGAGACTGTCATTGCGAGTGCCAACCGCGAACCCCTCCGCACCCCGTCCGTCTCCACTGCTCAGCTCAACAATGACGGCTCGTTCCCTTGGGCCAAGGCTCTTGCCTTGTCCCCGCCGCAGCAGCTCCGCCAGCTTTCCGCAATTCCTGATACGGAGACGTATTCGGAGGATCTGTTCTCTTCCTCGGAACAATCTCAGGACTGGTACGATGTCAAGCCGGACACCGCTTCTACTGTCTCGTTTGTTGATTCTGGTTTGGGTCTGTCTTTCAAGTCTTATGGCAACGCCCAGCCCGAGCCAATCAAGGTCCAACGTTCTAAGCCTGTGCCTATTTCTGGGTCAATGCCTATTACGGCTGCCAGACCTATCCCGAGCATGTCTACGGTCTTTGGAAAGAAGAGAGATCTTATTTCTAAGAGCTGGAGTGATCTCTGGGACGAGGAAGAGGAGGCTCATCACGCGGTAGCTGAGGTCGAAAATACGTTTGAGCGTAAGGGAGGCTTCAAGAAAGAGAAGGCTTGGGATCACTTCGAAAGTGAATCAGGCGTCTCGACTCCCCGTGGTGGTCTCACCGAGGTCAAGAACCCTGCTACCGCCAACAACAGCAGGAACCGCACTCCCGAACGCAAACACCACGTGGACGACCGAATCAGCGAGCACACCGGCTTCGTCTTCGAAGACCACACGCCTGCCCCTCGCTACTCTCCTCCATCGAAGCGTACCATCATGGACAAATGGGCCGCGTTGGGTGATCGCAGGCGAGCTCAACAGACGCCGCAGAAGGCCCAAAAGTCTCCTCAGCCTGCCACGAAGCGAATTCGGGCAAGCAGCTGGAGGCGCCATCTCAACTTTGGCCAGAACCACGCCAATGACAGCGGCATCTGGGAGCAGAAGGAGCCGTGGAGTGCTTCGCGAGACTGGCGTCAGCATCCAAATTTTTCTACCGATGACGTTGGCGATTTAGAGTGGGTTGGAGGTTGGCATGACCTCCACTTGTAGTCCGGCTGCTGCGATCGATCTTCCCTTTTCCACTTGCTTTTCTTTTCCCTTGAGCGACTTTTGAAAAAAGGATTGCTTTTCCCCAAACAAACTTATCTTCTCCCACCCTGTAGCTTTAGATATACCCCCGTCTTACCTCCTTTTATTCTCCTTCTCCTTGACGGCGCTCATACACTATCCCCTTCTAAAGTTGATTTTTCCACCTATTCGGGCTTTCATAAACGGATATTCTTATCTGGGTTACTGGGAGCAATGGGATCGCGGGAGAAATTGACTTTTCGTTGTTGTTCAATGGGCATATGCATGAGCGTGGGTTTTCAAGAATGGCACCAAGGGGGACAAGATGGATCTGACATTATTTTTCAACAAAGCATTTCTTCGTGTAGTTGTTACAGCACTTGTACGAAGTATGGGATGGATATGAGGGTTTCATGGATGGAGAAACTGATAGCGGTGTCCTCCTTTTTCTATTTGTTTCTGTTGTGCGGCGTTCACGTTTCTTGCGCAAGTGGAAAATGGACCAGGGATAGGGGGATTGATCAAAGCAGCCGAGACTCGTATCTGGGGATCTTTGGAATTGAAGACCTAGATTTACCCACTCATAAATTGCTCCTGATGATTTGGTGATTGTGATTGTGATTGTGATTGATTAATGAGGGCCAGAGAAGCCGCTTTAGGGTCAAGCTAAGGGTACACTTTGGGTACTTGCGAAAGTATCTTACGAAAACAACCGCGTTCGTCCTGATAGTCCCGCAATTTCACCGTATGTTGGCTTTCATGTTCTACGGCATTGCGTAGTGGCAAGTTCCTCCATTTCTACTTCTACTTACATTTCTGCATCCCTTTAACTATACGTCTTCCTCCTACTCACATTTCTCCTTGTAGATAACTCATATTTCCACGTCCAACTACCCACACTTTCGTCGTCATCCCGCTCCATTCCCGTCCCCACATACATCCCCCCCCCCGAACTCCCTCCCAAAATCCAAAACACCCTCTCCCACAAATAATCCCTCCATTCATCACATTCCCCGGCTCCCACCGAAAATCCGTCACGATCGCCCCTTCCCCGAATCCCAGCCCCGTCGCATCCAAGGCCGACGACGATCCTGCCCGCTCGCCATCGATCTCACCGCTGCTAACGGATATGGCGGGATAATCCTCGTCCGACGGAGACCGGGGGGAGGGGGGGTTGGTGACCGACGTGGCCACTCTCCACAACCACACCCCCCTTGCCCCCCGTCAGAGCGTTCCCCCCCCCCGTTGCGAAAGGAGGTTATTGTCGGCGGCGGCTTTTTGGGGGGGGCCTTGGATGCTTGGATCGCGGTGGTATGTTAGCACTGCTGAGATGGTGGAGGCTTGGGTTTTTGGTGATGCGGGATGGAGTGCGATTGCTGTTCCCGGTGATTGACGACTGGAGGGTCTGGGAAGGGTCTGGATCGCCGGGGGGGTGGTGTCATGGATCGGCGGTGGAGAGGAGGTGGAAGGTGGGAGGGGATGGTTGGGCGGGTTTGTTGGTGGGTGGATCTTTGGGGTCCGTAGGGTGATGGATTAACACATATAGGGGATGGTAAGGTTAGGGGATGATATAGGGACGTTCAGGGTTTTGGAAATGTGGTTTAGTAAGGGCGAGGATGGAGAGGCTGGGGTGGAAAGAATGATGGTGAGTGAGGTTGGTAGGGGATATATCTGCCTGCTAGCTATGTAGACCATTGCGTAGATCTATTAAGGGTTGTAGTGTGTGTGTGTCTCTCTTGAAACCACCCAACCCCTAACCTACCTTTATATCATTAATCTGTCCAAGTGGTTCGATCCGTGACTCTTGTTAATATTGTTGAACGCTATGTGCTATAGCATAGCCTTGCTACTTACAGGTGTAATTTAGAACCACGCGCTGTCCCACAATTGCAACATCGCCACAGCTCGATCCGTAGCTCTTGTTAACATGAGTAATTAGACGCTGCGTGCTATATAGCATGAGCTGCTACTACCGATGACTTTCAAAACCATGCGCTGTCTACAATTCTAAAAACACGCCACTCCAATCCGTAACTCTGGTCAACATTTACACCCCTTTCCGCCAACACCTCAAGCGTCGCGCATCGTACCTCCAACTCCCCCTCCACCCCCCACCCTATCTGCCTTTCAAGCACTATCACAATCCAGCTTTGTTACTTTTACTGCCATTTCCCCTCCTAGAGCCACGCCGTGTACCAAAACCCCCCACCTGATCTCCTATCTAAGCCCATTATCCAACCAAATAGGGCGTCTGGTCCGCAGCCCCTTCTCCCAGATAGCATCGCTTCAGTTCCATATCCGGGGGCGCTTTTGGCGTTGCGCCGTTCCCAGGGTTCGAGTTGGATGTTGCTCCTTACTCCTTGCTCTTCCAAAGCTAGCGCTGACGGTGGCTTTGGCTGTGAAACGCCGTTCTCTTCGCTTAGGATAGCCCTCGAGGCCTTGGGGGGGGGGGGGGGGGGGTTTAGAAGAGGTTGTGGTGGGATGAAGGTGCTGCTGATGTGAGCGATGCTTGCTTGTCACGCGGAAGTAACTCTTAGGGGGCAAGACTTAATTTCACTAGCTAAACTCTATGTGCACTTTTGAAAGCTGAGTATGTACAAGCCTCCACCAGCGAGCGCTGCGGTACTGCCAACAGTCCCATTCGAACCTTGCGCTTTGCCGTCTCTTCGGACATGTTTGGCATGAAAGCCTGCCTGCCCCTTTGAGCAATGCGCGCAGAGGGAATTAATCATACCTAGATCTTCGTTGACGGAGCTGAAGACGGGCTCGATGGCTGGTGGATTACTAGGCTGTGAGTGCAGTGATGCAGTGATTTGGGACGGATTCTCTTCAGAGACAAGAATGGTCCGGGCGTGGAGAGCAGGATGAGGGAGTGTTGGTATAGAAAGTTTAAGCAGTTGGGGTAGGGGAGCAGCATCTGTAGGTTGATTGGGGACGACGCATCGGCATTTTTCCAGGAGCCGTAGGTGCGCGCTGACAGATCTATGATAAGGGAGGTCATTATCGCCAGCATGAGGGTTATTAGGCAACTGAGCGATGCCGACATCAACGAGGGTCGAGGTTCATTCCTCGATATTTGACCGTGATAGCTCTTAATCTGGGTTCAGGTCCTTAGTTGGGGGATTTCCTGTCGTATGATCGCGGTGATGGTGGATTTACAGTCCTAGAAGCGCATTCCAGTGTGTGCACCAATACAGAAATCACTGAACCGCGGCATCTGGGTCCGTATCCATATTTTGGAGATACCGGTCCAATAGGCCCTATTAATTTTGATCAGAAGGCTAGTTGGCATACTCCAGTTCTTGTGAACTTACCCAGTCGATGCTCTCCGATCCGTCGATCATTTGCGACATGATATCCGCGTATGGCAGTTCTGAATCGACAATTGGATCCGGATCCGTATTCCCAGACGAAACATCGTTCACGAAAAAAAGACCAACGTCATTCGCAGCCACCTTTTTGAGCATCAGATCAAGGGCGAGTGCTGCAATGTGCGCCTCAGGAGAAGCTGCACTGTTGACGGCCCATATTCGTTGAGACGTCTGGAGGGCTTGATACTCTCTGCCAGCAAGCTGTTGATAATCCCTTCCTTCTCTTGAGGCTGCCATTCGGGAGCGCATGCGGACAGATAGATCCAAACAGACCACCATAGCGGCCAAAAGAAAATCATGCACGGGCAGTGAAACGATCATCCACCGGTCCTCGTATAGCCGCCCACCGGGCTCACACGCTTTGTGCAAATCTGCTTGGCGATAAAGCATATCCAGGGCTGCTTCAACGCAAGCACGTCGTGAGGGTTCATGTCTAGGGTTTTGCAGCTCGTAACTGATGTATCGTCGATGAAGGACGATAAGTCCCTTTAGGTAGAGGACCTCTATTGTGCAACGTTCCCATATGAGACAAGAGTGGTCTATAAAGGAGCGATTGACATCTCGCCGCTTCAAAGACTCCGGGATTGTACTGTATAATTGGTTCATTTCAGTGTCTAGCGCTATTGTTTTGTCGTAAGCTGGCACTGAGAGTGACTGTGTATGCGCTACGATCTTCTTGAAGACTCCCATGACGCCAGATTTGACAATAGTGTAACGAACAGGTGTGTTCTCGGAAGGGGGCCTCGATGGTGGCAGTACTGTCATGTCAACGAAGAGATCGGAGTACTCCAAATTGCGAGGGACCTCAGTGTCGCAGAATTCCGTAGGTATCATACTTGGGAACCCCATTTGAAAAGATATCAATGCGTCCAGTTGGAATATGTTAAGCCAGACTCGACGCCGCATCTCGCCGTCGAACGCAGTGATACCAGCCAGGCTGCTTGGATCACGATGATAGCCCATGCGAAATGCTAACCTTATAATGGTGCCCATCTCGAACCATGGATCGACCGAGACACTGTCGTTGCTGAAGTAACAGCTCTGGAGATGAAGTAGAAATGCCTCCAGTGCGTATGCGTTGGCAGTAGCATATCGCCCGAGAACGAGACATTGCACCGTTCTTTGTTGCAATATCGTTATTGGAGGTATCGAACCATCGGGCTCTGTTATGCTCGATATCCGGCGTAGGCTTACTGTGACACTGAGAACAGAGAACAAAAGGGCCACCCAGAGCGGTGGTGCTGTCAACGGTGACTCCCAAAACGTTGCGTACTATAGACACTCTGTGAGTCACGGCTGCTTGATTACTATGCGTGGGAGATTTACTTCATCTTGAAATTTGGTTGGATGTATAATACCTAGGCAGGAGTTTGGGTTAGTGACCTATTTCAGCTGACGTTGGATGTTTTTTCTTACCCAGAACCATGAACCGGGAATTGAAATACCAAGAGAGCAACATATCGCATATGGGTTGAGATGGCAATGATCGTGTGATCTCGTCAAAGCTCGGGTTCTGGTCTGAACTAAATAGAAAACCGGCGTCCGATACCGCGAGATCCACGTCAAAACCTATCCCATTCCGTGATATAGGCTGATTTGATATGGATAAATGCTCTCGGACTTCTTTAATGTCGTCCAAAATGGATAGCCAATGGCTGGGATCGATGTAGTTCACTTGACCATTTCCGGTCTGCTGAATATGAGGTGTCTCTGGGGTTAGTGTATCTTCTCCTCCACTTGAGCTGCTCAAAGTTGAACTCTGCTCTGTGGGCCTGTTATACTGTTCGGCTGATGATGCGACAAATCCACTGTCTGCTGTGGTGACCTCGCTTTCGGTAAGTAGCCCAGGCTGGATAACGGCATCGGCCGACAGAAAGGAAGACACCAAATTCTCAAGGGTACTCAGTCTGTCTTTTAAATCGCGGCCTTTGGACGGTTCAGGTTTGTTTCGATTGGCATTGGTCGCGTAGTTACAAAGTGAAGACCTGCTCCGCCTCGTGCAAGCATCGCATGGTAAACGGCGATTACACTTCAACCTACAGATATGTATGTGAGCATGTGCTCGCCGTGATATCGAGGGGGATGAGAATATAGCATACTTTCGAGTCCGGCATGGCTCGCAGGAAACAGGTGGCCGATTTCGTTTTTCCGTCTTCCTAGAGCCGGCATCCATGGTCGCCATATAAGCGTAAACAAACCACCGTGGGCCGGGGATGTTATGCGAGCTGGTGGTGAGTAGGAGGCGCGGAGGTATTAACCCCGCTGGCGAACAAGGGGCAGCGTGCTATCCCCGACCCAATCAGCGCCCTCCAGTCCCTCTCCAAGCTTTTACACAACGTGCGCCTAACCAAAGGACATATTAAAGCCGGTCAAGTGGAGATGCTCACTGTGGCCCCTTAGTGAGGCAAGGTAAATATAAAATAGTTCCCTAGCATTCAGCATGTTTCTCCTCCACCTCTCAATCCAAATCCGCTCTCGTACTTTCAGCAACAAGAACCGTCTCCAAGAAAACTACAAGCTTCAATGTCTACCCTCTCAGCCCTCCATGGGGTTCGTTCAGTTCTTGTGTCAAATCTTTTCGTGAAGCTCCCCGTCCCAAAATCTTCAGAGCTGTCAAATCACACGATTATTGTGACTGGCGCCAACACCGGCCTTGGATTCGAAGCCAGCGCTCACTTATCACGACTGGGGGTGGGAAAGTTGATTATGGCAGTGCGCACTCCAGCCAAAGGCGACGAGGCAAGGAAAAAGCTTCTCAAATTGACCGGTCAACCAGACTCGTCTATTGAAGTCTGGCCCATCGACATGGACAGCTACGATTCCATCAAGACTTTCGCGGCTCGTGCCTCTCAGCTTCCACGCCTTGATGGCGTGTTAGCCAATGCTGGAATCATGACTGAGCATTTCAGTCTGAGTGAAGGCAACGAAAAGACTCTGAATGTCAACGTCATCAGTACCTTCTTGTTGTATCTGCTGCTCCTACCGAAGATGCGCGAATCCGTGCAGCAGACAGGATATGCCTGCCGCTTTGTGATCCCTAACAGCGCGTTACATTACATAGTCCCGCTAGCAGAGCTCGAACCTACCAACCCAAGCATCATCGGCCGGCTAAACGATCCTGAGAAAGCCAATATGGGTGGTCGATACCCTCTGAGCAAGTTGCTCGTCATCTACGCAGTGCGCGAGTTCGCCGAGCGGTCCAGCGCTTCTGGAAAGGGATTATGCATCATCAACACGCCGAACCCCAGCTTCTGCAAGTCGAACCTGGCACGCGAGGCCCAAGGAAGCCGCGGCTTTAGAGTTGCGGAGAAGCTCTTAGCCCGCTCCACTGAAGAAGGCAGTCGCGTTCTGGTTCATGGGTTGTTGGCAGGTCCAGAAACCAATGGCCAGTATCTGTCCGACTGCCATGTCGAGACGTAAGTAGTTCCATGCCCTCTTGTTACGTTACCTTCTCCTGACTTCTTCTACAGTCCTGCGCGCCACGTCACTAGAGATTGGGGTAAACAGGTACAGAAGAAGTTTTTCAACGAGCTTCTCAAGCAGCTGGAAATGATCCAACCAGGCATCTCGTCGAACATCTGATTTCTCTTAATAACAATGACACCATATCCGACATGGGATATCTTTTGCAAGGGTGATATACAGAGCGTATATTGCAGGCAAAAGTGTGCTCATTGCGTTAGATGCGCTTTTCTATGTATACAATCATTCGTTGAACGAGATAAAATAACTTAATACACCTTTAACAGAGTCAGAGGTAGCCCATAGCCATATAAAGACTAAAATTTGTTTTTATCCTGAGCAACTCTGGATTATACGATTTCCAGATCGAAGATTTACTCTGAATAGCTTAGACTATTGCGTATGAAGCACGGGACTCCTCCCTTACCTGCTATAGATGATGCCTTTGAGATGTGCGTGTGTCGTCTGCATCTTCTCCGCATGCCGTGTAATGGTTTAGCTCGACTCTCACCGGGAAAATAACGCAAAGAAGTCCCGAAATGAATTGAATGGAATTGGATTGAGCTGCACGATCTAGACAACCAATCACCGTTGCTGCATAATCTCGACAAGAAAGTAAGAGCCTCATCTCCACTCCATCGCCAATTTCTGAAATTTCAATGGTATGAAACATAAGCAAAATGCAGAAAGCAGAGTCATAGATAACCACCCCCTTCAGAGGCAGAAGCATCCCAATCCCAATCGCAACCATCATGCCTATGTTCATGCTTAAACCGAATCGCTCACAGCAACAACTGACCATCAATACCGCATTACCATCCTACAGAGTGTCAGTCCTTAAGATGATCATCTGATCGACTGTTAGAGATCACATACCTGGCTGCGGCGGCTGCGGTGTATGACTGCCATACCCACCTGGCTGGCCACCATGCTGCTGTTGTTGCTGACCATGCGCGCCCTGTCCTGGATACCCACCCTGGCCGTACTGGCCCGGCTGCTGATGGCCCTGATCTCCATAGCCCTGGCCATACTGCTGCTGAGGCGGTGGAGCACCATGACCTTCGTGGCCGTACTGCTGAGATGGCGGAGCGCCATGGCCTCCCTGGCCATACTGCTGCTGAGGCGGAGGAGAACCGTGACCTCCGTGGCCGTACTGGTCATGCGACTGGCCTCCTGGGTTGTATTGCCCTGGTGGCGGGGGGTACTGGTTATTCCCGCCTCCATACGATGGGTTCGGGGCACCGTAGGGCGATTGGCCTGGCGGGGGGTATTGGCCTGGCGTCCCGTGCTGGGAGCCATACTGTTCGTGCTGGCCGTGCTGACCGGGTGGATTGTACTGGCCTGGAGCTCCGTGTTGGCCTGGGGGGTTATACTGCCCCGAAGGGGCGCCGTGCTGCTGCGTACCGTATTGGTCGTGTGCACCTGGTGCGCCGTAGGAAGGAGCTGGAGCTCCGTAGGATGGCTGACCATGCGGAGGTGGAGAGTGGTATTGGCCTGCAGGTGGGCTGGTGTGGCCACTGTGCGGAGCATTGTACTGTCCTGGTGGTTGATATTGGCCCTAGTTGAATGTTAGAACTGGCTTAAAGATTGCTAAAGAAACTTAGAACGTGAAATGCAACATTGGATGAAGGCGCTGCGAGCAAATTGAATACTGTGAGAGCCTGAGTCCTTAGAGGGCCTTGAACTCCTAGGTGTGAAAGAGGGCCCCCTTGAGCAGGCTGGGGACTAGAACTTGGAGCCGATTGATTCCGGATTGCGGGCAAGGGTCTCCTAGGTGCTGGAATCCTTCGCCCTCGAGGTATAAAAGGCGTTCGAGGCCCATAACGCCTTAGATGCCTTAGAAGGAAGCCCCGAGCATTCGAGGCTGTTAATACAGGGTGGGGTCTAGGTGAGCGCCTTCAGGCATCCGTACTGTCGATTTGATTTTCGGCGCGTACAGTGTCGTCGGAGGATATACTTCTTTCATCTATAGCACGTTCGACTCGAGCTCTTTGTGGTGGGCCCAGGCACATTGTTCGTGGATGAGCGTCGTTGGGCTCTGAAGAAGCGCGCCTCGGAGCCGGATCATTGAAAGCCAAGCGATTGCCGAACGAAAAGGAACGAGATCTCTGTCTTACCGGAGGAGCTGGGCTACCATACTGGCCCGCCGTGGAACTCGGAGCTGGGCTGCCGTATCCAGGAGTGCCGTGTTGGCCTGCAGGTTGATACGCCGAGGGCGGTGCCTGACCTGTATACGTGTTACCACCTGCTCCATGACTGTAACCATAATCCGTAGGTTTCTGGCCATGCTACACATAGAAGTCAGTGTACTCTCCTCAAGTGGGATACCGTGAGAGGAGCGGTATGGTACTCACAGCACCACCACCGCCAAGCACACCCCCAAGCAACCCTCCCAAACCGCCCGATTGTTGATGTTGACCACTCTGCTGCCCTTGACCTCCAGTCTGTCCATGGGACTGCTTCCCACCGCCGAGCAGACCGCTGGCAAGCTGTCCTACAAGCCCACCTCCTCCACCGCCTGAGCCACCGTGACCCCCACTGCCAGACTGCTTCCCGCCACCCAGGAAGCTCGAGGCAAGACTGCCTACGAGACCACCTCCACCACCTTGTCCGCCGCCGCTTTGCTTACCACTCAGCATATTCATAGCCATGCCCTGTGCCCGTCAGCATCAGTATACCTTAGACATCGAACACCACGTCCGTGAATCTGGGGTGGAACGTACTCCCAAGCCGCCACTCCTCTCACCCGTCTGTCCATCGACCCCCCTCGTGCCCTCACCGCCTCCTAGTCCCTGCTGCTGGTGTGGTGCATCGTACGGATTGGCGCCCTGGGCGGGTGTGCCGGCGGGCGAAGCGCCGGGAACCGCGGGTGCGGCGGAGGTAGGCATGTCCCACTGCGAGACGCCGGTAGCGATTTGGACGTAGTAGTATTTGCGGGAGCTGGTAAAGATACGGTGTAAGCGATTGTCTGATGGATGGGTGGGTTTTGCCGGGTAAATATGGTTGAAGGATTGACAAGATCGTTGGAAGGAGGAGGGGAAGGAGGGACCTACGTGTTATCGAATTGCGGTATCCACCCGGAAGGCACTTTGGGGAGGTTTGGGTCCGTGGGACCTGAATCGGGGGAGACTGGGGGGAGCGGGGGTGTTGGTTCCGCCATAGTGAGGGGAAGCAGGTGAAGAGAGAGTGAGGAAGGTGGTAGTGTATTTCGCGGGAGATAAGTTCGTGGTCGGTATGCAGTGATATGCGGTATTTAACAGGGCACAGAAATCGGTCGCATGGTGCGAGTGCGTCCCTATTGAGGCTATGCTGACATGCTCAGGGAGACGGGAGCTGAACCTGCAGGCAAGGTCGCGAATTGACCCCTCAAAGAGGCTGTGCTGTGGCGTCATCCCGTTGTTTCGGCTGGTGTTGCTCAAATCAATCTGCATAGTTAGTAAGACTTCGGCCAGTGTTCCTCAAATGATGCAGACGTGCGAGTGAAAGCACAAACAGCACAGCGCCCGAAGGGGAGCAGCTGAGCGGTATTACACTCCATTTTCTATCAATAGCTAGCAGCTGGCAACCCTGATCAGTGAGATGAGATGAGATCAATCGTTTCATTCGCTCGCCAAGAACCCCCCAATGCCCCAGGCCTGGCAAGAGTTCTCATCTCCCATGTGTCCATCTGATTGCGCCCCCAAAGACGTTGTACAAGCGCTGGGCCTGTAAGTTGAGAAACGATAGGTATGTACAGTGTGAAGGAAGAGTGGAAGCCGCCGAGACACTTTGGCCCGTCTCCAAAACACCATTTCCATGCACCCCAGCCGTAAATGTAGATACGTTATACAAGAGAGGAAATCCACGCCCGATTACCTACCAAGCATACCCATCGTTATCGTTCTCTTCGTTACCATTCCAATCTTCGTCTCCGCTCACTTCCGAGTCCAAGAAGTCACCCTCATCGAACACATCTTCTCTAGGCCGGAGATTGTCGATGCGAATATCCACCACACGACATCTACCTTGAACATGTTTCTCGACGATCACTTCTTGGGGTGAGTTTGTGTCATTTTCGCTCTCCGAGGTTCGGGCGCGGCTGCGCAGACGTTTGGTATCCCAAATATCGTCCGACCCCCGAGCCTGTCGCCTACGAGCGCCCCGGGGTAAGATGGGCGCATCACTGTCTGAACTCTCCATTCCATCACTCGGCGAGCTGATGATTGGCGATGTCGTCGTCGCCTCATCCATCTCGTCTTCGCTGACGTCTCCCTGGGCGGTTGCATTCCCGTTCCCGCCGGCTACTTGCGAAGCCTTCCATTCTCTGAAAGCACGCAAGGATACCAAGTGGTCACTGGGTGGCGCAGATCGTTCGAGGAATACCCTCTTGAAACGCGGAATCCATTCGTCTCGGAAAGCGGCTCGCTCACGCCAGTTTACGTCTACCATGGCCTTCAACACAAGTTCGCGAAGGTCCGGCAGCTCTGCGGCGGCATGAATCAGCGACTTGAAGAATGTCTTGGCGGCAGGCGCAGACCACTTCCGTAGGTAAACGAGGTCCAGGACTTGCAATGTGGATGGCCAAGACGGTACCTCTTCCTCTGTGAGAAGCTCGTCGTACTTGGGGTCCGCATCTCGTGATGTGGTGAATGTGGAGTAGTAGTTAAGGTCCATCCTGAGAACTTCCAACCGAGGGCATGAGCTCTTGAGATCAGGCAAGAACGACAGATTCAGGGCTTGGTTGTGGTTCAGGATCAGTTCCTCCAGCTGGTTTCCATGGGTGAGTAGATAGGCCCCAAGTACTTCCGATGTGAGCATCCCACAGTTGGCAATCGTCAACGAGACGAGTGTCTCTGGGAGTAGCGGAAGGAGCCTCTCGTTGACGACTGTAGACGACACGAATGAAATAGCCCGAAGGCTGGGAAGAGCGGCCAGAGCTGACGCTAAAAGCTCTTCCTGTGACGGCTGATCTTCAACGTCCGCTAGGTCCTGTGGAAAATTTGTGAGGACCAAGTCTCGGAGAGTCTGGAACGACACCTGTCCGTGAACGTCCTTCATCCGTAGGATGCTCGCTGAATTGATAGTCTCCGTAAGCAGAAAATGATTCCACGTCCAGCCCTTCAATCTTGCTCCGCTCTGATCCAAACTCGTGAAGAGCCCTGGAGGATAGTGTCTACTGGCGAGCCGACGCACAGTCAGTTGTGCTTGCCTATATGGTGGCCGATCGTGGGGGTCGAATATCTCGACCTCTTTGAGAGTCCTCAAGGGAGTGATGAGAGTTGTCAGATCTAATTCTGCGCGGCCCGTTGGAGACCGATGTGGCATCTTGGTAACATCAAGCTCCAGACGCTTGACCATGACTTGGTAGTCTCTATCTGCTGACGCAGGCGTCTGTGACAAGGTCTGCAACAGCTTGCTCCTCCTATCCTTAGGTAATGCGAAGAGCGGCGGGTTGCGATAGAGCGCAGTGAGGGCAGGTTTGGTGAAGAGCTGGTGCATCCGGGCCGTGTTGAAAAGCCATGAAACTGCCGGAGTCGGAGAAAGGCCATCGTAGAGTGGATGAGAAGCATAGACAAAGACCTGCAGTAGGACATGATATGGAAGCGCTGTCCAATTGGGTATCTTGCCGTCCGTCACGAGTAGTTTGGTCTTTGGGGGGGCTTTGGTTTGAGGATCTGAACGTTTGGTGACTCGGCCTGTGATATGGAGTTAGGACCAGTTCTTGAATATAAATAAACTGATGGAGTGTTGTTTGGGCTTACCTAGAGCTCTACGAGGGGTCCTATTGCCCGACTTATCTTGGGACCGCATTGCTTTGCGCTGGGGTGTTGTAACATGCTCTACATAATCGCCTTCGGGGTCTTCGTCCTCGGAGTCTCGGTCATTACGGCGATGTGCTGCCTTGACCTTGGCTGCCTTGTTCCGTGACCGCGTCGCTTTGCGCTGAGTCGTCGATGCCTCCTCTCCTGCAGAGTCCTCGTCTGAGCTTAGCTCTTTGTATGATTGAACATGTTGGCGGCGCGACCTAGCAGTTTTCTGGGGTGACTGCGATTGGGTGGTGCGTGCAGTCCTGCGGCTCCGGAGCGTGAATTGTGGTTGCGACTGCGACTGCGACTGCGACTGCGCAACGCGCCTAGTCTCGCGGTGGACGACGACGGGCTGCTCCTCGTCGAGGGAATCAGCCTCGGAATCAGCAGGTGTGTCTTCATCACTGCTCGGTTCGCGGTAGGATATAGAGGCGCGCTTGCGCTTCAGGTTGCGAGTCGCCATGGTTTCACTGACATGCCGGAGATAGGGCGGTAAAGATGGTGACAGTTCAGCAGCGGGCGTTGCCAATCGAATGGAGTGGAAGACAGGAGGATCGCCTGCGGTGTGTCGAGGTCCCCAGAAAGCGTGTCCAGGAAGTTGGGGAGAGGTTGGAGAAACAAAGACAGTGATGCCTGCTGGTGATGCGCGCAGTCAGTGACGATGGCACTTGCATCAAATGTCTGGCGCTAGCGCAGATCCCGGTCGGGTAAGTTTACCGCCAAGGAACGCCAAGAAATGCTGCATATGCAGGCGCCCATTAAACGTCCTCAAGATCTGGCATCGTCTATGTTTTCAATATTCATCTCTCAGAAGATAGCTAAGATAACTAACTAGTTAACCGAGAGCATCTGAGAGCAGTCACGCCTGAGAAACAGCAGCATTTCGTCCTGTCCACGCTTTTCGTTCCTGAGATCGCCGTGAAGCACCTCAAGCTGATATGTCACTTTGAGTATCCAATTGCTGTGACAAACGATGCGTTCTTCTGAAGGTGCATGAGCGCCCCGCGATGGGCTTCAGGTCCAGCCCTTTCCTCTTCGGGACGTCACGCTTAAGTCGCTTAGTCAGCCAAGGCCTGCAGGGCTCTCGTTTGCCAGCCGGCGCGTCAGAAACAACAACCCTCCTGTAAGTCGCCGCGTGCAAGCTCACCAGCAACCTCTCCTCTGTCTCTTTGTCCGTGCGACATCGTATAGCTTTCTTGTCGCTCTCCGACCCGGCGCGCATCTCTGATTGCCCAGTCTGTTTGCCGGCGTTTTCACGCAGAGCTGTTCAAGCTCTCGCGGCAATCTTCTGTTCAGAAATCTCGACTTTCTGTCGTGGCGCTGTGGTTGTAGTGAAGTCGGAGGGACCCTCATTTCCTAGTACCACGGTGGCCACTCCTCACTGGATTCGCGCCAACAGCGCACATGCCACCTCAGGAACCCCATCAAAATCTCCATTGACCTTTCGGGTGGGCATGATCTGTCGCATTCACCATTAAAGTCCTCAGGGTGCTTGGTTGCGACAGCTCTGCGCTGCGGCTGTCTGCTCGCCATTCTCGTGACAGGACCTCATCCGGCGACCCGCACCTTCACCGCAAGAAAAAGAACACTTCTAGCTCACCAAGGAAAACACCTACGCCTTTCTCTGTCGCGTCATGACCTCTTTCCACTCAGTCGATCACCACAATACTATCCACGTCGCTCCCATCATCACGAACGAGTTCTCCCCAGTCTAGTTCACGGCGAGAGCATGGTGATCACGCAAAACCCCGAATTTAAGAACTTTTTTGGAAACTCCTGCCTATATCTGACTCTGAAGAAGTCAAGAAACAGAACTTTCTTGTCTAGAAACCTTGAGGCTGTTCTGGACCATCATCAACGACGACTTGAGAACCCAGCTCTCGCCAACACAACAGACACGCGTAGACACACGCGGGTCCACTGGAAGTATCCTGAGATACCTGAGGGCATGGACGACTTGATACAAAGCTTTGAGAACGGAGAGATTCTTGAGGTTTCTGTTAGAGGGTTTTGGCCTGTAGACACTTCTTCGAAAAAGAAAGCATCAAACAAATTGGCAGTCGAGCCAAAGGCGAGAGAGGCGATATGGGACAAGCTCGAAAACGTCGAGAATATCATTAGACAACCTTGTCGGGTCAGACTCCAAATTGCAGTGGTCGATCCTGACAAGACCAAGTCTCGGGGCGACAGATGCGAGATTCTATACTCTACCGACCATCCCGCGACTATCTGTGGAAAACAGAACAGGCGTGGCCAGAAATTTCTGAAAATCGATGTGGAACCGTTCCGAGTACAAATACCTACACTGACGGTCCTGACGGTCCACAAGTTCAATGGCGGACGATGGAAGAACGTCATGGGAGCCAAGTACGAAACGACCATAGCAATTTCACCCATGGACAGTGTTAAAGCTGACGAGCTGCTACACTTTTTAAAGCCCAATAGCGAGCTTGGTCGTTACGATCATGCGGCTCTGTTTGGAAAATGGAACGACTTGCCACAGCTTCCTTCCAATGGACAGATGATTCCTGTGTACCGTAAAACTAGCGGGGGACGGATGCAGTTTGAGCATGAGATCGATTTTGAGATGGTTTATACGAAAAGCCAGGTGTCGCCAATCGCACTATATAACCAGTCTTCAAAGCGCATCCGGCCAAATCAGCTCCCTTCACCAGTCTCGGAAACACGGCTTCTCGACGAGATGACTGAGGTGACATATAGACTCATCAATGGCAATGCTTCAAAAGTTATGACCTATAAAGCCAATATGTGTCTCTTTTGTCCCGACAAGACTCTTCCCAACAGCGAAAGGTTGCATCATCACCTTAAAACAGACCATGACAACTACGATTTCAAAGTTGAGACACAGCAGAAGGAGCGGGGTACAGCGACATTGACTGAAGTTACGATTCTTGTTGAGCTCTCTGAAAAGAGGGAGGACTTAAGAGCAAGTGACTCAGTGCCTGATACACGCGCCGTCAATTGGGTTGCGCCACAGGAACCTTTCAACCTCGCCGAGTCAAACAAGGGCAACTCGGATTGGGTGACAAAAGGCTCTTACCATGGGAAGAGAAAGGCGACCAAGCCTGTTGCTGGGCAAATCAAGCGTAAAGAGCCGAACGAGGTCATACAGCAGCTACCTGTTCCAATTAGGAAACTACACAAAGTTCCTCGAGCTCCAAACGGCATAACGTTCTTCCGGACGCTGTCAAAACGTCCTTTGGAAGAGGGCGAATGGGTCAGTGAGAGCGACGACGATATCGACATAACATGGCTTAAACTCCGACGGAACGGCGCAACGAGCGACTCAGACACTCCAGAGTCGGCCAAAGCCCTTATCAAAAGGCTAGACGATCATATGGAAGATGAGCAGCTAACTGACGACTTGCATGTCGGTGATGCTATTGTTCGATTCACCTCCCAAAATCGCGAGTGGTTGCAGGAATCAGATCATGGCCAACAACTCTTAAAGAAAGCAGCAGAACTTCGAGACGACGATATCATCACAGAAGCTGTCTATCAACACTGCAAACAGTTCGCACAAGTTGATCCAATTGAGAGCAACAAGAGTAGATTGCACAACAGGAAGGAAGGCGTAATATCAACGCCACCACGAACGCCAGCTACATCCTCAGCGAGTGTTAGTTCTGTCGATGGAGAACCCAGAAAGTGTAAGAGATCAAACACTAAAGGCCGCGGACCCTCTCAACAACAAGACACCGACGGTGATGTTGAGATGTTAGAGCCAAGTCCACCGGACAGTCGACAACTGAGCAAAGACCGTGGACAGTCACACGCGCCTGTCAGCGGCAGATGCTTATGTGGTAAACAAGCTGAATCGGTTGATAATCTGCGTGAGATCATCTGGTGCGACAATCCTGTAAGTTTGATCTCATCTCTTCGTTTCTCAGTTCTTTTTGTTGCGTTTCATCATCATGTCACACCTTCTACACACTCCTTAGAATATTGCAACACACTGAACCACTTGTCATCTTTTTCTGTTCATACGCTTTTCGCTGCTGTCAGTCCTAATAAGAACTCCATCACTAATTCATTTCCTCAGCACTGCGTCCGCCACTGCTTCCACATAAAATGCGTCGGCCTGCCCAAAAGATGCCGCGGCTGGGCTTGTGACGACTGCAAAGGCGACGAAACTCTGTGGCCGACAAAGGACTAGTCCCCAATTATACGTTCGCAAAGCGAGGGCGGTGGAGGTGGTTGCGGTTTGAACAGGGGCGCAAACAAGTATCGCATCTGACACCTCTTCCTCTACCTACCCAAGCTTTGCCCACTGAATCTGCAAGGCGACGGTGGCGCTTTTCCTGCATTTGCAGTTTTCTTCTTTCTTTTGTTTGGCTTCAGCATGCGCCGGCGTTTTGGTCGGGGGCGTATAGCATATTTAACATGACGTGGGCCGGGTGGTTCCCAATATTTTGGACGAGGTGGGGATTTCTGCTGCTTTGCTTACTTCATGGGATGGATAGTTGCTCAAGAGCGGTATGGAAGTGCGTTACAATCCAGTAAAATAGACTATGATTATCGCTTCAATTGCGGGTGCCGTTTCTTTGGCAAGACAAGTGATAACCCTCAGAGCTTGTATGGAAGTAACGCAGCTGCAGTATCTTGACTAGAGCGTTACCTCTTTTCTTTCGAGTTCTGCCCATCCCAATTTCTTCGACTTCAATCTCAACAGGCCCCCTTTTGCCTTCTCCTACACTTACACACTATCACCCACTCCCTGCCCCCTCCTACCCCTTAGACCCATCCATCCCCTTCACCCACCAATAGTCCCATCTTCCGCGAACTCCATCACCAAATCCACCTCCGCGCAACTGCTCGGCGCAGGATAGAACTTCGGATCGCGATACGGGTCTCTCAGAAACAGCTGCGGGACCGCGTGCCACCAGTCACACACTACGCAGCATCAGCAATCCATCCATCCATCCATTCAACCATTCAACCATTCAACCCACCAGACAAAACAGCCAACAAAACAAAACTTAGAAAGAACGAAATCAAAAACTCACCCAGCCACCCCGGCGCCCCTCCCCCCGCCGCCGTCCCACTGCCCTCATACCCCACCACCACCTCCGCCCTGCCCCCCACCGTCCCCTCCCCCGTGATCCCGACCACCCACCCGCTCGCCGCGCCCCCGGCGGCGTTCAGCGTCACCCCCGCCCATCCGCTGTACGCCGCCCACTCGAACTGGAAGCCCCAGATGTACCCCGCGGGGTTCGCGACCTGCAGCACCGTGCCCGCGCCGTACTCGCTGGCCGTGCTGTTGAGGAAGAAGTCGGCGCCGGCGGAGGCCGAGGGCGCGAGCACGGGGTCGGCGAGGCCGGCGCCCGTGTGGAAGGAGGTGAGGTAGAGGTTTGCGAGGTGGGAGGGGGGCGAGGGGTTGGTGGGGGAGCGCGGGTGGAGGTGGGTGCGGAGTTTGAAGGTTAGGGGCCCGCTGGGGGTGGCGGTAGGGGTGGAGGAGGTAGGGGAGGTGGGGTAGGAGGAGGTGGTGGTGTTGGCGAAGGGGGGAGTGCTGGTGGGGAGGGTTGTGTTGGAGGGCGTGCCGGTGGTGCTGAGGATGATGGAGGTGTGGAAGAGGCCGGTGCTGAAGGGGACGCTGGTGGGGAAGGAGGTGCCGGTGCTGAGGGGGATGCTAGGAATCGGGATCGAGCTGGTGGAGTTCGCGGTCAGAGCGGCGCGCGGGCGGTGGATGAGTTCGTTAAGGTGGTTGGGGTGGGCGAGGGCTAGGAGTGGTAGAGACACGAGAGAAAGGAGGAAGAGTTTCATCTTGATTTGAGTCGGAATGGCCTGGCTGAGGCTATAAACGAAGGTGTAGAGAAAGGAAAAGGTGGGAATGAGTGTTCTCCTGAAGCTGGATGATTTTCTCGAAGACGTCGCGGAAAGCAGTTCTTATACCCCCTTTTTTCCTTCATCACGGCCGAAAGCATCCACGTCGTTGTATCCATTTCCCGCTCTTCTGTTGCAAAGGCTTTGCGGCAAGGCTTGAGGGTACGTGGTTGTGTTTTATCGCTTTTCCTCTTTTCAGGTCCCGCGTCACACGTCTTGGTTTGGGCGTGGTTAGATCCCCACTAGAATCGGGTTAGACGGTACGCCTGGGGTGCTGGTGGCACAAACAACAAACTCGTTCCTGTCACTTATGCGGCCTGTCAGCTGCCCTCTGTGGCACACTGGTCACAAGTGTCAGCCGTTCGGAGAATGTTGCAGACAGAGGGTTCGGAAGAAAAGATACTGGGCTTTGGGATTGTCCTTATGGGGATAGACCTGACGGTGGTAGCACCGTTGAGGAAGCCATAAAGCCAGTGTAGAGAACTAGGAAGTTAGTATCTTCGTAGGCGTATACAGAGGTACAGCTAAGATTCTATCGGGTAGAACGGGCGTTTCGATTTGAGTGCCCTGTGGTATGGGGAGAGATTTCTCGTCGAGAAAAACAAGCTCCAACCAGCGGGTTGGCTATAAGGCGAGTACTGGAATTTCGGCTTGTGAACAGGTGTATCTACAGTTACCAGGCATTGTGATGATGTCGGGTCAACTGAGTGTTACGGCTTCCATCAATATGATCTGAGGGAGAGCTCGGGAGCAAGAAACTGATCGTCGCGCAATGTCCAATCAAGCTGATGATGAAGATCGGAAGGGTACTAGAGGGATAGTATACCCGCAAGTACGTACAGACCTCTTGTTAGAATGGCACCGCGCTAGGCTTGCGTCTTAGACTCCATACACCATAATCTGAAGAGGGCTTGATCGTCAAGTAGTATCTGACAAATCGAACATGGTATTATAGAACAAGGAGCTGTATGCCGTGTACATGATGTATTGGGTGATGATGTCAGAGAAGAGAGAGGTTAGGAGGAAGGTGAGGCTATATTATATATACAAAGGTGATAGGTGCACGCCTTAGCCCCCACAGCTACTCCCTGATAAATGGCGAGAAGAGAAGGGTAGCGGAAGATTTCTTGTAGAATTAGACGCATACGGGGTTGGTGATAGCGTCGACTAGGTGCTTCGGACTTTATGCTCCGCGATCTAGGGAAAGCATGATCGACGAACACAATCCAACTGACCAAGCAGGAGGGTGCGAGGAGAATAACCACATCCACTCTCCCTCAATTCCACCGAAGCCAGTGATGACGAGACAAGAGCGCTAGATTTTAGAATCGCACAGAGTAATATTCAGTGGGATATACCGTAGCATGTCAACCGAGTGGTTCGACTAAAAAACAGACCATCGAGCAATATCCGTGTAACAGAAAAGTCTGCTACAGAAAAATGCAACCCCATTTGGAGAGACAATCTTATATGTTATCTCAAGACGATTAAAGACGAAAGAAGCAATGCAGAGGTTTTAAGGAGGAGAGAACTATCTTGATGTCGTAAAAAGGAGGTGCTAGATCAAAAATCATGGGTTCCAGCATTCTGGAAGCTCACCAAGCCACCTGAGACCTTCTTGCGGTGAAGGTCTGTTTGAGCAGAAGGCTATTGGTGAAATGAAGGAAAATATCAGAGGAACAGCTTGAGGACGATAGATTAGAGGAAATATAGAGGAAGTGATGAGTACGTCTGACAGTTTATAAGTGTGGAAAGCTTGTGCCGCTCTCGTGTATTAATTCTGTGAATCATGGCGACTTAAAGATAATTGTATGCATCTCTCTTCTGTATTCGCCTTGGAGGTGTCTTCTTGAGGAACAAATCCAACCGCATCAACCCAAATTACCCACCCATCCCCATCCTCCCTAATCACTCTCCTCCATCAATGCCGCCAACTCGGCCTCTTCTTCCTCTGTCATGAGACTTTTCTTCCCCTTTTCCTCCTCCTCCACCACACCCGCCTTCTCTTCCTCCTCCTCCTTCCTAATCCTCGCAAACTCCCCTTGACTTAGTTCCCAACTCCTCACTGTCCCATCAATCCCCACACTGACCACATTACCACCCCATATCACAACCCCCGTAACCTCCTCATAGTGGCCCGCTAGCACAATCACGCACTTCCCACTCCCTGCATCCCAGACCCTGACCTCCTCATCCCTGCACGCTGTCACAACCCACCCCTTGCCTTCGTCTACCGCGACAGCCCGCACAAAGTCCGGGTGTGGAAAAGTGGTGTCGGGGCCGAAATTCTGTGCCCGAGAAAGAATATGAGCGGATTTATCGGAGGAGGCGGTGAAGAGGTCGCCCGAGGGCGAGAAAGTGAGCTGATTTATAGAGGTTTCATGGTGTGTAAGGGGGTCGGTGGCATCGCTGGTTGCTGAGATGGTTGATTTCGAGGTGGAATCCGAAGATGGGGTAGCAGTTATAGCCCACCGTCTGATCTCGCGATCACTGCCTGCACTGAAGACGGTCACGCTCTCCGGCTCCGTACTCTTCGTCTTAGATGGACGATCGAGGGGATCAGCAACACTAAGCGGATCAACAGCCAGACTCAACACTCCCCTTGCGTGCCCCTTGAGCGTCTGCAATGCTTCCCCTGTCTCAGCGTCCCAGACAATGATTGTAGCATCCGCGGCCCCGCTGAGTAGGAGCTCGCGGCCTCCGAGCGAGACACATACGACGCATTTGACGAAGTCGGTATGGCCGGTGAAGCGGCGACCGGGCGCGCGGGTGGCGGTGGACCAGGACCAGACTGTCTTATCCCAGCAGCCGGCGAAGAGGGTGCGAGGGGAGCGGGTAGTGGAGAGGCAAAGGGAGGTGAGGGGGGCCATGGGGCCGGTGAAGGGGGTTGTCGTTTTGCTCTGGATTGTCTTAGTGGTGCTTCTGACATTGAGCGTGTATGGTAGAGGTATAGATGGATATATACTTCAAGTCATCTTTACAAAGGAAGAAGGACTATGAATAGTATATATTGGATACGAGAGGATTAGACTGTGTACAAAACAAAACATCTTACCCACTTCAAGCACAACCCTCCTCACCACACCCGCCGCCTCGGCCACATACACCGCGCCCTCATCATCTAGATCTGGGATAATTGCCAGCAGCTTACTCGTAAGCTCGATCGGGTTTCCCTTCTTGTTTTTCGACTTTGCTGCCTTGCGTGTTCCCTCGTCTATGGAAGCTCTGTTGAGGCACGAATTAGCTTCTGATACACTGAAGCATTCACAATCTGATTAAAAGCTCACGTAGTCTGGAAGAAATGTCCTGGGTCGGTTGAGCGCGACATTTTGAGTGAAGAACGCGTAGATAGGTGGTGGTGTTAAGGTGCGGCTCGGAGACGTGCAGTTGGTGGGGTCAAGACGGGATCAGATTAGGAATTATTTTATAGCCCCTCATTACATATCAAGGGACCCTTGGACCCAAGATTCCAAGTCTATATATTAAACATTACCCCCCTCGTTCAGGCCTTGAGACTATTACGATTACGCTGATATTATAGCAATACTGATAAGTATTACCACCTCAAATCAAACCAAATGCAGCAAGCATGCAGCAAACCAAGAAGTCATTTCGTAATAATAGATCAAGAACGCCCCATCCCAAGGCATTATCTCATATCTCATGCTCATGCCCATTTTCATATATCGTGAATCCGTCATATCATGGAAGAGGTCATCATCCAACCGAAGCGTACAAAAATGCGCCCAGATATTGGAACAGGGAGATCCCAAGAGTGAACAACGCCCCACCAAAAAGTCTCCCACCAAGGGATCCGTTTGATGATTTTGAAAAACGCGATGAACTGCCTGCCCGCTTGTTGCAAATCGCAAACGTCATCCGCACAAGCCATCTCTGCGTATCGTCACAACATGCTCTCGCAACATCAGCGTCACCTCCGCAGGTTCTCTGCTGCGGCTAAGGAGGCGAGATCGCGAACCGCCCATCGCCAGCCTTCGCCGTCATCGCGGACGCCTTCAAACCAGCCTTCGACGCGCCGTCGCCATACGGCCTCCTCTTCTCTTTGTCGACGGATGAAGCCAGGGCCGAGATCAAACTCTTCGCCTACGAATGAAGGGTCATCCATTTTGTTGCTGTCTCCGAAGCCGGACGTGACACTGGGAGCACCACCAGCACCAACCGTGACTTTGTTTTCTTCATCTTTGAGGTCGTCAAACCCGGCGAACGGGTCGTCGTCATCGTCTCCAGAAGGCGACATGGCTCCGGCACGGGATGAGGGTCCTAATTTGAGCCACTTCATTTGTCGTGGGTCAAAGACCATGCCACGTTCAACTTGAACACCGCGGGCCGCCGTTATGTGAGAGATCAACGCAGGAGCGCGAGGGGGGGACGGTGGGTTTATGTTTGCCGGCCGAGAGCTGGTATGGGTATGTCTTCCCTGTGGCTGAGACTGGAAGATTTGTGGTATGGATTGTGATCGGTCGTGTGAGTAATGCGACTGTTGATGTGGCGGTGCGAAGGTAGGCGTACTCGCGGTGGTAAGATTACCGAGCGTCGTGCTCGAAGTATTAGGGTGTGAAAAGGAATCTAAAATGGCTTCGTTGCCCTCCCATCTATGCAATATTGGGTTGTAACGCATGCCTTTCATATCTGCGGAATGGTTAGTGTTTGCTCTGCATATTAGAGTGGTTTATACGTACTTTCGGCTCTAGGTGCTGACATTGGATTAATCAAGAAGGGTTTCTGGCCCGTGCCTCTTTTCGTGCGTTGGGCGGAGGGGCTCGTATGAGGGCTGCTTGCTGCTACCTTAGCTTTCCAATTCGTCTGAACTGGAGCAATTGGCCCGTCCTGGCGAGATCTCGTCCCCGCAAGTCGCTGTTCTCGTGCTATACGACTTGCTGCTGTGTCGCGGGCGAAGCGTGGTGTGCTGTCTGGCTTCGTTGGGCTTCGCGGCGTAGCTGGAGGTGCTGGTGTTTGCATGCGGTCGGGAAGGGGCAACCGAGTGTTGCTTTGCTGATGCCTAAGAGATTTGACCGGGCCTCGCGCGATCGGCACCTTCTCAAACTTCTTTTCTTTCGCGGCGGACGTAGGCAGGTCGTCGAAAACCTCAAGCTCGCTGCCATCGCCGAACGCACGGCGTCGCTTGGGCATCGCAAGAGCACGTTTGGCAGCAGCTTCCCGTTGCAACGCCGCTGGCGCCAGATCGCGGCGCATGCCAGCGCGACTTGGAGTTTCCGGAGGGTTGGTTGCGGACATGCGGGAGAATGATCGTATGGCTGGGGATTGAGGTCTATTGTTTGAGTATGATCGCATTGCTGGCGATAGAGGCCGTGTGTTGTTATTGGGGTCCGAGTCCCGACGAAGGTGGGTTTGCGAGGATTTCGATTTGACATGATGCGATTGTGAGCTTGACCCACCAGCCGGAAGAAAGGGCACAGGGGGCTTTGGCGCAGAGTTGTAGGTGTTGCGCAAGACAGGCGCAGACCGTTTAGCCCGTAACAGCTGGGCATGAGTGGTGGTCGGCATGGGTCGCGTAGTGCTCTTCGAGTTCGCACCTTGCTCATGGATGGGAGTGAGCTTCGATCGACTGGCGGATGTTTGGAGGGGCCTCGGTATCCTTGAGATGGAGGGCTTGTCGGTGAATGTCAGAGTAGTCGCAGGGCGAGAAGCAGGAGGCGCAGAGGTTTTCGGTGTCGGCTTCTGAACAACAACGTGACGATTCACAGTCGCTTTCTTCGTGTCGATAATGTCGCCAGTACCAATGTCAAAGTCGGCGAAGAAGTCTTCCTCCTCGACGGGTTTGGGCTTTTGAGCTGGCTGTATAGGCTCCGCGGGAGAGGGCGACGAGTACGGCGCATCATGCGGTGAGAAGTCTGGCACGGACGTTGGTGCTTGATCCCGTCTGTGGGGATGAGCTGGCTCGGGAGAGACATCGGGCGTGTGCTGCTCGGCCTCTTTGAGCTTTTTCAAGCGAGCATTGAAGTCCAGCTGCTCGGGTAGCACGAGACCAGTGATGTCGTCCTCCTCGCTCTCAAGCGTCATGCAGCTGCCCATGCTCGGGCTCATCGCAGAGACAGACGAGCCGCGGTTGCGGCCATCCCGTTTTGTTCCTCCAAATCGGATGCCCAGGCTCCCCTCGCCCCAGTCGTCAAATTCATCTTGATCCTCAGCGGGGGTTCGCGGCAACTGCGGTGCCTTCAGTTTGAGGGTATCGAAGCCCGAGCTCGGCAGCTCGAGGTCATCGCCCCAGTCGTCGTCGGCGACGATTTTGCGCTGCGACTTCTTCTTGCCCAGCTTCTTGATGGATCCGCCGAGCAGCGCGGAGGAGGGCACCCCCAGCGGGATGGGGATGCCGGCTTGCTTGGCCGATGAGATGGCATGGAGGGTGGATAGTTCGTCGTTGGGGGTGATGAGGACCTGCCAGTCGTCGTCGCCAATGTTGGACTCGGAGCGCACGGAGACGCGTGATGATTGCGACGTCTGCGCGGTGGAGACGGAGTTGGTGAAGAGGTCGCCCTGGAAGTCGGCGTCGTCGTCCCAATTCTCAACAGAAGTCATCATGGAGGCCATTCGCTGCGCGAAGCTGCCTTTGTTAGTAGGATTGGCCATGGCAGCTTGCGCGGGCAGGAGCTTGGTTGGGGTTAGGTGAGAAGTGGGTGCCCAGGTGGTGGTTGGGACAGGTGGCTGGAGAAGCGAGGCCAGCCGCAGCGGTGAGAACGACAGCCCGTGAGACGGAAACACGACACTGACGCGAAACACAGCGCCGAGCAGCCAGCGATTCACCACAATAGCAAGAGGAGCAGAGGGCGCGGGATACCTGTGAACAGCGGCGCCAGAGGGTGTCTATACCGCGCACACGGAACGCCTCCCGCCAGTTGCAGCTGTCAGGCCGCTAGCCGTGCTTCCAGTGCTCCCATCCGTGGACGCCGTCTGCAGGCAGAAGCCAGCTACCTGCGCGACTCCGCTTATAGTCCTTATAACATAAGACCTCCGGGCCCTCGCAGACCGCGCCCTACCGCCGTCGTGGTCTCAGCATTCACTTTCACCTGAAACAGCCGTGCCCGCCTAGAGCAGGGCGTCCGCTTCGTCCAGACACCTGTCCGTCACCATCAGTGGAGAGGGGTGACAGGCATAGCATAACCTCGATCTCGATCTCGACCAAGGATACTCCTGTCACTTCACGCAATCCGGCGTGCCGGCTTCTGTCTACTCAGGGTCCCAGACGTGTTGCCCCTCCGCGTCGGACACGCGTTGGTCCTTGTTTGCGCCGGAGTCGACGTTCCAGATAGAGCACCTCGTTTTGATCCGCAGGCATGGCCAACGGAGATCGCCATATCATCGAGATCCCCGCCGCTGCCGGGGATGGAGACGAGTTCATCATAGTCGACGTCACGAGCAATGGCCCCGGCCGGCTGGACGTCGCGTTACTGGGCTCCGAGGGCCAGTTTCCCTACTTCAAACAAAGTAATCTTACTCGAGTCCAGGATCTCATCCTGCCTGCTGACCTCGAATCCAGTTCAGCAGCGAAAGCTCAAGGAATTGCGGACGACGCGCAAGGGCAGCGATGAGCAGTGGGAAGCTGCCCTGTCTCACTTGCTGCTGAACGAGGCCATCCAGGCGGAGTATGTGAGCGCGCTCAAGGGCGTCCAGATTGTCTACCAGGCGGATGGCGACAATCTCAAACTCATTGTCCGACAGGAGGTGGCCACCACTAAGCTCAAGGTTGGTGGTCTTGACGGATATGTTGTATGGACGCGTACTAACGCGTACGTAGCATAACATGGGCGAGATGATACTCCTAAGAGATGAAGAGAAAGAGATTGACCCCCTCGACTGGGCCCGAGTCGCTGCTAGAGGGACGGCAGCTGCCAAAGATCAGTTGGTCAGCTTACAGACACAGCTAAGCACTCAGCAGAGCACTATCGACAAGCTACATGCGCAGCTTGAGGACCTCGTCAAGGCCAAGGAAGAGAACGATAACGCAATGCTGCAGAAGTTTACTCAACTGCTGAACGAAAAGAAGCTGAAGATTAGAGACCAGCAAAGACTCCTCGCTGGTGCAAAGGTGGACCCAAAGGCTGCGGTCACAGTCGAGGTCACCCGAGAGGACTCGAAATCCAAGTCGAAGTCACGAAAGCCTGAGCCGTCTAGAGCCTCTAAGAGGAAGGCAAACGAGAAGGCCCCCGTCGTAGAGTCTGAGTCGGACGGTGAATTCGAGCAGATGCAGGTCGACGAAAAGGAGGTCAAAGCAGAGCAGGAGCGTGAGGAGGACATGCCCGAGGCGGCAACGCCTGACCGCAGCGAAGACGAGACAGAGGACGAAGAGGGCGATGTCGGGGGAGCTTCGACACCGACGCAGCCAAGCAAGTCCGTCGAATTGGCTACACGGACGGCCAGCACGCCTGAGCAAACGCCAGCGCTGCCGCCACCCAGACGCGAACTGCCGTTTGGTAAAGCGAAAACACGAGGTCAGAAGGTCGCACCGCCGCCTGTGGAGGACGAGGATGACGATACAGAGGACGACGAGCTTTGAACATGGAGAATGGCCATTAGATGGCAAGTCAAAGCCTTAGAGACCAATCCGTATCGAGCGGTCATGGGAATGGCCAAAAGCGATGTCTAAGCGACTGGCTCCATGCTCTCGCTAACGCACATACCCGCGAGAACCGAGCATCATGCCCCAAGCATCTTGTGGCTCTGAGGCGGAAGCGAACGATCCCATGATGCACAGGGAGGGTGTTGCATCGGAATCACCCCGCCGCCGGGTACTGGACTGTGTAACCGGCAGAGAAGATGGATGCTACCCCGTCGGCGCAATGGAGACGTCGCAGTCGAGATGAAAGGGGTAAGACATTAGACAGATAGGTTGAAGCCCAAGAAGCCCGAGACATCAGTGCCTGAAACCGCGAGTCCCGTGACGTCGAGCGCTTGGCCGTGAATGGCGGGGGCAAGGATTGACGCGCATATGTAGGCGTAGACGACAGCGAGAACGTGCACGTCAGATTTTCGGCAGGGCTGAATCTAATGGGGTTGCCGGGGACCCGCGCATGATGCAGCCGCGAGGGGTCCAGCTATTCCTCTACGTAGATACGAAGGTACAAAGTAGATAGACAGGATAGACCCTTTCTGCAGCGGCGCTGGACTAGCAAACGCCGGAGCAGCGTGAGGGTCCAGAAATCCGCGTGGGATGAAGGTCCGCTCCGCTGCACGCCAGCCGATCGAGCACGCCAACCGTGCATTCCAAGGTTGACGAGCGCATCGTTAGCCTGCTCCACCAGACCCAGCCCTGGGAACAACCTCACCGCGCAGCTTCAGACAAGACTTCCTGACAGCAACAGACGTTGAGGCCGACACTGCTGCTGCTCCTGGACGCCGAAGCGCCCTCGCCGGACCGATCCCGCCCTCCCGCGCTCGACAGCCGTGCCGACATGACCGCCGCGCCCGCCCCAGCTCACGAATGATAGACAGGCTGCGATAGGCCTCCCGCGGTCCTGTCGCGTCTTCACTCGGTGCGTATTGACATCTGCGAGTTCCTATCCATGGGATGCGGTTTTCCTAGGTGCATTGGCTGACAATAGTGCGCAGTTGAATTGTTCCTCACTTCACCGCCAACTATTCACGTCCGCCGAACAATACGATCACGGCCTACAACCTCACCCCTCCCAACTCACCGACGTGTATAAACCTATGATCTCCCATCTTCTGTCCATTTGTATCCTACACCTCACATACCTCTGGCTCTGCCTTTTCACCTCCAACCAAATACCACTTCCCATCTGGCATATATCATCTGGAACCCTCTCACCTGTCGCATTGCCGCATGAACTCAAAATGTCCATACCGGAGTCCACCGCCGACCTAGGCAAAGCCGGCCAGGACGTCAAAGGCGCACGATCCAAGGAAGACGCCGAAGAGCTAGCCAAGATCGATGCGATTTTCGAGCGCATTCGCAAAGTCGTTCCCACGGAACCTTACATCCTATCCACGCCATCCGACTTCCCCTACCACCGTGTCGACGACCAAGAGCGCCGAAACTGGATGATTGGAGATCTATGGGAGCCCCGAGAGGAGTACCGCCAGTATCAGACTTGGCAGTATCGCGATCGCGAAGATACGATATACAACCTTCGGTCCACTGTCGACGAGCGAATGCAGAAAGAAGCCTTAGCATCCATCAAGAATCGTCTCAAGCCCAATTTCACGACGACTCCAGCGGCGGGGGCCAAAAAGATGAGCTACAGCGACTACACCAAAGCCAAGCAAGCCAATGGGACTCTCGGGACTCCGCTGTCGAAGAAACCCTCCCCAGAGCTTGATCCGGTTCAGCCACAGCAAGCTCATCAATCTCAGACTAATGGCATCAAGCCTGCTGTCAATGGTCATGCGGTATCCGTTCAAGCCCCATTGCAACAGGGTCAGAAACGTGCTCTGGACGTCACCACTTCCAACCCGCTCCAGGACATTCTCAAGGAAGCCGGCGGCGATGCGCCACCACCAGCGAAGAAGCCCAGGCCAGCATCGCCTCGCCCAGCTCAGCATTCCAAGTCCTCTTCCAATGCGTCAAGCCAGTCAAACTCCACCCCTCATGGCCTTCCCCCAATGCTTTCTCCGACCTCATTGCCGAATCCTTATGGACTCCCTCCCATATTATCACCAACTCTTCCCGCAAATATTCAGGCAGAACTCGCTCGCATCGAATCTCGCAAACGCGCCGACTCGAATGTGTCGTCGTCGTCCAGTCAGCTGCTTTCTGTTCCGGAATTGACGAACAAGAGGAGCGACGAATCGTTGAAGGGAGTCGCTCGGAAAGTTATCAAGAATGGGGACCTCAAGTCTCGATTAGACCACGCCGAATCGAAAACCGCTACTTCAACGCCAATTCGAAATCATGTCCAGGATGAGCCCCGAAGGGAGTCGCCAGCTAAGACGGCGAAAAGCCTTATCGTCAAGCTGAGGTATGGGAGGAAGAACAGGAACCAGGCCGAGGGAGTTCTCAAACTACCATCTGCTAGACAGAAGAAAGAACGACAGGCTGAACGGGAGAAAGAACGGCAGGTTGAGAAAGAGAAAGACCGTCAGGTTGAAAGGGAAGAGTTGATGAGGATGAAGAAGGCTAAGCTGAAGCAAGAGGAAAGAAACAGGGCCGAAGTCAAGGCAAAGCAAGATGCTGCGAAAGAGAAGGTTTTCAAGAGCGCACTATCCACACCAGCCATCAAGAAAGCATCTACTACCGTGCCCGACTTCTCGACAATGGCAAGGTCCGCAAAGCGCCCACGCGAGATCGACGATACATCCACTGCCCCCTCCAAACGCGTGAAGGCACCGACAGAACTCGAGGTCGACAAGGGACCTAGCACGCCTTCCGACCAAGCCATCCCTTCTCCAGCCTTGACCGCTGCATCAAGTGCCCAGAAGTCAAGTAGTCAGCTCATTACCCCCCGCAAAGATCTGAGAGCACTGAACATGGTTCGAGCTGCTTCGTCACCGGGTAACGATGTCACTCCTGGCCACGGCTCCACTCCGACAACTTTATCGAAATCGTCTGATGGGAAGACATCAGTACTTGCTTCGCAGAAAAATGAGAGATTGCGCCGGAGTGTACAAGGTTGGCTGGAGTGCCAGAACAAAGCAATCGACATGGGTCGCAACATGAAGCACGATGCTACGAGAATCGAGGACGAGGCGAAGGGTCTGAACCAGGGCGTAAAGGATGCCACAGCAATGCGCATTGCGGTGATGAGCATTGACTGTATCCTGTAAGATCCCCTAAACCACCTCCATCCAAAGCATATTATCTCTCCATTCCTATTCAACACCATCAATTCATTTCCCACGCTAATACTCGCGCAGTGCCTTCATGATTTCCTTCCACGCCGCAGACGCCAGCCACCACGTGCAAGGTCGTATCCCAACAATCGATAACACATGGCGTACCCTTTTAACGCTCGCTCACTCCTTCAAACCTCGCACTGTCCTCTACCCGGATCTTGAAGGCCTTCGTGTTACTCTGGCCTCTATCATTGCTACCCGCATCGCCAACCAGCCGCGCCCCAGTAGCGTGCCAACTTCAGGTGCCCCGAAAGCACTTCATGACTTGAGCAAGGACATCAACAGCTTCATGCACCTGTCTGCCGACGCCGCTGCTGCGCTTCCTCTCGACACAATCATCAACAAGTATCCCCAGACCTGGGAGCTGCGATCCCGTGCCACGCCTCAGGGCTTCCAGCAGAAGGAATTCGGCTACCACGGCGAGCTCACCGGCCCGTTCTGGCTGCCTGTCAGCCCTTCTACCTTCCCAATCCACGGTGTCAGGTTCGGCATCGCATTCATGAATGAGTTCATGGAGCATGAGGGGACCGACTATGGCGCTCTGAAAGTGCAGACTCTACTCGATGGGAAGTCTGGCGAATCTAAACTCTGAGCTCTGCCATAACCTGTCTTCTTCTTCTTGTCCTAGCTTTTCCTACTATCAGTGCTATTACACGATACGATTTGTGCTTTTTGGCGTTTGATTCACGGACAATGGACGGGCCCGGCGATCGGTTTCTCCTCTACCGGCTTGGATTCCGGGAATCCAGGAATGAATGGATGTATTCACGGGTGTGATATGGTTCAGATACCCCCCCTACCGCGCATACTGCGGAAATATGCGCATAGGCATCCGGCATTGCACGGCACTGCATTGCATAGCATAGCGTATAGGCCCCACTGGGCTTGATGATTGCGAAGTCGAGGAATAGATCGGATATTCACTACGATACCCCTCTACATTACTATGACGCATTCTTAATCTTGTGAACTAACGATGTGTCTCCTACCTAGATCCAGTCGATGCTGTGGTCAAGCCGCGTCAGCCTTACCAAGGGATGATAGCGCTAAATTCGGAAGGCGATCACGTGACCATCCTGCTAACCTTTCTCTTAACTTCGAAGCTGCGAGATTCCTCCTTCATTCCCCGCGGACCACATCAGATATGGCCTATCATCAACGCCTCTCGAAAAGCTCGATATTACTAGATGACAATGACGACAGAACCTCATATTGTGTAGGAAGTAACTCATTTGAAGTTCTCGAACGGCTCGACATCGTGCCGAGAGTTTACCACAAAACCTGTTGGTATTCTCGGACCTGAATCGGGGCGAAGAAGCATCGACCTCACCGTCCACATTGGGTTTTTTGAGAGTCCCGCTAGGCATGATCTACAAGCCCGTCGATGGCCAGACCGCATGATCGGAGCAGCCAATGGCGCTACCTGGTGAATCGAAGAAAGTGGTATAGTGCTAAGCCTACCGGAGATGTAGTCTTGGTGCAAAACAACAAAAGACTTCGTCTAGAAACGCCTCGCCCCCGGGAAAATAGCTGACCTACAGCTAACGGCCACCTCTTTGCCTTAGCATAATGATATCTAGGGGTTTATGACGGCAACGGCGTTCGCTAATCTCTTGCTCATGTTCATCTTTCCCTTTTTTTGCGTTTCCTAAATCGAACAGTGATGCTCGACTCGATGGCTCGAGCAGAATCGACACCCACTGTCATTTCCATCTTTCTTACAGCCCCGACCTCGTTTGTGGGTCTTCATCTATTCAGTCTCACATGCTTGCTCATCCAGCCCTAGATTCATAATACAAATGCTGGGCTTTCCACACGTAGCCTGAATGTCCTAAAGATTCTTGGGTGGGAATCTATGGGATGTTGGATTGACAGCGTTAACTCGCGCACGATTCTAGGTTCTTACCTGGCCGGTGGAACAAATACTGCCGAGTCATGCCTCTCTTTCTGCGCCAGTGGAGGATACACGTACGCCGGAATGGAGTACGGAACCGAATGCTTCTGCTCTAATTCCATACTTGCCGGTACCACAGCCCAAGACCCAGCTGATTGCAATATGGCGTGTTCGGGCGACATTAGCGAGGTCTATGGTGGCAACAACAACAGACTTAGCTTGTATCAGTCAACATCCACGAGCAGCGCAAGCCCTGGAATTGCTCCTGGATCCTCTGGGTATGCCTATCTTGGCTGCTATACCGACTCCGTTGGCGCCAGAATCCTCACCATCAGTATGCCAACTGACGGCGGAAGCAATGCTCTTACCGCTGGGAAGTGCTTGGCAGCTTGTGCTGCCGCAAGCTACAAGTATGCGGGAGTTGAATACTCCGGAGAATGCTGTAAGTGGCCATGGTTCGCTTCCTCAGCTATCCTTTGACCCGTCTACTATAATGTTATGTAATCGAAACAGACGCAGCTAAAAACGAGTGGTATCTATTGTTTCATTAATATCTCTTGTTCAACGAGATTAAGATACAAAGCTGATCATACGTCCCCACAGACCGTGGAAACCAGCTTTCTCACGGTGGAAATGCCGCCGATGACGGAGAAACGCAATGTAAAATGCTATGCAATGGCGACAAGTCCCAGTTCTGCGGTGGCCCAGGCAGACTCAATTTGTATGCTGCCTCAATTACGTCGACACAACCTGCAACCACACTCCCCACTGGCTGGACTGCTCAGGGCTGCTTCTATGATGATGTTGGGATGCATGTATAACCGACCTCCATGGCAGTCTCTGGTGGCTCAGATGCGATGACTGTCGATGCATGCGTTGCCGCTTGCGCGGCTAATGGTTTCACTATTGCCGGTCTCGAATATGCTCAGGAGGGCTGGTGCGGTACCACGCTCACAGAGGCTCCGTTGTCGGATGCTGAGATAAACTGCTTCATGCCGTGCAAAGGTAACTTTGCTCAGATTTGTGGTGGTCCAGCTCGACTGTATATTTACGCGATCGGGGATAGCCCTTCGTCGTCGACTGTGTCTTCCTCTGCGACAAGCGTGTCTTCCTCCGCGACAATTGTGCCCTCCTCTACGACAACAGTCTCTTCCACATCCTCGACACCCGCTGCTTCAGCGGTAGGAAATCTGTGGAGCAACCCTAGCTTTGAGGCCTCATCTTCCGATGCATCCCCCTGAAACTTTGCGCCTATACTCCTGTCCGCGGGGCCCGTTGACTCCAATGGATCTATCTCGATATCAACATTAGATGCTGCCCACCGCTCCAACAGCGCTCATGTAACGCTGCGGAGAAGGGCAGATTATAATGTCGCGATTGTGGCAGGCTCCTTGTCTCAGACCATCAACACCATCGTTCCAGGAAGCAACTACGACATCACCGTGTCTTATAAACTCATCAGCTACCCCAATTCAGCGCCAGGATCTTACATGCAGTGGATAACGAGTCCTGACGGGGTTTATTTCGTGGCTAACGTCGACACTTCGCCGACGTCCCCAGCATGGACTTCCTGGCAGATCGTCAAAGTCGCGACCTTCACCACCTTCAGCAACACCATCAACTTCGAGATCCATTTCTACCCGGTGTATCTGGTGGGTGACTTCGAGCTCCTCGTCGACGACATCGTCTTCACGCCTTCCTCCAACCAGGACGTCCTCCAGAATTCCGGCTTCGAGAACTCCCCCACCGACATCGCGCCGTGGTACGGGCAGGCCTCTAACCCCCTCACGGTGCAATCCACCTACCCCTTTACCGGCAACCGCGGTGCCGGCCTCACTCACAACTACTCCGCGGCTGCCACGCCCGACGCCCCCGTCTCCATCGCGCAGGACATCACCGGCCTCGTTGCCGGCGCCTCGTACACATTCTCCTTCGTGTACTACACGAGCGCCGGCACAGATATAGTTAGCAGCTCCTGCACTATAAACTGGGCGTGGACGTTCCCACAGGGGGCGTCCGTGACCGGAAGAGTCGCTCCCTATGTCTGGGTCAATACCGAGCCCCGGTGGACCACGCGCAAGTGGACTGCGATAGCAGTAACAGGGGAGAGCGCGACGGTGTCGCTGTCCCTAGTGCGCACGGGGACTGAAGGCATGCGTTATTTGTGGCTTGATAACATTTATGCGGTTGAGAATTGAGAGACCTACATGTTAGGCAGCATTCGGGAAGGTGATTTTGAGGCTTCTCTCTTAGAAACACACGGATAGTAATTTATAGAAGAACACATCGTTTGTATTGGATGGATAGCGTCACTTTATCATCATCTTCCATAGTACATGCGTTATAGCATAGATCAACTTTGTCCATTTTACCTGTGGCTGCCCAGCCAGTGACGGGATTGGAGTCACGATTGTATATTATCGCATTAGAAATACAAGACTAGAGTATTTCAGGTGAGGAGAATATCAACGCCTAGATCATCCATCACGTCTTGCCAATGAACATCCGCACCCAGCGTGTCGTCGTCCCTGTGACGCCAGACTTCGAGGACAATGGCGGCGGCTGAACACATGTTGCCGATACCGAAAAGCTTTCCCTTCTCAAATAGGCGAATACACGCTTGTCTCAGATTACTGGAGCCTTCGACCTCGCAGGCGGTGATGAAGAGAGGCCAAAGGAGCCCGCAGACGTTCATGTCCGTCTCAAGTTTGGCGATCTCGCCTAGATGGTACAGACTTCGTTGGACGAGGCGTTGAAGCCTTGCCGGAGCGGTCCTTTTCAGCGTACGATGGAAATGGATTAAACAAGCGTTGTAGAATGCGCAGGCATGGTTTTGGGTGAGTTGGTCGTATTCGTCATGTGCGTTTGCTACTAGGGCGTCTGGGTCGCTCAATCGGATGTGACGTTCCAGCTCGTCCAACTCTTCGGTTAGCGCTGGACAAACACGTCGGGAAAGTTGGTTGATGCGGAGCAGAGCGTGGAATATTGGCTCTGTGATGCCAAATATTTTATCTAGGATATAGCCAGACCTGATGGATCCCGGGCCAGTCATTGTCTCGATCGCACCACTTTCGGAGAATGTATCATCTGAGCTTGTTACATCTCCTACCCTTCTCCTATTTCCTGGGTTCAGAGCCTCGACACAGAGGAAAATCTGACGAAGAGTGTTGGCATTGTGGTTATCAGCCCAATCTTGGGCATGAATAGCCTCAAGCCAGGTTCTCCCGCCAGTCAGATGGACCCGCCAGGATGAGGAAGTGCCTCGAATGACTTCAATCGAGGACATGGCGATGATGGCAGCTAAAAGGGCCTCTTTCTGACTCTCGTCAGTCCTCACCAAATTACGCCGCAAGTATTCGAGGCTTTTCAGGTGATGTTTGGTGCCGACAGAGAGGAAATGGTCTTTGGTCGCTGATACTTGCGCTCGATTGAACGCAGAGAGAGCATAGATAGCATGCAATAGGGCAGCATTTCCCGATGCTGGGTCTCCGGCATCTGCCGCGGATAGCGCTAGTGGGATGAATATGGTTTGGAAGGGGTTGTCTTGACGTGGTGTCGGGATCATCATTCCGCTTAAATTCGTAATCCAATAATGGAGAAGTTGGCGTTCTTCGGGCGAGGATGATGAGAGATACGGAACGAGGTGTGGAGTGATTCTTTGCTTCAGTCTTGCCATCGCGGTTGTGCCTGACATGCCATCTGTGACAACGTCGTCGATTGAGTCGTCATGTGGGGTATTTTCATGTGGAGTATTCTCATCTGGAGCATTCCCAACGGTAGCATTCCCAAGTAAAGAATTCTCATCCCCCTCGTTGATGCTACTTTGAGACGACGTATCAATCCAACTAGGATCGGGCGATGAAAGAACCTCATTCTCATCGATGTCCTTGGCGCTTCCATTGCCAGTACGCTGTACGGGTCCTTCGCAAACGATGGCCCTGGCTCGAGTCGGCTGTGAGAGAGAAAACACGGAAAAGGGACCAACTTGCAAATCGGTCTCTCCCTTGGAAGCATCGATGTTGGTCAACGCTGACTGAAGGCTCCGGTAACTGAGAATAGGTCGGAAAGATTCGTGCCCATCCAGCATAGTTCGGCGAGTAACTAAGTTTCTACCGTCTTCCCCGTCGGCGGGACTCCATACGAGCTCCACGTGGTAACCCTGACAAACCAGCGAGGCCAAGTTGCACCGCCGGCATGTTGGTTTCTCTTCGCCACATTTGACCTTGCGTGAACGGCAAGTCCAACAACCGGAATACGTCTTAGCCCGCTTGACCCGGGCCTTATTGCGTGACGATTCCCGTCGTTGCTCCACCGGAGGCATATCCTGGATTCATGGGTCAAGGCAAAGACAGCGTAACGGGGGAAGTGGGTGTCGTAAATGGATGTTGGAAAGAGTAGAGAGGGACGACTTGATGGGGCTTCGTGAGATAAGGAGGCCCGGTGCTACTTCGTATCGTTTGCTCGCCGTCGGTTGCTCATTCCGGCACGCATGGGTGCTTCTAGGCGTCTGAGCGCGTCTAGTCGTTGTGCCTATCTTCGCCCACTAACAATGGCACGTAAACCAGTAAACTGCGCTGTTTCGGTGGACCCCCTATCCCTCTTTCTTTTGTTCTCTATCTAGATCGTTGTTATTCTAGAATCATGGAATATCAAGGACCTCTCACCAAGCTCGGCCTCAAATGCATCCACACGCCTGGTTTGGGCAAGAAGCTGAGCCCCCTCTACGGCATCTCGAGCGTCATCATCATCCCTCCAAACGCCACCTTGTTCGAGACAAGCAGTCATACTAGCTGCAACTTGGACATCGAATACCCCGAATCACTCGAGGACGAAGTCCTGCAAGCGTTCCAAAACGTTGAAAATGCTCTGCTTGCTGCCGGTGTCGCAGGTAGATGACAGGCCGTGTACAAGATGACCTCATACCATGTTGGCAACATAGAAGAAGCTGGTGAAGGGTTGGAAGCGGCTATGGCGAAATACTTGAAGGATAATAGGCCTGCTTGTTGTGGCGTTTCTGTGACAGGTCTTTCTGGCCCTGCTAGGATAGAGATTACCGGGTCGGCTGCAAGGGGCGCCTAGTGGAATCGCAAGAGAGAATGGCATCATATGGCTGGGAGATTGGAGGAACGAAATTCAGGCGTGAGCAAGCAAGTGTTGGATCACGTGACTCCATTTGGCGTACCCGAATTTCGCAACTTGACGAAGTCACTGTTGAAATCAGGATGCAAGAGGAATTGCTGGAAAGATCGTATTGTGAAGATAGCACAGCGACGAGCTATATACCTGGAAAGGCGGGCTGGTAGAGGAGGCTGGGTCCAACCACCAGAAATTCAACTGTCACCTCCTATCTTGGGGCAACGTGATAGACGACGGATAACTTCATTTTTGACACTGCCAAATCCAGCATTAGAATGCCGGTACTGTTTTCAAGAAAAAGGTTGGTACACATTTGCTCACACCTTCAAGTCCACGCCAAAGCAAGCCTCCTCCTCATCCATCGCCTTTCCTCCCCCTCACCAACCTCAACCCTCCCCCTCCACCCTCCCCCTCCTCGGCCCCAGCTGCACCCAATGCGCACAACACGTGTCGTCACTAACCGTCTCAAACCTTGCCCCTAGCTCCACCACCGCCGGCCGCGCCCTCGCCTTCTGCACATCCCCACTCCACGAATCATGCCGCGGATTGCGGTCGTAGAAGAACAGCCACCGCAGCCGCGCGCGGTTCGCCAACCCCAGCGCGCGCAGCCACGCGAGTGGCCCTGCTAGCACGTCCGCGCCGACGTGGTTGCAGTAGCGCACGCGGAAGACGTTGTCGCTGTAGAAGATGGGCGGCGTGATGCGGTGCAGTGCGCGGCAGGTGCGGGTGAGCGGGGCTGGGAGGGGGGTTGGAGGTTGCTGGTGATCCAGCGGCGTGGTCGATTAGCTCCTGGGGCTTGCGAGTGCGATACGAGCTGTCGCATGGGCAGTCGAGGAGGAGGGGGGGAGGGGAGATGAGGGCGAGTTCGTAGATGGAGAGTTGGAGGGAGAGGGGGAGGGAGAGGAGAGGAGAGGGAATGGGGCGTTGAGGCCATGGTGGGTTGAGGCTGGGATGGTTTGGGGTGGATTTTGGAGTGGGATTCTAGGGATTTTGGAAGGTGGATATGAAGAAGAGAGGGGAGGAGTTGCGGGGTGTCTACCTAGATACCTATATGAATCTCATTAGGCACTAGCATTAGGGGTCGTGGTCCTAATACTGACTCCTCAATTCGCTTAGGAGCACTAGCGAATAGAATGCTACGCTATACAAACCGAATATGCATGATTCCTGGTCTGTACTGAGGTGCATCCCACAAGTCACTACCTAGACGCCCAGACTGCTTCGCCAGTATCATATGCTTGTGACATCATGTCTTCCCCGGTTTTAAAAAGCAATGATATAGTCTAGTGTTCTACCCCATTACATACTCTTGGGATACCCTTGTATCTCTTCGTGGAACGTAGCATACTTCAACTGCTAGCCACCCAGTTCCGGACCCATCCTCCTATCCACTCCTTCTGTATGGGCTCCAGTTTCTTCATCGACTCGCTAGCTTGCAGCGTGCGAGTCAAATCCATCTTCGTTCGTGCCTCAACTCGGCCATCCGTCAGCAGCTCATCATAGAACCCAATAAGCTTCATCCCCGGGTTCCGTCGCAGCGTCTCCGCACTGATCTCCGAATCACCCCCATCGCTCACTTCTACGCTTTGTAATTTCAACAGGTCCAGCCAGGCGGGGAAAGGTACCACAGTAACCTCTCCGTCCTCGCTCAACACCTCTCTAACCGTCGGAAGCAGCGTCTCCCACGAAACAACAGAAGGATTGACAGCATGGAATACCTGTAATCCGTCACCCGCCTTGCCTTCATGGAGCCCGAGAACGAGGTCTATCAGCACACCAGACAGCATATCGATCGGCACCCAGTCAACCTCATCCATCGCGCCCAGCGACTCCGGTAGTGCGCTTATGAAACGCGAGCTAATCACTAAGCTCGGGAGCCACTCATTACGGCTCCAGCCACGCGGGTTCTCTGCCGTCCCTGCGATTTGGCCGATACGGACGACGGTGGCGTTGAGACCGAGTTTATGGGAGGCATAGTCGAGGAGGCGCTCGGCGACGTACTTGCTCTGTCCGTATCCCATTGGGGCTGCACAGGCGGGGTCCATGATCACGGACTCTGGGATCATTGGCGCGCTGTCCGTTGTCTGATGGTAGTTGATCGTGGCGCTGATTGAGGACATGAAGAATAGGGCCGGAGACTGTGGGGAGCGAGCAGCGAAAGAGATGAGAGCGACGACGCCGGAGAGGCTGGGGTTGAAGGAGGGGAGCGTGCGGTTGAAGTCGACGGGCCAGGCGTTGTGGATGATCTGGGTTGTTGTTGAGAGGAGTGTATCGTATAGGCTCTTTTCGAGGCCGAAGTTGTCTTTCGAGAGATCGGCTGTTAAGAATGTGACACGGTTGGAAGGAAAGTTTGTGGGAAGTTGATGTGCTTGATTTCGGGATGTTTGGAGTGATTCGGAGTTTGCGGCTCGATTCAGACAGTAAATATGAGCAACGTTCGCCTGGGAGAGAAGATCTTGAAGTAAGAATGACCCCAAGGTACCCGTTGATCCTGTGAGAAGCACGACTTCGGATGCAGCTATCGGTTTCACGATCGGATGTGAGTCCTTTTTGGGAGGCGTTGCGACGGGGTCTATTTGATTGACGTATCTTTGAATCGTTGCGGTAATTTCTTCCAGTGTGGTTCCTTGAAGATCAGATGCTGATGATTGGGTCTGAGATGCCAATCTCCAGAGCTCTTTCGCCAGTAGTGTAATCGAAGAGTTTCCATAAATGGTTGCCAAGCCGATATTTTGCGGCAACTTCGCCTTGAGCTGGCGCCTCAATTTGAGGACTTGCAGAGAATCCATTCCTAGGGAGAAGAACTCGTCATCGTCGTTGAATTGAGCCCATTCAGTCACACCCCTCACCGCTTCCCGAACGGTATCGGCAACAAAACGCTCACTGACAATGTCTTCTGCCGGAATAGTTGAGACGATCAAGTCATCCTCAGCATAGACCTCGTCTAACACCTTCGAATACAAGTCCAGCGTTGCCTGCCGCTGGACGGTTCCTTTTCCAGCGCGGAGCATTGGCCTTGTAGGATCCACTAGTATGATCTTCGACTTGGAGACTCTTGCATGAGCAGGACACTGGCTGTTCGCCTTTTGCACAGTAGGCCATATCTGGTCAACGATCTCGAGGCGCTCTGTGGGTGAAGCGGCACTGTCATCAACTAGCTCAACTAAGAGCGAAGCTTCGAAACGTTGCTGTCCGACCACTAACGCAGTTCTTACTTCGGGATGCTTGGCGACTTCGTGCTCAAAAGAGACAGGATTTGTCTTCTCTCCGTTCAAAAACACGATGACGTCGTCAACCCGGCTTCGATGGGTCCAAAGCCCTGGTTTAGTCGGATGCGGCGTGAAGAGATCTCGTGTCTCGTACTCCTTTAGATCGGGGAAGTGAAGGAACACCGGTTGGTAGGACTCGTTCTCCAAAGTCCTCACTACGACAAGCTCGTGCAGGTCCTCGAAACGGTGTCGAAATTCAGCTTGGACAGTGGGGTGAACCTGAATGTAGTTCCAGTCGTGGCCGTCTTCATCTTGCCCCTGTCTCAATAGCGGGAATGTGGCACATTCGCTGGATCCCATTACCTGATAAAGTGGCATCCGAGCTGCAACAGCATCACCTGATGATCTTGGGACACTACCCCCGGTGTAGTAAAGATACTTCAGCTTGCTGGCTACTGCTTCTAGCAATGCGGGGTCTTTACCCAGCTCATCAATCACCACTGGTGGCAAGAACGCCCAGTCAATTGTGGCGTTCTGTATAGCCTCAATGAAAGCGGCGGTTGTCGGGGGAGGCCCTGGGAGAGGGTAGACGGGGATAGAACTGTTGAATGCAGGCACGATGAGCGAGAAGCCTATGCCAGCAACCTGATGGCTTGTGAGTACTTGTTCACGACTGTCATGTAGAAACAAAATAATCGCTTAGATTACTCACGTGGAACCCAGGCAAGGTCATAAAGAAGCTTCCTGAACGAAAAAATCTATCCAAGCTTTGAAAGCCTTCAGGCGGAGGAAGAGATGTAACATTTGCAATACGTGTGATGAAGGAGTGATTGTACACTAGAGGCTTGGGGATACCTATATACATTTAGCAAAGAAGGTATGAGGGGGTTATGGCTTGACAACCTGTGGACCCCGATGTATGTAAGATGAATGCTGGGTCATATTTTGCTTCTTCGAATGTCTTTTCATAGGGATAGTGCGGTACGTCGTGGCTTGCAAGCAACTCAACGAGAGAAGGAATCTGAAGCTTTCGCATGCTGTAGTCTTCTAGAATCATGGGAACACAAGGAGGCTCCGGATTGGTAGTAACTAATATCTTGCATGCAAGCCGTGAAAGGAGGGAGATGTGGGCCGCTTTGCTGTTTCTGGGAGATGGCAGAAATGTCTATAGGCAAGACGTTCAGTAAATGTGCTCTTGGCACGTCGGATGGTATCAATCACCTTGTAACCAGCTTTTACAGCAGCAATGACAATGATAGAATAGCGCAGATCGTTGGGCCCAATGTATGCCAAAGTCTCATGGTCCTGGCCTTTTCCCAGATGCTCTTCGAGCAGCCATGCTACTCTCTTGATGGCATTTGAAAGTTCAAGAATCGTGACCGATCGGAATCCGGATCCATATGTAGCAGTGGAACTCGGGACTCTTGCGAATATGTCCTGTGGACTTCTCTGTGCACGGAGATCAATAACATCTGGAAGAAGTCGGTTGTTATCGACCGGAATGGCAGCAGAAACCATACTCGAAGACTCGATGGCAATGGGACAAGATTTTTGAACACTTGGAGTAGAAGAAAGGATTTTGCATTCAAAATGAAGGCCAACTTTCATTTAGAGAAATAGTAAAGCGTATGAAAGCAGAAGAACAAGACCTTTTTTTCGCCAGCGAAGTAGTAGGGTTTTGGAGTATGTTGGTAACCCCATCGAGCACTATTGCACCCCGGACTTGCCGAGCGTGCATACAGCTGACAGGCTGGAGCGATTAGGCGCTGCTAATGCATGCATCCTGCACCGGAACCCTGTCGGGCTGACCTGGCAAGTGGTTTCTTCCTAAAGGGTACTTCTGTCACCGGCCCTTCTCTTGGCTAGTTCAGTGCTCCAACTGCAGCTGAAAATAGTACAGAAAACAAGCTCCACTAAGTTGTGACGAAGTGGGCTGGGCCGCAGACGTGAGATAACCCTGGTACTCGGGCCTTTCAACACCCCCGCGTAGCAGCAGGGGGTCTGGAAAGGCCCGAGTATCGAGCTCTAGCGGATAGGCACATTTCTCGGGTACTCTCTCGTAGCTAAGTTCGCACCTGTACTGTGTACTTATACATCTGAAGACGATATGAGACTATGGATGGCGTAGATGGGGAATGCATATGAAATCTATTAAGCGTATTACATCCTCATATATCACGTTATGAGGTCGTGGCGGATCCCCTCCTGCTACTTTGATCCATGAGTGTAGCCGTCATGGCCACCATTTCGAAGAGTGCAGCGAATTTGTCCCAAGCTGCGTTGGTGCGAGGCAGCTCGTGCCCACCCCTAACAGGCAGTACTTCTGCTCTGTCTCCTCGACACAGGCTGACCAAAGTCTCCGAATGTTCCAAGAACTGATCCTCCGTCCCATATAGATGCAGCGTCGGGATCGAAATGCGGGGTGCAAAGGTGTCCGTGGGAAAGCCGTAGATCGAATCGCCCTCTATTGCCGTATATGTCTCCGTAGGTGTATAGTCTTCAGTTTCCAAGGAATCTGCGCCCTCGAGAAATGCAAAGTGCTTCTCTTCTTGCTTCTTGATCTGCTGGCTGATATTGCTGCCAATGTGCTCGGACGGCGAGAACGTCATGACGCTGTTGATGAATATAGCCATTTTGAATGGAGGCCTGTGGCGACGCCCTGGATCGCGAATCTGTGCATAGTGTTCATGGCAAAGCAGAAAGCTTGCAGCTAGTGCTGCGCCTTGCGAGAAGCCAATCACACCATCGTATGGACCGTCTTCTTCGATCACGGTGCGAAGGAAGTCATGCACCGGCTCGACATGTTGAGGTTCGTACTGGGTATGCCAGGCCAGGTACGGAGGCTGGTAGAGTTGGGATATTCCGGGAGCGGCAACGCAGTCGAACGGAGCATCGACAAAATCGAAAGTATGGTGAGGGGAGACGCGTGAGAATAGTGGCGCTGGGAGGAAGAGATTAACGTCAGATCCATCTCTCTTGACAGAGGTGCGTTCTTACCTAGCTGGCTTTCGAAGATATCAGAGTTAGTCCCCCGGCCATGCAAGCAAAGGAAACGCATCGTGAAAATGTTGTTCTATCGTGTCACGTGCTCACACGTGATGGTAGAAAGAAGTATCAACGAGGTGCTACTGTGTAGGCAGGCGGTGATCGAGGGGTGTGGCTATGATCTTCAGTCGGCTTTGAAGCCGGTCGGTATCTCATTCTTATCTCGGGTCGATTCCTCCTGGTAACGGGTTGCCGGGTGTGCATGGCGCCTTGTGCACTAACAGGGCGTTGGAACACGTCGTGGGCGAGGCTTGGAGGCTCGGGATGGCCGCCGGTTGCTGCATCGTTTCTGGACGATTGGGGGGCGGTGAGGGACTGGATGAGAGTGGTGGAGAGGGACGTCGTCGTCAAACCCCTGTTCACGTGGTGGCTTGCGTGGAATGCCGGCTCCTCCGAAAAGACGGCATCGCACAGTGCAGCCCTGGGCTGGTGGCTGGCTGTAGGGCCGTTTTTGACAGCAGTGGGGTATCAAATCCGGCGCACTCAACCCACATCGAGACCCCTTCTCTCCTGCAGACTCTCTTTCCGTCCGGTGGTCACTCTCTAATATCAAGCCACAGACTTACCGTGTAAGGGAGCAACTCCGCGCGCCTTTAGGGGGGAATAGCAACGTTCTGGCCAATCAATCCTCCAGTCGGCTGAGTACTAACCCAGAAAAGAGGGATACCAGGATCGACTCAGTTTAGCGCTATGTAAAGAGAGGCTGTACCGCCTGCGGTTCCAATATCCGAGGATCCTTTGTGGCTGGCTAGTCGCTTAGCCCTGTGCTAATACATAACCCGAGTCCTCTGCGATTCGTTTTCTCTCGCGACTCCCCTGTGTCTTCCGAATCGCAGCCCTGCAAAAGATCAACCAGCCTCAGCGCTGCTCTCTGCATACGAAGAGGCTATGGGTACGCGTCTGCAAGGCTGCATGATTCTATAGGTCGGCCTGGCCGTATTCCGCCCAGTGCTTTTCAGCATGGCTTCGCTCAGCTCAGGCTCTGCATCTGCGGGAGCAAATTTCTCGTCGCATCCACGTACCCATACAGCGTCAGGTAGGTCGTTCGCCGAATGCGGAGATAGTGGAGTTCGTCTAGAATAGTAAAAAGGCACTGGCAGCGCGGCCATTTTCCAATGTTTCAAAGATACCCTTTAGTTTAGATCGGCGGTAACACGTCGTATTTCCTCTCTCACTCCATAATCGTTTTCTTATCCTCCTTTCAAGTTGTTACTTTATTCATAATCCATATTGTCATGGGGTCGTACTCGAAAGGCGACATTGATACGTCTGATATCGCCGTCGTGGGCCTCGCTTGCCGCTTCCCAGGCGGTGCTTCGAACTCTACCAAGTTCTGGGACTTGTTGTATGAACGCAAATGTACGCCTATTGTCTCGGACAGACTCTTGCTAGAAACTGACGGATTCTGTCGCTAGCTGCGTACTCCGAAGTGCCCCAAAGCCGCTACAATGCCAAAGCTTTCCACCACCCGGGCGGCGATAAACTCAACACCCTGAGTTGCACAGGCGGTCATTTTCTAGAACAAGATGCCTCTGCCTTCGATGCGCCTTTCTTCAACATCACAGCTCATGAGGCAAAGGCCATGGACCCAACCGCAAGGATGCTCCTCGAAGTGACTTATGAGGCACTTGAAAACGCCGGCTTGCCGATTGAGAACCTCACAGGAAGCGACACTAGCTGCTATGTTGGCTGCTTCACCCGGGACTATCACGAAATGCTGATGCGAGATGCTGAGACCTCGCCCATGTATGCTGGTACAGGCACCGGTTTCTCACTCTTGTCAAACCGTGTCTCATGGTTTTACGATTTTCGAGGCCCGAGTATGACGTTAGACACAGCATGTTCTTCCAGTCTTGTCGGTCTGCATTTGGCATGTCAAGGCCTCCGCGCAGGAGAGTCCAAGATAGCGGTAGTGAGCGGTGCGAACTTGATCCTCAGTCCAGACTTAGCGATGTTTCTATCAAACCTTCACATGCTGTCCAAGGAGGGGCTGTCAAAATCCTTTGCAGAAGGGGTCACCGGATATGGCCGAGGCGAAGGCATCGCAACCGTCATCTTAAAGCCTCTTGCAGATGCTTTACGCGACGGTGACTCTATACGCGCCGTAATCCGAGGTTCCGGTATTAATCAAGACGGACACACAACAGGTATCACGCTGCCGAACAGCGACGCGCAGGCTAGCTTGATCCGATCGACCTATCGCTCTGCCGGGCTCGACTTTTCACAGACCAGCTATTTCGAGGCGCATGTGGGCAACCTCCAATCATTCCACAAGCTTCAACTGTTAACTGTAGCAATAGGGGACTGGCACCGCAGTTGGGGACCCACTGGAGCTTTCCGCTGTCGCTAAGACTCTCGGCAAAGGGCGCCAACCGGGCAACGAGCTTCTGGTTGGCTCGGTGAAATCAAACGTGAGTCTTTCTATCACGCGAGAATCTTCAGGTGCTAAGGCTGATTCCTCTATCTCACTAGATCGGTCACCTAGAAGGTGCAGCAGGGCTAGCTGGTTTTATCAAGTGTGTGTTGATGTTGGAAACTGGCATCATCTTGCCCAACATTCACTTCGACAAACCGAACCGGCGAATACCGTTCGAAAATTGGAAAATTCGCGTTCCAACGTCAGCTATCCCATGGCCTTCTGACGGGCTTCGACGCGTGAGCGTGAACTCCTTCGGCTACGGCGGTACGAATGCGCATGTCATACTCGATGATGCTGGCCATCATCTTGCTGAGTTGGGCATACGTGTTGATCATATCCGTAACGCACTGGTTCAAGAATACGGGAAAAAGGTCCCCAAACACCGCCTCTTCATATTTAGTGCACGAGACGACGCTGCCTTGGATCGGATGAGGATGCAATACCTGCACTATTTGGAATTAATTGAATTCAAAAATACACTAAAAGATGCGGCCACCGAAAGTGCGTATATGGACAGCTTATCATATACGTTGAGCAACCGACGTTCCAAGTTCGACTGGAAAGCGTGCGTGGCTGCTTCAACTGTTGTGGACCTGAAAAATGCCCTTTCGGCGTCGAAATTCGCGTCCACGCGATCATCCACCACGCCTCGCATTGCCTTCGTATTTACTGGCCAGGGCGCGCAATGGGCTAGGATGGGTATAGAACTATTACAATACCCAGTTTTCAGAGCTAGTGTTCTCGCTGCCGACCGGTATCTGAAGGGGACACTGGGCAGCGAATGGTCCGCTACTGAGGAACTCGAAAGAGATGCTGGAGCTACCAATATTCAACTTGCCAGATTCAGCCAGCCTATTTGCACCATTCTTCAAGTCGCCCTTGTTGATCTTTTCACGTCCTGGAACATCAAACCTGTGGGAGTGGTGGGTCATTCCAGCGGGGAGATTGGAGCTGCTTATAGCTTCGGTGCGATATCTCGAGAGGACGCCTGGAAGATCTCGTATTGGCGAGGAAAGCTGTGCTCTGAGTTGGCTACAGAGGCACCTGAATTGAAAGGTGCAATGATGGCTGTCGGCTTGTCTTCCAACGACGCCGAGAAGTATATCGCAACAGTCACGAAAGGCAAGCTTGTCGTCGCTTGCGTCAACTCTCCGTCTTCCGTTACTATTTCCGGAGATGAAGCTGCAATTGATGAGCTTCTCGAGAACCTCAACTCAGATGGCGTCTTCTGTCGGAAGCTGAAGGTCGAGAATGCCTACCACTCTCATCATATGGGAATTATTGCAGACAGATACCGCGATCGGATATCAGACATATCGTCTAGAACACTGCCACCAGAAGGGAATATGAGAATGGCCTCCAGCGTCACTGGTACCCTTGCGACGTACGCCGATCTCGGGCCTGACTACTGGGTTCGAAACCTTGTTTCTCCAGTGCTCTTTTCCGACGCTGTTCAAACTTTATCCAAAGACACCACACAGCGCAGACGTCGAGCAGCTCGAACGACAGAGGTGACTTTCGACATTTTGCTCGAAGTGGGACCACACGCTGCATTGAAGGGTCCTTTGAGGCAGATTATGCAACAACAAGAGATCAAAAATATCCCATATGAGTCGGTTCTCATGCGAGGAGAAGCTGCCACCAAAGCAGCCGTCGCGGCGGCTGGGGCACTTTACATCCGTGGTGTCCCAGTGTCCATCTCAGATGTCAACGACTTGCAGACTGAGCCCAAAGCACTCCTCGATCTGCCATCCTACCCGTGGAACCACTCTTTGAAATACTGGTCTGAGTCCAGGCTGAGCAAAAATTACCGCTTCAGAGAGCACGGTCGGCATGACTTGGTCGGCGCATTGACTCCGACATCAAGCGAACTGGAGCCAAGATGGAGACATTTCCTCCGGCCTACTGAGAATCCCTGGATCCGTGATCACGTTGTCCAGTCAAGTATCTTGTACCCAGCGGCGGGAATTCTCGCAATGCCTCTGGAAGCAATACAGCAGATTGCCGACAAAGAGAAGCAAATTGAAAGTATCCAGCTCAGAGATGTTCGTATCACTAAAGCTATGGTCGTACCGGACGACCAGCTGGGTGTCGAATGCTTCTTGCAGTTGCGGCACCAACGGACCGGATCTAGCGGCGCTTCAGCGGGCTGGTGGGAGTTCTCTGTGTCTAGCTGCCACGAGGACCAAGATGTTGAAGAAAATGCCTTCGGATCGATCAAGGTCAATTACAAATCTGACGAGAGCGGCCCCTGGGCCACCGGCAAAAGCTTGCTCCATGCAGCGCTGAAGGATGAGTACGAGAGCTCCAAGAGACTATGCACACGGAAGATTGCCCCCGAAAATTTCTACAAGAGGACTGAAGAGGCAGGTCTGGCGTATGGACCTTGTTTCCAAGGCCTGACTAACATCTCTTCGGGCAATGGTCGCGCTTGCTGCACTATTGCTATTCCGGATACGAAGGGTGTGATGCCATCCAGCATCGAAAGCGGACATCTCATCCATCCCACCACTCTGGACATTATCTTTCATTCGCTATTTGCCGGACTCGGTGCCGAAGAGCTGGAGTTTCAGAATGCAGCCGTTCCAATCTCTTTTGATAGCCTCACGCTCTCTATGGACCTTCCTTCTGGCGCGGGTGCTCAATTCAAAGGGTTCTGCCAGACAACAAGAGCCGGCCCACGAGAAGTCGTCGCGGATGTGTACATGTCAGATGCCACTTGGGATGAGCCAAAGGTGCAGATCAAGGGCATACGATGCAAGGAGCTGCCGAGAACTGATGTATCAAGTTTGTCGGACGGAGCTGCGAAGGCCCCCTTTGGAACGCTACTTTGGAAGCCGGATATAACTCTACTAAACCCTGCTTCGTTGGAGGAGTATATCACTTCGGGCAGCATCGCAAAACCGGCTACGAATGGGACGGGGTCGCGCATTCCGGAGGCGCTCTCGAATGGGACACCTACGACGGAGGTTCTAGACCGTCACAACGAAATCTGCGAGGTAAGATATTCCCATTCGGCTACTACAGTACTATGCCATAAGTCCGGGCACAAGCACTCATCCTTGCTTGGCTTCAATCTTGCTCAGGCAGTCAGCCAAGGAGCAGTGCAATTTGCACTGCATCGAACTTGGCATCGCGCCTAGGCGGTTGAAATCTCATGCGGGTACCCCAAGCAGCGGTAAACGAGTGTGCACAGACTTATGGCCTGCCTCTGTCTAACTTTACCTTTATGCTTACTTCAATAGATTATCTACCTTGCAGCGCATAAAAACCCCGACTTGTCCATTCTTCAGATCGGCGCTACTGGAACTGACTTGCCAGCTTCGGTCCTGTCCACGCTCCAGCACACTCCAACTGCCACACCAAATTTCTCAAATTACACCTTAGCTGACGCCGACAAACCAAAGTTGGAAGCCGCCGAGAGTAGTCTTCAGGACTGGGGATCTCTGCTAGCTTTCATTACCCTAGGTTCCGCTTTCGATCTTCAAGAGCTTCAAGAAACGTCATTTGATGTGATCATCGTAGATACCGGCTCCTGCGATAGCACGAAAAGGGAAGACCTATTCCGCAATGTGCAGGCACTGCTGAGTGAGACGGGATACCTTTTTGTTCTGAACGTGACGTCGGCAGATGTACTCCCGTAAGTGGAAACCTCACTTCGCGTAAATAGGAGGTTCGTACTGATCAGTATTGTAGGTCTTGGAACGCCACAGAAACTAAGCTCAAGCTCCATCCCTTCGAGGAGGCATCGCAGAATGCTCTATTCCTCGCCACGAATCCTACCATCGAAGAACGCGATGGTGACCCTATCTACGTTCTTCAGCCACATAATACAACAGCAAGAGCAGCCGAGATCTGTGATGCAGTAGTAAGTAGCCTTGCTAGCAAGGGATTAGAGGCACGCTCTGTCGAATGGACGCAATCGCTCGCGGAAATGAAGGGGAAGCGACTGGTATCTTTGCTTGAATTAGAAAAGCCACTGCTGGCCGACATATCTCCGGAAGATTACGACATACTGAAAAGCGTCGTTCTGCAGAACCCGCAGCTACTGTGGGTTTCTATAGGAGAAGACCCTGTCATGGATGCGGCTCTGGGGTACCTGAGGGCCTTGAAGAACGAGAACTTGAACCTCGATGTTCGGTATTTACACCTTGAAGACAAGACTGTCCGAACTCCAGAGGACCTTGCAAAGACCATCACCAAAATAGCAACAGTGCGGAATGGCGACCGGGAATTTGTCGAGATAGACGGCCGTCTATGCATCAATCGATGGGTCTCGGATGAAGGTCTGAGCAGGATGATATTGAATGACCAGACAGCAGGCTCGCCTGAGTATATGGCCATTGGAGAGGCTCAGACGGGCTTGGAACTCAATGCTGGGAGTCTTGATCACCTAGATTCCTTCTTCTTTACCATTGACACGGACTCATCATCTGAGCTCGCCGCCGACGAAGTAGCTATTGAAGTCAAAGCCATTGCTATCAAGTAAGATAGACACCCTCATTCTCATTATCTGTAGCTAACATATCATGACAGGGACAGAGATGCTACGTCTGTCAAAGAGATCAGCGGTATAGTGAAATCGGTAGGAAATGGCGGCTCGAACCTTAAACTGGGCGATCGCGTTTGCGCCACAGGCACTGGGCCCTACCGAACGATCTTCAAAACCAAAGAGCGTCTCTGCCAGCAGATCCCTGATGAAGTCACGTTCGAAGAAGCCGCTTCGTGGCCGCTTACTTATGGCGCTGCTTATCTAGGTCTCATCCAGACTGGACGTCTGCAACCAGGTCAATCTGTTCTAATTCGCGCTGCGGCTAGTCCGATCGGCCAGGCGGCTATCAGAATAGCACAGGCATACGGAGCAACGATCTTCGCCACCGTGGAAACCAACGAAGAGAGCTCTCTTCTTAAAGAATCAGGTATCCCTCAAGATCATATCCTTAATGACGGGGATCAACAGTTGGCTGCTGCTATCGCCACTTTGTCTCAGGGTGGAGGATGCGATGTGATTCTCAACAATTCGACATCGAAAATCGGAGAGAGCTGGCGGCGATTCTGGGACAGCATATCCTCATTTGGTATTCTCGTCAATCTCCAAGACGCGGCCGCTTCAAGCGACTCCTCCTTGGCTACGCTACCTTCCCGGAGGGGTGCTTCTTTCTCGACCATCGATATGGATCTCATCGTCCGAGAAAACCCTTCGCTGATGGCCGACATATTCCAAGGACTATCTTCATTCCTGGCCAAACATCCTATCAAACCGATCGGTCCGCCATCAGTTTTCTCAGCTGATAAAGTCGTCGAAGCCTTCGCTTCTTTGGACAACCAGGGCAGCGCAATTCTCTCTTTCAACCAGCAAGACCAAATTCCAGTCTCTACGGGTACCCTGAACCCCCTCTGCCTCGACCCAAACGCCACCTACATCTTAGTCGGCGGTCTCGGGGGTCTCGGTCGCAGCCTCGCCAGACTCCTCATCGCCAAGGGCGCCCGCCACCTCGTCTTCCTCTCCCGCTCCGGCCCCAGCTCTCCCAACGCCAAATCCATGACCGACGAACTCACCTCCCTCGGCGCCACCTCTCGAATCTACGCCTGCGACGTCTCCGACTCCACAGCCGTCCAGGCCGCCATCCATCAATGCTCCCAAGACATGCCCCCCATCCGCGGCGCCATCCAAAGCGCCGCCGTCCTCAACGACTCCATCTACGATAACATGACGCACGCCCTCTGGCAGGGCGCCGTCAAGCCCAAGATCCAAGGCTCCTGGAACCTGCACACTGCCCTCCCTAAAGACCTAGACTTCTTCGTCATGCTCTCCTCCATCTCCGGTGTCGTCGGGAACCGCAGCCAGGCCAACTACGCGGCCGGGAACACGTTCCAGGACGCGCTCGCGCACTACCGCCGCAAGCGCGGCCTGCGTGCTGTCAGCATCGATCTGGGGCTGATGCTGGGCATCGGGCTGATCGCTGAGCGCGGCGGTGGCACGAATCTGCGGAAGTCGGAGGCAGTGGGGCTGGATGAGAGCGAGTTTCACGCTATTGTGACGGCGGCGATGAAGGGGGGGTTTGGGCGGAGTCAGATGCCGACGCAGTTGGTTACAGGGCTGCCGACGGGTGGGATCCTCAAGCGGAGCGGGCTCGAGATGCCGTTCTACTACGAAGATCCGCGGTTCTCCCTGCTCAGGAAAACGGGGCTCCAAGACGTGGCGGACGAGGAGGGGGATGGCGGTGCCGGCGCTGAAGGGGACTCGTTGCAGGCGCAGCTTACGCAGGCGACCTCGATTCAGGAGGCGGGCAGGGCGATCAGTGCGGCGCTGGCGGCGCGGCTGGCGAAGGGGCTGCAGACGGCCGCTGAGAACATCGATGTGGAGAAGCCGCTGCATTCGTACGGGGTGGATTCGCTGATGGCGGTGGAGACGCGGACGTGGATTATGCGGGAGGTGAAGGCGGATGTGAGTTTGTTTGATGTGCTGAGTGGAGCGAGTATTGCGGCATTGGCAATGAAGATTGCGGGTTTGTCGAAGTTGGTTCCGGATGGGCTTGAGTAAGATGGGTACGGTGTTTGAAGAGTATTTTCGTAGGCTGTTTTCGGTTTTTCATGTATTGGATATAGTTATCATGATAGCTTGAATGTAGGATTTAGACTCTAGTCTCGCCTCCCCTGATCGTTCATAATCCACTCCTCGCTATCCGTATCGTTGATCTCTTTCCGCAGCCCTACCGCCTCCTCATCGCCACTCCTCCCAATCGCCTGTTCAATATCCACATCCCCTGGCCCACCTACCGACCGACTATCCACCGTCACGCTCTGCGTATACGTGATCCCATGCAAAGGAACTGCTCCCCTTCCCTCCCCACCCTCCGCCCAAGCTTCTACCCTCGCCCCGCCAATCCCCTTATACTCCTCCTTCAGAGGCACCATCGGTACATTCGTTACTGTCGAGCTGCTCGACCTCGTCCGACTATGAAACGGATTCTTCGCCACCGCCTCCGGCCTTTCCAGCCCCATGTCTTTGCCCCCATCACCACCCAACGACTTAAACGGAAACGACCGATCGCTGATAATACCGTAGCTTCTCGGTTTGGTATTAGGGTAGTCGGAGATGTGTCGGTCATTCGAGGAGCCGAAGGTGCGCGGGAACCATTTTTTGAGCAGCGGTTTCACGGTGTGGAGGCAGCTGCAGATGATGCCGATGTTGAGCTCGACGGAGGTGGTGACCCAGATGATGGCGCCGTTGTCTGATTCAGCGATGGGTTAGAGGGGTGTGGGTAGGGGTGAGGGGAAAGGGGAGAGGGGAAAGGGGAGAGGGGGGACGGACAGGCGAAGTCGGGCGCTGTGAAGACTTTCTCGAGGTAGATGAGGCGGATTACGGCCGTGATGCAGACGCTGGGTGGAGTATGGAGTTAGCAGTGTGGATGAATGAGGGGGGAGCAGCTCACATGCATCCGCTCGCGAATATCGTGATTAACCCGAGTCTTTGCTTGATTGGGAGTTGGATCTTCCAGAGCGCCCTGGCTGGCTAGAGGAAGACGAGGAAATCACTGAGACTGTTCAACGTGCCGGAGGCTAGGTAGAATTTGCGGGATGTTATGCAGGAAGCGTGCAGGATGGTTGGATTTCAGGATGCTGCTATGGGCCTGTCACCGTTTCTTAGAGCATGTACATAAAACGGGGCTACAGTTTGGAGTTAAGGAGTCATACCTGCATGCGAATAGTGTGACGAGAGTGATGCTGATCAACCAACATATAAGGTAGACGATTGCGGTATAGCAGAAATTTCGGTTTCCCTTCGAGGGGAAGATACGGAGGTATGTAATGCATAAGGATAGCTTAGGAAAGGCGACGCATATTGGGAAGACAGCTCCTGAGATGAAGCTGGTCTGGAGAAATTTTAGAAACGAACACAAGCCAGAGCCCTCGGAGGAACCGAAGCCTTCCTTACTCTCGCGTATGGAACTGCCCATTCTGGCTTGAAGTCCTGGATGTGATAGCCCGCACCATATTTTGTAGATACACAGCCATCGACGGTTTCAACTAAGATACCGAGCTAAACAAGTCAGAACGGAAGCTCGTAACATGATCGGTAGAAGAAGAGCAAGAGGAAGGCAACTCACTACCGCGCCAGCTACAAGCCAGTCTTCAATTCCAAAGTAGCCAATAATCGACAACCTGGCGTAGATTCGCAAAACAAAGAAGGTCAGCATTAAAGTCGTCAATGTTATCAGGAATCCAAGAATGAATGCAACTTTTGTGTGATGGTCGGTCGAAGCGGCTCCAGGAGTCTCCATCTTTGTGTGCTACTGGGTTGGTTCATCGGAAGCTGGCAAGTTGACTGAAAGCCACCATTCCGTTAAGCTGACAGGAGGGAGTATAAGAGCGCCCGCATGTCGCAGCGAGGAATCAAGATTACACACATGGTCCTTTGCTTACGGCCTATCACAATACTAGTTGCATTTCTCTTGTGACCGTGAAAACATAAGCCAACTAGAACGGAAGGAAACCCTGGGGTCTGAGGGAAAGTAAGTGGGGATCCAAGGGATGACAGGGTTGAGAAACGCCTTGTGAGTACCGTAAATCGCTTTTGGCAGGGAAGTAACTTACTTGATAAGCAGCCGATTGAAGGTCAAACGAAACTCTGTGGCTGCTCGGGGTAAGAACGATACCCCTGTGAGGCAGAGGATCTTCCATAGGACGCCCAAAGTCGAAGAGAGCTATCCAGTAAGTGAGTTGGTAGTCCCAGACGAGGACTTGCTGTCGCTGCCACACCTCCGCTTGTTCAGACAACAATATAGCCAGGAACGAGGGCTATTCCCAGGCTCAAAGCTCACTGCATTATCTTTCATCAGGACGAGAGACAGTGCCGACTGGGGGCTTGTGAATACCCCGAACACGAGGGGCAACGATGTCGCGAGTCATATCTGTATGCTTGAGCGCACCACAAGCAGCGTAAGGACGCAGAAATAGGGTTGAAGATGTGACGATCGCCAGATTCATTGGACGTCCTCACGGTGACAAGAAGTTCTCGAGTCAGATTTGAAGCTGATATCGTTCAATGCCATGTCCAGAATTCCATGTGAAGTTGTTCCGTCGAAGTGATTTAAGCGATGTCAAGAGGACTCAAGCAAGGCGAGCAAGGGGCTACATACCCCGGAAAATACGTTCGATCTCCCCCGATTGGCCACGTGCGCTGCCCAATAGACCCTGCCAGTAGTCAGCCCCAGCCGTCCTTGATGGCGGAGGTGCCAAGAGAGTTGCTAGCGATTTCTATTCTGACCACAGACGACCGAGTAGCGTGGATGATGTGGCATTCACGATACTGCGACGGTAACCTGCATTTTATAGTCCCAAGAACACATTCATGGTCAGCACATATCCAGTTCCAATTTCATCAAGACTATAGAGACACAACCCCTATTGCTAGACTTGAAACCCTTTCTAGCCGCCATCTCATTTGTTGCTTCTTGGGATCGTAAACCTTGCCAGTCCCGAAGCGCACTTCGAAGCTCTCGAACATCATGCTCTCGACTCCTTGAACACTAAGACGGTCATGCCCGCCTTATACACGGTGACTCCTTAGGCTGTTTGAACGCGATATTGCTCGCTAACCTGCTTGACCTCTTAGAGGTCGGGTCGGGGGAAACAGGAAATTTGAAGGGACGATGCTGGAGACTCTTTCGCTGGGAAAAGTCAACGGATCGTGCGAGACGATGTCGAAGAGTGACGCAAAGTAGTAGGCAGGCCCATGCAAGGCCTGATGGAAATTTGGTGCGTACCATGGGTGACGCAGAAGAGGTGTTCGCGACTTGAGAAGTTTACGTTGAATTGCCTTGGGGGAAGAGCTTGGAGTCCCCTTGGAAGATGGCGATGGGGAACCCAACGCTTTGCCGTTTTGCGAGCTGGAGTATCAGCTCCAACCGGAGTGGTCCCACATTTTCTCATTTCCTAAGGAGTCCGACTAGAAAGTAAAGTTAAGAACGTAGTGATGGCGAGATGGTTGGCTTAAGGAGGATCTTGCTAGCATACCGTTGAAATGTCACGCAACCAACCCGCCTAGGCGCCTGTTTACTAGCTCAAGGGAAAGAAAAATTATTTCCCTATCATTCCATGAAATTAAGCGCAACCTCTCACCTCCGCGCAAGATAGACATAGAGCAAAAGAAAAGAATATCTAGGGAGCAAAACACCACCCTCTTTCGAGGGTGTAGCCACCTCGGAGAGGTTTCTCTATCCGCCCGCCCGCGGTATTTCCAATCCATCATCTTAACCGGCCACTCTCAGCCTCACGCACCAACTGCATACGTCCTCTTTACCAGGCTTCCAAGCCTCTCTACGAACCAGGCCGCCCGAGTTGGTTCACGAAGGAATGCTGCCAACTTTTAACACCGAAGGTCGAGTCGAGAATCGAACCCGAGAGTCGAGCTCGAGACCAACTACAAGACCCAGGTGAGTTTGTCGACGGTAGTGAAACTACCTCGCGAGGTATAATGCCTGGGATCCGGCCGCGGGCTTACACACGATGTGGCCGATTACCAACCGAGCTGCTGGGCAATTAGTAGATGAGGGGTTTGCATTTTACTTGAAATATGTAGACTGAGTGAGGAACGACGTCACGCCTGCTAATCTTTTTGGAGATATCTCACCTGCCGCCGCTTACCGCACTCAACCGCTGAAGACAGCATAACCTATACTGCCCTTCCTATGCTGTTTTCCATCCGCGCGCTGGTACTCACCTAAGCATTCAATCCCCCGCTAAAATCACAACAAATGCGCCCTCCCTCTTCACCTTCACCACCTATCTCACCGTATATATCCCATCTATCAACAACGCTTCACACAGCACGCTTCCCGAAGCAGCAACCGTGAGAGAAGCGATTGCAGCCCATCCCAACTCAGCCTCACCATACCCTCCGTTACGCTCACATCCATATCTCATATCTCATAGCCGACACCAACATAACACCCAGCGACCGCAGACCTGAATGATGATCTTCTAACCCTAGGTACACGACACAACGACGACTCGAACCGCGGAAATATTCATCAGACTCACTCACACTGGACCCAAGTCCCCCAATGCACCCAACTTACCGTTTCAATATCAGAGAAGCCTCTATCCACATCCACAACTATAACAGCCTTTCGATTGAAGACAGCGCAATACTATACCGCCTCATCTCCCTCTCATTTGGCCGAATGTCCTTGAGAGACCTCACCTCCTACGCAATGAGCTACCCCACCTCCTGCTCCGTCTCCGCCTCCCCTCGCTCTCCCATTGCCGCTTACGATCCCAACGCCCCGCCAGGTACACAACTCTCGCACAAGCAGCACACTGCGAGCATACGAAGCGGTTGCAGAGGAAGCGAAGGGCGGCGGTGGCGGCCGGGGACTGCTGGAGGTGCCGCGGGAGAGGGTTCTTGGGTCCCCTAGAAACACAGGGACGAGATTGGGTGGGAGATGGAGAAGGGAGAGAGGGTAAGGCGTGGTTGGCGAGAGGATGAGGAAGATATGGGAGGGAGCGACGGAGTTTGGGGCGGCATGGCGGGTGGGGTGTTATGCGTTGGGGAAAGGTAGAGCTGGAGAGATGAATAGGCTCGGGGGACGAAGAGAGGAGGTATAGAGGAGGTAGGTAGGGTAGGATGGGAGAGATGCGTGAGAGCGAGACTATTTGGAGCAGGTGGGAATAGAAGGGATATACAATGGATTGGATGTTTGCTGAATGATTAAGTTTAACTGTGCGATTGATATTCGATGAAGGGATAGATACGAGAAAAAATACTCATTCATTGGTCTCAAACCTCTACCCTGCTACCGTTCTAACAAGCGACAACGACCCCTTCTCCGCCAAAAGCTGCACATTCAGCCTGTCAGCCAGCTTCCCCATACCTCCGAGCGAATTCCCATTCTGTAGCAACAGACTCTTCGCATCATCCTCCAACCCATGCGCCAGCACCGCCAAACTCGACGACTTCCATGTCTGCACATCCCGATCCGCAGTGTAGGCCATCGTCAGCAGCATGAACGTCAACGACGCCGCGACTAGCACGAACGGAACCGTAAGCCACGCCCAGCGGACATGGACATAAATATCCAGCTGCGTTGCCGACCCTATTGTTTGCGTGAAGTAGTTATCCGCGCTCTGCCCCCGACTATTGCGGACGACATCGGTCATCTTGGTCGCGATGGATTTCATCATGTCCAACAGCCCGTTCACTTTGTTGAGCGTCTCGTTCATCTGCCTAATTGTACGCCATCGCAACTTCGGCAGCACCAACCAGTTCATTCTGCTCTCTCCTGGGAATGGAAATGTGGCCTGAAGAACGACTCGACGGTAGGACTAATTCGATCAGAAGGAAAATAGCGATCCCAGAAGAGCAGAAGAGGGGTTACGAACAAAACGGGCTCGTTAAGATGAGAATCCATGATCTTTAAAGTTAAGGTTATGCAACAGCATGAATCTGTTTCTGTGCCGCACATCTGCTCTAGCACAAACATCTGGAAGTTAGGGGGGCATCTAGCGTTTGAGAGAGGCAGCAGGACTTAGAAACAGGCTAATAAAGAAGAAATGACTGGGCAAAAGACTTGACTTGGACGAGGGTGAAGGGCGGTTAGTACCTCTGAAACATGAAGATGCGGCGCGGGCGCTTAAAAAGGTTGAATGTGGCACATCGTGCAGCAGCTCTACTACCCAGTGCAATAGTTCTAAGATACTATCAGCGTATAGTTCTCAAATATGGGCTTTCCCAAAGGTCTCATTCTCGACCCACTTAATGAAGGTATGTGCTTGAGGACTGAATGTACTATGAAATAGACACAAGCTGTATCAGCGTGCGGCTTATGGCCGGCCTGTCAAAGCGAGGGCTCCAGCTCCGTGTTTACTGCGTCTAGGGATTTGAAGATTGAGATGTATCATGCTGATAGAGAGGGTTGTAGACTGAAGGCTGAGCGGAGGTGGTTGATGGAGAGTTAAACGCCAAGCCACCGACTGTTTCTGAAAGTGGGAAGCGAGGGGTCTAACGTCCAAAACTCCGAGATACTATCGCCTATTGTACTAACGCTTCTAGCATTGAAAAACAAATACAACATCTAGCGAGCGTGTAGCATGTTGCCAATGTTGTTGCAGAATTGCCGACGCCCTGGTAGCGAAGCTGGGGCAGCTGTTCCGCACTAGCAAGGTATATGGTATATCCGCCCCATGGACTCTAGGGCGAACGCCCTAGAGTCCTACGTAGCTCAACGTACCACCGAATCCCCATACAAAATGCGATACCTTGCATATATCTAACACCACAACTACAAAAGGGAATTATGTCTAATAAATCCAGACTAGCTTTAGATACCTTACTTATTAGTTTCTAACTAGAAAATTTGAAATATAGATATATTTCCTGAAATTTCTATGTATTTTATTAGGGCGAAACATATAAATTATATAAAGTACTAACAAAAAGTAAAATAAATAAAAAGACTACGTGGAATAGAGCTCTAGTAGTCCTATTAAGATACTTTATTAATAATGCTAATTTATTCCTTAGTGGTCGTTGTGCTAGATATATACAAAGTATCGCAGTTTGTATGGGGGATTCGGTGGTACGTTCAGCTACGTAGGACTCGAGGGCGTTCGCCCTAGAGTCCGTAGGGCGGATATAGCCTATGTACGGTATATCCAGCAGGCTGCCGCGACTGTTCCACTTCCACGGCGGCACTCCACTCCCTCCCTCTCAATTCGGGACGCATTCGCACAGAGCTCTTCAAGAAAGGAGCCCCCTATCCCATCCGTCATGTACACTCCGCAGCCCATCCCAACTCCAGAGGTCACCTACCTCCCCAACCCAGAGCACCAAAGCGAAAGCCATACATCCACCATCTACGCGCTGACGTCTACGCCGCGCTACATCATCAGCGGCAGCAAAGACCATTCAATTCGGATCTGGTCCAAGCAAACCCAGCATCTTGCCTTTCCCCCGCTACTTGCTCACGTGGGCGCCGTTGTAGCCATCGAAGCATCCGACGCACCCGAGTTGATTTTTAGTGGCGATGGCAAAGGAAATGTCATGATCTGGGACCTCACAACAGGCGCGTTGGCTCAGAACATGGAGAACGCGCACACCGATACCGTACTCGGCGTCGCGTTCAAGGGAAGAGTTTTAGTGACGGCGTCGAGAGACCAGAGCGTCAAAGTGTGGGAAGGAGGACCAGATGATGATGCAGAGAACGAATTCAATGCTTTCCGGCTCCGTCACACGTTACTAGGGCATCAAGGGGCCGTTCTCTCTGTTTGTGTGACGCATGATGGAACGCGAGCGGTTACCATGTCTGGCGCGGACCGGGCGATGAGGGTCTGGGATTTGCGGTCCGGCGAGGTTCTCAAGTCGTTTGAGGGACTTGCGGGGGCGGCGGTGAAGTTGCAACTTATTGGGGGGGAACGTAAGGTCCTGGCGGCTTGTACTGATACTGGGATTAGAGTCTTTGATCTGGAATCGGGGGAGGAAGAGGTCTGCGTCTATGGGCATGGGAATGTGGTGCGTGCTGTGCAGATGGTAGGAAGTCAAGACGAGTCAAAGATGGTGTCGGCTTCGTATGATAGTACTGTCCGATTGTGGGAAAGGAGCGATGGAGGGCGTGGAGCGTGGAGCACGGTACGAACTTTTAGCTTTCGAGAGGCAGTGGGGAATTTTAAGATGTCTGCTGATGATGCGAAGAGGGTTTATGATGTGGTTGTTGATGAAACAGACGGGTGCATATATGCTTGTGGAGAGGCGAGGGAAATTGTGCAATGGAAACTCGAGTCGTAACGTGGAGCGTCAAACGGTTCAGACTCCGTGTGCTGGCGCGATAGGTAAGATAGGGTCAAGGTACGGTGATCACTGAGAGAAAATGGACTTTCAAGTCGTCCCTCCGGACTCATATTTCATACTAAACACTGAAACGAAGAGAAATTCTTGTACCTCCGAGCTTATTTGACGGAAGTAGGCGTATATAAACTCATCAAGCGGCATACATTACGTTCACAACGAAACAAAAAGACCGAAGTATTCAAGCACTGGTCAATTTAATGTACTTTGTAAGGAAAGAAGAGCAAGACAAGAGGCTTCGCTCGCTACTGAGTAGTCCCAAAACAACACACGCAATCAAGTTCCTACTCTACCCCCATAGCCATGCCCCCCATTAACAGCCCGAGACCCCAATCCAGCTCGAACGCTATGAATGAAGGCACACGCTATCCACCAACACCGATCATTAGAGTAATAACTTAACGACGCACGCCTAGTACTCGGCCTCAGCACCCTCGTCGCCCTCGAGCGAGTCGGCAGCCACCTCTTCGTAGTCACGCTCGAGCGCAGCCAGGTCCTCGCGGGCTTCGGAGAACTCGCCCTCCTCCATGCCCTCGCCGACGTACCAATGGACGAAAGCACGCTTGGAGTACATGAGGTCGAACTTGTGGGACAAAGCGGACCAGGCCTCGGCGATGGCCGTGGTGTTGGACAGCATGCACACAGCGCGGTTGACCTTCGCCAAATCGCCGTTGGGCACCATCTGCGGGGGTTGGTAGCAGATACCAATCTTGAATCCGGTCGGGCACCAGTCGACGAACTGGATGGTGCGCTTGGTCTTCAGGTGGGCGATAGCAACGTGGGTGTCCTTGGGCACAACATCGCCACGGTACAGAAGGCAGGTAGCCATGTACTTGCCGTTGCGGGGGTCGCACTTCACCATCTGGTTGTTTGGCTCGAAGCAGGCGTTGGTGATCTCCATGACGGAGTTAGCCTCGTGGGAGGCCTTGGCAGCCGAGACGACAGGAGCGTACGCAACGAGAGGGAAATGGATACGGGGATATGGGACGAGGTTCGTCTGGAACTCGTTGAGATCAACGTTCAGGGAGCCGTCGAATCGGAGGGAGGCGGTGATGGAGGAAACGACTACGGATACGGTTAGCGGAAGTTACTCCGGAGTCGAGAAGAGGGTTAACATACCCTGAGCAATGAGACGGTTGAGGTTCTCATAGTTGGGTCGCTCAATACCCAGGTTCCTACGGCAGATGTCATAAATGGCCTCGTTATCAACCATAAAGCTGCAGTCGGAATGTTCGAGAGTAGTATGTGTGGTGAGGATAGAGTTGTAGGGCTCGACAACGGAGGTGGCGACCTGCGGTGCCGGGTAGACACAGAACTCGAGCTTGCACTTCTTGCCATAGTCCACCGACAGACGCTCCATGAGAAGAGCACCGAATCCGGAACCAGTTCCTCCACCGAAGGAGTGGAAGACGAGGAAACCTTGCAGGCCAGAGCAGTTGTCGGCCACACGTCGGACCTTGTCGAGAACCTGGTCAATGAGCTCCTTGCCCACGGTGTAATGGCCACGAGCGTAGTTGTTGGAGGCATCCTCCTTGCCGGTGATCATGTGCTCGGGGTGGAAAAGGCTTCGGTAGGGGCCTGTGCGGACCTCATCGACAACGTTTGGCTCGAGATCGCAGTAGATGGTGCGCGGAACGTATTTGCCCTGGCCTTGACGCGTGTCAAAGTTGTGTTAGCTGTGTATGGGCAATTGCTGAGGCGTTGTGCTAGCATACCTGTTTCCGAGAAGAAGGTGCTGAACCCATGGTCGTCGTCGGCGGCTTTGCGCTCCTCGGTGAGGTAACCATCCGGCTAGACGATTGCGTTAGCTGCGTGTTTGCAATGGATTGATTGAAGGGGGGCAGCTTACCTGGATGCCGTGTTCAAGACAGTACAGCTGTGAGGCGATATCAAGTTAGTAAACAATCTTCCCTAGGCAGCCGCGATAATTTTCCAAGCCGTCTTTTCCGACGCGGAAAAGAGGCAAAGAAGGAGTTCTGGCATCGACTCACCTCCCAGCACGAGTTTGCAATCTGGCAACCGGCCTGGCCGACTGTACGCGTAGAATGTTAGCATCTGGCGGCAGACGGGGACATGCCACCAGAAGGCGGTCAGAGGGGCGCGTGGGGCATGGGCTTACCGTTCAAGCTGATGACCTCTCTCATGGCTGCGAGGGACGAGGAATTGAATAGAGACTGGGAATACAGGCTCAGCAGCGGGTGATGTTCGAAGAGTGGTGGATGCAGTGGAGTTGCGGGGGGAAGGGATGCAGGAGAGTCGGCGACGAGGTTAGAGTTGTTGTGGGCCGTTTTGTTGTGCAGGGGCCGCGCGCGCTATGGGCCTAGCGCGTCATTTATGCAGCTGGTGCATCCTGGCATATCACGTCGGCCAGAAGCTACTGCCTGGTATTCACTGCACATTCACGCTTTTGCTGCTGCTTCTTCTCCCTCAAGCACCCAATTCCATGCCACGCTGCGTGACAGCATGACCCGCGCCGCGACGAGGCCTCTCAGCACACCCGAAAATGCGGTTTACGCTGCCTGCGGCCTCCCTCATCGCACTCGTCGCTGAGGTGGTTGCAAACACCGAAAAGGTCATCTTCACAGCTCCCAGCGCCATCACTATCCCCAATATCCGCCCCGGACTGGATGACCTCAGCCTCGACGTCCTGTCGCCCGCTGGCCTGCGTACGCTGGAGACCAATTTGGCCGTGCAATTCCCCTCCGACACAGCCCCGCGCGGGGTGCAGTCCTGGTATCTGCTCAAGGGCCTGGAAGCTGGTCGACGCTACGAAGTGAGGGCTTGCTGGCCGGCAACTGTAAGCTACACGCGTCTTCTTCTCTGGCTGTCGCGGTGGACGCGCCGTTTGCTCTGCTCTGCTAGCCAGCCTTTGTTTGTCCGACCAAACCCTTCGCTAACCTCCTCAAGCAACCGACTGAGTTCTGGCTCGACGTTCACAACCTCACCCACGTCTTCGAGACACCTCTCCTAATATCCTCCCTCGCCGATTACTCCGAACAGCGGCAGCATCCTGGTCTACAAGCCCCCCGACACGCTGAACCTGAAGCTACGTCCCAGTCAGTCTTGTTACTGCAAGTACATTCCGCTGCCGACTACTTCACCTCGAACCGCACGTTGATGGAACACCCGCCAGCCGTCGACGTGGACATTAGTACGTCACTGCATCTTCTTGAACCCTTGCCATAATTGCTAATTGCTAACTGCTCAGTTCTTGATCCATTCCTCTTGAATATCCTTCCACAGTCGCTCGGCCCCACCGCCCTCTACATCACCGTTCTCACAGCCGGAAGCTTCTTCCTCTCGGGCGCTATCTACAACTGGCTCTACCGGATCGCGGAAATACCCAAACCCCACACCGACTGAGTGAATGCCTATGCGATTGCAATTCGGGTCTCCCATCGCCTTCGCGAAAGGCCTTCTCAATTCGATCTTCACTCGCCATCCACTGCCTTCAACCATGGCAACACCCGCGGCACTTCCCAAACTCTCTGTCTTGTTCTGTCTCCCCCCAGAGCTCTTCCTCCTCATCCTGTCATACTTGCGCACAGGCGACTTGCTCAAATTCGCCTTGACCGCATACCCGCGATTGCGAGAGAGACTCAATCTACCGTATCTGTCCAATCACACGTTCCATAGGCTGGTACTCCGGCCGCCAAACACTGTTCCCAACTGGCCTTTGCCTATGGAGCTGACGGATCAGATTCTCGGCTACCTTCATGATCCGAGCGACGTCATCACCTTTTGCTTCACTCATCGGGCCGTGTACCTTCAGTACATGGGCAATGATATTCTAGACCCAGGAACAGTCACGGGGCTGTGGAGTGTGACAAGGCGTCCTGGTCATGGCGGGCTTTGAGTACTTGAACTTGGAACGGCTGGTAATGATGGCATGTTTACGGGTCACGAGCATGATGCATAGATTTGGCGTTAGAGTTAGCCAGGGACTGCTTTTATATGGTGTCTGGACTACGGATGGGTGCATATGGCGCTGGCATGCGCTATTAGCCTACCACGGCTACCGTCTCACAATACGAGAAACAATGGAAAATCGGTAACTTCAGTGTTCAAACAGGGTGTTTTTCGTAGTGATGCTATGAGTGCTTTTCTACCTGAAATGTCTTAACCATTCCACCCAAATGTCGGGAAGAGCCACTTCGATATCCATTCTGTGTATAATCAACATTGTAGGATTATTGGTATGAGTATGACACCGTCTACACTTCGCCCACAATTTCAGACATCCGTCAAGACCATACTCTCATTCCATTTCTTCTTCTGAACATACATGCAAGCAAACACGCTGGGGCCGGCATAAATCGTATCAAAATACTAGCATCCCAGCTCTATACTACGCGAGCGGGTTGGAAAGGAGTGGGTTGGAAAGGCCCGAGTACTCAAGGAATCATCCCCCAGACTCACCGTCTCCCCTATCACATGCCTATCACGCGATATCACGGTTTCATCAAACCCCAAGAGGCGCGGCATACTAAGTGCGGGTGGAGTTCGGATCAAAACCATCACAGCAATGTACAATGGAGCATCCGCGTCCGCGCCGCTCTCCCATCAATCTTGATGATGCTCTTCCCCATCTCCTGCTCCCACTTGCACATCTGTCGTATTCCGATGATCTTGGTTCCGAAAGATGGGGTTGAGGTGGATAGCATCACCAGTGCGAGGCGGTTCTGTTCTTCGTCGGGTAGGAGTGGTGACGGTCGCTGAGGATTGTTCGGGTCCAACGCATTACTGAAATTTGCGAGCTTTGTTGAAGAGACACGGCCCGGAGCTCATAACACACTTCCCGAGTCTGTTTTGATGGTTGGAGTTGGTTGATGGGTTCTGGAGAGGAGAGGATGGGGAGGCGAGAGGTTTTATAGGAGCCAGAGGGGGTGCCGCGAGACAGGGGTTGTTGGGAGCAGGACTGTAGTAGCGGTGAAGAGGAACAGAGAGGGGGAAAGTCATGTGAGCAAACCGTGTTTGGGCCAGATAGGAGTCGAAGATGTTGTGTGCGCACATTCCTAATATCCATCCTCCACTCAGTACTGTTGTGGAAACGAGCTACACGTCAACAGCTTGAGAGAACCGACCTCCGCAGCATACTTCCACACCATATATTCTCTCAAAATAAAGACATAGTTACCGCAACAAAACCCTTATTAGGAGTCCCAAGCCCCGGATAACTTCTCAACTTCTCAAGCCCGCCCTCATCCACCGTCACGCAGGTCTAAAGCCCCATGTCGTTTTAAATTCTTATTTGCACTTGATTTTAGCGGCAGAGCCCATATACACGATGAAAATGGTCTCCTGGAAGTCACGTGCCTGTATGCGTCAGGTTAGTAACTTCAAACACTCTCACTTAATCACAGCTTGTAGGTGATTGACAGGACTACCTCTCAACCGAAATACGGTAGTTACATATACGCAAGAGATGTAGATAACAGACACGCAAGCCTTGAGGCCAGCGCTAGTGGAGAGGGAAGCGCTCCTACAGTGCCTTGCCATAGATCTCTATGCACTTTCCTGCCATTGCCTGTGGAGCTTCATCGGACTACTAGTAGAAATCGGGGTCAGCAAATACACTGCCGATCTTGCGTTACACCTCGTTGATGCTGTTTGGGATAATCTTGGGAGTTTCCTGGTTTTGCCAATATGCCGCACTTCTCTTTCGTTTTGATTGCTGAAAATACTGTGAAGCTCCGTTCGCAATGGTAAACGAGTGTACAAATTTCTTTGACAAAATACTGTACTAGAACATGGTTTTGGACTAAGGAGATAGGTCAAGGAATAGTGACAGTCGATGGCTTGAATAGAAAGAAAAGACGAGCTCAGCTCATGTTCCTCCCATTGTAGATCTAGACTCAAAGCTCCGCTCTGTCGACGCCGCCATTCATCTGACTGGGATCAATTCAGGCGCGTAGGGATAGGCTGTGCACCTTCCGAGACAGTTGATGAATCCTTTTCATATGGTAGTAAGGGCGTTTGTCACTATGGTTTGGAGGGTTGATCTAAGATACCTCTATCCTACCTCTACCTTAGAGGGCGGCCCCCACTTCATTGAAATGAGGCACACGCATCAGTAAGTTTGCCGAGTTTACATTTGAACCAATAAATGATTGAAGGCATGATGATACGCGCTGCGGTATTCCTAAGTGACACGGTCTTTAGGCTCTGCTTCGCCTGCGAGGTTTACCATACTTTCAAAAACCAGCGACATGGGAAAAGCTCTTATTTATAAGAACCGCAACTGCAATGAATACATCCCGCAGTTGTGTAGCATTGGAAGACAGGGTAAACATAGCATACATATAATCATTCCGCTCGTGATCTATAATACCTTCGAAGCGCTCTATCAGGTACCTACTAGCACTATAGTGGTCGTTGCCGCCGGCGTAGTCTGGGAAGTAATCCGCCAGCGGGCTTCGCCCCAGCTTCGCCTTGAACTCGTCTGCGTTGTTCAAGAACAGCACGAACGGCATGCGCTCGTGCCAGCGAGACTTGACTGTCCTTTCCCAAAGCGCCAGCATGTCCGTCATTCTGGTGAAGGAATTGTCGTCGAACAACGGCTCGTCGTAGTAGGCGAGGTCCACCACGAAGATGACCATCTGGGCCGTCGTCTCGAGGCATTCTGCCCATTTCCGACTCCGGCGTCTTGCAGAACCGCTATCGAAGAGTCGGATGCTAAGATCACACATTGAAATGGTGTTATACATTGAATAGCGGGCGAGGAAGCTGTCGGTTGTTCGTGTCCGAGAGATGTCGGCGGGAGTCGGGAGATAGTCTGGACTAGCAATCCGTTGCGCGGAATTGATGAAACTGCAAGCTATCAGTATTTAGACTCATCGAGAAGAAGCTGCTGTGACGCATTGCATCGCATCTTCCGAAATATCAAAATGATTCGAATTCTCCATTGCCCGTGCAATACACCGGTCCGTCCTCAAAGCAGCAATAGCTTCACCAACCTTAGGTTCCAGGGGCTTCTGTGGATCAGCCGGCGGAACAGCAAAAGATTTCAGATAAGCGCAATAGCTTTTGTTTTCGTTACTGTCTGGTACTATCCCAGATTTATCCATAGCACTAACTAACGCTTTAACGGAGTCAATCAGAATCTTGTAAATCGTGAGTCGGTATCCTGCTAACTCATCGGTCGTGTAAGTATCCTCGTAAAAGCCCCTCACAACCTCCATAATCTCTTTTTTCCCCTTGTGGTCAGCGCCAAGAAGCAGAATGTTATATTCACTCTGGACTCTCCGGTTCCAGTCTCTCTTGAGGGAGCGGTCGATAGCGAGGGACCGTTGCCTCTTTTCGAACTGGTCTTTTAGGGCCGCCTTATATTGTACCAGGCGCTTCGAGCTGAACATGTGGCGACCAGTTTGCAATTTCCTTGATTGTGCTTGGTTCTCCACTGGATTATCGCCTTGTTGGGGTCCTGGTGGGCCAGCCGTGAGTGCCATGGCATCCGTAGGCTCCAGCAGGGCAATACTAGGTCCCTTCACGGAGCTGCATTGCCATCGGTTGTACCTCTTCGAAGTAAGTTGCATACGGTCCCGGTCCAAGTCCAAGTTGACATAAAAGGTTGATCAGTCATTAGGACACTGGGAGGTTGACGTGCCTGGTGCCGCACTCTAGCGAGCACAGACCACCCCCAGCCGCAACAAGGTATCAGCGCTCAAGATTCAGCATGGAACAACCAACTCTTAATTCTTTGGAGGAATGTGGGTAGAGATGTTCACGAAATAAATTTGAGTGTCTTTTGATACAAGTTAGATGGGCGGACTCTGCCTTGCTTGGTGCCTTGCCGAAGCAACTGGCTCTGTCAGCGTGGTGGTGCCTGAAGAGCGGGAAGAGTGCGATGGCTAATCCAAGTATGATTCGCTGTGACCTCGCGAGAGCCGCAGAGAAAGATTGGCTGAGCCGAAGAGGTGTGCTTTCACAGCCTTCTTCTGAATCTGCCTGCCAGGGCGTTCTGCTAAGACCCACCCCAACACCAAGTAACGCGACACGCATCAAGCCTCACACCTTCAAACATCTAAAACGCAATCATCATGTTTAGTACAGAAACTACAGAGATTCGCGGCAGAAATCAAGAGCTATCATCTGAGCCATGCAGTTCCATTATCTCCAAGTCAGAAGCTGGTGTTCCAAACAAGAGTCTTGCGCCTACTTGCATCACGTCAATGGGCGGAAATGCGGACGATGCTCCGTTCAATAGCATCCACAGCAATTCGCAATATGAGTCGGTATGTTGACTGTACATCTCACTATAGTCGTCAGCCATTCTGACAATCGCCTTTTCAGGCGTATGAACCTCCTGAATGGAGAGCCAATGTGCCACGCCATCCATATGTCTCCAATGTCAGTATTGAATACGACCCTTGAGCCACCCTACCAGCGAATGTGCATACCTATATCCAACTCCTTACATGATGGCTGATATCTTGTACACCTTCTAGTTACTGCCAAAATTCGACGACGGGGATGAGGCCTGGTTGAAGATTCCCTACGGGCCAGGAATAGCAGTCGTAATCAAAGAAGGCAAAGGAGGTGAACATCCACTGTACAAATGGTCGTACACAGTGAAGGATGCGTACACCGGTGCTGCGGTCAACCTTGACGGCGACAGTCCTAGACCACAGTGGTTCCCTGAGACTCAATTAAGCATGCACTCAGGTTGCAGCACTACAACCTAGGATCAACAACTCATATGCCAGAAAGCTACTCTCCGAACATCAGCTGTAGAGAACCGAGCTGAAGCCTCAGCTGTGCAGGGCTCATCTGAACTTACTAGCGCGCCACCCTGGGGGTGGCCCCCTTCCTTCCCCTAGTATATATACAACTAGCTAGACGTCTATAGAAATCAGAGTTCACATCAATTTCAACCTGAGTCATGCGAGACGAGAAACAGCGCACTGGTGCCACACCAGATACTTCTCTCAGCTTGAGGCTGCCTGAAGATGGTCTCCACACTAGAAATCAAATCTATTTCCAATCACTCATTGCCGAACACATGGATGTTTTCAAGAAGCCGGTAGGCCACAATAAGGCGGCCGCCTTACTTCTCTCCTGGGAGCCCGATAACGACGATCTCAAAGTACAAGAAGAGGTATTTCATTCGACTTTGGTCCCTAGACACTTTGCTTACGGATCTCAGGTAGACGAGCTGGGAAAGGTGTTTGATGAAAAATACGAATTTACAGTCAACAAATCGTTTCTAAAGGCACAAAATCCACAGGCTCACCTCAATTCTTTATTATCAAGGTTTATCGCAGACCATGGTCGTCAAAAGCCTTCGCTCTTGATCATTTATTACGCTGGCCACGGATGGGTTGATAAGCAAAACCAATTTTGCCTGGGGCCGTGAGTACCGTCCTATAACATTTGAACGCTACTGACTTCTTCCAGGGGGATAAGGCCCAACCACGATGTAATTACCTGGAAAAGCGCCGAGGTACTCCTCAAACCTGCAGTGGCCGACGTGCTCCTCATCTTCGACTGTTGCGAAGCGGGTGCTATTGCTCATAGACGTTCATCACGGAGAACTTACGAGCTTATGGGCGCATGCGATCATTCAAAGACCACTCGGAAGCCAGGCAAGAGTTCTTTTACCTCTGCGTTAACATGGGCTTTGAAACAGCTTAGCACGAAGTCAACATTTTCGACGAGCGAGTTACGGACAAAAATAATGGAGGCACCGGATTTCCCATCTGATCAAAACCCAGTCCTCTTTCATAGGGACGTTCCCATTGTGAACAATATTGATACCCAGTGGTTATCCAAAAACCACTAGATCCCTGACGCCCCAAAACCGGAGTTCCGCGACGTTGAAAACGAGTATCTCGACACTCCATTAGAATTCAATCGCCGTCTCAATGAAGAAGACATCAAAACTGGCGCCGAGCATCTCAGTAAATCAATTGATAACTTGGGGTTCTCGGCCCAACGCATCGCGTTAAGGCGCAAGTCTTCACTGGAGTCTGATTCTGATACAAGTACCTGGCGGCCTGAGTCCTTATTCTCAATCGATATGCAGTCAAATTCGTCTGGAACTTCGTTTACATCGGTGGCACATACTTCGGCAGCGGACGCTTTTGCTACCCTTTTAATGACTAACGACGAGATAAGATCACTCTGCGTCAGCGGGGTTACGGACTGCAATGTTGGCCCACTCAGACTGGAGAGAAACCTTCCCCGGCTGCTGTATCAATACTCGAAAGATCTACGTGAGGAGGCTGTGACGCCGGCGCAACTTACAGCTGTGGAGCTTTTCCAATCCAGATCTCGGCTGCAGCATATTGCTAGCAAAGTACGGCGAACGGTTAACGGTGACTCCGAGAGACTCGCTCTTCCCAACGAACCGCTCGACCCTAATGCTAGTATCCAGCGTTATCTTGACGAGCAAGAAGGCCAACGAAAGCCTCTAGACATTAAGAACAAAGACATTTCTGCGGGATCCAGTTCCAGTGACGATGAACAAGACGCAGAGATCAATGAACCACGAGATTTTAACGTACAGTCCCTCGCAGCCTTTCTGTCTAATAGCATAGCATTTCAGCTTTTGCAACAGAATCTACGAGATTTTGTCTTCCCAAAAATTTCCGGCGAGCTAGATCGCATCTCGCAGCGCATCCTGAGACATCCCCGTGTACTCTCGAACAAGGACATAGCTGTACTTCAAGGTGTGATTTATCAGCTTCGCCAAGCTGACCCCGCCTCAATTTCCGTCTCCGATCACCAGGCTTCTGTTAAAGATAAGTGGAAAATAAAAATGGAGCAACTTTGCGGAAGTTCATGGGACTGGTGGCCTATACAAGAACCAATCTACCCAACTCGTCCCGGCCACATCTACATACTCTGGCAATGTGTAAGCTTAAGACGGTGGCTCCTCCTTACTTCACAGCGCTAAAATACCTCAGAGATGCGGTGTTCACCGCAGAGCTCAAGTCCCAACTTGGGTTGGTAATAGTTTAAGTCGAGTTTCAAATGTGTTCAAAAGCAGTTCGAGCGGTACACTACCGACAACTACGCAGAATGCTCCCTTGCAAGCACAGTTAGGAGCAGGAAACGCCTTTAATTCCTCACCAGGTAGCATGTGTGGATACTTCAAATGAAAGTAAGAACCTAAATGTGGTCCATTGTTCGATCTCGTGTTCTTTTCGCAGGTCGAGTCGCAAATTAGCCTGATGAAGATGCTGGCAAGCGCATTGAGGAGACCATCGAGTGGAAAAGCTCTTATATAATGTCTCAGCCTGCGTACGGAGACTGTTCCAGCATTCCGAGTTTGCTTTGCGTTTTTGTTCAAAGCGAAGAGGTTCGAGTGCAATGGCACCTGCTGTAAGGGTGGATATTTGGTTGATGTTGGCATCAATTTCTGACAGCAGCAGCTGTACTTGTCCGTACGGAATCCAGCTCTTACCGGGGTCAATAGGCTCTTAAAAAAGTCTTCGCGAGCTCTTACGTCAACAATGTTGTTCTGGTCAATCCATTGTGGCTAGGAGACTTTAGTTCGGAGCGTCACCAGTATATTAGAATGGATGCACTGACTTTGAGGGCTTCGTTTAGCTTTAGCTTCTGGCTAATAAGGATGACTCTCTTTTCGAGCTGAATTACTGAAGACCTGAATGGCAAGTAATTGGAACAGAGCCGTTCGCGAAGCCGTTTGCTGAGACCGACGTCTGCCCAAGCACTGCCATCAATCTTTCGAGTAATTCATAGAGCTGAGAATCCGGCAGAGCAAGGGGGCTAAGCAACTCTTCGCAAGAGTTCCGATATATCGACACACTAGTAATAAGAGACACATAAAGGTTCTCAAATACCCCCTCATACTTTTTCATGCTCTTTATCGTCGCGACCTATGTCTCCGTCAGCCTTCCAGGCCAGTTTCTAATAACGATAGAAGCATGGAATACCCCGTCGGTATAGTGTTCTAGCGCACTGATTATCAGCGGAATTGACCCGAGCACAACTCCAGCAATCTCGAAGCCAGACATAACAGGCGCTAGTAGTGTCCACAGAGAAGAAGGTGAGATGGCAGGAGGAGAAAAAGCATGGGGTCAGTATGGCCCCTTGGCCCGTGCGTGGCGGGGCATTTCAGTCCAACCTTGCAACCTTCATCCTCAACATCATGGGCCCGTCTCATGTATAGCAACATAGAGGAGACGATGAGTAAACGTCTCTCCTGACTCACTTTCTTTGAGTCGCCATGGGAGGTTCCATCGCAGAATCGCACACTACCTGCGTTGATCTATTCGCAACCTTGCTCAGCGTCATAAAGCAGCATCCTACAAGTTATGCATTACTCGAGACAGATGTCCAAGATGAATTCGACAAGTATAGTATATGGGCGGGAAATGTCGGCGCTGCCTTTTCCGGACAGAACTACAGGCGTTCCTTAGACTATCGGCTCAGAGAAGCTTCATTTTACAAGGAGCAGGTGTGTACATCGTCTCAATTACCGGATCTATTTTCCTCTGGATATTTCCTAGTATATGTTTTCCTTGTCTCTTCGCCTTTCCTACATTTCAACTCAGGTAGTGCCTTCAAGGGTCATGGCTGGCTTGTCGAAGGCAACCCCGATGGCGTCCAGCCGTAACAAGTACATCACATGCATTCCAAGGTCTCGATAGAGACTGACCTTTCAATCCTTGGCTTAGGTTCTGAAACTATTGAAGAGTCTGCATGGAGTGGTGAGCATTCCTCTTCTTTCACCTGAAGATTTTTGCCGTATGACCGTCGCTGAATCAAGGAGCCAACTAGATGCAAAAAGGTAGACGTTCCGAGGGGCTATTTGCACGATTAGCGTAAGCTTATTAACACACGGCTCTAGCGGTATCCATTGTCAACGACGACAAAGTATCATTCGATGAATTTTTAAGTCCGAGTCCGAATCCAACACGCTTGCCGAGGGCCAGAGTTTGGAGGACTCTCCATGGGAAATATCCTCCAACTCGGAGGCAGAGGAGATAGGGACTGTAAATGAGGATGGAGGTGAAACAATGCATTGAACGAGGTAAGTGATGTATTGGATGAGCATCTATCTAGGCTACGTACGCCGTATATATACTCTGTGTGTGTGGAGGCTTACGTAGCCGTACCGTAGAACTGTGTGGGCTAAGTATAGGAACCGTGTTCTATATCAAGGTAGCCGAGCTAACCGTACCATACTCCGTAGGCTAGCTGGCTAAGAATACGTACTCCGTCAGTAAAAGATCAACTGCCGGCGCCTAAAGTCTCTCGCTCAAGCGTTACCAGGCCAGAACAGACCATCGCTCCTCTCTCGCCACCCAGAACACGAACAGATTTACGCCAATTAGTGCAGTCAATCAGCTTTACCGTCACTTGTCTTTGGCGCATCCCCATTCGTAGGCCTGCTCCCATTGATCGGATAAAGCGCAAAGGCGCTGCCAATACGTCCTATTACCAACCGTTCGATATACTTTACGTCAAGGATAAATTTCCGCATGTTGACGAGAGCGTGGCAAATCGGCTTGATAACTTGATATCAAAACGACGACAAGTAATACAGTACCGCAAGCGCCATACCGATGCATTGCAATCAGCCGCAGCTGAGTCTGAACATACGGCGGAGCGACGTGTCGCTAAATTTAGTGGTACGACTGGTGTAGGAAGTCCAACAGCGCCATCAAAAAGCGCGCCGAGTCGTCAAACACAGAAGACGAAAGCTACAACCTTGAAACTAGCTGGAACCGAAATGGAGCCCCGGGATGTATCTCGACTCTATGCTCCTTCGATGCCCGAATCAAGAACCACAGTGGCTTCCGACCAAGCAGCGAATAACGAGCGAGTCGCCATCCCACCGCGGCCTATCGGAGGGAACGGCAAGACTCTTGAGCAATTTGTATGTCCTTATTGTTCAGTGACTCAATTTATCAAGTCCGACCGGAGTTGGAAGTGAGTTCAAGAACCCGATGTGGGATAGATTCGGACTAATTACGTCAGAAAACATGTCTTAGCAGACCTACAGCCTTACGTCTGCACGATGCCTGGATGTGAACTGCAAGAATACTTCTTCGATAGCAGAGAGATAAGTTTTGGACTCTAATGATCATTGTAGGGCAGGTCACTTCTAATAAGTCAGGAGTGGTTTAATCACGAGACGCATCACCACCGACTTGAGTGGAGCTGCAATATACACGATCATCAATCCTTTGCAGAGCTTTCTGACTTCCTCGAGCACATGGCAAGAATGTACGATAGTGCGTTTGATGAACGTCAAATTAAAGCTTCGCGGGGCATGTTCCAGCGCCCAGCGCAGAGCCATTCGGGCGTATGCACACTCTGTTACAAAGAGGCCACTAAACTGAAGATCCATGTATCTCGTCATCTAGAGCAGATGTCTTTATTTGCAATACCGCCGGCAGACATGATGGAAGACCTGGACTCGGACATTTCTGGATCTGGACTATCACATATGAATATCAATGGCTCCAAAGCCCAGAACGTCTCATTTAAAAGATTCGGGAGCATCTCGCGCCTGTCTGATAAAGCATCCGATCAAGGTAGTGGCGCACTTGCGGGAACCCCACATCGGCATTAGGAGCATGTCCAGTGGGCGCGTAAATCATTCGAAGAATGCCGGGCACTCGGACTAAACCCGCAGTTGGAGAAAATGATGCAACCAATATTTCCAAAAGAAACTGGGATGCTTGTGGTCGAAACAGTGCTTCCAGGGAGGCCAACAGATATCCACCTGATAAAGGGCGACATGCTACTCACCGTCAACGAAACACTCATTACAGAGCTCAATCGATTAAATCAGACCTAGGGCGACAACGTTGACGGGAAATTCTCCGTGTTGGTTCAAAGGGGTGGCGAGGAGGTTACCCTTACTGAACAGGGACCTAACAACCTTAGCGAGTTGACAGATGAACCATCTCTTGAGCGGACGTCCGTTCCTGATATGGACGTGGACGAGAGCACTCTGGACGCCTATTGGGACTATATCACTCCAAAATCTCGAGAACTACATGCTGCGCCTGCGATCTATCATTACGCCGATTCGAGTCCCCCGAAATACACCGATTCGAGTCCCCAGCACATGGGTACACCTATATCAGTTCCCTGGCGTACGACATAGATCCAAGGGTGACTCAGCGCACAGTCTCTGAGTAAAATTCGAGAAAATTCTAGAAGTGAAAGGGGAGTGCTATTTTTGCCCACTTCTAGGGATTTCCTATCTTGTCGTGGTTTTGCAGAGTATATCACATCTATTGTTCCTTAATGTTCTACGCGGTCCGTGTCTAGGCTTTGGACACGAATAGGCGCACAGACAGCCAGCCTTATTTGCTGGGGAACGTGTTGATGGGGTGCTATTCCTAGAATTGAAAGTGCCCTAGATTTTCACCTACTCACCACGACTGGGCGAAGCTGGGGACGACTTTTCCCTTGAACTTGGAATCGAGCTTGACATTCTTAGAGGAATTGAAATCATATCAGAAATGAATTGCACTGTCCCCTCCGGAGGCGAAGAAGCGATACCACCTGCCATACTTCCCCGATCCGAAATTCGAACCCACTCTCTGCGACTCTCTGGCATAAGTGGAAAAAGAAAGAGCAATAAAGTGCATGTGCAATTACGCGTTGGACGCAACAAGTCTGATGGATAGTCTGAGGGAGTACATGGACGTCGGTGACTTCGAGTATGTGGACAAGAGAAAGAGTTCAGAGGCGTGAGCGGACGAAGAACCCTTTCAAAAAACGAACCCTGTTTTGGTACCTTCATGGCGAGAGTTCCAGAAGCAACCACTATGTGGAGCCTCGACTGGTGCGTATCAAAATGAGCAGCATCTGCCACCCGATATCTTCAGGCATTATCCTTGTTGATTAAAATCCTTTTGGCATGGGCGTTCATCATAAGCTCGAAGTACCTTCGGAGGTTGAAGAAAGTGCTGATGGCGAGCCTGATGATTCAAGCAGAAGATATGCACAGATCAAGCTCGTTTGGAGCTAGCTAAAGACAAAGCAGCTACACTCGGTGGAATCCTCCCCGTCGAGGATAAACCGTATGGCCTAACGGTTCGACACGCACTTGCGACACCATCGGGGGAGAAGAATCGTGGCGATGAAGAACTCTCTGGCCCAGAGGGACAAAATAATGTCTAGTCAGCTTCCAACGAAGAAGCAAGCATCGGACAAAACGAGGGAAGGCAAGAATTTTTGGTCACGGAATTCTCTCATACGGATAGTCAAGAGGACCGTGACGACAATCGTGTTCGCATTGCATCGCTACACAGAGGGGACCATCCTCCCATACGAGGCATTCTGCGCAAAGCGAAAGGGAAGTCCGCGGCGGCTCCGGCTGGCCTTGCCCCCCATACAAGGCGATTTATATGAACTTGACGCTACTTGAACTAAGATCGACCGCCTTCTCGTCAACCCAGAGGCTCTTCAAGAGGCAGACGAGCCGTTTGAAGAACGCGAGGATTCTGTGTATGTGTTAAGAGTGTTAACGCACAAGGAGGTACAGAGGCTTGCAGATCGAGTCAAGCGAAAAAGACAACAGAGAAATCGCTACAACCGCGAGCGTGCAGATTTATCGGTGGCGCCAACCGCGAAAGAACATCAAGGAGGCCCATCTAATCTCGAACAACGCCCCACCGAGCGAACCACCTGAAACCGACGATCCTGCTAGCTCTCTGGGCGACGATATGGAAGTCAGATCTTTCTCCGAGGGCGATGGTAGTGACTCTGGTGAAAGCATTGGCACCGCTGGTGATGTTGAGGGTATTCAACCGGCAATGGGGGAAGGCATCATCATTACGCAGCCCGCCATTGACGATAACTTTTCTTCCAGCCCAGTTGTTATAGATGCGCGCTACTTGGATATCTTGACCTTCGGCCATGTCTATGCATCATCGGGAATCCGTCGCTGGCGCCGTAATGGGGCTGTTAACGAGATTGATTGGGCTTTGGTCAACGTCTTCGATGAACAGGTGACTCCATGGAACGTGGTTCCCGGTTGCCGACAGTTTTGTATCGACCCTGCAGCCGCCGCCAGGCAGGACTCGCTACGCATGAAGCAGGACACCAACTGGAAGGAATACTACAAAAATGGCCTCCCGAATGAGATCATTGTGACTGACGATGATGACGACGACACTTCATCCCACCTGCAGCGCCAGCCAATCCTAGAGCAGCCCGCTATTGATTTGCCGTTGAAGATATCCCTCAGAGTCTTCCGCGGCCTCTAGTCGAACACTTGAAGACCTTGACCAAATCTGAACGGAGCTCGCAATGGTAAGTAGACTTTTCTATTGGCAAAGTTCTGCTCATTGACTCAATAGGTTACGTATTTGCTTCCAGGCAGACCCAGCCTGGAGGATCGGCCAGAGAACATTATGGACGGCGTATCGAAAAACTTTCGAAAACCTGATTAGTGAGGAGCCCATGCTCTATGAAATCTTCATCGAGAAGTTTGCCGTACGTTCTCGAGAGCCACCGCCTTAGGTTTTCCAGAAGAAGAGAAGGAAATCGTACGCGGTATTCGGCCCCGCGGTGATGACTACCTAATGGAGGTTGCCAAAGCAGACGAGCTTGCAAACCGGAAAGTCCACTGGTATGGCCGTACATCGCGGCTACGGAGCGGTGTAATCTCATCTAGGATGCATCAAGTCTGGTTCTACGGCCGTGAAACTTTCGCTGCCCTTTGGAGTGTTAGTGGCGGAGGTACGTGTGTTCTATAGGTCCACCTGTCTTGGATTTCAGCAATTTTCGATCATATTCCCCCCTCTAAAAGTTCCTTTTTCATGCTAACTTGGAAATAGCAAAAGGAGGTGACACAGGCGCTTGGGTCATCGATGACCGTAGTCGTGTTTGTAGCTACCTCATCGCAACTAATATGGCTAAGCGGATTGCTTACATATGCCCAATGGAGGGGATTATGGAGGACATCAAACAGACACTCGGTGCGGAATCAGTGTGTCTCCCTGGATCGTCCGAGGCCAAAGAGTACCACGACCTCATTGATAGCGAGCTAGACAATGACGATAGTTTGAGCCTCGAGGAAATGACCGCCAAGGACCTGATCCAGCCAACTTCCTCGTCGAAATCGCAGCGAAACTCGCAGCGTGCCTTGGCCCTATCCAAACGGGTTTCAGCACGGATGAGGGTGGTAAAGCGCACTGTTTCGCTAATTCCAAAGTTCACTCTTGGAGACGAGGTGCGGCTCAGACTAATCAACGGCCCTACGATGAAGGTCGTCATCACTAACCGCAGGCTGAGCCCCAAGCCTTCATGGCAATACACCGTGAAGGAGAGTTCGACCGGAGATGATAGCAACCAAGACAACCTTGGGGAGTATGGGGAATGGATCGATGAAGCTCGCCTCAGTTCGCGATGACGAAAAGAAAAGAAAGCGAATGATCAATTAAACGAGCTTTTGTGTACCGTGACTGTTAAATCAGAGCAAGTACGTTACTCACTCAATAACACCGCGAGCGCTCTGGAGTCCCTAGGGTATAGAGGCTCCACTTGGAACAGTCACTCCGGGTTTCGATATCGGCAACGATTATGTCAATAACGAAACCATAGAATAGGTAATAAGACGCAATGCTTGGATATATTCAGCAGCAATGACACAGCCCAAATCACCCCACATCTTTTCTACGCCTCCACATGCTCTCTCAAATGCCCACTCGCAAGCCAACATGAATCGCAAATCGCTGAAGCGCAGCTCAAACCCAAAACTCCTGTATCTACACCCCATCTGAACCATCTTATTTCCCTCTAATATACACCCACCTAACACCCTCATCCCCTCAAGGGGCCCAAACCTGGGGTACTCCCCCTACCTATCCCCCCCACTGAAACTATACCCCGGCGCCGCCGGTGCCGGTCTCCTGTATTCCTCATACCCCCCCGGACTCAGCGCACTCGCATGCTCATCATGATCATAGCGGTACTCGGGCACAGGATCATGCAGATTCTCGCCCCAGCTGAGCGGCCGGCCGGGGTGTCTCCCTTCGTCTGTATCCGTGCTGTGCAACAGCGCGTATTCATCCTCTTCCTGGTTTCCGCCGCGCTCCGTCCGCGTCTCATCGTCGGAATCGTTGAGCTCGTGGGTGTCGGCGCTCCAGGTGTTGTCCTTGACGCCGTGCTCGAGGGAGGAGTCGCCGCCCATGTCGCGCGGGGAGGGCTTGGAGGAGGCGTAGGGCATGACGCCGTCTTTGCGGAATTTAATGACGTAGTAGGCGGATATGGAGGTTGTGATGACGAAGAGGAGCCTGTTGAAGTGGAAGCGTTAGCCTTGGGGGTTTGAAGGAGAAGGGAAGGGGGATGTACCATATCACGACCCCGAAGCCGAATGTTGCTCGGCTTAACTTGCATTTGGCCTCGTTGCCGTAGGCAAAGGTGGAGCAGTTTCCATCGTTCTGGTCGAGCTTTTTGTCTTTGGCGCCCTGGCGGATGCCTCTGCTGTTGTAGAGGGCGATGGCGATGAAGGCGGAGAACCAGAATACTGCGATTGAGACGTGTCAGAATCGGTTACAGGTAGTGTTTTCAAGCATTGGCTGGAGAAATAGAATATTGTTCCTTCTCGGGAGAGCTGACGTCGGGGGACAGCGGAATGGGTAGGCTTACAGGTATACAACGCATCTACCGCAACGAACGCATATGCATTCGCAAACCTCTCTGCTCTTGACCACATAGGCACCATGACGAGATAAATCAGTGCAGGAATCGTGAGAAAACACTATTCATTCCAGCCCAACTGTCAGCCTAATCTTCAAAAAGCCCCAATTGCCCCAGCGCTCTTCCTTCGCGGGAAGCCAGAGAGTCTTACCAGTGCAAAATACCAGTTTGTAGCCCCGCCATTCGTCCCGTCTTTAGTCAATACGGAAATGGTGATACATCCCGCAATGAAGATCAGCAGGATCTGGAATATGTGCGCAACGACTTTGCATTTCTGGACATAACTCTGCGGGATCTGCATATTGTCCCCAGATTATGTTTTCCTCCGTCCCAGTTATCAAGTATGGTGCGCTTCGAGGCTTTTTAAGTGCGTTGGGTGGTAGGTAGTAGGGATTTAGGGAGTCGTAAACACAGCCGGGTTCGGTCGAGAGAGCTCCGCAGGGAACCACAGTACAATGAGGACGCCGTATACTGGAACACACTTAGCAAGAAGCAATATGTTGTCGATAAGGACTGAGTGCTGTAAGTAGCAGTGCGGCAACAAGGAGAAGGCAGGTTGAAAAGAAGGAGAGCGTCGATGGTTGTCAGGGAGCTTCAGCCTCACTACAGCTCAGCCTCCCTCCGCCGCGCAAAACACTGACCCCTAGTCGCGCCCATGCCAAGCGCCCTCCGCTATCCGGGTCGCACGCACTGCTGCATGTTTCCGGCGGCGCTATTCGGCCCCTGTCAGCGGTTTGGGTGAAGGATAAGTCAGCCTTAGCTATAAATAGTAAGGTGTTGCGCTAGAGACCCTGCGTCAGGGGATTGGAACCGAGAAACGCCACAGCAGTGGCTGATGGTATAAGCTCGGGTATTTCCTGTATGGGGTATGTAATTCGCATAATGCCATCATTCGAAGGGCTTTGGGGCTTGGTTCTTCAGCTTCTCGCATCCTTAACTGCTGTGGTAATGGATGAACGATGCAGCCGACATCCTAAAGATAAGTAGTGTGCGGGACTTTCACCAGACTTGGACGTTGCAATCAGCCTCGTCATCTAGCTAGACAGCCATTTCCCTGGAACGGCACTATAATTTTGCAAGACAGTCGCCCCTGCTAACATCACAAAAAATCAATTACATATTGTCCGTAACAGCAAAAAGTTTAGATTGCGCAAAACGGCAGTCGGTTTCTATCTTAAAGACATGTAGGGCCTAAATCAAGTCACTATTCTTTTCATTCCACCATCACCCAACTCTTCGAGAACGTCCTGACTTCGATCATATCGAAGCATGTTTTCAGTCTAAGTCAAAGCCCCTCTTCAAATTCCGGCTTTGCGCGGGGACTGTGAGGGATTAGAATCGAAGATCGTATAAAGGGAGAGATAGTCCGTAGATAGTTGTGTGGACTTGTAACTCGGTCCGTGTCGATATTGTCGATATTCGGTACAAAAGATGAAGCCATACTCCTCAGTACAGACCCTCCCCACAATATCATATCGCTTCAAACCGAATCGAAATCCACATGTATCGCCCAATGTCCCAAACGCCGTGCAATGCAAGCTCCCCCATGCCGTATCCCAGACAAGCCCACTTCAACCCTCCTCCATCTCCTCCTAGCCCCCTACCTCCCCTTCTGCACCAACTGAGCATCCAACTCCTTCTTCAGCTGCAGCAAATCCGCCTCTGCAGCCTCAAACTCCAACGCCTGCCCCACCCACTCGCTCGCCTCCTCCACCCTACCCATCTCCTGCAAGCACTTCCCCCTCCGCCACCACGCCTTCGCATTCCCGACCTTCTTCATCTCAACACTACTCTCCGCATCCAGCGCGCCCTCCACCCACTGCTGCAAGCTCATGTGCGCCTGCGCGCGGTTCGCAAACAGCGCCGACACCTCCTCCCGCACCAAGCCCGAGGGCTCCCACCCAGGCCGAGCCAGCGCCATATCAATCCCAACACTGTACATGCGAATCGCTTCGGGGAACCTGTTCTTGCGGAAGTCGGCGTTGCCGCTCTCGCGGAGCTTGGTGATTTGCGCGCTGCGTTTTGGGACGACGGGGAGCGGGGGCGGGGGAACGGTGTGGGGGGCCTCGAGGCTGAGGAGGGAGCGGTGGAGCTGGTTGAGGGCGGTGAGTTCTTCGGTGAGAGCGGTGGAGGCGGGGATTGCGGAGGAGATGGCTTTGGTGGTTGGGTCGAGAGTGAGGGGGAGGAGGGTGAAGGTGTCGCTGGTTTCCATTTTGGTGGGCTTTGTGTGGGGTTTTGGTTTGGAAGATTGGTGATAGAGAGTTGTGAGGTTGAGATATGTGTGGTGTGTGGAATCTTTGAATGGTTTTTGAGAGGACACTTCTCGATCATGAATTGGAGTCGATCGCGGAAAATTAATTACCGCTAGTGTGCTGAGTCATTGAGCGTAATGTAAACTGTCCCCCTCCTACCCTTTCATCTCATCTCCTACCACCTGCACCGTCGATATATCATTCGACGACAACCTTTCTATTGTTGTTCCACGTGATCCATCGTAAGTATTGATTCATGTGGGCAGCTAAGGTGATGCAATGCTTCTTCTCCCACTTCCACCAAGGTTCAGACCAGAGTTTCATAATAACCTCCCTGAGTGAGTCGAGCTCCTCATCTTTCAGAGGTAACACATTTTCCTGCTCCTGGAGACAGACCTTGTCCCTCATTTGGCAGATGACATACGTACAGCGATAAGTGAGCTTAGCCCACTCGTTCAAATCGATATCGCTCTCAAGTTTCATGTGTAGCATCATAGGAATTGTGAACTCCACCAACGGGTCATCCTCTGCTTTCTCATACAGTTTCCTCAGATCGACCTCCTTCGGGGTGATGCCCCTCTCGAACCGCCGTAGGAAACATCGCATAAGGTCACGCCGGAGGTCCTTCATTGTGCGCCCGTCTGCGAGATGCGCGTCCGACGAAGGCGCGTACGCGAAGAGGTAGAAGTCGATCAGAAAGCAATCACCGTATCGATCGTCGTATCCATTCCCGGCATCCAGCGCTTCGAGGGGCTTGTTCCTATCGACCCAATCCCGAAACCAGAGAAAAACTTGAAGGGAAACGCCTCGAATCCTGACCTCACACTCGGAAATCTCAACCAACTGGTAGCCAATGTCTTCGTTCATTAAACTCAATAGCTGTTGGAGTAAATCTCTCCTGATGTCTAGTGGACCATCAGATCCAAGATAAAGATGCGGCGCAAGACTCTCTACGTGGACACGGATAGAAGTTGCATCCTCAACATCGAAATTCCGATTGCCAAAATGAAGGCCCAGGGTCCCTGATTCGGGTGCCGCGCTCGTCATGGCAACTTGAAAGGTTGTAAGTCTTCACCTTCAGAGCAAAGACTACTATGCTTAGAATCCTCCAAGCTAGCACACTGAGGATATTGCTACAAGATAAATCTAGTAATGGTTTGCTCTTGAGAAGCTCCTAGAAATGAAATTTCAGACACAAACCGACGGGAGCTTGAGCCTGCAGCAGTAGGACAAACTTCAATGCGAAATTAGACCAAAATTTCCTGAATAGAGTTTGGGTGATGAAGCGAAAGACATGACCACCGCTGGCATCTTTGGAACGTAAAACAGAAGAGATCACGAAGGAGACTCAAAGTATAGGTGATCTATCGTAAGTTATACATGCAAGTCCATCATATTCTGTGAGGGCGTGGAGGTGCATTTAGAGTTATTCAATGCAACCTTGCATAACCTATGCAAAAGCACAATTTTCCCGTGTGGTCTAAATGTTCCATTCATTTTCGAATCCTAAATCAACCAACACCGACTGCATCGTACTTTGCCCTTGGGAGTAGTGGAGTGAGCAGTCTTCTTTGCTTTCTGGGTGCTGGAGCATCAGGCAAGTTATATCTGCTGCCCGGAGGCATGTCTCAAATCAGGGTATCTTTTGTTGCGTTTTCCCACTCTTTCAACTCGTCAAAGCTATTCTGACGGTCGCGATTGGAGTGAATGAAAGTCCAGCACGTCGTATCCATGTTTGTAAGACCCATCTTAAATCGGGGCATATCTCGATTTGTTCTAACTGCTCTCTAAACACGTTGAAGCCACTCTCGCAGTCGCGCCCAGAGATAACATCAACCACGACATTCCTTTGGTTTGGCGGCCTGGTCCGCAGGTGAAGTGTCTATAACATCCAGATCTAGGCGTGCTGTCTTGCGTTTTGCCTACTCTCGGAGCACTCTGAAGCCACCCTGACATAGGTATCTGCGGTGAAAACTCAACGCTTTATTCCACATTTTCAAGACAAGCTCCGAAGGCAAATAGCTTGGCAAAGTGAAACCCTCATAAGATAGCAGTGACATCTATATCAAGGCGTGTCTTGCTTTATTTTGCACACCCGTTAAATCTGTTGAAGCTGCTCTGACGGCGGCAACCAGAGTGCAACTCCAACACGTGAACTCTCTGATTTCAAGGCCCAGTGCAAAGGTGAATCACTCAGCAAGGGAAAAAGGTACCTCCTGCGCCACAGTCACTGCAGCCACAAACATTGCATCCCCGACGACGCCTCTATTGAAGCCGCGGGAATCCAGTCTTCACACAACAACACACTCTCAACACCTCACTCACACCCACACCATATCCACACCTCACCTACTACCACTCCAGCATGCCACAACTTAGGGTGCCGCAGCAATCAAGGCTTGTCCCGAGAGCACTGCCCGGAGCGCGCCATCCTTCTACCGGTCAGTCTCAAATGGTGGCAATCTCACACCTCACGTACACGGAAATTATTGTAGCATTGAAGGATGTTCTTATACTAGCGCCTCCCGGAAAGTTGTTCAAGCCGTCGACTATGTCTGGTTCCAAATTCCGCGATATCCGCTCCTCGTCGGCCTGGGTGCTGTACGAACTCAACCAGATATCCGAAGAGGAATGCTACGCCATGCTTTGCGACCAACAATTCCCGGAACTGACCCCAAAAGCTATACGCATAGCGGTTGCCGAGTCGCTCAAGAGTGTTCATATCAACTATACCCTCCTCAACGCGCTACAGAACATCAAGGCCCAGTCGGAGGGGGAGAACTTCCAGAACGGGACGAAGAGTAGGCTACGCGTGATTGGGGTAGCCAATATCTCTCTGCCAGAGTGGACCGCCCTGCGCTCACGTCGGCATTGGAAGATTTTCTGGGACCTCTTCGACACCATAATCACGTCTTGGATGGTTGGTGCACGGATGCCCGATCTGGCTTTCTTCGACCACGCGGAGACAGCGCTGCAACTAGATCCATCAACAGCTATCTTCATAGCGCTAGAGTCGGAGCTCGTTCTGGTGGCGCGTGCCGAGGGCATGAAGGGTCTACACTTTGAACACACAAAAGAGACAGTGAGACAGCTTCTGAACACCTTTGGAGAGCCAGTTCAACGAGGCAACGATTTTCTGAAGGATAACGCGCGGAAAATGATGTCGGTCACTGACGCGGGTGTTGTCACGTACGATAATTTCTCGCAGCTTCTCATAGCCGATCTAACGGGCCAGGAAGATTTCAGTAGCTTCGCACTCAGGAGAGATGCCTTTCATGCCTGGACTTTCTTCATGCCCGACATGGAAGGGCCCCTTGAGTGGCACCCGCAAGACGTCGGCACCACAGTACTCGCACTTCTGACCTTGAATTTCAACGAAGGACTTGTGGAGGGAGTCATGAGCGCCATCCAGTCCGAACCTACAGTCGACGGCATTGCTGGAGCTCAAGTCCAATGCAGTAAGCTCTACGGCTCTCATCCTCCTATCGCCGATCCAGTCACCTGCGTTAATGTCCTCCGTCTGTTCTATCGCTATGGCCGCGGATCCGAAGTCCACAAGACCTTCGAATATGTGATGGCTATATTCTGGAACCGGGCGTACATAGACGGTACGCCGCTGTTTCCGCATCCCGAGATGTTCCTTTACTTCCTCACCCGCTTCATCGTCGAGAGCCCCGATAAGTACGAACTCTACCGCCTTATCCCGAATATGGAGAAGCGACTCCAGGAGTTCATCGGATGGCCCAAGGACGCGCTGGGGCTCGCGTTGAAAGCCTTGTCTCTCGAGATGCTCAAGATCGACAGCCGCGTCTATACTGCCGATATAAAGAAGAAACAATGCGAAGACGGCGGATGGGAAGCCGACACATTCTGTACCTACGGTAAAGACCGTGTTCGTCTCGGCAATCGTGGTGTCGCAACCGCTTTTGCTGTGAAGGCGCTCTGTGGGTGCCTACCACGCGAGTCTGGGAAGACGCAGTTCCTCCAAATCGGCGACCTGGACGACAAGAAGATGCTAGAAGAGATCGAGGAGGACATTCGAGATCTCGAGAGCATAGCAGAGTTCGCCGTCCCCGGAGACTTTCACTTGGCCGTCCTCGTTAACGAAAATGCCTACGAATCTGGCGTACGACTCGAAAAAGACCTCCAGGCCTTCATCTACCCTTATCACTTGGCCTATTACAACTTCGTGTGGGGTCAGGTTGCACGCTTGCGGCAGCTGTTCTGGCACATTGCGGCCCAGCCAAAACGTCTGTTCAACTTCGCGATGCGCACTCTCTACAACGCTATTCACGCTGGAAACCGAGCTATCCAGTACATCGCGCTCCACGACTGGATGATTTTCCTCGTCTTTGGCCCCATTGTCTCCGCCGTCCTGCAGGGAGAGGCCTTGGATATCACCTACGATTTCGATGCTGCCTTCACCGCTGCGTTCTGCCTCGACATTATGATGGCGCTTTGGCTCTACAAGCCCGGCGGACTTCTTGCGGAGGCAGAGCACGGCCCAATAGCACGCTACGTTGAAGGCGCGTTCGACAAGGAGACGTATCTGGTCCCCTACACGGCATGCTGTGGCTTGTTAGCGCACTATGGTGGCCGTACTCGTGGCTACTTCTTCGCGAAGGTGCAGAACATTGGCGAGAATATCAAGAGCGTCGGTGAGAAGGTGGTAGCGATGACGCCGCCTCGTGTGTATGAGGTTCTGGAGGAACATGAGGACGGAGAGGGTAGGGTGGTCCGGAATCTGGAGCAGGAGTTCCGGGCCGTGAAGGACTGAGAAGGTGGTGGTGATTAGACGAATTCTTGGCCTTTTGGTAGGTATTTAGGCCTTTTTGGGGTAGGCCATGCTTTGAGTTGCATTGCGACGGACGAAAAGTGGGGCGTCTTTGGGATAGAGATGTCTGGATAGTGCCCCAAGCAATGGTAATGATAATAAGCTCAAATTGAGTCGATCCTTCAGTCATATTAAGTACCCCGATCGCCTTTGAAGGACCTCCAGACGGCGCTATCTGCTTGCCAAGATATCACCCAACTTGACGGGAAATACGAGGTTGACTACATGGATGAAGCAACTAAACCCTAGATTAGCTCAGCAACTGATCTTTTTGAAAGCATTGCTCCCCCTTCGAGGTTCTTCAGACAGCAGTACCCAGTTGCCAAAGGATCAATGACAAGTGACGACATAGGGACATCAGAGTAATGACTAACCCCCGAGTTCCAGATTAGCTTCACTCCTGGATTACTTTGAACACTCTAATCCTCCTTTGAGGCTCTCTAAACAGCGCTACCTGCTTGCCAAAATGTGTGAATATAGGGAGCAGACTTTTGTGAAATAAGCATTTCGTCATGTATTTATTATGCTCGCCACTTCAATACTGCACAACGATTATCGCAACTCTCAGGAATCTGAACAATGAAGGTAATATGTCACATCTCGAGACTTGTATATTGAATGTTAGGTAGTAGCGGTGAGGGACGGCCACGGCAGGCACGTATCAGCTCTTGTATATAGTCTCACCTTCCTCCAGACGTCTCTCTCTTCTCTATCATCATCATCCAATACATCGCGTACACGGCATACAACTCCTTGTTTCGTGGCATTGAGCAGACATTCCCGCCATTTTCAATTTCCAACCCCTTTTTATCAAACATAGGTACATCAAGCCCCCAAAACCACAATCCAAACTTAAAACCATGGTTCCAGCCAACGTCTTAGAAGACGAGTCCAACACATCCTCCTACTACCTCCACCAATGGCCCCACAAGTCTCTACTTTGGCAGGCCAGATGGGGAAACCCTCCAACCACGGCGGCTCTTAATCCTAATATGCACATCCCAGTAGAACCTAGCACCGATGGCCCACGCAAGCCTCCCATCTCCGTAATCTCATCCACCAAGAACGAGAAAGGCAACCTTACGATCATCTACAAAGAAGAGGCCCCCAAAACCAAAGTCAGCACCAGCAACCCTACGCGCGAGCTCGATCGCGACCAAAAAGCCCCGGCCTACATCAACGCTTTCAATCAAACCAAGTCCACTCTCTCCGCTTTTACCACTCTCTGGAACGACTGCGGCGCGGATGCCGAGACCTTCGGCTATCGCGCTGACGGCCGCCTCCAAGGTGGATGCTATCTTCTTGGATCCGGCTCCAGCTTTCTCATATCCTCGATGAGTTGATCACAAAGGCTATTAACTTGGGGTAAGCGACGAATGAATTCTACAGAATTTCACGTGGGAGATGTGGCCGCAGTGGCGGATTGAGGATGAGAGATATGGGTGTGTCGGTGCCGCTTTGTATGTCATCAATAATGGCGAACCGAAGGGGACGCTCTACGGATTGTGGGCAGACGGTAGAGGAGCTTGCATGGGCCAGAGAGATGAAGCGGGTATGGCGAGGTGGCCAACTGAAGAGCCGCTGATTGAGGAAAAGGGGAAGCGGTACAAGCGCCCTGGTGAGCGTGACGTTTAATCCGTAGAATCTGGGGCGTTGGGCCAATGGTGCTGTAAGATCCGATAGCCAGCGCCGTCGTCTTGTACGCGGCCACCTACTCCCAACTAAATAAATACCTTTAGTTGAACATCGAAGTATCTGCGCGAGGGATCATTGTTGATATCCTTTTTCCGGGAGTCTGACTGAAGGCCCTTAACGAGATAGCTTATAGGCCATAGCCGCGCTCTACGGTGATAGAATTGAATTAGAGTAAACTGGATGAAGCCTTCAATCCACCCGGTCCACCATAAACCACTGTGGAACTCCAGGAGCGGCAGCAGCTCCATGGTAACGCTGAGGTAGTAGGCATTTACTTAAAATACCTGATGGATTACCGTAACATGGGAAAATGGTTAAACGGTAAAATTCGATAGGTATAGATGCATTGCCGTTTCCAGCTTATGCTTAGTCATTGCAGTCGCATCTTCTCACTGAACCAAAGGTTGTAGGATATCGATCGTATCACGTGAATATCACGTGCTTTGGACATCAAAACGTCAGCCTAAACATCATATATATATCTACATATATACAAACCTGTTGAAGCGCTGGAAGCATCCATCCAACGCATCAAATCTACGCGGTCCAAATAGAAACTGAGTCCAATCCGATGCTTTGTGCGAGTGCCTCCATCCGGACCACATCCAAATAGCTCCATTTCCATTTCATCACTGGCTGCACATACAATGGCCTGGTTTCGTACTCACAAGCCCTTGCATACAACTGCAATCTAACTTGTCCCTCATCTAGATGCATCAGATTCACTAGCAAATTCACTAGCATTGAGTCGAGTGTCCACCATTCACTTGAACAACGGATGCTGCATTGTGTATCCAGAGATTCATATATAATCCTACCAACATATGGACCTTCACCCCCAAACCATTCTTTAGCCAAGAATTGCAAGGCAGACCAACTCTGTTAAGTACACTTCGCACCTTAAAGTCGCACGAAAGCCAAAAACAGGGGAAGTTTCAAACAACGGAAGCGAACTCAACCGAAGTTTCCGAAACCGCAACATGGTTATGAAGACTACGTACCTCTATCCCTCCACCTACACGAACACATTTCCCTCCTCAGAAAATGACCAAACGGGGTCTTACCTAAACGCCTTGTCCCGTGCAAAAGGCAATGCTCCCGCACTGGCCGCTCTTTGGATCGCCTGCGGCGCCGAAGCAGAAGCTCTCGGCTATCGCGCAGATGGTAATCACCAAAACGGCATAGATGCTTATTTCTTGAGGCTGCAGCTCACCCGCATCCTCGGTCAACTGGTCGCAGCAGCGATGGAAGCCGGTAAGGACGACAATTGGATCCAAGAGCGCTTTGCTTGGGAGATGTGGCCCGAGAGTCGCATCGCCGAGTATAATCGCGGTTGTGTTGCTTCGTCTATCTATGAGAACACTTATGGGAGGCCGGAGTATGGACACTTCTAGCTCTGAGTTGAACGAGCATTGCTTAGCTGGAGTGGCTGTTTGATTGAATGACGGATACTAGCACCGCGATATATGTAGCGTCGTTGAAGCGGCAAGACTGGAGCTAGAAGATGCTGATGTCCACTGTTGAACCAGCATCTGGGAATTTCTCTGGAACCGTAATAGGTACCTGAGGCCGGCTTCTCCAATGCCAGCTTACTACAAATTGAAACCCTTTCACAAAAACCAATGAGTACCAAAAAGGATGAATCGTGACTAGAAATGAAATACTATACCTGGTGTCTGAATAAAGCTGTGATGCCCCCACCTCTGAACCACGGCATTACTTCAAACCATTCCCAGAGTCTTTCTAGTGAGTGTATTGCTCTGCGCACCCTAGATCGACCCCGTACTCCTATAGCATGTATAGCACGTTAAATAGCTTCAAACCTAGAGCAGGTGATTTGTATAGTAACTTTTCCCACGTAGTAAACAAAGTAGACTCCTCCACACCCTCCCACAAAGATCCCCAGTGAATGTCCCGCTCCGCCCACCCCAGATCGCGGCCTCAAGACGTGAGATGCTCCACATTCAAATTCCCCCCCTTCACCACCCACCAATGCACGGGAAACAGTACCAACGGCGGCAGCACCGCCGCCACCGCGAGAAACACTAGCAGCCACGCGCAGAACTTGGCCGGCCCCACCGCCTCTCCGTACTCCCTCGCCCGCGGATCCGCCATCATGTCTTCGCGCGTCATCCCCAGCGCGGTCGCGACGAGGTCGAGGTTCTTCTCGCAGATGCCGATGGCGTCGATGAGCTCGAGCAGGCGGGTCGTCTGGTAGGCAGAGTCGGTGTGCTCGCGCGCGAAGCTGACCTTGCGGTATTTGAGCCCGTTGTATTCGAGGATGAGGTCGCGGGCGTCGGCCCAGAGGTCGCGGGGGGTGTCGGAGAGGGGTACGTTGACCATGGAGGGAATGGAGAGGTGTTTTTCGGATTTGGTGGTGGGCGAGTCGGACTTGAGGTCGTCGGACTTGAGGTCGTCGTACTTGAGGTCGTCGTACTTGAGGTCGTCGGAATTGAGGCCGTCTTCGAGGAACTCGCTGTAGATGCTGGTGTAGCTCTCGGTGGATTTGGAGGACGTGGGACGAGGGCCGGGGCTTGGATTGGTGAAGTTGTCGTTGGTATGCGACGCCATGGTGAGTTCAAGGTCGGTGGTCGCTGAAATGGTGGTGATAGCTTTTACGGTTTGCCGTCGCGTGAATGTGGGCTTTGATTTCTTTGATTTGGATTGGGAGCTGGAGAAAGTGGGAAGTTAAGCATGAGTGTCGACGAAAGGTGAAGTGTGGGTACGGCAGAACTGCGTGGTCACGGAGTGCAATTAAGGACATATCGGCTGACCTTATCACATGACCTTAACAGCGCAGCCGCGGAGTGTGACACTTCGCCGCATTGTTCAGAAGAACTTCACTACTCCATCAGAGCACTCAGCACTGACACGAAGTTGGCCTGACTCGGGTTCTACAAGGGTGATCAGGTTTCGAAAGGGTCAAAATTGAATGACCACATATCCCCGAGCGTCCAGTCATCCACAAAGTCAAAGCCGTCCAACGGCCCGGCCAAGGGATCCGGAGGCTGCTGCTGAAACGGAGTGATCGCGTCAACTGGCACATTCAGCGGTGGCCTCGAGAGGCTTTCTTGCATTGCAAGGATCCTGTAGTAGAGCTTTGATACCCGATCCGTGGCCTGCAGCTTATAGATGCTCGCGAGCTCGGGGTTGGTGCGAATTTGTACGAGACTGAAAGCTGCGCTGACAAACCAGAACATGTGAAAGCCGCGGCCGGGGCGCATGGCTCGTTCTTCGAGGATGCGGAGGGCTTTGTCCATCGCTTCAACGAAAAGGGTTGTAAGAGTCCGGGAGAAAGTATCGACTAGGGACGTCAGCATTCTTTTTTGGTCATTTTCGGTTGACTCGCAACATTGTTGGAGCCGGGTTAAGCACTGAAATGAAGTCATAGAATGGAACGCAACGCAGTCTGGCTTGGAATGACACAGGGCTAAAGACTCCAAGGAAAGGTTCAACCTCTGCGTCATTGACTCTGGTGATACTACCAGGAAGGACTCAAAGAAAGGACTAAATAGATACGTCAAGAAAGCGGAAGGCACTTGGCATCAGCACGATTGAGGTCATTCCACAAAGGAGGAACAGTAAGCATGTCCAAAGAAACGAAGGAAAAGGTTGAGCTCACCCTTCCCAAAACTATCCCTAAACGACATTTGGCAAAGCAGAAGACTCACACGCACATGATCTTGCCGCATCAAACACAACGCAAAGTTTCCGACCTCGATAAGCTGCACATGCGCATCGACCATCGCGATACACGCATCGAAGCAAACAGTGCGGGAGTATCGGCTGCGAGAGTACGCTTCTGGGCCCTGCTGTAAGAAAGGGCTGTAGAGCATCGTCAAGAACTGTCTGAGCTGGACGTTGAGCAGCGTACGTGCCTGGAGGGCGCGCGGTTCTTCCCATTGTGGGATTTTTCCTATGGCATCCATGATTCGTTGTTCGCGTTGCAAAAGGTCATCGAAGTTTGCCCGGCAGTCTTGATCTTGGACCGTAGAGGAAAGCTTCATTCTTGATAGTAATGTCCGATATGAGTGATGGAGGTAAGAGGTATCTGTGAATTCGTCTAGAGGTTTTGACTGCGGAAGCGCTGCGTCGTTCTCGCCGAAATCCTCATCGTTGATATTCGCCGGTGGCGGGCAGTCGTAAAGAACGGCGACTAGCATAGAGGCTGTACCTCGATCAAGAGATGCTTGTAGTTCTATCTCCATAGTAGTGGCCCACATGCGCCGTCGCATCTCCGCTTCGAACGGCGTGCATCGACCAACTAAGAGACTCGGATTTCGATGCATTCCTGCGGACTTCATATAGATTAGCAGGCCTTCTGCTTGCACGTAGTACTCCTTCGTCTTCAGGCAATTAACCGACGCCGCTATGACTCGTAAAATGCGGATTTGGTAGGTTGCAAGGGTCCGGTGCTTGTTGCTTTGCGCCCTGACCCAGGCATCGCAGGCATGGATCCATGTCGTTGCTTGTTCGCGGCACCATGAGCCATTGGGTGTAAAGCGTATGGGTTCTTCTGGTGACGTGCAAAGAACGCATGCCATAAGTAAGAGAAGTACCACAAGAAACTCCGGCAGGGTGCCATCGGGGTCATCCCAAAATGCAGCATATCGAGCCCAGAAGGTGGGTGCGTGAAGAATACGATATGTGGTTTCAAATGTGTCAAAGTAGAGCTTACAAAGACGGTCAGCTTGAGAACGTGATGGTATCAATTCGAGCAATTTTGCGTAGGGAGGGGTAGTCCACGCAGAGGCGTTCTGGTTAACCCGAGCCTCAAGGGCCCTGCAATCGCGCTGAAGGCGCTGGAGCGTGGAATTTGGATATATTTCTTTCATTAAGATTCTCACTTCAGGAAACTGTCTGAACGTTAGCTATTTTGAACTGTCGGTAAATTTGCTGAGTCAACTCCATTCAACGGCAGATCAGTGTACACAGATGAAGTATGTGTTTTATTGCTCTGCATTCCTTTCGATACTTCGAGGCTCCACAAGCACTAATCAAAGAGTGTACACAAGTTAAGACTCACGTGGGTAAGGATACTGAGAGGGCTGCTAGAACCGTAGAACTGCGTCTTGTAGCCGCGACCCTTGAAGAAGCCGTCATCCAACGAGCTTGCTCCTGGGTATTTGGATTCAAATTCGTTGGCTGGGTAGGAGCGATCTAGGCCGGATGGGCCGTCGTTGAGGGGTAATTGACTTTCTAGTGCCACGAGACGTGCTTTCAGTTGGTGTATCTTTTCGTCTTTCTCCTCCACTCGACCATCATGTTTTTGCTCGGGGAACGGTAGTCCCGTCAATTTCCCGCCACCTAGAACGATTCCATTCTTCTTTGTTGGTCGCCCACTCTCGGGATTCTATTGAGACATGGTCAGTGAAATTTCTCCAACAGCGCCCAGTCATGAGTGCATTGAAGTTCAACATCTACAATCTTGAGCTTCAGCCATGATGAATACGTCCGCGTAGATAATTGAGATATTGTTGAGATGGTCTTGCGGAGTGGCTGATTGTGTTAAGCGACATGGCTCAGATCAGTGAAAGTGTACCGAGGCGCTTCAGACAGCCGCAGGCCAGTGTGCACAGATCCGTGGCCATCATACAGACTCTCTTTTGCTACCGCTTGGGGTTACTCCAAAATATTTTCAGTTCCTCCCGGAGCTTGCCCTATTTGCGCGGCAAAGAAAATGACATCTCGGAAGAAAATTTGAAAGGCCTTTCGAGCCACCTCAGACTGCAGTAAGAGCAACGGGACATTTCAAAATATCACTTACAATCTCTCGTTCATCTGCGTCTTCAGCAGATTCTTGCACCTCGTCATCGGCGTGAGATATCTCATGCCAGTTATACGCGCAAGTCTCCACAACACCACCTTTAATGCAGCGGTCACATGGCTGTTCTCTATCACACTTCAACTTGCGCCGCCGGCAAGCATTGCACGAAACCACTGCTCGCCGCTTTCGCTTTCGCTTCTGCTTCATATCCGAGTCCTCGGAGGCAAAGCGGGCATCGATGGAAGGTGCTGTTACTGCTGTAGTATCCATTGCCGCAAGCGCTTGGCACACTTAGAATAGAAAGAGGTAGTGAAGTTATCAAAAGATCAGATTAGATCTTGGTACATTGTCCGAGATGGAGAAATAGTGGAGGAAGAAGGAGAATATGACTTCGGCGAGCTCGGAGTGCGGAGATAATGAAGTTGCAGAAGGCCCGTGTGTTTTGTATTTAATTGGTTGTTCCCCTTGCTAAATGCTGACAAGGGGAGCACTACGCTATATGAGGATTGGCGTACCTTGCATTTCTCGGATATTCCAGTCGTGTCGGACACTCGGATATCAGCCGCGAGTACTGATTCTGATACGATATTATGTGAAGAAGCGGCATTTAAACTGTGGAGTTCGAATGACTTCATACCACTGTCGATAACGGCTCAAGTGCACAGGCTGTAGAAATCCGAGAATCTTGTACTGTTTCTAATTTCCGAAAGTTCGTTGAAACACCTTTGATAGTAGTAGAGACGCACAATGCACGTCTCAGACCTTTTCAGTCATCTTCATGCTCTTAGCAGCCATGCACAACAGAATACAACACCTTCGTCGCTCTGGTAGTGTCGTAATGGAGCAGGCAACCCCTTCAGTGTATTGGTAACTTACCAGGCGAATCCTTCACTAAATGAGGATACCTTCGCATCAGAACCCTGAAAATTATGACTCACCACTATCTCCACTAAAGAGTATCGGGCAGGTCAGAAAGATCTGATAAAAATAAGATCTGATAAGAAATCCTGCTTCATCCGTTGCGAATGTACTCCGAGATGTAGGCAGTCCGAGGGAGTTGGAAATTTGACTACTTAATCTTAGAGATCCTCCTTGAAAGAATGATACAGCTGCTCTTGTATGGATATCGAATCTGTGGAATCATGACAATCAGAAATTTTGACGAAGAAAAAGCGGAGGTGGCTTCTGTCCACGTGACCGATGAAGAGCGTGGACGAGAGAAGAGCGGGAGCCTCGTTAACGCAAATCCAGGTTCCGAAACGGCTGACCCATTACTCGTACGTTATGCCATTCTTGTTCTTATCCCTCACTTCCTTTCACATCCTCTACTATTCATCGAATTCTTCTTTTCCAGGCTCCCTTCGCATCCTTCAACTTTCCTCTATAATAAACTCTACATTCCTTCTCCATTTTTCATCTCTTCCCGCAGTCCAATTCTCACACGTTCTCTCGGTTTCCCATTTCTCGTCAACTGTTTTCTCTATCCTAACTTCTCCAGGTCACATGGGCCTCCCCAACCGACCCCTCAAACCCCCTGAACTGGTCTCGCCCCCGCAAATGGAGCATCCTCCTGATCACATCTATAGGCGGCCTCGTTACTCTCATGTCCGGCGCTATGCTCGCGCCCGCCCTCAAGTCAATCGGCGCAGATCTCCACATGATGGGCGCCGAGACTGAGCTCGCACTGTCCATCTACGTTCTCGCCTTCGCACCCGGCCCGCTTCTGCTAGGTCCCTGCTCCGAGGTATTTGGTCGGCGCTGGGTGTGGGTGCTCTCTGGATCGTGGTATGTGCTGTGGAATACGGTCTGTGGGTTCGCGAACACCAAGGGGTTGATGATTGCGGCGAGGTTTCTGGCGGGGTTGGGGGCGAGTGCTGAGTTTGTGGTAAGTTTCCGATTCCCCTTTTCTAACCTGGGCACTTTGCTGATTGGCACTATAGCTATCCACCCCCATCTCAAGCGACTGTTTCCGCCCAGAAGAGCGCGGAAAGTCAATGGCCATAAAGCAATTCATTCCCCTCCTCGGCCCTGCCCTCGGTCCCATAATCGGCGGGGTGATCACCGACTCCCTCAACTGGCGCTGGATTTTCTGGGTCCTCTCGATCTTCGATCTCGTCGTCGTCCTCGCCGTCTTTTTCTTCTTCCCAGAGACCCACCACCCTACCATCCTCGCCCGAAAAGCAGCCGCCCTCCGCAAAACGACTGGACTGAAGTACTATTCCGCCACCGAAATCGGCAGTCCAACCTTGACGGATCGCTTGAGAGTAGGCCTCTCCCGACCGTTCCGCCTGCTACTAACCCAGCCCATCATTCAATTCATGTCGGTCTTCCTCTCCTACAACTTCGGCCTCCTCTACATCCTGCTCTCCACCTTCGCGACACTGTGGATTGAGCACTACCACCAATCCGTCGGCACCAGCGGCCTCCACTACATCGCCATCGTAATCGGCTACAGCCTCGCCGTGGTGGTGGGCGGACCCACCACAGACCGCCTCTGGGCGTTCCTCAAGAAGAAGAACGCCGGCGCCACCGCCCCCGAGTACCGCGTCCCCCTCATGATCCCCGGCGTCTTGCTCATCCCCATCGGGCTGTTCTGGTACGGCTGGGCCGCCGAAAGCCACCTACACTGGGCGATGGTGGATGTCGGCGTTGGGATCCTGGGATGCGGCTTCATTCTTAGCACTGTCGCTGCCCAGTCGTATATCGTGGAGGCGTTTCTGGAGTACAATGCTTCGGCGGCGGCGGCGAGCCAGGTGCTGCGGAATTTCTTCGCGTTTGCGTTTCCGATTTTCTCGCCGAGGATGTATGCTGTGTTGGGCTATGGGTGGGGGAATAGTCTGCTTGCGTTTGTGTTTTTGGCGATTGGGGTGCCGGCGCCGCTGGTACTTTGGAAGTATGGGGCTAGGTTGAGGGAGAGGGGGAAGCCGCAGCGATGAGCGAGTTGGTTTAGAGGATGGGAAGTGTTACATAGGATGGATTCTTCCTTGGATGGGTGTGGCGAGGTTCTGTGGGTGTCGATGTGTCTAGGGTTGAAGGAAATTACTCTGGGATTGAAGGAACCTCTGTAATTGAAGGACGGGGAAATATGAAGCTAAATGAGGAACGCGTGCGAAGGGAAGCTGAGTGGAAGACTGGAGTACGAAGGGCATTGGATCGTTGTCAGGGAGTAGCGGTGAGTGCCACGGCAGGCACGTGTCACCTCTTGTATATAGCCTCACCTTCCTCCAGACCTCTCTCTCTCCTACATCATTATCATCATCCAATAAATCACGTAGACGGCATACAGCTCCTTGTTCCGTGACAATCGTTATTTTAACAAGGTGTCAGCAACCCAAACTACCGAGTCAACTCCGTCATGTCAACATGCACTCTTTGTAATGCAAAAACGATTGAATTCTTGCCGAACATAAACTTTGGTGTCTGCGCTGATGTCAGCGTTGCGAGAATGAATTGGGAGAAAGTGATTCCGGGCTGGGAGCGGGAAGAAGTGAAGATGCGGAGCGGTTGAGGGGAGATGTGGGTTCGAGATGAGGGAGGAATGGAATTGGCCTTGGACAAGGAGAAGGGAGAGCTCAAGGTTGGGATCGAGGCTCTCTTTGACTGGTTCCTCCGGAAAGAGGTCAATTTGCAGTTCTTCCCGACTGTTCCGGAGAAGGCTGAAGAATACCTAGCTATGCGGGAGTGGTTTGCATTCTGGTGAGCGGGGTTGAAGGTGCTCTTCATTTCACGCGTCCCTTGTTCAGATTGCGCGGGGGCGGCATTGCTTCTGAGGGTCTCCTAGCCGTTGCGATGAGAAGAAATTCAGAATATCACATTCCGCATTCTCTTAATCACCCTTAGTGTCGGTTGCTATATTCCGTCCTTGGGATGTTTTTTGGAACTAAATTCCAGATCGTTCAAATGGACGAGCTTCTCTCTCGTTGAGATGTCTGAGAACACTCTGAACTTTGAAGCCGCTCAAACAGCGCTGAAGAGGTTTTAAACATACCGTTAGACGACTCAGTTCCAGCCATTGAAGCCATGTCTTGTTCTAATACCAGACCACTTTGCCCCTGACTTCATCCAACTCGGTCGGGCTCTTGGCCAGCAATTGCTCCAAGCACTCCCTGACCCTCTTCACAACATGCTTCCCATACTCTGGTCCGACCGGCGGTGCCGGCTTGCTCGGATCGTGACGCAGCCACGGAACCTGGACTTTGTGGTCTCTGACCGAGGCTTGCATCGATGCAACTGATGAGTCGTCGTGGCCGCCGCCTGCGATGATGGCAAATGGTGGCGCGGAGTAGTTGTGTGAGCCTAAAATAGGTTCTAATTCCGAGTTTTCGGCGGAGGGATCGGCGCAGGAGAGGATAGAAGGGAGAGCAGCGACGCCTACGCTAGTGGAGAGGATGACATGGATAACTGCGGGGTTTTTGCAACCGTGAGCAGTCAGTTTAGACAATGAAAGACTCTGAACAGTGTGAAGTCTGGAAGAAATCCGCATTTGAGGGGTTGAAAAAGATAACGAGCATAGAGATTGAATATCAAGGAATAATAAACAGGCCTCAGTTACCTTCATATTCAGGAGCAAGACCAGCTATAACGCTTTTTGCAGTTTCAGCCCGGGCGCCGCAGATCACGACAGGGATTGGAGCTGCGGTAGTCATAGTGGGAATTCCGCTGTTCGAAAAGATGTTCAAAGAAGGAACTTGATGAAATAACTTGAAGGATGGAAGAGACGTCGAGGCTTCTTGCAAGCTGGGCTTGCGGTCAGATCCTTACTGAGTAAAACCAATCTAGTTAGCATGGAGCTTACGAAATTAGCTATGGTAGTAAGTGTCAGACATCACTCAGTCGCTCCTGATACATGGGTATGGCTATGACAGTCAGGCTATGGTGTTGGGAGGGGATAAAGCCGTTGAATTTGGTCACGTGATATCTTTATCTTTGGAGCTAAATAATGGGAACGCCTCGGGAGAGCTTAAGCATATCTATTTTTGAAGGCTAAATTCCACGTGCGCTTGAAATATACAAAGGGGCTCGTCATGGACAACGACACCTGCATCGAACTTTCACACGTGATTTCGACCTCCGCGCTTCGAAACCTCTCCAACAAGTATCGGGACAGTGCGTCAACTATCGAGTCCATATGCGCCCAGTTCAGACTCTTTGGCGCTGTCTTCAAGAAGCTCGGGACTGTCTCGCGTCGAAAAAGGTGTTCCATCGAACCACATTTCAGCGATGAGCCTGAGCTCATCAAGGACCATTCCGGACCAATAGGGTATTATCTGGCTCGGCGACCTGCATTCCTTCTATCCTACCTCTTTTCAAGGAATGTCTTGGTCCTAAAGTTTCTTTGTCTCCTTGGATGTTCTTGTGTCCTCTCTTCTTCCCCCCACCACATTTGGGCCGCAGGATTTCTTTGTGTGAAATATCTCTAGCCTAGTAAGAACCATAGCCCGGCCTCGGAACAGTCGCACCTAGCTTCCTTCCTTCCTTGCAGTCTCTTTTAGGGACGCTACTAACGATGTCCTCTCATCAGCCGCCTGGAAGTGGATCATCCCAAGACTCACAGATAAACACCGTCCTCCCCGCTGCACCACCGCAGCCAGCGCAGGAAGCGCCGCAGGAGCAGTCAAGCGAACACAAGAACCTCGATGATCGAGACCAAAACCCCCCAGCTCTGATAGAAGAAGGCCCTAGCATCGAAGAGCCAGGAGACGACCACAACCGTGACCCGGAAGCCATCCCAACCACCCCACCAGAAGCAGAAGCCCTCGAGCGCCCCTTCGGCGAAGAGTACGACCCCAGCAACGCGCCCTCCCCCCGATGGGCCGACACCAACATCGTCGAGCTCGCCTATGACCCCTCCGCGCCCAAGCGCGCCAAAGTAAACACGCGGGAGATCGACCCGCACCCCGAAGCCAGGGCCGGGAACCTGGCCTATAGCCCAGATCAAGACCCTCGGTCTGTGGTTGACCCAAGCACGGATTTGGCAGGTATCCCGCTCGAGCAGGGCCAGCTGTGGTATCAGTGCGTGTATTGCGAGAAGTTTGTGAAGATCAGGACGATCGATGGGATTGTCGAGGGGGAGTGGAGAGTGCGAGAAAGTCTGAAGTGCAGGAATTGTGGCTGTAAGGCTATGTATAAGGTGAGGACGAGGAGGATGGTGCAGTTTGATACGAGTTGAACGGGTCGGCTTGTAGGCGAGCGAAGCAAAGGTGGAGAGAAGAGAAGGGCGAGGTTTATATTACGCGAAAAAATGGCTTTGGACGTATTAGGTTTGACGTTTACGCTTTGATGCAGACCGTGTGCCCAAATTTATGACTTGGGACTGTACTAAAACCTATTTTGATGCGTCCCGCTTCAACTCCACCTTGAATCGGTCATCGAATGGCCACTACTTCTTACCCCTAAGACCCTATTAGCGATCCGCAAAATACATCCTCGTAGAACCAAGCTCTACTTACGCTTTCGGATCTTTTGGCATAGGCATCCACTTGATTCCATAATCTCTGAGCCATCTCCAATACCAACGCTCCCCAAGGCTGAGATTGCCGGCTAAGGAAGCCATTCTAGCCATCTTCTTCGATCTTGAAATGCGCACTTGGGCGTACTCTTCTAACGCTGTGCGAAAGTTGGACTCTGCCGAAGGAGAATGGTTGAGGAGACAGTTGGCGAGGACGGTGGCGTCTTCAACGCCAAAGGAGGACCCTGCAGATGAGGTAAGTATAGTGGACGTACACTCCTAGGACAAAAGCTTGGCTACGCCGTGTTTTTCATCTGGTCCCGATTTATTATGAGGTGCTGAAGCACCTCCGAAGGCGGCAAGTGAGCCGACTGTGAGCTGGTGTAATTTCTCTCATTCAAGCTCGCAGGGACTTTCCATCATTTAAAACCTTTTGGAATGCACCGAAGCACCTCCAGCGGGGGTAAGCAACTGCACCGAGACTTGTGGCAAGGCACTGAATTTTTGGAATGGAGGAAATACGTGAGGGAAATAAGCTTACCTTGGCCACTACTTGGAAGCATCAATCTTGAAGCGTCACCAATCAGCACCATATTCCCGCATTGGATCTCGTTCGCCTCCTAAACTCGCTGACGTAGCGGACTTCGAATGATTCGCTCCGATGCCGCAATCAGTCTTCCAAATGAGCTCGTAGCTGGATGATACACGCCAGCGTGACGGTGGAGGATATCAATCGTCGAGTTCGTCGAGTAAGCATTAGGCACAATCCGTGACTCCCACCTAGAAATCATATCTTGCTCGACCTCAGCGTCTATCTCTTCCTCGGCCTTTGATTTCGAGTGCTCCGGCGGACTCGCCTCCGGAATAAGGAGATCCCACCTAATCTTCCCACCTGGCAGCGGCGACATCGACAGAGTCCCCTGATCTAGCCATATCCCATGCGTATCCGCCGCGGCCTCTTTTTCTACACCTTCAACTACTAGTGGTGCTATTTTAGGTGAGGAGATTCCATAAATCCCCGTTGCGCCCATAAAGTCTGGCACCCACCTCTCCTCCGCCGTACTCTCATCCCTTCTCCTCAAAATCGCCCTTCGAACCTCCGACCACGCACCCTCTGCTCCAACTAATAAGCTGACATTCTCGCCTTTGCCACCTTTAAATAAAACCCTCACACCCCCCGTATCACCCACTTCTTCCACCTTTTCTAACTTCCTTTCCCACACCACTTCCCCATCTAACTCTACTACTTTCTTCAGCAAGATCTCTTGCAGGTGCCGCCGCTCAATAATCCGCATATTCGTCCCCAGCTCCGTGCTCCAGGTCGGGTCCTGCATGCGATTCAACCGCACGGCCGGTGCTGGCTGCGCTGCCTCCACCGCTTCGTCCGGGGAAAAGGCAGGAGCGCCATACCCCGAGCGCCAGAAACTCACACCCGTGAACTCTTGACTTCGCGCATCAATGGCAGCGCGTAGACCGAGAGCGTAGAGCGGCGCGAGGCCGTTGCCTGAAAGGGCTATTGCTGCGCCGGCTGTTTGGAGAGTTTTGGCTGACGGTGAAGATGGAGAAAACGGAGATGTTGGATGACATGAAGAGGGGAATGGATCTGGGGTTTGGTCCCAGAGTGTAGGTGTATACAGCTCACGGAGGACAGGGTGGGTGAGGATTTGCAGGGCGAGGGTAGGGCCTGAGATGGCGGCGCCCACGATGCCGATTTTGCGGCGGACGGCGATCATGAGGAGTTGAGTTGATGAGAGGCAGGGAGAACGGATAGAAAAAGGCGAGATACGAAGGAAACTAGATTAGAAACATAAGAAGCGAGTTGAGTGCATATGAGGAGATCATGAAGATACACTTGGAATAGAGAATGAGGACACTGAATGCAACCGCTACTGTTTAGAGTCGTTGTAAAAGAAGAATGGCCAAAAGGTTCAAGAGGGCGGGAAGAGCTAATGTGTAGGTAGATAAAAGACACTTAGCTTTGGACCTAGCCCGAAGAAGTCTTATGCAGTGCTCTAGGGATGCCACGCGTACCTAGGTGTAGTTGATGAAGGAGTCGTCTCGGATGGCTTACGAGTCATGCTGGAAAAAGAACACACGCTACGCGACTAGCGTCGGCAGGGAAGCGAGCTGTCAGGGGAGACGGCAGGCAGCAACCTCCTAAAAACTCAACTCCGAATGCCGCAGATAACGCAGATGAAGATGCGATACCGCCGTAGGAGTTGCCATATCACCGTCCGATTGAAACACGTATAACACCCAAGCCCTTCGCACTAGGTTACGCGTGCTATGTACGCAGAACATCTTCATGTCTTCTGAAGCCATCTGAGACAAATTCGTCGGCATGTCGTTCTCTAATCTCACCGACGTCGCTTCATTCTGCACCGCGCACGCCGACAAAGTCTTCGGCCCGGTAGTCAACCCTGCTTGTCGCCATGGCTTTGATTTCACCTTGTTGTTTGAGCAGTCGATCCTTTCAATTGGGCCCTCGTCCATCTTCCTTTTGCTCGTGCCGTTGAGGTTGTTCTGGCTGTACTGTTCCGAAACTACTGCCCTACCTTCATTTAGCGTCTATGCAGGAAAAGCGGTAAGACCTCTGTGAGACCTGAAACGGTGATATGAAGGGCCTCCGACTCACGGAATCTGATTTCTAGGTTGCCATCACTCTTCTTGTGGGCCTTCAATTGGCCCAGGTCGTTCTATGGGCATCGAATCCCTCGAGCCGCACTCGAGCTTCGGTGCCTTCCGCTGTCCTCTCCTTCGTTTGTGCACTTGCAATATACCCATTGTCCTATCTGGAACAGACTCGCTCTATCCACCCCTCGACCCTTCTGGAAATATACCTCTTATCATCTCTGGTACTCGGTATCCCCCAAGCGCGCACGCTGTTCCTTCGACACGATGACCTGTCAATCGCAGGCGTTTTTGTGGCGGGTATTGGAGCTATGCTACTACTCTGGACCTTGGAATCTCGAAACAAAACGAAAAGCCTCAAGGATCCGTATAGAGAGTACCCCCCCGAGGCCACTCGGGGCGTTTGGAGCCGAACGTTCTTCTTGTGGTTGAACTCCTTGTTCGTTACGGGCCTCAAGAGACTCCTTTCCATGAATGATATCTGGAAGCTCCCGCCGAGCATGTCATCAGAGCGGCTGCGGGATGACATGCAGAGGTCCTGGGACCAACGGCGTAAGCAGCAACCTATGCTCCTCGAATTTCCAGGATGCTAATGTCCTTCAGCTATACCAGAGCGACGGCGATCTCTGGTCTGGGCAAGCATAAAGTGCCTCCGGTGGCCGCTACTTTCCGTCGTACTTCCTCGCATTGCATTGATCGGCTTCAACTATGCTCAGCCTTTCTTGATAAGCCGCGTAATCAGCTTTGTAGGGCAACCACGTGCTTCCCAGAACTATAATGAGAGTCTTGGCTTGATCGCAGCTGCGGGTCTGATCTACACCGGCGCAGCTGTGAGTTGTTTAGCTCCTCCGAGGAATGCCAGACTGCTGACTGAATAGATGACCACCGTGCTGTACATGCACAGACTATATCAGTCAATTACGATGTTTCGTGGTGCTCTCGTTGGCCTCGTCTTCAATAAAACACTTAATCTCCGCGATGGCGTGTATGACGAGTCGGCGTAAGTGTATCCATTTTCCCTGTATGAGAACTCGAACTAGGCTAATCCATCCCTGTAGTGCAGTAACGCACATGTCCACCGATATTGATAGGATTGCCGAGGGAATGAAGAACATGCACGAGACCTGGGGTCGCCTTATCGAGGTGGCAATTGGCATTTGGCTGCTCTCAGTCCAGCTAGGTGCAGTCTCTATCACACCTATCGTGATAGTAGTCAGTAAGCTGAGCACATCGCTCTCCGTAGATCAGACTTCATGATCGACTAACCTAGACTTTAGTCTGCGCTGGCATAAATACGCGGGCCGCGAAGACCTCAAGCATTCGGCAAAAGATTTGGGGCGCGTCCGTACAAACACGCATTGGAGGGACGGCTTCCCTGCTGGGTTCCATGAAGAGCGTAAAAATGATGGGACTGGCAGACTTGATGTCTGAAAACATTTTAGCTGACCGTATCCACGAAATGAATACAGCGAAAGGGTTTAGATGGGTGCAAGTATTTGTTAACTCTACAGGTGAGTCACTTCTCTAGGCTGATTAGTAACTCATCATTTCTAATTCTGACAAGGGTATACTCCTGCGGTTTTCGCACCCGTCCTGACTTTTGTCGCGTACGAAATCAAAGCACGGATCCAAGGGTCAAACTCTCTGTCGACCAACCAAGCGCTGACCTCGCTGGCTACTGTCACTCTGTTAACGCACCCTGCGTCTGTCCTGTTAACGTCTATTCCTGAAACTGGTGCCATTCTCGGATTGTTCGACCGTGTCCAGGGATTTCTGGTCGCCTCTTCTTGGGAGGACGCGAGAGGATATCTAAGAAACAGTGCCTCTCCGGAGTCGGACCAGGACCCATTTCAACCAGAGACAGGCCTAGAGCTTCAAGAGATCAAGGGCTTCCAGCGTCCTTCAATTTCTTCCGCAGCGTTTCCAGACCGTTCAGAAACAAATGCAATCTTCATGGCTGGCATAACTGTTCGACCTTCGCCGACCTCCTCGCCCGCAATCACCAACGTCAATATGCAAGTTCGGGTTTCTTCCACGACCATCCTATCAGGACCAGTAGGATCGGGTAAATCTACCCTCCTGAAAGCTATACTGGGTGAGCTTCCTTTGGACGCGGGCAAGATCTCCGTGTCTTCGAAGCATGTTGGGTACTGCAGTCAGACACCGTGGATTTTGAACACCACAATTCAACGAAACATCTGCGGTCCCGTCAAGGTGTCTAAAGTTGACGAGGCGTGGTATCAGACCGTATTGACGGCCTGCAATCTCGATCACGACCTGCTACGATGGGAACACGGGGATCAAAGCATTCCGGGCTCGGGGGGATTGGCACTCAGTGGCGGGCAGAAACAACGTGTTGCTCTTGCGCGTGTGCTATATGCGAAACCGGATATCGTGCTTCTTGACGATGTGTTGAGTGCTTTGGACAGTACCACGGAGCGACAGATTACCAACAGTCTCTTTGGCCCGAACGGGCTCTTTCAGAAACTAGGATGTGCAGTCGTGTTGGTTACTCATTCTACTCGTCATTTCCACCTCGCCGATCACATTGCGATCCTGAATAAAGACGGCACGGTCTCTCAGCAAGGAACCTTTGAGGAACTGAAAGTGCAGGAGGGTTATATCAAAGGTCTCCTCTTAGACCCGCACCACGGAACGGACGACATAACTTCAACAACGCAAATTACCACGCAGAAGCGACCAGTTGTCAAAGGCGTCAGTGCGAACGATGTGTCGGACCTGACTCGCAAGACTGGAGATGTTGCCGTCTATAAATACTACTTTAAAACTACCAGCCGATTCGGGATCGTATGTCTTCTCGCCGCCATAGCGTCCTACTGCTTCTCCTTTTTCTTTCCACAGCTATGGCTCGTATGGTGGACAGAAGCGAACGGGCACGAAAACGGTAAATACATCAGTGTCTACGTGTTATTGGCGGTAATAGCTTGGGTTTCTAGAGCTTCCATGCTATCGTTTCTCCTGCTCTGGGTATCCCCGATCTCCTCCATCAAACTGCACGAGATCCTCCTGCGAACGGCCACCAGGGCTCCACACTCCTTCTTCACGAAAACTGACACCGGGATCACGCTGAATCGTTTCAGCCAGGATATCGGCCTGATAGACCGCGTACTCCCACTATCAGCTGCCCGCGTCGCGCTCTCCTTCGTTATCATCGCCCAGGCAGCGCTCATCGCCCAAGGATCCAGCTACATGGGGATTACCCTACCATTCATCTGCCTTGCTACGTATCTCCTCCAAAAGGTCTATCTTCTGACCTCAAGGCAACTCCGTTTCCTCGACTTGGAAGCCCGAAGTCCTGTATACACCCACTTTCTCGAATGTCTAGAGGGCCTATCCACTATCCGTGCCTTTGGTTGGGCACATGCAGCGCAAGAGGTAATGATAAGGCGTCTCGATATCTCTCAGCGGCCGTATTATCTCATGTTCTGCCTCCAGCGATGGCTTGCGTTGATCTTGGATCTTATGATCGCCGTAATCGGCGTCATTGTTGTGGCCCTTGCTGTGAGAGTGCCGGGAACATCCAGCGGCGCAGCAATTGGGATCGCGCTCAACAACGTCCTCGGCTTCAACCAATCTCTCCGCCTGCTAATCGACAGCTGGACGCAATTCGAAACTTCTCTGGGTGCCATCGCACGCGTCAAGAACTTCGAAGCTGAAGTCCTTCCGGAGGACAAGCCCGAAGAAATAGCAGAAGTACCAGCATCGTGGCCAGAGCAAGGCGCAATTGAATTCAAAGACGTTTCCGCCTCCTATGGTACCGCCGCACCGGCCCTGAAAAACATCTGCCTCTCCGTCAATCCCGGGCAAAAGATCGGTATCTGTGGCCGCACCGGCTCCGGTAAATCATCGCTCCTCTTGACCCTCTTCCGCCTCCTCGATCTGTCTTCGGGCAACATCATCATTGACGGCGTCGACATTTCCACCATCCCCCGCGAAACACTCCGGACGCGTCTAACCTGCATCCCACAAGACCCTTTTATCCTCCCGACCACCGTCCGCCGGAACCTCGACCCGTCCTCTACGTCTGAAAAGTCGAATCCCATTCCTGATAGCGAACTCATCGCCGCCCTTGAGCGCGTTCACCTCTGGCAACCCATCCTCACGCGTGGTGGCTTGGACGCACAGATGAAAACAACGCCGTTGTCAGCAGGGCAGCAGCAGCTTTTCTGCCTCGCGCGGGCGATGCTACGGAGAACGAGGATACTGGTTCTAGATGAGGCGACTAGTAATGTCGACCAAGAGATGGATCAACTGGTGCAGGCGGTGCTCAGAGAAGAGTTTAGGGAGAGGGGCTGTACAGTCATCATGGTGGCGCATCGACTGGAGACGATTCGGGATGCGGATGTGGTGGTAAGGATGGGGGAGGGGAAGGTAGTGGATGTGGGCACGCCTGAGAAGATATTGGGGGAGGCTGGGCGAATTGGAAGAGGTAGGGAGACTTTAGGAGAGTGACGAAGCTGCACTGCTGTAAGCTTTGAGATACAGCACCTGTCGGCTTCCCTTCCAAAGATGGGATAATCTACAGTAGCATGAAGACGTCACTAGCGTCTTAGTTCACAGTGCGCAAGCCTTCACTTCTCGCTCTATAACTTACTATTAGCGCACGAAGCCCTCAAGACCGGTGCCAATCCACAATTGTTGTACAACTATGATTTAGTGTTGCGTGTTCTTCAAAGCTAGCGAACTCATCTCTACATATCAACTTTACCTCAAGCTTGTCGCCCCTTCGGCTCACCTCCTGCAATCGCTTCAATCAACGTCTCCACCGCCGCCAACCCACTCCTAATCTGACACTCCACCGTATCCCCGCCCACATGCGGCATCATAACCAAATTCTCATGCTCCAAAAACTCGCGATACACCTCCAGCGTCGGCGGCTCCACATTGCACGCATCGAGCCCCACGCCCCAAAACTTCTTCCGCCGCAACGCCTCCAACAACGCCTCCTCATCCACAACGCCTCCCCTTGCCGCATTAATCAAAATCGCCCCATCCTTCATGCGCGCCATCTCCTCCCTCCCAATCAACCCCCTCGTCCCCTCCGTCAGCGGCACATGCACCGTCACCACATCCGCCACCTCCAACAGCTCCCCCAGCGTCACCGCCCGCTCATGCTCGATCCCCGGCCACCCGCCCTCCGCCGGGAAATAGGGGTCGTACGCCACGACCCGCGCCTGCATCGCCCCCCGCCACTTCGCGGCGACCTCGCGGCCGATATTCCCCATCCCGACCACGCCCACCGTCGTCTTGTACAGGCTCTTGGAGAACCACTCGGCGCGCAGCAGCCGCTCGCCGCGCCGGATCGCGCGGTCCATCTCGCACACGCGCCGCGCGACGGCCAGCGCGAGCGCCAGCGACAGCTCGGCGACGGCTTCGGCGTTGACGGCGGGCGTGTTGTAGACGCGGACGCCGTGGCGCGCGGCCGCGGCCAGGTCGATGGCGTCGACGCCGACGCCTTGCTTGACGACGTATTTGAGCTTCGGGGCGGCGGCGAAGTCGGCGGCCGTGAGGCGCGTGCGGGCGCGGATGAGGATGGCGACGGCGTGCAAGGGCCAGGCGGTGTGGGCGGGGTCGGTGAACAGGACGGGGGAGATGGTGGGCGTGGATTGGAGGAGGGCGAGGGCGGCTTCGTTGTAGTGGCCGAGGACGTAGACGGGGACGGGGGGGTGGGCTGGGGGTTGGGACATGGTGGGTGGGATTGTGGGCGGGATGGGGGGAGGAACGGGATGGAGGTGAGGTTGAGGAAAGGGGCGAATTAGGGGAGATAGAAAACTTGAGGTTGAGGAATGTGCGAATTGGGAGAAATGAAACAAAACTTGAGGTTGAGGAAATGTAGGGATGTGTGTATTTCAGGGTTCTATATGTAGGAATAAGTCACGCGAGCTGCGGGAATGATTCATTGAGGTGTGGGGAATGGACCCTGGAGGTTGATAAGCCTCATGCCGGTATTGAGACAAGCATTGCTGGCGTCATCAAGGAGCGGATGAGGAATCTGTTAGACGTCGATTTGATAGGAGATCGATACGCGATACGCGTGTTGATGCAGGGTGGGCGGGGATTAAACTCCGCTACGCTGCCGACCTTCCGAACAACTTCAATCTAACTTCAACCCAACCGTGATTCTAGTGGATCCTCAAAAAACACCAAGGTAAAGGTCTATAAAGGGAATTCAAGTCCGTGCTGCCTTTCCTAATGCTCTTTCGTAGTCCACGCCTCCCTTCAAATTCGTTTCTCCCATTTCAATCAGCTCCTCTACTTCCCCTCTATCTCCATCAAACTCTGACTCATCACCATCACTCCCTCTCCAGAAAGACATCTCATAATCGATACCCATCTTCAAGACTTCTCTCCGCCGTAGCCTCATCCACCACCACCACCATGCCCCCTGCAACCGCCCAAATCGCCGCCCTCCGCGCCGCCCTCGCCAACACCTCCTCCCCCGCCATCGCCATGGCGGCCCACAACCCCCTAACCGCCAAACTCGCCTTCGAAGCCGGCTACTCCGCCATTTGGGTCTCGGGCTTCGAGCTCTCGGCCTCCTACGCCGTCCCCGACGCCTCCATCCTGCCCGTCTCGACCCACCTCGAAGCCACGCGCGCCATGGGCGAAGTCCAGCCCCTCCCACTCATCGCCGACCTCGACACGGGCTACGGCAACGCCGTTAACCTGACCTACGTCGTGCGCAAGTACGAGGAGGCCGGCGCGGCGGCCGTCGTCATCGAGGACAACGTCTTCCCGAAAGAAAGCAGCCTGCGCGCAGAGCCCGCGGGCGCGAAGCGCAAACTGGCCGGGATCGCCGAGTTCCAGGGCAAGATCGCGGCGGCGAAGGCGGCGAGCAGCGTGCTGGTGATTGCGCGGACCGAGGCGCTGATCGCGGGGTATGGGGAGGAGGAGGCGCTGAAGCGCGCGGGCGCGTGGGCAGAGGCGGGCGCGGATGCCGTGCTGATCCATAGCAAGGCGCGCACGCCGGATGAGGTGGTGGGGTTTTGTAAGAGGTGGGATGGGAGGGTGCCGGTGGTGATTATCCCGACGAATTATCCGCAGTTAGGGTTTAAGGCGGCGGGGGAGCTGGGGAAGGTGGGTTTGGTGATTTGTGGGAATCATACCGTGAGAGCCGTGGTGGAGGCGGTGAGGAGGACGTATAAGAGGATTTTGGAGGAAGGGGGCATTGAGGGGATCGAGGGGGAGATTGCGAGTGTGCAGGAGGTGTTTAAGTTGCAGGGGGATGGGGAGATGAGGGAGATTGAAAAGAAGTTTTTGAGGTAGGGGTGGCGGCGACTAACGTACCCATGGCATCACGAAGAAATCATGGAAAAGAGTTGTGAATACTACATTTCTGTCTGTTTCATGTTACCCATCATTCTCTCCTCCCCAGACATCAGAATTCGCGACAGTCCCAGCACTTATAGTGCCCGCAATTGTAACACGCCTCCCACGTGAACATATCAGTTTTGCACCGATGACATCTCCAAATCACGCCGCGAGGAACTTGGTATGCCAGTTGGTGTTGTTCTGGATGGTCTTCCATGCTTCTGGTCATCTTTGAAACTGGGCAATGGTATGGTTTGCTTTGCCTTTGAATTGAGGTGAGAAAACTGGAGATTTGGGCAATTGACTTTCTAGGAGACGAAATGGGAGGTATTTATACTCTACGGACAAGCTGCGAAGGTGGCTGTTGCTGACCTGGTTGTAAGACTACATACGTCGCCGCCATGCTGGGCTCTGAGCTGGCTCTTCTACGCCATTGCTGTCCTCTGCCAGCTCATTAGTGAGGTAAAAGTTTTGGTAGCAGCCAGAACACATTTTATAGATCAGCACGTCTACACGTCCATCATACAATCAGAAACCGAAAATTATGTCTCATATAACCTCATTCATATCGACTTACGCTGTCCTTCCTCCACTCAACTCTATCCTCGCTCTACCCTTACCTCAACACCTCTTCCAAGGGAAACTTCCAAGATTCAGACCTATACACTCACACCAGGCGTAACGGTGATGTCTACAATAGCGGCACGGGCTCCAAATACCAACGGGTCTGTCTCAGAAATGGCATACTCAGACTCAGCTACGTTTGGGACCGCGCAGGCTGGGGTTCGGGAGAATGGGATGTGCTGGAGGGTCTGCGTTGTCTCTGTGCTGGTACCACGTGATGCTTACAGCACGTCCGGTTATCTCAACTACACGCATCCTCCACACCGCCACGGTCGACACTTACCGTAGTAGTCATTTGACCACGCCTACGTCACCTGACCTCTCCCAAATCTTTTCCTCTGAGTAGTATATAACCGCCCCAGTTACCACTCCAAACTCTTTCTGCAGAGGTTTTGCACCGTTTCGCCCATCAAAAGTGAAATACATACACCAGTATGGGGGAGCCGGGTGCTGGGCAGAGGAGAAAGCTACCGTAATAAGGAGCAAATCGGCGAGAAACAATGACGATCAAACGCTAGGTGCGAAGCACTGGCATGGCAAGCCTGGCTGTCAAATCGCAGGCCATCTTTGGCGATGGAAGGATCAGAACCAAAGCCGAGGTTTGCTATGGAGTGGTGTGCGGAGGTAATGTCTTGTGGCGATGATGGAGAGCAGCATCGAGAGGCTACGCACTATGGTAGCTATTCTGAGAGGTGGTATGGAGAGTTGGAGAGTTGGAGAGTCTTGCCTGTCGTCACAGTTAGCGGAGGTGTAAGGTGTATGGGATTAGGTAGTGGTGGGGATTATCAGCGCAAAGGGTGGATAGAGTGCCGGACCAGACACTTCTCCGTGACATCTTTGTCGAAAACAATTTTGATCCACCACGAGCACAACCCACTCCTCCGCAACCATTGGGTTATCCGATGGCTTTGGTTGCCAAGAAACTCACCATATGGCGTTTGATGAATGACGTTTTGAACCTCCACTCCCACTCTTCCCCTCCTTGTGGACTCCAAAACCCCACGTCGACGAAAGGTTTTATACCCCCCAGGACCCGATATCACGTAAGAATCACGGGACGTCGGAATTCAGACCTCCACCTCTCCGGCGAAACTCCTGCGTATCCACGCCTCTTTCCCACATAGCTGGGATGCTATGTCACCTGAGCACACATGCCCTCGTGACTTCGCTCTTCGTCCCGGTACAAAACCTCGGCCGCTATCCTGAGAAGTTCACTATCGAGGAATTGGCGACCTGGCGGCCTTTGGTGGGAAAAACCAGAACAAACAAACGTGATGGTTGGGGTGTAGCCAGGGCGGAATTGGCTTTCAAAATCATGATTTCCTCCGCATTTATGGTGTTGGTCTTGTGGAATCGTTCAAACCATGAATGTCACCATTTCCAATGGCGTCGTTCTGGCGACGGAGGGTGTTCAAAAGCTGCGAATACTCCACTCTATGGGCCGCAGCGCGGTGCCGCGGTGAGAGGGGGAGTGGATGCACAATATCGAAGACATCAGATTCATGGAGACTGGAGAAGCTGGCTAGGGCTGGATGTAGTTGATGGTGCAGATGATCTATGAGTGTCAGCGTTTACGAGGTGCGCCTTTCTCTTCCGCCATTGATGTGTACCATCAGTGGTGCTCTTTATTATGAGCTGTAATGCGTAGAGACCAGTTAGCAGCAAAGTGACGTTTCAACAGCGTAAGGAAACTATGGCTATCATTACTTTAATCTTTTGATTACACTGCACGCAAGCTCTGCACTATAGCACGGGAAGTGCGCCCTTGTTGCTTGCTCCACACACCACTTCTCCATTGTCCAGCTGGAGCGTGTGTTTGCTCCAGGAAAGCCCCAGCAGACCATTCGGTCTTGATTGCGGGAGTGTTGATTGCCGCTACCGACCATGAAGGCCGCCTCTATAGTCTGAGAAGCTGCAGGCCGCGCTTTTATATCCTCCAACAGACGAGACAAGCCCTCGCTTGGACGTGTCACGAGCTCTTCGCCTGACTCCCATGCCCAAGCTCTATCGCGTATGGTGTGTTTCCCGCTCTCGCGCGTGGTGCGATTTTCGTAGGTTGCCGGATTCCACGAGTGCTTCGCGACATGCCTTCGCTGGAGAGACTCGCGGACGCGCGACCACGCTCCGCGATCGCGCTCTATCCTTCGCGAAGCTGGCAAGAATATAGAGCGGGGGAGACAAGTGGTGGCCATAGGAACGTACTCGAGCGTCAAAAGAAGCCGGGCGAGCATGCGCATTGGCTTATCCATGGTAGTGCAGGCCGCACTCGTTGCCTGCCACGTCGACAAGGCTATTACCAGTCCACTGGGAGTGTTCGAGGTTATTGGAGGCAGAGATGGGACTGCGGAGATTCAATCACCATGAATGGAGGTGGAGGGAGGGGACAGTTTGAATCGCGTCGCCCGTTCGGCGTGAGAGGAGTCGACGGAGCTCTCCCGGAGGGTGGAGAGGACGAAGGGCGTCGTGGATGTGGCTTTGCTGTATTGCATAGCGTGCTTTGCGCGTGCTGTTGTGCGGCGATGGCTGGAGAGTTGGAGGTTTTGCAGGCTCAGCTAACGGATGTACGATGGGAATGCGGCGGAGCGGCTGTTTTGTTGGCATCGCTGGCGGAGGTGTTATGCAGATCGAGGTGCGGGGAAGCTCGTCGTAGTAGGTAGCTTGAGGCTATGAAGAATTCTGTAGGAGGATGATGAGCGCTACTCTTAGTCCAGAGATCTGATTTCTGGTGTGAGGTGCCTTACATCGTACCTGTTCTTCTGACCGTAGAGAAGTTGGGGAGCGTCAAACAAGTGACTTTCTTCTTCAAGATCCCATGCCAGATGAGAGGCTCAATGAAAAAAGAGGTAGAATCACGTCAACTCGAAAGAGTGCAATACGAGCGACGCTTGCTGTCAGACAGCCAATTCCAAGAAAGAAGAATTCCACCCGAAGGCAGAAAACCAATCACCAACTCCATAAAAGGGGAGAGGCAAAAGACAGCATAAGCCGATTTGTGGTTCCAAAGATTGCATCCGAAAGATTTCCAAGGTATCTATCCAAGGATCTCAATTCCGAATAACGCGAGAGAGAGGCTGCCGCTAAGATCGACAACTTGAAAAGAGACAACCCCGTCAGTCATGCTTGTCTCCCCTAGCCAGAGAAGGGCATGTTGTGGATCCGTGCAATCGCGGCAGGGACCCCTTTTCCTGCCGTCACGACCCTCATTTCGAAGGACAATTGCAAACTGCTCGAACGTCGGTTGACCGCCTGGGGCCTATAGCACGGGCCGACTCGCAGTACCCTCGGACTGTCGCCGTAGCAGAGGTGGGCAACCAAAGCTTTTGAGCGACGCGGACACGGGACTTCCACCCGTTGACGTTGGACCAGACCTCCCGTGGCAGGCTTGGGGGGTCACAAAAAGTGGCAACTCTTCTGCACTAAGAATGGCTTGAGCGAGCCGCCAGCAGTCGTGACCCCTAGCCAGATGGTGGAATTTTTTCAATTCCCGGGTCGAATATATGCAGAGTCCTGCCGGACAGCGTTACAACAGTCGAGCATCATGGTGGCCAGGTTGTCATCTTCCTCAATCTCCTTGGCCGTGAGTGGTAACCGACAATGTCGAACACCCAAGACAGCACTGCTCCTAGCAGATTTGTCCCAATACCAACGTCGGCCGAGGAATCACCCAAGGAAGCGACGAAGGCTGCTCTGGACCAAACGAGCCCCAAACCCCCAGAAGCCCACAGTGAAAAAGAAGTGAAGTGAAGTGAGAACAGAGAGCAGATCAAAGCGTGACATGAGAAATGCGACAAAAGGGAAGAGTGCAGGTGGGTTGTGACGGAAGTGAGGAAGGGCGGGGGGCGGCCGTCTTTAAGTAGTTCTTAGAATTTGCCAAGACTCTAGCGCAATTTCTCGGGCCAATCAGCGCGTGCTGTTTGGAGCGCATGGAATGGCGTGGAATCGCATGGAATCGTTGGAGGGTTCGCAAGTGAGGAGGTATGCAGCCGCCTACCTGGGCGCGATCAGGACGGCGACTACGAGCCCGAATTGGATTTCCAGAGGGTGAAAGTGGCTTCACTTAAGGAAAAGATGACTTAGAGCCTGTATCACCCGTTTCACCGGTACCAGTGCTACATTGCGAGTGTGCGAAGGTGTTGTTGTGGTGGAGAAAAAATGTCTTGGCAATATCTCTTGGCAAAATGATGCCGAACGCGGCAAGCTTGGAAACGACAACGGAGTAGCAATTTTAAAGAGACGGATGGTTGATCTTTAGTTATTCTAAGTGCATGAGGAGAATGAAGCTTTTTACAATCGAGTGTGGAAATGCGCAGGCTACTCGCCTTCGGGGCTCTTTTCCTCCACTCCAGCCTTGGGGACCACTCTTTGCATCACCAAGGAATCCACCCATTCGCCTTTGCAGAACTCAACCTTCTCCACCCGACCCATCTCCTTGAATCCCAACCGTAAACCTAGCTTCCAGCTTGCCTCGTTCCGCGGGTCGCATTCGATTTCGAGGGTGAGGCCGTCGCCTAGCTCCGGAAGAAACGCCTCCACGGCCTCCGTCGCAAAGCCCTTGCCCTGCACGGCGGGCATAAAAGAATACCAGATGACCGCATGGTCGTCCTTCACGACCGCACCGATTCTCCCGATAAAGCGCTCGTCTTGCGTTACGGCAAGTTCGTATACCTTCCGCGGCGTAATGGTTTGGGCTTCGATGGCATTTCCGACTTGTTCTTTGGATTCTTCCATGGTGCGCTCGGCGTTGTACTGGTAGCGGGCGACGGATGGGATGGATTCGAGCTTGTAGTAGGAGCGAACGTCGTCGAGGGTGAACTCGCGGATTTCGAGTCGGGCGGTCTTGATATACATTTTTGAGGTTTTATGCTGATGGAATTTGGATGAAACAAATAAGGCTGATCCAACGAACAGTGATATGAGATGGAATGTCGAGTTTTCGAGAGTATACAAGCGCTTCTGCTCGTCCTTTCAATAGCCGCCAAGTCTGAGTGAATCCTCGATACCACTGGAGAAACAGGGCAATGAAATCTCAACTATACGACGAGGCTTGCATCCCGCACTTCTTGGAGTCATCATTGCTGCTACCTGCCTTTACTGTGCCTCGCGGTGACTCCGTTGTGGCTGTGGGCAGGGGCTGAAGTTGAAATACAAGTCAGCCTTTCCCGCCTAACCGCATCCAGTGCCGCTGTCCTTACTGCATGCGATCCATGGTTCCACCACCTTGCTCCACCCCAGAGTCGTGTCCGCAGCGTTCAATTCGTAATTCGTACTATCGCCCTCGAGACCCATTAACCAGGACGGAGTACATGCAGCAGACCAAATATGGACATTGCGTCCAGCAAGCCCCTGGAGCTTCGGCAAGACAGGTCCCCTTGCAAGAATTGTCAGCCTGGGCGCGCAAGCGCCGCAAAAAGTACCATGCGTCAGGCTTCTTTTGACAAGGAGTCTCCGCCCGCCGCTGTGTAACAGCAGAGACGGCGACAGCTTCGGACATTAGCAACAACACGGCATCTTGGGCGCGCCGCACATGGAGTGCGATCTTGGCGGATGCGAGGAAAAAGAGACGTGCGAGGTTCAGGAATGTATACTGGTTGTAATTCACGCGGGGGGTTTTTTTGATGAGATACGCTAATATGTGATACAAGTCCCCGTTTATCTCTATGCTAGAGTTGAGAATGGGGATCCAGCTATATCGCACGTGACTTCCTAGTTGGACATCTAGGAAACGTCTGTGTCTGGTGTAACCTTCAAACCTCCGACTTCTAGGTTTCTCTTTTCCTCTACCATCTCAACTCAAACCCCGCTCTTCTTTACACAAGCCCAGCCATTATACAGACGCCCTTGTCAGCATGATCAATCAAGATGGAGTCCACCCACCCGGCTGTCCATACACAGGAAAGGCGCCCTCCAAGTCTGCCAAATGAGATGCTCATGGAGATATTCTCCCATGTTCGCCAAAGTCATCCGCATCACAAGCTGAAGGCTTTGCGTCACCTTGCGCTCGCCTCTCACGCTTTTCACAATCTCGTCACGCCAATCCTTTATTCCGAGTTCTCAGACCGGGAATTTACTCCCTTGCAAGGCGACGAGTGCGAAATTATCGACTACAAAAGCGACGACGGCAACAGTGATAGCGACGAGACCAATGGCCTCCATACCAATGACTCATACTCCGGAGAAGGTACTCGTGAGAAAATACACTTGTTCCTCCGCATAAAACTCGCCAACCCAAGCCTAACGAAGCATCTCAAATTCGCGACTCTAAGGCTCAGCACCAAAGCTGTCTCTAATCCACTAGGCTATGATGATACAGAATGGGTCCTTCGTAAAATCCGTGGGCTGCCTCTTCCTTTCGACAGACGCTTCTGGGCAGTCAGAGAAACCTTCAAAGACAAGAACGCGGTGGCAGCTCTCGTCCTGTACCTATTGCCTAATATAGAAGTTTTGCGTTTTTAGGTATCGCCATCATGCTCTATTGCGTACTTTGGCGTTCCAGGCCTATGTTCAGTATTACAACTCCTCGCACCGAGCACCTACGCGACTCCTATCCTCACCAAAGTCCGGGAACTGTCGTTCAGACAGACTGAGCTACGATTGCCAACAGAAGCGGGGCCAGGATTCCGACTCCCTTCGTTGATAGAGTACAGCGGATGTGATATCGTTCCCAAGATCGCCGGAAGCCCTTGGCCTCCAGTTAACCCATCAAATCTCACCTCGATCAGTATTTTGGAAGCACCAATCCACCTTGAATCGCTGGAGATGTTGCTGGCATGGTGCGCAAAGCTCAATCTTTTTAGCTACGCTTTCAATAACAGCTACTCCGATATGAGACAAAATGAAAAGCCCATCAAGATTATCAACGCGCTCAGGAAGCACTCGAGCAAGAGTTTGGAAAAGCTCAGAATTCACCACAACCATAGGCCGACGTTTACGAGCCATCTGGTTTCTCCTATCTATGAGCAGTCCTCCCTGGTTATATTCGGAAAGCTATCGTCTCTATACATCGACGCTCCTATCCTGTTTGGAACACCCCCGGCAGATCTATAGGCCTCTATACAAGAACTTTCTGATCTGATTTGAATGGCATACTGCCATTTTCGATTCGTGAGCTAAAACTTCTCACGCTTGATTTGTACACCGAAAAGCAACTCGTCGAATTGACGAGATCCGCTCAGACCGCTTTCCCTGACCTCGAAATCTATACCCTTAGTGGAGGAGGCATCTAGAGTGCCATAATGTTTCTGAGAGAGCTTCTGCCAGAAGAGGTCTGAGTCCATTGATTTCTTCCCGTTCCCACCAGCCTAAAACGCGTTGTTCTTTTCCTCACTTCATTTTCCAATTTCGGAGATTATTCACGAGCTTAGTGGAAAATATTTTAGCTTTTTGTACAAGTCTTTCAACTTGATATAGGCCAGATCATGCGATGGGAGGAAACTGTGGCGGACGGAAAATAGTAACACCATCTCGCGGAATGGAGAGACCATTCATTTTAGTACTGCTTTGGCTTTGCACGCTTGAGCGGAGATTATTGGGCCGAGGTCTCATTTTACCTTATATTCTACATGCTTCTAGTCGAGTCTAGTTCCTATGCCTAGTCTACTAGCGTCGGTATCAATCACTCTTGTGCGTTTTCACGTACTCTTCCCACACCTCCTTGATATCTAACTCATATATCCACGAAAGGCTAGCTGAAGCTCCTCCGCCGAATGCCTTTACTTTCACGTCCAGACTTTCTTCAAAGGTCTGGCCTGGATTCTTGATCTTTGCGTCCTGAGCAATCTTTGCCATTTGGTCGAGATGCTCATACCTTGATGGCAGCGAACACATTAGCTGAGGAATGACCTTAACATTTAGGAGCAAGAAATTTGGAACGAACATTCTGAGATAGTACGGAGATCGAACTGAGTCAAATATTTCAAGTGCCGAGGCGAGGGGTTGAGGGAATGACCGGGTGTAATCAATAGCCTGAGCTAGAATCCAACTATCTTGCATAGCAAAAGCAGCGCCCGAGCCAAATGCACCTGATTCGACGGGTTAATCTCCGACGTACACAGCTGCGAAGAACGTCTTACCAGTTAGGGGATGGCTCGCATCGCCGATCAACACAACCTTATCCCAGGCCACGACTTTCTCCAGTCTAGGGCCCGAGAAAGACGAGAACTCTTTCCATAGTCCCTGGGGAACTCTAGAGAGCGCATCTCGTACTCTTGGATCATACTCAGTGAAATGGGATTCAACTCTCTCATTGGTGGCAGGTATGCCCCAACTGAATCTCTTCTCCTTCACCATCGCAGCAGGGACAACGTTGTGCACAGCTATCTCCCACATTTGCTGGTCTTCTGGCGTTTCGACAGGATCATCGACCAAGCAGTTGTAGAAATGGCCGGCTGGGCCATGCCACCAGGCCGTCGACACAATCATCTCGGGAATGTCGACAATGAGAGATTTGGGAATAATCACACGCCAAATTGTCCTGCCTATTCGCGAGAGCATAAATAGCAGCACAATGGCCTGAGATCAGGACTCTTACCGGTAAACTTGATAGCGTGGTTAGGGAAGACACTTGCACGAACAATCTGTTATCTTATGGTTAGCCACGAAGCAGGAGAACGAAGGGGAGCGCACTGATCGGATTCCATCTCCTCCGATGACTAGATCAGCGACGACCTCTTCGCCATCCTCAAAGACAAGACGAGAACCTCCTCCCTCGATGTTCTGCAATGAGGCAAGTCGTTTCCGCAACTTAATGACTCCCGGCGGAACTTTCTTAATGAGCGCGGCTTGGAGGCGCGTTCGTCTTACTCGTTGTCCGCGGTATCGCGGTTCCACGGATGTAGAAGTACGTTCACCCAAAACTTCTCCATTAAGCCCATTACTAGAGCTGTCAGCCTAATGACCTTACCGGAATGGAAAATGCGCTAAATGTACCGCTGAAGAATGGTTTCTTGCACGTGCCCTTTGACATCGGCCTCGGCGCCCAGCAATTCCAGGACTTTCCAACAATTATACCCGATTTGGATACCGGCGCCGATCTCGCGCAGCTCCCTTGCTTGCTCGTAAATGGTCACTTCGACGTTCTCGAGCTTGGAGAGGGCAATTGCGGAGCTCAAGCCCCCTGGGCCACCACCCACGATGGCGACGCGGAGGAGGGGAGGTGTCGGGCCTGGCATGACGGATGTAGATATGTATGTATGTACGTATGTATGAGCAAATTATAACACTGGAAATTAATTCAATGAAGTAGGACTACAGGTAGGTCTTATCGCCACTCGGATGATTAGAAATATCCGAGCCTAAGGTATGTATGTATAGCATAATTCAAAGAGCGAAAGTCGTCATTCTCGGCTCGCTATTCTCGCCAATCAGATCGAAGAGGGTCGTATTCGAGACTTTGGTCTTATCTTTATGACCGCTCACATTGCCACTTTTGTCTTAGCCCCTCTACTGTGTTTGACTGCTTTTCCATAAATTAGATCACACATGATGCCACCAGAGTCATTGAAAGGCGGCCACTGCTGACTCGTGTACTGTGAAGGATCAAGGCGTCTGGGCTAGGTTAGTCAGGTCGCCGGGGCCGAGTTGCGGCGCGGCACAAGTAGTTATTTGATTGGCCAGGGCGGAGTTAAGAACGTACACCGGAGTAAAGGACAAGGCTTGATAGAACTACACACCCCGAGGCCGAACGAACCCAAGAGCTGTCCTACCTTGCACCTGTCTGTCTGTTCTATCTGGATTCTGGGGCATGTTCTCGACTTCTCATATTGTGCTTCTCCCGACGTTCAGAAGATTATGATATCTTCCGCACCGGAGAGCACCCCGAAAGCCCCGCGATATCGTCGTCGATCTACTCGTTCCTGCCAAGAATGCCGCCGGCGTAAGGTGAAGTGCGATCGAAAAGAGCCCTGTAGTCACTGTGTCTTGTCCAAAACTACCTGTGTCTACACTCCTGGGCCTGTGCGAACTGCTGCGCATACTAGAGAATCCAATGTGCCGCCTTTGGTAGCCTCTTTTACCACGCCCCTGCAGATTTCTCCGACTAGCTCAAGTCGGGGTATCAATACAATCCTGCAACTTGAATCGAGACCTTTACCAATACCACTCAATACTCGGGGAAGTAGTGGCAACGGAGGGAACCCATCGCTCGCCCAGCCTCTAGATCCAGCTTTGAACGAAATACACGAACCGAACGAGCTCAACCACCGGCCTCGGCCGCTCGAGCAATCATTCTCTAGTGCTGCTACTGACAGCGCTACTGAGACGCCTCTGGTTTCTCCTCCACCAGGTACTTCATCTTTCAGGAATGTAGTTCATTCGCCGCAAAAGAAACAATTTGCTTTGAATAAGTCCAGACTGTTCGGCCAAACTCATTGGACGAATGCTGCTCATGAGGTAATTCTAGCATCTATTACCCATAACTGCCAACTCCTACTGATAGTCTAAGTTCAAAAGAATAGGGGCGTTCCTGAGTAGTGAAAGCGGTAACTCCACCGATGACGAAGTTGTCAGGTGCTTGAAAGCGGAGATACGAGCTTCTCTTCAAAAGTGCAAGCTCCTTGCTAAAAGCATGAAGACGACTCGGCCCAGCAGGTGCTTCTCATGTCCCGCACCAATCTTTTCTGCAACAGAGAGGGATCTTGCGGATCAGACGGTGCACCTGTATATTTCACGCTTCGAATCAGCATTCCGCATTCTACACATCCCATCTTTCCGGACCGAGTATGAGCAATATTGGCGAAATCCAACCGAGGCAGCTAGTGCGCTTCAATTCAAGGTCCAGCTTGTTATTGCCATCGGATCTAGTCTCCACCGCGAGGCTTGTGAAAATCCTAAGGTCCGCTCGGCAGCATGTCAGTGGGTGTACGCTGCACAGAACTGGCTCTCTGGACCGATGGAAAAAGACCGATTGAGCATTAGTGGGCTGCAGGTACAGTGCCTATTATTTCTTGCTCGTCAGACTCTGGCTATAAGCGGAGATTTGACATGGATCGCCATTGGTACTCTTGTCCACACAGCCATGCAAATGGGTCTCCATCGTGACCCAAAACATTTCGTGAAACTGTCTATCCTGTGAGTCTCCCATCTATATCGTGATGATATGCGTGAAGCGGCGCTGATCGTTCTGCTCTCCCCTGAGTTAGACAAGGTGAAGTACGGAGAAGACTCTGGGCTACTATAATGGAGATGAATGTACAGGCGTCATTAGATTCAGGAGTACCACCAACGCTTTCTTTCGACGACTTTGACACAGATCCCCCATCAAACGTCGACGATACGGACATCGACGAGTGCACTCGGGTCCTTGGACAACGCCCAGAAATAACGATAACGGATACATCCTTGCAGCGTTCCTTATTTGGGTGCCTACGCCCACGGCTTGACATACTCCGCCGTATGAATGGCTTTTGCTCAGAGACGCCCTACGACGAAATCCTCGCACTAAGCTCTGTAATAAACAGCGCTTGCCGCGAATGCAGCACTCGCGTGAAGAGAGATAACGAGGCCGAAGGCACAGTTTTCAAACAAAACCTAGGAGATCTTTTCATCCGTCGCTTCCTGCTTGCTTTACATCGTCCTTTCGCCAGTCGGGCGCGTACGAACCCTACGTTCTACTTCTCCCGGAAAACGAGCCTCGACGCCGCCACAGCCTTGCTCTCGCCCACGCTGGACGAAGAATTTTCTCGTCTTGTGACGCTCGGCAGTGGCATCTTCAAAAGCCGCATCATCCACGCGTCTTTAGCCCTAACTTCCGAGCTCCTCATCGAAGCCGAAGAACCAGGAGCGAGCTCCACCACGCAGTGCCTTCTCCCAAACTACCGGAAAATGCTCGTTGATGCCGTGAAAGAGGCACGCCGGCAGCTAGCCCAGCGCATGCAATTCGGCGAAACGAACGTACGGCTGCACATGAAGCTCAGCATTGCGCTGAGCCAGGCCGAGTGCACGGAATCGGGTGCTTCGTTGCAGCAGCATATGGCGCAGAGTGCGAAGGATAGTCTACAGATGTCCTATGCAATGATCCAGGCACGCTCGGGGCCGCCGTTGGAGTGGTCACGGCTTGATGAGAATATCTTTACACCAGGAGAAGACGATTTCCAGGGTTTTGCTGATGGGTTTCAGTTCCATGATATCTTGGGGACGGCGGATATCGTCATGGATGAGGCGTTTGGCCCTGGTTTACCGTTTTGTTAGCTAGCTGGAGCTAGCATTGGGACGTGAAGAGGAATCAGTAGTATTGAGTGCTGCGTACTCCTCAAGTCTTGAGTCAATAGTCCCATGGACCATTCTCCTCTCGAGCTTCCACATCAAAAACTCCACACCAGTTTCTCAAGCTTCGACAAAATCAGGAGCAAGAGTATCCCTTCTATAGGAAACGGAGCATCAGTCGTACAAAGAACCTACAAAGCCGTGGACTCGGCGTTCACAAAATCCGTTCAGTCGGCCTTGAGCAAAAGCGGCTTTCACAAGCAGCGGGCGGGTTTAAGGGGCGTAAGCCCGCTCAATCCGGCTCGAGGGACCATCGCTATCCCATATATAAAAAGCATTCAAAGCCCCAAAAGATATCGCCCAGAACATCAGGACTGTACTATACCTTCTCCACAATTCCACACTCCAAAATTCCAGAATCCACAATCCGACACTCTCCACACGATTCAAACCTCAATTCCCACCATGACATCCCCCCTCCCACCCCACCACCGCGCCCTCGTCCTCTCAACCCGCTCCTCGGGCTTCTCCCTCCACACCGTCCCCATCCCCCTCCCAACCCCCGGCAGCGCCGTCCTCCGCATCCTCCAAGCCGGCATAATCTCCTACCACCGCGAGGTCTACGACGGCACGCGCCCCTACAGCTTCCCCACACCGCTCGTCGGCGGCTCCTCCGCCATCGGCCGCGTCGCTGCGCTGGGCCCGGACGCGGTTTCCCTCACAGTCGGCCAGCTCGTCTTCGTCGACTGTGTCGTGCGCGGCCGCGACGACCCCAGAGAGCTCTTCCTCACCGCCATCTCCGAGGGCGCGCGTGCGGGCAGCAAGAAGCTGTTTCGCGACGTGTGGCGCGATGGCGTGTGGGCCGAGTACGCGCGCATGCCGCTGGAGAACTGCGTGCCGCTGGATGAGGAGAGGTTGTGTGCGGGGTTGGGGTACGAAATCAAGGATTTGATGTATATGTGCCATTTGCTCGTGCCGTACGGCGGGCTGAGGGATATCAGGGTCGAGCCGGGCGAGACGGTCGTGGTGGCGCCGGCGACGGGGGGGTATGGGGGCGCGGGGGTGCAGGTTGCGGTGGCGTTGGGGGCGAGGGTGATTGCGATGGGGAGGGATGAGGGGAAGTTGGCGGCGCTGAGGGAGCATGTTAAGATGGGGACGCCGGGGGCGAGTATTGAGACGGTGAGGATTTCGGGGGATGAGAAGACGGATACGGCGGCGTTACAGGCGTTCGGGACGATCGATGCGGTGTTGGATTTTACGCCGCCTGCGGCGAGCAAGTCGACGCATTTGAAGAGCGCGGTGGCGGCGCTGAGGCGTGGGGGAAGGGTTAGTATGATGGGGTTTGTTGATGTGCCTGCTTCGAGTTGGAAGCTCGTGGGGGATAATATTACGCTGAAGGGGAAGTTGATGTATGAGAGGGAGGATATGTTCCAGTTTGTGAAGATGCTGGAGAGAGGGCTGTTTCCGAAAGGGGAAGAGTTTGTGGATGCGAAGACGTTTCCGTTGGAGGACTGGAAAGAAGCTATGGACTCAGCGGCGGAGTACACTGGCATCGGTAAGCTGGTGTCTTTTGCACCATGATCTTGTTCAGACTGGATGAAGCTGGGGAAAGGCATGTCTTTCGAGCATAGCCGTACTCCCCCTTATATAAACCAATGTGAGATATCGGACGCTCCTTTACTCGAGACAATTCTTGAGACATTATCTTGCCAAAGGTCTAGGCATATCCGTTCACCGCTGCTTACAGTACCCCAATGAGCTTTTGAAATCCTAAACACGACGTAAAGAATAATTCAGTGGCTGTCCATAAAAGCCATATCCCTAAGCTCAGTTTCGCTTAGTCATAGCCCCGTGTTGAGGCTGTAACTAGGGCTCAACACGGGAAATGGACTGGGATGTACAACCCCGACAACTAGGCAACACACGCCTCACCACTAAGCATCAACACGCTGCCAGCCGTGTTCACTTCTCGACACAATCCATCTCAACTTAGTCAAAACTCAGCTGGCTTAAATTTCATGCCGATAGAATATGGTGTCCAACGATAGCCCTGGCGAAATACGGCAAGGACAACAGCATCCAAGTCTCCCAAACGAGCTGCTTATCGAAATATTCTCATTCGCACATCAGAATGATCAATCTCTCAAAACCCTTCGCAGCATCTCACTTGCTTCACACATGTTCCATGGTCTCGTTACTCCGATCCTGTATTCAACATTGACGATCCCTGAGCCGTCTATGGGCGGCGAATACGGCTACCCAGATTACATCTGCCTCTTCGTCCGTACCATGCTCGACACTGCAAGCCTAGCAAGGCACGTCAAATACGTCCAACTATTCCTGCCAGGCAAAGGCCATTATTCCTGGAGTCCACTCGGGGAGCGAGTCGTGCAGCCAATCTTCCAGAAAGCACGTGAGCTGAAGGTCCCTCTCGACGTGAAACTCTGGGAAGCCGTAAATTCCAAAGCAAGGAGCTCATTTGTTGCTTTACTGCTCCTTCTTCTGCCCAACATTGAGACCCTTAGTTTTATCTTGGGGGATGGCTATTTCCCCGAGGTCCTGGACATGCTTCCCATAGACTTCTTTTCCGATCGCCACGGAAGGAATAACTTCGCCAAAGTCCGCAAGCTGAGCGTGGATCTAGGCCCACACCATGCTGAGGGATATTTCGGGTCGATAGGCGTGCCGGCGTGGCTTCAAACGCCTGCCCTGAGTGAGCTCGAGGTGTTGCGTACTGGCTATGGCATCGATCCCAGCGCTTGGCCGACACCCCCTATCTCGAATCTGATATCGATTGCGATACTACAAGGCGCTATAATGGAGAGCTCAATGAAGTATCTACTAGGAATATCCCCCAGACTGAAGTCGTTCAGCTACACTTTCGAGGAGCGCTACCTGATATCGAACGAGGATGGCGACGATTGGACAACTCCGTTCGACGTCATCGGCCACCTACGCACGCTTTCTAGCAGTACCTTGGAAAGCCTTACCATCTACACGAAGGAACTCCTTGGTCCCAACGGGCCTGAGGGAATGTGGGTCCCCAACGACTGGCACTGTGACCTGGTCGCGTTTGAGAGGCTGACGTTTCTCCATACCGATTGCCTGTTCTTGTTCGGGTCATCAGCAGCAGAGGCTCTGAGCTTGAGTTTGCCGCTGTCGTTGAACAAGCTGCATCTTAATAAACACTGGACAGGCGACCCAGAGGTTCTCGATGCACCGGTAAAGTGCATCAAGACGGCCTATCCGGGCCTGGAAATGGACATCGTGGATGTACCTCTGTCTCACACGTTCGCGGAATAGTACTCTGTAGAGAAGAAGCAGGGCCAATGCCATCAATTTATGCCTATGAAGCCACAGTGCTCGCTCACACGGTACTCCGCCCGATCCTGGCCCTCGTCCACCTCTGCTTATTCTGTGTCCCCGCGCTTATCACCCTTTGCATCCGCCCCCTTCGCATCCCCATTCGCACTCGCCCCCTTCCCAGCCCTCTGCTTGACCCCATCCACCCCCCTCTGCGCCTCCCTCTCCGCATTCTCCCCCACCTCCCCCGCACTCCCCACCTCCAGCAACTCCCCCCTCTCCTTCTTTCTCCCCCCCTCCGTCAAGAACCCCAGCCGCCCGCCCGCCAAGCTATTCAGCTTATCCCCAATCGCATCGCCCTCCGGCGCCTGGCCCGTCGAGCCCTCATTGAACCACATCAAGATGTAGTACCCGCCGAGCCCCCACAGGAAGAGGAAGGTGGCGCCCATGGTGGTGAGGAAGACGGTGGGCAGGACGAGGAGGAGCGCGAGGCCGACCATGAAGGCGGTGAAGAGGAGGGCGGCGAGCAGGCCGACGAGCAGCGCGACGGCGAGGGAGAAGACGAAGACGGTGAGGGTGAAGACGAGGAAGGTGAGGAGGGGGAGGCCGGTGAGGGCGATGTTGGTGAGGAGGAAGCCCTGTGGGGTGGTGTTAGCGTGATTATTGGGGGCTGGGTTTGGAATGGCGAGAACGCACAGCTAGTTTTGGGTTGGAGACGGCGAAGGCTTGCAGTCGGGAGATCCATTCGGCGCGCTTTTCGGGGGGGAACAGGCGGTCGATTACCCCTTGGATCTTGCCGCCGAGGGAGCTTAGGACGCCGGTGAGGCTGCTCAGGATGCCGGACATGGTGGTGTGGTTGTTTGAAATGGGAGGTGGAGAAAGGTGCAATAGGAAATGTTGGGGAGAGAATTGAATTAAACGCGTCTAGAACAACGAAAGAAGGGTATCTCGAGAAGCAGACGCGGACAGAAAGCCTATATGGATGCAAACCAGAGCAGCAGCACGAGACCAGGGTTGCAACTCGGTGTTGTTGCAAGCATCAACGCCACGAGTAGACGCGGCTCGCGACCTCGGGATGACGTAACCTGGCGCCGCTGTGGCACTGTGGCTGAGTTCGGCTCAAGCCCGGCCCCCTCAGCTTCGGCTTAGGTTCACAGGGGTCGACACCATGCGTTAGGAAGGTCTATTTCTTCGCTTCTCATTCAATGTACAACCGATGTGATGTAACGAAATGAGGGTGTTCCTCGACGCTCTCTATGACATTCGGTCAATGTAAATGAGGCCCTCCTTAGCGTGGCATCCAAACACTATGCACCAGCCACTCTAAAACCCACAGGATTGGTCACCCAACACTCAATCCAGACACTCTCATCGCCACACCAATTTACCAGGCCTCATCCTCTCAAATCCAACAACAAAGCACTGATCCCACTATACAACAATGTCACGAACTCCCAAGGTGGTGGAGGCGGCTGTGGCAGCTATCATGTCCGCGCAGCTTACCCCTACGGAGCATCTGCTTCTGAAAGACTTTGTGGCAAATGCTGTTGATGCTGACCGAGCTGCTCGGTACATCTTAGAGTTAATTGAGCAAAGCTCTGGCCAAAGCACTGAGAATGTGCTTCGATCTCTGAACCGGGACTGGCGCAGGTTGGCTGCTAAATGTGGGTTATCCGTTTCAGCTTGAGAAGTCTTGAAGCATGGTAACCTTACAATTCGTCAGTAACCGGCGTTTCTGAAGTATCGCCAAGGTCACAGACCCTTCTACGTCTTCGTGACGGGCCTCATTGCGCTTTGACAGAGGGCTCTGATCACAGTGTCCCTAAACAAATGGAACCTGCATATATCATTCCGCCTACGATATTTGATGACCCCGATATGGCATATAAGGTAATAGTTGGATATAGTTTTAGCTTTAGAAATGCTAATGTTTTTTATGAGCAGGGCTCGCTCCACTCCCTTCTGGTAACCTTTTTGACGCCACCAAAAGTCTCTAAGATGCGAAACTTACTACGCAGTGATAGCGATCAAGGCATGCTCAAGAACCTCTGGCTGTTGTCGCCGAGTATCCACTCTGCATTTCGTAATGGCCATGTCAACATCCGACCTAAGATGAAGATTGACTGGGACGACGAAGACGAGTGTGAAGTAGCGGATGCAACGGAAGCCAGGGTTTGTGAGGCCGTAGAACAGCAGTTACGCAAAATGCTGACCGAGATATCGATTTGACAGTACACAATCACCAAGCTCTACCCGGATGAATGCACTGGGCTTCAATTCAGCGACGGCGCACCGTTTGAGGACTCTATACATATGTTTACAACACGTACAAAGGACCCAATCCATCTGTGTCTACCCAGCGCCTTTTTATTGCGCGTACATTACAGATTTTCGAACGCCTTGCATCTCTTTTCCATTGAAGATCGAATTGCGAAAGGCTGGCCGCGGTGTGCTCCAGGTACGCCAAGACCATCAGAATACATCTCGCTTGCACCAAACTAACGGGACTTATTGAGTAGGCTTACTTGGTAGAAATGCTCAATGCGTTTTGCACAGACTGTGGCTCTGTATCCCAAAATTTGCTCGAGTCTGGTGTTACCGTAGTCTTTTCAAGGCAGGGCCATATCTCTACCCCAATGAAATCTCTACGCTGGTACAAAGGGTGCCGCTTGGTCTCTACTTCAAGCGCTGCGAGCGATCTCAAGGGAACGAACCCAGCGCATTGAAGTTGTTGGAGCGATACACATCCGTCCCGGCGCCTCTCTTGGTTGACACGTTCCAAGACGACGGCGTCACAGTAATGGTGATGACCAGAGTCCGAGGACAGATGCTGAAAAATGTGTTCCACCTAATGTCCTACGTGGAGCGCGACCAATTTGCGGACGACTTAGCGGCGAGTATTAGGCAACTTCGACGCATCCCGAATCACACACCCTATATGTTCGGCGACACGACAGGCGGCCCAATGGTGGATCATCGCGTTCCGGACGGGAGGTTCGGGCCATTCAACTCAGAGGCTGACTTCAACTCCCATCTGTATCACATCGGTATCGGGCCAGAATTGAAAGAAAGCCTTGCCCCGGTACATTTACGGAAGCATCGGGCCTTCTTCACACACTCGGATTTGCATTTGACAAATCTGCTTGTATGTGGTGGTCGCTTGTCTGGCATCATTGACTGGGAATGCGCCGCATTCAAGCCCGAGTACTGGGAATTCACGAAGGCAATGTACGGTGTGTGGAACCTGAAGGCCCAGGAGGCCATATTTCAGCGTGCCTTTGGGGATGTCTACAAGGAGGAATTAGAAGCAGAACAAGCATTGTGGAGGGTCACGCCGTTCGGTATTTGAATCTGAGGCACAGGAATCACAGAAACATTCTGTTATGGCAATATATATTAGCCCTCACAACTCCAGATACTTTCCAGGGAGCATCCTCCGCCCTTGTCCTTGTTGGTGTAGCGTGTGCCATTTTCCTAAAATGGCCGACCTCCCTTACTTCATCGTTCATTCGCACTTTTCCTATCCTACGTAGTCGGACCCCTACACATCATGAGCACCCAGCGTCAAATACTGAAGGCTTTTCATACGCTCTCTGTTTCCGCATTCGGCCCCAAACTTCTGGCGCGGACAAGATCTTAGGCCCTCGCTAAGTCAACACCACCATCGACCATGGAGATGGATGCTGTAGCGAAGGGCGACACCTACCAGAATTTAAAGATGCTAGAGGCTATAAAGGTTGTCTCATGTACCCGATACAAATAAGGGATGACTTGGAGCTATAGGTCTTCTTTGCGGAGTTGGAGCGTTCCTTTGGATTGTCTAGACATTTGAATCCCATGAATTCAGTCGGAACACCATTGCTTTGGTGAGTATATGACGCCAACTCAGAGAGCGAGAAATCATCTCAAAGCGGACAATCATTCCCCCCCGGTCCACCAAAATAAAAGTAAGTACCCCAATCCCCTCCATTGGGCCAATTGACCAAATCAATCGTATAGCAAGATGACTTGCCCTCATCATTCGCCGTGAGATTTGCCCAAACGCCAACACCATCATTCTCATCCCTTGGAATCCAGAAAATCGTCTTCTGAAACGCAGCTTCTCGCCAACCTTTCTCAGCCAGATCACCACTACCCATCTGTGGAAAATTCTCACCGCCTGTGTAATTTGCCACCTCACCGCCGTAAATAATGACACTCGCATTGTGCGTCATTTGACCCCCATTCCATATCGTTTGATTATAGTAACCAACCGCTTCGTATGCTCCCGGTCCTTGAAGAAACAACCACCAATTTCCTTGATAGAATTTCCACTGCAATGCAAAGCCCCATTGATCGCCATCCTTGGTGCTGTAATGATCCCAAGGTCCGCCCAAATACCAGTTGTGATTGATTTGCACAAAAGCTGGGCAATCGAGATTCCAGCACTTCAGTTTGCCGTAGCCGTCTGCGGTGTAGTAGATGAAAAGGCGACTATTGTCCGAGTTTTCGCTCACCCAGCCGCCTTCAAGAGACTGTAAAGGCTGGCCTGAGGCGTAGCCTTGATACCATTGCTGCGAGATGGTGAAGTCGCCGGTCGGGTTCCAGAGGTCCAGCCAGGAATTTCCGCCGAAGTTCTGCACGTACTGGATCCCGTAGGCGTGGACGTGGATTTCGTCGGCAGAGAACTCTGGGCGCTGTGGCCGCGCGTCCATCGGCGGCTTCGAGAAGAAGTCATTGAGTGTTGGGTGCTGTGTCAGCTTTTCCAGGGTCAATCGGGCCATTGGGATAGACGTCTTTGGACAAGAAATGGGATTGCAGAAACGATCTTTCTTTCCAAGTTTCAGTGGGGATTCGGCGGACGTTGTGTTTCCAGGTGCGTTGCCGTCTCCTGTGTGGTCATTGGTGGAGTTCACTGGTGGCGGTGGGATATCCTTGATGCCGAGATGGTAAACAGTGGGTTGTTCGTGGATGGCAATGCAGTCGGCGTGCTCGTCTTGCAGGACAAAGGACGTGGCTTTGGTGACACCCTCGTACATTTTGAGGATGTGGGCTTTCATCTCGTTGAAGGCTTGTTGGTTGCGGACTTTGGTGTGCTTGTAGTCTTCGTACTTGGCCAAACGCACCTGCTTGAGGAATCTGTCGAAGGGAATGAAGGAGCCGGGGTAATGGTCTTCGTAGCTGGTGGCATCGTCAACGGGCATGGTAAGTGGATGTTGTTGTCGGACTTCCAGGCTAGCTGCTCCAGCAAGCAGAAGTCCAATAACCACCAAGTTCTTTATCCCCAACATGGTTTTCTATCAACGACCACAAAGATAGTAAGAGTAGAGGATATTTCAATATATTTTCATGAGGGCTAGTGCAAATCAATAGCGAGTAAAAGGCAGATGAGGTGATGAAAAATGCGGGATTAATGCTGTCTAAGTTTATACGCTCATTCAGCTCTCAGCCCGCTCAGCTCCCTGCCCACTCAATCATTCATTTCCACCTGCACGGTGTGATGACTGGTGGGCGTAGGGCATCAAGCCAAGCCGCCAAGTCCACGAATGAGATGATTGACGCAGTCGATACGAGTCCTGTCCAGCACCAAGCTCAGTCATGTGCAGAGTTTTCAAGGTTTCAAACAAAACACTGCCAATCGTAACACTTTGCGGCATCATGTGGTGTTGTTGGGGCCAATATCAGATGAAGTTGAGCGTTATGTGGCGTTTCCCCTCTTTTTTCAGCTCTTCAGCTCTCGTCGGTGCATGAGACATCGCCTTTCGTGCATCAAATCTAGGGAACGATAAATCTATTGGCCTTAGATAATAATTCAATGCTTATTAGTTGTAAAATGGTTTAATGTGGTGCGGAAAACGGGCCTGGAGCTTGTCGACTTTAACGTAGACAGTGCATATGAAACCCGCATACTATGTCCTGCGTCCTCCAAAAGATGCCTAAACGTACCTCACCAGAGATTGTCGGGTTTTAAGAAATTATCTACCGTGAAAATCTTTAGGGGACTGATAATCTCACATCCCCTAATTCCTCCACGCACACCCCCTTTTCGCTATTCGCACGCCCCCCCTCTCGTCTGATCTCGTAATTGGCTAGAGCGGCCGGGCCGACTCTTCAGAGCTTCCTCTCGTGCTCCTCTTAGAAGTGAATGAGCGAGCACAAGCGGCCATGCAGGTGGCAATGCAGGTGGCAATGCAGGTAGCAATGCAGGCGGCAATGCAGGCGAGCCAGGCTTGATGGAAAGAGCCTCTACAAGGCGACGTTTTGATAGTTTCGGCATGCTCCTTGGGCATATTAGCACTGCGCATTTAGCTATACATACGGCATCACGTACAGCATCACTTACGGCCTCACGTACAACTATATATACAGCTGAAGGAAACAGAAAGGATAAGCTGCAAAACAGAGAGGCTGTATAGTCATGCCGATTCGTATAGCCTCACGTATAGCCTCATGTACAAGCTCACATACGGCCTCGCGTATAGCATCACGTGCAGAGAGAGGTAAATGTGAATGCCCGGAGGAAGCTCCGCGCTGCTCCAAGCCAATCAGAAGGTGGTGAAGCGCCAAGAGGGGGGGGTTGTGCGAATAGCGAAAAGGGGGGTGTGCGTAGAGGAATTAGGGGGTGTGAGATTATCAGTCCCCAATCTTTATTTCGGCTCCTCGCGCTGTTTGGTTTTCTCATGGTGTTTTTTGTACCGACTAGAATATGACGACGAGAACATTTATTGCACGGTCGACCAAAGGCTCGAAGAATGTCTGAACACCTTGCTTGATCCAGTCGCTGCTAGGAAAAATACGCAACCTACGAGGGTGTTCACCAGGCACTCTCAAACTATTACGGATGTGCCTATCTAACACTCCGCGGCGCGGATATAACACGGCTTGTGGTATATGACAATACTCCCCTTCTCGAGTCTTTTCTAGCTTGGTATGTAGTAAAGAGCCACGCTCGTTGTCACATATACAACAGATGTAAAAATAAGGGCTACTGCGAATGGAATAATAATCTTTCAACACTCAGCACTGTCCCTCTTTATATCAGATACAACATACTTTTAGTTGGACGGTCGACCAGTGCTCCATTGCGGCTTTCCATGCCAGCAGAGCTAACCGCAAGGGTAGTTGCGGTCTACAACCGGGACATGGACTGCTTGTGCGTCGTTGTGCTGTGTAGAGTGGAGGGTCCAGATTCTTGGGCTCAAAATTGGGCGAGCTGCTCAGTCTCGGCTCAGGATGCGCTCACCCCAACACAGCTGAAGCTGGCGTACAGGTGAGTAGCTCAGCTTCCTGAACGGCAAAGGGAGTTGCTTGGGTGTACATTGGGGTGTTGAACTACCTGTTTCAACACCCCAATGTGCACACACGCACTTTGCTCTCCCGTTCAGGGAACTGAGCTGCTTATGCTCCAGCCTGAGCTGTGGCTGTGGCTGTGGTGGGGTGAGCGGATCCTAAGTTGAGACTTGAGGCCCCAGATTTAGGCCCTGTATTCGACAGAGATAGGGACGCCCACCCTGCCTCGGAAAGCCCCGTAGTCCTGCCAGGTCCTTCCAGGCTATGCATATAAGGGCTCTAAGCCCCCCTTTAAATTGACACGGAACTGCCTCTCATGCAACCTAATAACATAAATTGTATTTGAATATCGAGTTACATATATAATCAGGGGAAGTAACGTGATCAGGACTACTATTAGCTCGTGGATAGGAGATTGGCTTGTAGTTCCTCCATTGGCGTATAGCCCTTCCATATAAGTGAGATCTATAAAGCCGACGGAGGTGTATTGAACCATGTACAGAGTAGATTCCGTCCGCTAGCGTGTAGTCGGAGGGACTTCGTGCAGTATATAGAGCTAGGCTTAGATAGCCTGCTACTAGAAAGTTAGTCAGGTGGGCGGTTTGCCTGTAAAGTAAGTTACTCCTACAGTCTAGTTACTAGAGTTAGTTCCCTAACCTAGATATTTTTCATTAACCCCTAACCTATTATATATCTCTTTTCTCTACCTAGTAGTTATAAACCTTGTGTGCACACCCCTTATCATCCTTACCCTTCTTCTCCCCCAACTATCCCCTAAGACGTTCAACCCTCTAAAGGTATAAGAGAGACAGACTTAATCCTAACGGCAGGGCTAGCACATTAGCCACGGATGTCGCCGTGTGGGATGGGAATGTCTCAGCCTGGTTCACTACAAAGAACTTCAAAGCTTTTGGCTAATTGCCGAGCCTCCAAATTCGTCGCCTTGTCCAATGGTGGGCTCACGCACGCCTGAGTACTATTTACCTACTGGTTCGGCTAAGATGAGGTTGAACTCTTTGCTTTTTATGCACCGCCTAATGTACTACAAAGGCGTGTGATAAGAGCGGCTCTCTGGCTACTTTAAAGGGGCCACCCCCTAGGGGCTTGACGCTAATCAGTAGCGTAGAACATATAAGCTGAAAGAGATGTTCAGCTGGCTTCTACAACGGATATCTTAGACAATGCCAGCTGCAGCGTGAATACTAACAGTCACGTACAACCTTGCACACTTCAGCCTTGCACGGTGTCAGCCATGCAAATACACGAACCTCGCTTTCCCCCGCTCCGAGCCCTGTTTGCCTTCCAACTTCCAGCCTCTGTAAGTCGAAATTGGCCCTTTTTGTCAATATCTGGACACACGAGTCATCATGGTCTGCTACATGGTAGTATCGCCTAATCCAAACAATGGCGGGTGGACGGTGGTAAGATAAATATCCGCGAGTATGACTCTCAAAGGAACCCGCGGCTGATCCGGAAAGGTCAATGGTCAACGAGGCTTCTAGGTCAAGTTTGGCGATGGGACGTTTCGTGCTTCATACAAGACAGATAGCCCCTATCACCTGTAAGATTAATAGCCGCTCTGATCATGGCGGCTGGCGTAGGAAGGGCAAAGGATCAGTGAGGAAAGCATGAGTTGTATTGAGGTGCTAACGAGTGGCTAAATAGTGAATAGAACAGGGATTGCAGGTGGCACCGGTTGCAACGGCAGCAACGGTGGCAACTGTGGCAATAGTGGCAAACAACAGGTGAACCTTGTCCAGCTGAGACGTGTGTACAGATGTGCGTAGGAGCATTCTAACTGGCTGCCAGATCAAACGAGCAATTGGTTCTCTACAGCAGAGTAGAAAACGGTGCACATACAGACGCAGCAGTTTACACGCCATCTGTTGAAGGCGTAAGTAGTCACCACCAGAGTTATATCTCGTTTCCATCTAAGATACAATTAACGTGACGTCCGGGGCAACATGAGAGTACGTCTAGGGAAAGCATTGGAATAGGAATAGGTATATTTTCAATGGTCGAGTATAGCTCACTCTGGTATGTGAAGTCCCACGAGTGAAGAAGAATAGGTACCGTAGCTGAGTATTGATCGACAGAAACGGAGTGGCATTACTTCCCGGAACATAACGTCCGCTTACCGCTGGATCAACTCCGTCAGTACTCGATTGATGCTATGCGCCTATTTCCGCGCCTAGATATAACGCAGGATATGGACATGAATAATAATGCAGAAACGCAGCAATTTGCACGAAGAAACGCCCGGGCAGTAAAACATTGGGGAACATGATACGAAGTAACATTGCCGGAGCGCTGGACGAGAGTGAGGTTGTTACGTTCTTTCTGGATGGTATCGATAGCCCCAAAAATTCTCAACTTTACTCTTTCTTTTAACTTTGATTTAGCTAAGTATGAGCAACTAAAAGAAATCGAGATTCCACCTGTCTGCACGAACGGAGGGATCTGATAATAAGTATTGAGAGAATATAGGGCACATAGTGGGCTTAGATCCCTGCTAGCAATGCTCACTCTCTCGATCGGTAGCTGGCCCCCTGATACCAATTTATGCCCACTGCCAGCTTTTCAAGGCAGGCCATCTTTCGATCAGGCAACATCTGCGGCGCAGTATCAGCGCTGTACGCTCTGGAAACTGTTTCTTGAAAAGGCGAGCACCAAGCGAGCCTTGTTTGCTTATGTGCAGCGTCCTAATAGGCTGTAGCTGTTGAGGACTAATTTTACCGAGAGCATGCGTTTTTCAAAATATACAGTATTGTGGAGGCATTCGTAATGATAGAAACTCCAAACACTTCGTATAGGACCTATGAATTCCTTCCGTCTTTGTCTAGGAATGCAGAAAGCTGACTGGTCAGCATGTGAGATGCGGGATTTAACCACTGGTCCTACGAGCACCTGCGTTCGCCTCAGTTCCGGAGGCACACGAGGCCTCTCAGCCTGCTAATGAATCCCGGTACTAAGAAGGCTCCTCCGGGAGGGCTTCATTGAGAACCACATGGTAGCGAGGCTGACGATGACGAGACGGCTGAGTGCAGCTTGAAGAGGCCTCCCAGCGGAGCAGGTGGACTTGTGAGGGCGGCTTGGTGAAAAAAAAATTATGCGAGGCTGAGAAGCGTTATGCCTAAAGCAAATATGGATGAATGGCAGCTGGAGAAGGCTGTGAAGTAGGCTCGCAGGGAGTCTCTTCGAAAACTCATTGTACTAGGCTACCTACATAATGCCCTCACTAATACCAACTGCGTACAGGACGTTTCAGTTCATGATTTTTCTGACAAGAGTCAGGAGTTGTAAGGGCCGTGATGCAAATTATGATATTATGGTCTAAGACCTGCAGCTAGCTACAAGAAGAATACGTTACAAAGGTTAAGGAACTAGGAGTGGAAACAGAGAGCGTACTCTCTCTATATACTCGCTCGGCAGCTACGCTGCCGTTTGGGCAGTGTTCAACTCTCTACCTCCTGTCTAACAGGTTACTCGCCCTGTAATATGGCGCACTCTACGCTAATGAGGGCGGAGAATGCTCCCTAAAGTAATTTAAGTTTATTGTTAGGGGCTTAGCTTGTAGGTACCTTTGTAGAGGTAGGTTGTACTACCACTAACTAAAGACTGAAGAAGTATCTACAAGGAGAGAGTGCATATGGTCACGTGACCCTATCACGTGCGAGGGTGGGATTAGAGCCCAGGTAGTTAGGCCTGTGGTGCGGGCTACTCCTGTGACACTTACAAGGCTTATAAAACTGTACAGGGCCCTAATTTGTGACCCAGGATAGCTTTGAGGCCCCTTGCTAATACTTGGTAGTTTCTGGTGAGGTATGTCTGACTGCGCCGGGGAGTAACCAAACTCAGGCCCGGCTCAGCTTCGGCTCACAGTTCTCCTCAGTCTGCTCACCCTTGCCTATGACCAAAGCCTTGAGCGGCCTTTTTTCTGATATCAGTCTCTGCACACCTATCACTATCAAGGCATTGAGATATTACCAGGAAGCGACACTAGATGCACAATCGTTGAGAGCAAGTCCAAGGCTGTTGTATTGCTTTTGCCTAGGTGGCATAATATTCTCCTGGTTTTCGTGTCCCCTTGGATGTTGGAAGTATATAATGTCACTTATTTTCCGGTCCCCCTAATCTTAGGCGGGGCGTGCCTTTTCATCCAACACTGGGTGGATCATTTACATCGGTTTCCCGCTCTCAATGTTGGTGAACACCCTGTTTAAGACCTTCTTCTGCCTGGCGGTGAGAGACTGTGGGTGTTTGATCTTGAATCCTACGACCAAATCGCCGCGCTCGTCCGGTTTCTGGGACACGGGCATTCCCAATCCGGGGAAATGTTCCTTGAAGTCAGGTTGTATGGGTCCCGGGCGACTGAGAGGAACGGACTTCCCATCTATCGTCATAATGTTACGTTTGAACCCACAAAGTGCTTCTTTCAAGCTAAGAGTGACTGAGTAGTGAAGGTCGTGACCGTACCTCCTGAAGAGCGGGTGTACTTTCTGTTTAGAATGAGCCGTTGGTTTATGAAGATTAACGCAGTGCAACGAACTGACCTCAGATAGTATGAAGTGTAGGTCTTGCCTACTACCCTCAGTTTGATCCCCTACATCGGAGAATTTGATTTTCGAGCCCGCTTTGAGTCCCTTTTTGATCAGTACCTCCAGAATGCGATCTTCCGTCTTAGTCTCCCCAGTTGCAGGGTCGAAAACTTTTCGCTTGATCTTCATCTTTCTGCTTGTGCCGTTGAACAAATCCTCCAACGTCAAAGATAGAGGTCTTTCGACGACAGTAATTTCTGGACTTCGTGATCTCTCTCGACCTCTGGAAGTGTCCTCGTTAGGCCGGGTACCGAAGTCTGAGGAGCCGCCGCCGAAGTCCGAGAAGACGTCTTCGTCACCAGTACCCGTACCGCCACTACGTAGAAATTTAGAGAAGATGGATTCGGGACTAGAAAAGTGAAAGCTACTTTTGGTCGGCTTATCTGTTTTGGACTCTGTTTGTGGAGGTAGAGGTACAGGTGGTGGTTGAGGTGGTGGCTGTCTTCTGTAAGGGGGATTTCCGTAGGAGTCTCTCCCGTAACCATAATATGGATCAGCGTAAGGATCATGACCTGTGTCATGCTGCCAATCTGGAGAATGATCGCGCCTAGGAAGTGTATGATGATGAGGATACTCATCCCCATGGTCATCTTCCATATAATTCTGTCCTGAACGGGGCGTCGGCTTGCGCTCCTGGTATCGAGGCTCATAACCTCGGGGACTGTGCCGAGATCTCGAGTTTGAGCGGTGGTTACGTGTAGTATTGAACGGTCTCGCACGATCGGTAGATGACTGGTGTGGCACGGAGGTTCGACGGCAGGCATCCCACTCGTCGTCGGTGTTCACTTCGTCGGTATCGCCTCTCTCAGGTTTCATCTCTGGATGTGGTGAACGTCTCGCTCTGTCGCTCTTTTCATTCAATCCAACACCTGCGCCGCCTCCACGGAGGAATTCCGAAAAAAATGACTCTGGATCAAAGAAGTCTCCACCTGTTGAGAAGTTGAACGTGCGTCCGCCTCTACCATTGGCAGGAGGTTTATCAGGCTGGGCGCGATCCGGTAGATCAGGGTCATTTTTAATGTTCCCCGGTGAATGCGATAGCTAGGCGGTGCCGATTGCTGCGCGAGAGTGGTATACTGGTCGTCTTTGCTCTCGAGGCCACAGCCTCGCGACATGGGCGCTACATAGCTGCGCCACTCTTCGGTGGTGATTGGTGATACAGCTCAGTCTCGGCTCAGGGTGCGCTCCCCCAGCACAGCCACAGCTCGGGCTGGAGCGTGAGCAGCTCGGTTTCCTGAACGGCAAAGGGAATTGCTTGGGTGCACATTGGGATATCGTGCTACCTGTTTCAAGCATCAACACCACGAACAGACGCGGCCTGGGATGACGTCTGCTCTGGAGTCGGCACGCTAAGAGCGCGGGACGGGATGCCGGTGTGAGGCCGGGAAACTCTTGGCAGGCTCCACCGAAATTTTGTTCGCCGACCTTCACCCTTTTCAAGACACCATCCCCGCGCAACCTGTATGCCCAACACACCTGTACACCATGTCGGAAAAGAAGAGAAAGAGAGAGTCGGAGAAAGGAGACCGGCCTCCGAAGAAGGTGGCTTTTCATGCGCCGGAGACGGTCAAGGTTCAGCTGCTGGAGGATAACGATGTACTGGGGCCTGTTATAGGTATGCAATTCTCGAGAGAGCTGGAACTCAATGACATTTGCCTATCTCTGCTTGTTCAATGGACCATTGACGTATGCAGCCAGCTAACACTCTACAGCATCCACGCCCGGGCTCTCATTTCCCTCCAAGATCGCACTCAAGCCCTACAAGAGCGGCGTTGTGGGAGGCGTCTTGCCCCCTGGCAAAAAGCTCCCTGCGAAGCTCATCCTGCACTCCTCCGACCACCCAATGCTAGACTACACAGCCCGAGAAGAGAAAGACGGCAGCGCCGACAGCCTGCTTAGGCACTACGTCGGCATCTACGACCCTGACAGCGGCGAGCTCAAGCTCATGGAGGCACATAAAGTCACAGTCCGGAGCACATTGCGAAGCGAGGAGGAAGAACTACGGCGAGATCGGGAAGCAGCTGCACAGCTAAAGCGACCAACAGTATGCTCCCAAGCCCTCCCGAGCTCAATATCCCTTTACTAACAACGATGGCGCGTGCAGATCGCAAGCAAACTCGAAACCCTAGGCATGGAATTCGGCAACAAGAAAACCAGAAAGGCAATCGACGACCGCACCACCAACGCCATCACCCGCGACCTCCCTCGACTCGCATCGCCCGGTGGCACTATTCCCCCACCTCCCTCCGATACCGTGGCCGCCGCCGTGCTCAGCGCCATGGAAGCCTCTACCTCGAATATGCCCACGAAAGACGAGCAGACTGCTGCGATGGAAGAGGGGAAGCCGCGGCCAAAGGCAAATCTAGACGCCAAGATACCCGCTGAGGTCTACACCATCTCTTCGCTAATAGGGAACGAGATCATGGGCTTGATCAACGTGAAAGACTGGGTAGATGCAGCGGAAGCGAAAGTGCCGGTAAAAGTGAACAGCCGGTTCGTGGCGAAGCGGATACAGACACTGGCGGCGGGCAAGGATATCAAGAAGTTGAAGGTGCTGCGATTTATTTTGCTGCTGATGATGTTTAAAGACCAGTTGCGACAGAGGGGCGGAAGGGGGCCCTATACGATCCCCTTTCGAGATAAATTCAACGAGGCTATGGGCGGGAATGCGCCGTTGGTGCAAGCGTTGAAAAGGAAGTTTGCGAATGAGAAGTACGTTGGAACCCCTTTACCGTCCTATAGAAGCGCATCTATACTGACTGCTTTCCCACAGTGCTGAACTCACTCGATGGCACCTCAACTACCTCATTTCTCACGTCTGCGCCGCCGCTCTCATCGTAGACGACTTTGTTGTCGACACCTACGATCTGAAAGACGATTTGAAGATGACGACGCCTGAGTACGTACAAGTTTTTCTCGTCCTTTATTCTCTTCTCCCACAATATGATGAAAACAATTGGTCCGTGTTTAAGAGGCGGCTTAAGACCCCGCCACCTGACTACAAAACCAGCACTCTGTGCACTTCTGATCCACACATTCAATTACAAATACATACTTAAGAAGCACGTCTTGCTGTCCATTTACTTACCAGACTCCAGACTCATGACCCTCTTCAAAGAAATCGGCGCGCGCGACTCCACCCCCACCGACACGGAGCGCGAACGCTACAGGATAAAATCGAAAGCGGAGGCCGTCGCGCACCGGATGGCGAAACTGCGGATCCCGTTGGTGTTTCCGAAGCAGAGGGTTATGGGGCCGAAGAGGAGGGGATAAAGGAATCCAGACAGTTTTGCGTACCGGTAGAGAGCATGCTTTATATATCCCAGTCTCAAAATATCACGAAAGATTTCAGAGGTCAAAGCTAGTCTTTTACTTGCTTAGGTTCTTGATGATGGACTGCTAACCACTGCCCAACACTTCCTCTATCGTTCCCTTCCCTCCTAACCAGCGCATCTCACGCAATAACCACTACCACTACCACTACTACTACTTATTACTCCCAAAGCTCTTCCACCGCCACCTCCCCTCACAACCGCACTCCCGCCCTTCAACGAAACCTACGCGGAATCAGCAGTGGCCGGTGCATATGCAGCATCGGTGGACGATGTTGCTGCACCCGAACTCTTGCTATCGGAGCTGTAAGGGTCTCCGGTATCCTACCCGGCTCATTCCGCAACGTCTCAGCAATGCTACTCGGGGCGTTGAGCAGCGTCTCCGCCGACGCCATCGCCCTCTCGGCGTCGACGTCTTGCACGATAATCATCATCGACGCCATCCCCGCCCTCTTCGTATCGTCGACACTCATGATTGGGATAGTCTCCGCCCTTTCCAGAACCATGGCGCCGGCGGGTTCGGGTCTTCCTGACGCCCGCTCTGGGTGGCGGGGCGGGATTGGCGGCGGCGGCGGTGGTGCAGCGTCGTCAAATCGAGGTTCACAAGGAGATGCGGGCTCGTAGTCAGAAGCCCGCGCTCTGCATTGCAGACACCGAAAATGCAGACACGCGCCGCGCGCGTGCGTGCAGAGGAGCGCGGAAGCTTGCGGTTGCCGCCCCGCACGAATGCAAGAGCCCAATCCATCCGCATCGCTCCCCCCCGCGCCCTCACCCGTGTCGCTAGCGCCGTCGTCCCCTTCATCTCGTTCGCGTCGCTCCTGGCGGAGCTTCTGGAGGTTGTAGGATGGCGCGTCTATCCTGATGCGTGGTAAAGTGGGTGTTGTCGCTGGCGCAGAGCCCCAAGTACAGCCCCTTCCACGACATTGGGAAGGGGCGCGTTGTACGCGTACCGCGGGTAGCGGTACGCGTGGCAGCGCTCGCACCGCGCGTGCTGGCACTCGAGCCGCCAGCATGAGCGTTGGCGGCTGAAGACGTGCGTTTGGCAGGCGCAGCACCACCATTTGGGGCGGTTTTCGGCGGCTGTGGGGAGGGGGTTGGGGGACATGGGGGGTTGGGTTGGGTTGGGTTGGGGGTTCGGTGGGTTGTGTTTTATCGATGGTCGATTCTTAGGGGGCGGGGGGCGTATAAGTTACTGTGGCTGGGTAATGCGCATTCGTGAAGCAGCGGAGTAGAGAAAGGGGTTCTAAGGAAAAGAGGGAGAAGTGGGGAGATAAATAGATTATGAAATAGCAGTACGTAGGAAGGGACTGAGTTGTTCGATGCGTGGGTATGCTGGGTTGGCCGTGGAGCATGTGCTGGCCGCGTTGTCGAGGATTGTGAAGTTTGAGGCAAGCAGATTAGAGAATGGGAGAGCTGGTGAAGACAACAGGATATTAGAGACCAAGTGAAGAAAGGGTCGTTTGGGATTCAGGATATGGCTTGGAAGCAGTGTTGGCTCTGCTGTTGGAGAGAATTCTAAATGAAGATGAAGCACGAGAGCGACACGAATAGAATAATGATGAGTTCGACTTTTGAAAGTGATTCCGGGTACCGTATTTTACAAGCCGTTCAGGTCGTCCGTAATTCCCCTCGCTATCCTATACCACCCTATGTCATCCAGACGCCCAATCAGAATTCCTGTCTTCGAGAATTACCTCGAAAAGACTGGATAGAGAGCTTACTCCCCACCCAGTCTCCGTCCAGGACCCCTACCATTCCACTGACCCCCAAACCCAAACCCTCTCCCTGTAGCCCGTTGCGCACCTGGTGCGGCTGTGGCATCTCTCGGCGGGATCGCGGTGCCGTACCCCCTCTGCCTGGGCGCCGGATTATCCGCACCAAACGCCCGCTTCACGAACATCGGCGTCTGTATGTAATTCTTCCCACCGCCAAAGGTCGGCCAGATCCTGGTCAGGAAATCGAAGGCATGGGCTGCGAACAGACCCATAGATTGATGCATTGCTGCTCCCGGCCCCTCGAGCACGAACGTCAAGAAGAGCATGCTGTAGGGCAGATACATAGCGTCGAAGGTCAGGATGAAGAAGGAGACCTTGCGGTGTGGGTTATCCTGGGAGTATGTGTAGGCGAGGGCGAGCGTGAGAGGTTGGAGGAAGAAGTAGCCTTGGAGGGCGAGACCGCTGGATGCCTGTTCCCGTTTGTATAAGCATATCGTCCATCATACGTAGAAGCAGACGTGCTGTGGTATTGAACATGACAACGTATGTAATGAGAAGGGACTGGGTAGGATAATTTGTAGGGAGCCATCACCACCACCGTCGGAACTCGGGGTCCGCGGGGCTTTCTCAAATGGCATTTCCCACCATGCCCACGCCGCACACAACCCCGGTTTGTTTTATGATTGCGAATGATGGGGTGTGCGAAGCGCGGGGGTACTCTCCCTCTGTTCAGGAACCGCGGCAGCCAGTGAGCATGCGCTGGGCGGGCAGTTTAGAGGTTTGGTTGGGTGTAGCATATACACCGCTGCTTTGTTTTGGGAAGCTTCTGAAATTGGGGGCCAAGAAAGAAAAGTCGATTGCAGCGCTACATACCACGATGAGGAGGCCTACGAAGACGAGGTAGGTGAAAAAATCTCCAGGTGCAGTGAAGCGTGGAGATTCAGTCTCGAGGGAACTTGCATATGTATACACTGTCCCAGTTAGTTACGTGTCTCTGCAAGCATCACATCCAGTATGCTCGTACAGAAGTATGGGTCAAGTATGATTGATAGCTTCGGTTTCGTAACGAGGAAAGCGGTGACTACACGCCATATCTGAGGCGGCAGGCGCCACATATACTCCGAAGCGAAGAGGAGCGGGTATACGGACAGCACGCCGCCATAGACCAGCGCGGAGACGGCGACGGTGGCTGCTGTGATGGTTCTAGGATCAGCATCAGAAATTGTTATTTGCCAAGATGTGAGAACGTTTGAGAGGCAGGCTGGAGCGGTGTACTGACCTCGAAACGGGCGGGAGGGTCCAGAAGACGTCCATGGTTGCTGGTGGAGAGAGTAGTGGAGAGAGTGGTGGGGGACTGCAAAGCAGCCTGGAGGCACAAGAGACGAAGTGAGAAGTGGCTTCTCCGTGAGCGGCACGGTCGGAAGACGGCGGATATTTCTTCCAGCAGGTCCGAGCTCAAGTTCAGTTCAGACGGATAGACGTCATAAGGAGATCGTATAGCATATGTGATATGATATCAGTCCTTCAATTCCTTAGGTAGTCTACAAATACATTTACATGCCGAAAACACTCCCTAATCGAACACAAATTCCTGTAGACAACGCCGAACGTGTAGTGTACAGGCCATCCCAATGCACCGCCTTTTGATGTTATACAGAACAACCCTATGCCTAGTCATACCAAGACCTATGCCTCTCCACCCTTAACATTCCCCATATTACTATAGAGCCACTCCATATACTCATCCGCATTGTCAACCTTGACATCTGACTCCTTCGGAACGGCGGAATCCGGCTTGCCCACATCATGCCGAAGCCATGGCCCCATCTGAGCGACGACCTTCTCCCTGTCCATACCAAGCGGTGTATACACCAGCCTCTCCTTCTCAGCATCGTCAGCATCCATCTCTTCGCGCCACGCCCGGCCCTTGCTGCTGTACTCTTGCAGGATCTTGCTGTAATAATCGTTCGCGTTCTCCTCGACTGCCTCCCGAACCAACGCTTTCTGGCGACGGCCTTTGAGTTGCTCCAGCAGTCGACCTGCGCGTCCGTGTGCAATGGGGATCTCGCCGAGACTATACTCGATGGTCCAGTCCTCAGCGAGGGTCAAGTTCGTCGGACGACTGATATATTTGCCATTCAGCTTGTTGCGAACGGTGAGAGTGAGGCCGAGAACATTGTCTTCGGCAGGCTCTGGCAGCGACGACTCGAGAGACCCAACGATGGACTTGGCGTCGGTCAACAAATTGGCTGACTCTATTTCCGCTTCCGCCACGCCGTCTGTGATGGAATCTTCTTCAGCCTCGACATCTTCCACTTCTTGTGCAGCAGGGGTTCCTTCCTCCTCGGCATCGGCTTTACCTTCCTGATCTTGCTCGAGCTCTGCCTCGATGCGGGTATTGATCTCACCCCATTCCTTTTGCATTTCTTCTTCCTCTCCCACTAACCCTACAACGGACCGTTCAAACTCCTTCATAAGCTCCGAATTTTTGGTCTGGATGGCCTCAACCTGCTCTTCCGACACAGGTTCGGCGAAAACGTACATGAATGGAACCTCGACATCGCGTGTCTCAAAGTGCAAGCGAATAGACTGTGATGATTAGAATGAGTCCACATGTAACTGAATGCTGGACGTACCTGCTCGGGGAACTTTTTCGCTGCCTTGTCAAGAACCTCACTCAAGAGCTCGACACTAAGCTTGAACTCCTGGTCTCCGAGACATGGATCCTCCTGGCCATGAAGAGCAAGGTCCATTTCCGCCTTGCTAACGTATTGAAATCCAAAAATACGCTCCACATTGTGGAAAGCAATGAAGATACCGTCCATTCTACCCATGCGAACCTGCAAGGAATACTTCAACATGGTCGCCCTGACCATGTCGAAGTACTCGCGCTCGAAAGACTCCCACTCTCCGCGAAGATTGCGAATCTGGTAGCCTGAGCGCTGCTCGAACTCACTGGCTTCCATGCGCACGGAGACAACCGCCCTAGTCTTCAGGTCGAAGATACCAGTACCAGGCAATCGCGGATCCTTGGCATCAAGTTGCGATCGCATAAGGACATTGCCCTGTTGCGTGTAATGGAAGCATTTGCCGTCTTCGTCAGTAGGCGTGTCCTCTGGATTGCTCCTCCTGTAGCGCTCAAACATGTCGGGCGAATTGGTCAAGAGTTTTTCCATGGACTGGCCTAGCCAGCTCATTATATTCGGAGTATCGAACTCCTTGTCGGCATCAATGGCATACGTGCCATCTCTCCAACGTAAGAATATTGCACTAGGAGCGCGTTGGATTTTGCTGAACTTGTTTGTAATGTCAGGGAATTCCTTTGAGAGCATGTTGAGGTTCAGTGTGCGCCATTGCGAAAGCAGATAGTGGAAGTGGGTCAGGATCCCAGACATGCTAGAAGTCGAGCCCGTGAATTTGGCACCTAGACTTTTCGCCATATTGATGAGTCCTTGGTCTTTAGAGGACGTCATATACTTTTCCAAAGAATCAAAGTCAAATTCTGCGGCTGGCATAATCTTTTCAAGGTATGGGTCGAAGTTGTAGACGCGAGATCGTGGATCTTGGAGGTGGTAGACTCCCGGGTTAAATAGGACCCTGTCGAGTCCATGGGCCAGAGTAGGTACGGGAGGAACTTCAACGTCTACAGGATTAAAATGCAAGTCGTCTGGTGAGAGTCGTTTGATGTCCACTGGTCCACGACGATATGCCGTGCCCTTCAGCGCCTCTTCAAGAGAGCTGAACCCGCCTACGTTCGCTATCGACTCATCCCTTCTCTTATAAGCGAGCGCGTCCTTCGCTCGTATTTGTATGAGACTGTCTTTCACAAGATCCTTGACTGTTCCAGTCGGTTTTGATGGTTCCTGTGTTGGCGCTGGGTCAAAATTTGCTGTTGCATTTATCTTTCTGATTATGCTGTGTTCTCGGGCGTTTCTCTTTCTGTATATTCTAGGTTCGCCCACTGCCATACTGGGTTCGCCCACTGCCGCGCGGGGGGCCTCAGATGCAGCGGCTGTTCTTGCGTTTTTCCTCCTTCGCATCGATGGAGATGACGCCCTCGTACGACGGATCATCGATGGAGATAGCACGGGCGTTCGACGGTTCGTCTTCCTCACCAGAGTGGTTGTGGCGTGCCCCGTGTCATTGCTCCTACTATCCGAAGCAAGGCGCTGTTCTTGCTCCCGTAAGGCATTGTCCATTGAAGACAGCGCTTTTGCCTTCTCTGTGGCCTCTTTGGCCTCTGCCTCTGAACTTTTCTTCCCTCTGGCCTTCTTCCCCTCTGTCTTTGAACTCTTCTTTTCTTTAGGCATCCGCTCTTCTGCCTTTACATCCGTCTTCAGTTCGGCCTTCTTACCGTTTATCCTCCGAATGGTCGTCGGCCCGGCGTTGGCGTCGTCGGCCCGCTTCAAGGGATCAAGCGTGGAGCTCCATACGTCCTTGTCTTTGCGAGACCGCCTCCCTCCCTTCTTATCCGAATTGGCATTGTGCGACGCGCTGCTGGAGAAGGGCTGGCTCTGGCTAGTGCCGGCGATGGCGATGGGCAGGTCATCATGGTCGTTGGTGGCATGGGAGGTGGTGGTGTATAAGAGGGTCTGGTGGCGTGTGGAGAGCTGCTTGGTCTCGCAGGAGAGGCAGACGTAGGGATTGGCGGAGCGGGAAACGCGTGCGAGGGTGCGGCCGAGCATTCCAGCCGGCAATTGAGACGGCACAGGCGTCTCGGGTCGAGGGGGTGGATGCGCGCAGTCGCACTCCTGAGGTCGAGAAAACTTTGGGCAGGCATCGTCGGCGAAAGGGTCGGGCCGTGCGATGCCGCCGTCTCCTGCATGGCTGAGACCGGATGTCACGTGCAGAGCCCCGGCAGCCGAAGCGCGAAACCCGTCATCAGATGGAAGCCGAGGCCGTGATTGGCTGCAGGGCAGATCGCGAAGCTGGGATGCAAAGACGCCGCTGTGGCCCGGCAGTCGACGCGTGTCGGCCATAACAAGAGAGGCATCGCTGCGGCTGTGGCTGCCCTGGAAGCTGCCCGTGTTCTATTGCACTCCAGCATTCTCGCATCTGATCCCGCTCACCGCTTCCGTCGAGCAGCGCGCATCGCCATCGCATAAACACCGAACCCATCGTCGACCTGCATCTTGGCCTGCCCCCGCGACGCCGCCCCGCCGCTGATTGGGCGCATCCATCACCGCTCTCTGCCGGCGAGCTGCTGATGATGCAAGCATGAAAACAGGCCGGGCAGCTGTCCAGAGGTATGTACCTTTTCGACCTCACCCCAACTCGCCATTCACGCCACCGCCCTCCCCGCCGTCCATGCTGCCTCAAATACTGACTATGGACGCGACAGGCACTGCACCTTCCGTTGATGCTCCCGTGCCCGCCGGCCTTCCTTGGCTTGCTCTTCTGCGTGTCCCGCGCTTCCAATCGCGCCGATCGATATCTCCTTCCGCCGTATACCCCACCATTGCACGACCCTGAAACCGCCGCCTGATTGGCATACCAATTCGACATCACCCTCCCTAGGACTTGGACCCTTACCGCGGATATTTGGAAGAAGAGGCGGGCATTGGCTTCTCCGCAACGTGTTGGATATTGCAGAAGCGAATTCGAACTATTCATTTTCTATCCTGCGCAAAAATATCAATTGTCGAAGCTCGGGCGAGCTTAAGGCGTGGCCTCCACCATGTCTCACCCCGGGAAAGAGGGAAAGGATGGCCGCAAGCGCCGCAGTATCTTTGCTCGCACTCCCCTCAGTTCCTTCACGCCAATCCACGATAAAGCCGAAAGAGACAAGGACGAGCCTGCAAACCTGCTAAGGAAGCGCAGGACAAACTCGCTACTAACCAACCTCCAGACATCTATCCACATTGGAGAAGACGATCCTTTCGGAGATGGAGCAACGAGCCCAGGCTCACCTGTCAGGCCACCTTATGGGGGCAGCCGGGGCAGCAGCCGAACGTCCAGATTTGGCTCCCTTCGGTCTCTAAGATCTCTTGACGACTATGAAGAAGCCCGGACGCCTACTTCAATCAAAACACCATCCGTAAATATGAGTCCGTTAGACGACACGTTCCGCAACCGCCATGTTTTGCACCATGGGGAAGTTCAGACAAGCAGTTCCATGTTCAGGAAGAAGAAAGAGTATTTGGTCTTGACAGAAACGCACCTAGTCCGCTTCAAAAGCCACCACAAAGCTTCTGAAACTTTCAGCGCGCAAGTAATCCCGCGTTTTCCCTCAAAACTTCCCAAAGCTCACTTCATTAGCGTCCCTTCCCCCCTATCACGAGGACTTTCAAACGTGAACGTTCGTCACAGTCAGAGCCCGTCTGCCGGGTCTCATGAGTTCAAGTCGGTACCTTCGGAAGCTTCTGGTGACCGTGAAATGGGCACGCCTCTACGTCAGATTGTTGCTGTCTACGATCTCGATGACGGACGTCCCCATTTTGCAATCGAGATTACTTATCTCGACGATGAGACTAATCATGCGTCCTCTATGACACTTCAATTTGGAGATCCTGAAGATATGAAGCTATGGCTAGCCGCGATTCGAGAGGCAGCCAATCGTGTCCGACTGGCAGATCTAAACCCCCTGTCTGATATGAACTCGGAACTTTGTGCTCGCGTCGTGGAAAGGGAGTTTGACTATGTACCGCCCAATTATGCCATCTACAAGGTGGTCCAGCGACCACTTGGAAAGACCGGGTCGCGGTCCTCTTCTGACGACCTTTCTAAGGCCATTAGTACTGTGTGTTTCCTTGCTATCGGTGTTCACAAGGTACATCTGATTCCACTGTTCAGACCTCAACGACCTTCTGGTACCTCCCTGGCCTCTCAGAATGCCCAGTCATCTTATGGTATCCTCACAATCACCGAGCTCAAAGTCAGCGAGAAGGATGATAGTTTTGAGCTAACCTTTCGGTAAGTCTACAGCCCCATTCGTACGACTATTACTAACTGTTGAGCAGGAAACCTCTAGAGAGGCCAAAGGTACTCTACCTAGCATCGCTCGCTTCACATGATATCGCGGTACGATTACGGTATGTTGAAGAGAACATGCGACCAGAGTGGGAATCACGTCCGTACACTTTTGACGTTCCTGATGACGTCAAACGTGATATTCTACGAAACAGCAGTCCACACCCGATAGATAGCGAGTCCCTTGATCGTACGCTTATTGGATATTGTATTGCCTACGACGCCAACCCGGAGAACATTCGATACCAAATAACATATCCCGATGAAGACTCTCCCCGCTTTGAGTTGTTGCCGCCAGATAATCGGCGAAACAACCAATATACAGCTCTAGAACTTCTTTCGGTCATGCGAGCCCTGCGCTATAACGAATCCTTTTGCGGTCTTACTTTCAAAGACGTCCACCTGGATGTTTTAAACGGCCTCGAGGATAGATATGGAACCGAGCACGTCTGTATCAAGACCAAACGTGGAACACTCGTTCGAATGGACGTAGAAGAGCTTGAGAGATCCTGTCTTCTTGTCCAGGAAATTCGCGCGATGGCAGTCACTAGCCGAAAGTTAAGGAGAATGGACTTTTCGTCTTGCATTTCAAGGAAACCTCGGAATTACGAAGACACGGGAAACAAAGACAGGGATATTGGATGCGGGATTGTGGAAGCCCTATTCCCGTTATGCAAATATCAGACGACTAATGTTGATTGGATAGCTCTGAACAATATCGAGTTGGGCGAAACGGATTTCGATTATTTGGTCGCGGCAGCAGTGGAAAGGGCCTGTCACTTCCGTGCACTCGAGCTGAGCGGATGTGGGTTGACAGATCGAACGCTGTCTCTTCTGCTTGACTCTCTGCGACCGCAAGAGAATACTCTTGAGGCTATCAACATCTCACGGAATCCTTTCCGGCTCTCACCTGCCATATTTGACTCTCAGATTGGGTCTTTCGCATACATCACGAAGCTCAACCTCGCACACGTTGCAAGGACATCAGGATCAGAGCCACTTATATCCTATGAGACATTTCGGGTTTGGAGGTTACAAGAGCTAGTACTTAGCGGCACTTCGCTCAACAATGCAATGGTCGACTCCATCGCTTCGTAGGTCCCCCTTGTTTATGCTGATCCCTCGAACAAGCAATGTAAAGATACTGACTACTTTCCAGCTATCTTCTAGACTACAAACAATCCAAAGCCCTGCGCGAGCTCCGCCTCGACCACTGCTACCTCACCGGCAAAGACGTCGCCTACCTCATGCACTCCATGACCGAAAAGCCCGGCTACGCGCGTGAACTCCACCTCGACGTCAGCGAAAACAACATCGAGCAGAACCTCGACCAGCTCACGACCGCCATTGCCAGCGGCCTCGCCCCCTCCAGCCTCACGATCCGCCTCATCGAGTTCGAAGAAGAAGCCGAATTCCGCCAGCTCATCATCGCGCTCGCAACCAACCGCACCATCCGCGCCCTCGACATCTCGCGCGCCTCGCTGCCCTGTGACGCCGACGACGAGACGTGCCACGCGCTCGAGATGATGTTCGCCGAGAATTCCACCCTCCTCTTCCTCGACATTTCAGGCGAGGACTCGCGCCTCGAAACCACCAAGCTCGGCGTCGGCATCAACAAAGCCCTGCGCGGCCTCGAGCGCAACCGCACGCTGCAAACCCTGCACATCCAGTTCCAGAAGCTAGGCCTGCAGGGCGCATCCACCCTCGCCGACGTGCTGAAGACCAACGACACGCTGCAGGAGCTGCACTGCGAGAACAACGGCATCGGGCTCCCCGGGTTTACGGATCTGGTGAATGCGCTGCATAGGAATACGACGTTGCAGTACCTGCCCGCGATGCAGGAGTCGCGGCTGACGGCGCTCAAGCAGACGGAGGACCAGGTCAAGCAGATGCGCGACGATGGGGGAGTCGAGGCGCCGCGGCGCTCGGCGTCGTCGACCACCGCCAACGCCATCTCCTCGTCCTTATCCAAATTCACGAAAGGGACGAAGTTCATGACCATGCCGTCGACGTCGTCGAAAGCGCAGAATGGCCAGCACCACGGGCACGCGCATCGGAGGAGTGGTAGTGGTGGGAGGCATCCGCCGAGTATGTTGTTGAGTGATCAGGACATCAACGCTGCGCTTAGGCTGGTGGATGAGAGCTGGGGCCGGCAGATGTATCGGCTGCAGCAGTATCTGGGCCGCAATTGGAATATTAAAATGGGCGTGAGCACGCAGCTGGAGGTGGATGAGGAGGAGTTTGAGCGGCCAGACACAGCAACAGATCTGGGGAGAGTTGTCGAGAGGGTCAGGAGTGAGCGGACGCCGACGGCGGAGAAAGAGCTGGAGTTGGGAGAGTGGCTGGTTGGTGGTGAAGGGGATGACGGGGACAGGGAAGAGTGGGGCGGGACGGGCACGAGGGAGGGGAAGCATCTGGAGAGGGTGGTTGAGGCGTCCTCCGCGCAGGTGCGGGAGGCGAGCGCGTTTGAGAAGGAGCTGGAGATGAGTTTTGCGGCGAATGGGCTGGACTGGGACGGGGGGAAGCGGTTTGGGTAATTGCGATTGGGACGTATGTGAAAATGGGTTAGATTTCTGGGTTTCGTGGCGTTTTGGGATGGCACGGATGTCTGGATGGGGCAGGATGGGGCAGGATGGGCAGGATGGAAACGAAACCGTGCTTATTCTCTTGGGGCCTGCGCGGGGGTTAGGTATGCATGTTCGATACGATACACCTTTGGTTGCGTTTCTTGTACACAAGCTCTCTTGCGGTTTGCGGCTTTGTATATTTTGATAGGCATGAGGGAGCGTAGATATCATACATAGATATAACCTTTTACTCGATGCATGGAGTCGTAGGTCCCAGTTCATCCGAAGGTGGAACAGCACACGCGTTTACGACGCTATCTGGGAATGGTGGGGCTCGCGGCGTCTCGATTGAGCGGTCTGAATGGGCCGCTTTGAGCGTGCGAGGCCGGTGGCTGCGGGACCCCTGATGGGTGGTGGCTGGGATGCGGGCTGAGATGTCACAGTCGCGAAGGGCTGGATTCGGGTGGGATGATTTGGGGTGGGTTGATTGAGGGGAAACTAGGGCGAGGGGGTTTGGATTGAGTGGCGGGAGTGTGGGGGTTGAGGGAGTGAAGCCGCCGTCTGGAGTCCTTCAAGAGCGTTGTGAGGTTCCTGAGTCAATGGAAGGGCGGGAGGGGCTAGGTCTGGCCGTGGTGATCTGGGATTGTCTTGATCAGGTGGAAGCTTACACTGGTTTCGAATGAGGGGTGTAGGCTTGTGCGTTTGACTGTGCGAGAGTGGTGGATGGCAGGCTTTGATGGGTAATAGGAACGCGGGATGGGACGTCAAAGCCTGAGAAGCTGAACCTGAGCGCAAGTGGTCTGGGTTGGGGTTAGTTGGATAGAAACGAGCAGAGAGTTTAGATTGAGTGGTGTGGATTCGCGATTTGAGAACGCAAAGTTGCTGTCTGAAGTCCCCCAGAAGCCTTGAGTTTCATGAGATAAAAGAAAGGTCGCGAGAGGCTATATCTTCGTGTAGTTGTATTCCATACTCCAATTGAGCCGTGCTACGATCACACGCTTCGACCAACCGGCATGGGGGGGTGTTTTGAGAGTGTGGAAGTACTGTATAATGATACTACGAAGAAGTTGTAAAGGTTTGAATTCAGTCAATTGCACGAATGAAATCCCCTTCAGCTCTTATTATCCCGATGCACGCCCCCCTCCCCTCCAACCCCGGGCGTCCCCCTGTCTTCGAAATCCGCCTCGTACCGTCTCCAAAGCTCCAAATCCCTGGCCTGTCGTCGCTGGTGCCGCAGCTGGTGTTCGTACGCGAGCATGCGCTTGTCGCCCTCAACGGCGGAGCCGACGATCATGAAGGCCATTTGGATGTAGCTGGGAAGAATGAGAATTGGGAATGAGAAGGAAGGAAAGGAAGTGCGGAGGTGTGTAGGGTAAAGTGGGGAACGAAAAGGGGAAGGGAGGGAGTTGCAGAGTTTAGTAATATGGAGAGGATGATGGGACGACATACACTTTAAACTGCACCGTCAACCCCCTGTATACTGGCGAGAACGCATAAGCCGTCGCGCCGCAGACGCCGGCGAAGGCGCCCCACTATTCCATTACGCTCGTTAGAAATATGATCTCGGGCTTTGCTTTGGATTGGATGAAAGGGCCAATGTGGGTCGCGTGATAGCTCCTCGGAGCGTTTCTCGATCTTTTTTCTCTTGGGAAAGGAAAGACACTGCAGTACAGCGAAGCCGGTTGCGTAGAGAAAGGGAGAGAAAATAAAACTGTCCTAAGAACCTCGAATTGGAAATATAGATGCTGAAGAAACAAACTCACCTTCATAGCGCCCACCCCCGCGCCCCTCGCCGCCTCCCACCCCGCCTCCTTCGCGTCCGCGTCGTCGAGGCTCTTGTGTGTGCGGCTTGTCATGTTTCCGTCTATCTCAGCGGTCGATGTAACATATCCCCCGGATTCGAGGTTGATAGTACAAAGTAGGGTTGATAGTAAGTGATGTTAGGCTGCGTCGAACGACGATGTCCGCTAGCGTCGGGTATTCCCGCCGTTTCGGGATTTGGTCGAGCAAACGATGATTGGATACCCAGGGCAATGGGAGCGTGGGATGGAGAAACAGATGCGTGGGAGGAGCGGGATGGATGCTTTGTGGGTTTTGGGCGCGGAGCTGGAGGGATGGGGTTAGAGGGTTGGGGCTTTAGTATGCGAGGTAAGGAAAAGGCATCGTTCATATCATCACGGATGCAGCCACGGAAGTAGATGCAAGCAAACCTCATTGCCGCTGATCTAAATTACGGCACAGCGCCCTTTATGCCTCGATAAGATACGCTCTACTGATACAGGCAGCCCAAGCTCGCCAAGAACTGCAGAAAAGCAGTATCCGCCTCGTCTTCCCTCTTTCGCCAATCTACAAGTACAGACCCTCCGGTTCGCCCTCAGTCTTCGTCTTCAAGACACGCTCCCTAGCAGAGCGGAAATCTTCCATGTTGACGCGCATCCTGCGTTCTCGCAGCGCCATCAGGCCGGCTTCGGAGCAGATGGCCTTGATGTCGGCGCCAGAGAGGTCGTCCTTCTGGTTGATGAACTCGTCGAGGTCAACGTCGACGTTGAGGGACATCTTGGAGGTGTGTAGGGTGAAGATCTTCTTCTTGGTGGATTCTGCAGATTGATTTAGCGTTTGCAATTAGTGTGAAGAATGGTGGAAATCTTACGATCAGGGTTCTCGAAGAGAATCTTTCGGTCGATACGACCAGGACGGATCAGAGCTGGGTCCAGAGTCTCGATCTTGTTGGTGGCCATGATAACCTTGACATCGCCTCGATCGTCGAAACCGTCAAGCTGGTTGAGAAGCTCCAACATAGTCCGCTGGATTTCACGCTCACCTCCAGACGTCGACTCGTATCGTTTTGTCCCGATGGCGTCGATCTCGTCGATGAAGACGATAGCAGGAGCGTGCTCAGCGGCAACCTGGAACAGCTGCCGCACAAGTCGAGGACCATCACCCAAGTATTTCTGGATCAGTTCGCTTCCCACGATTCTTAGGAAGGTGGCACTCGTCTGATTCGCCACGGCCTTCGCTAGCAGCGTTTTGCCGGTACCCGGCGCACCGTACAGAATAACACCCTTTGGAGGCTTGATTCCCATCTCTTCATACAGCTCAGGGTGGAGTAGAGGAAGCTCGACAGCCTCTCTGACTTCCTGAATCTGCTGCTCCAAACCACCGATATCCGCGTACGATTCCGTCGGCGCTTTGTCTAGTTTCATTACTGAAACAAGGGGATCGGCGTCGTCCGTCAGAACTCCGACAACAGACACCGTCTTGTGGTGGAGGAGGATGCTGGCGCCTGGCTCGAGGAGGTCCTTATCAACAAAAGACATGATGGAAACGTAGTATTCGGGGCCGGTGGCGCTGGAAACGATGGCGTGGTCGTCGTCGATGAGTTCCTCCAAATTTCCGACGCCCATCGGGCTGCCTCTCATGTCGTCCACGCGCGATCGCTCATCGGCGTTCCGGTCTAGGGCATCTGAGTCTCCTCCGGCGGTCGCTGGGGTTGCAGTAAGGACTGCCTTGGCTTTTCGGAGGCGCTCTTGGTTTTCGACATATTCCTCCTCGAGAAGGAGATGATCGTGGATACGTTGCATCCGCAGGTACCTCAGCTTGCAGCGGGCGGTTGGGTATACGGTCGGTAGCTTCGCGGCGGCATTTGGACCTGCCTGCTTGCGCTTCTTCCTGCCGATGCGGGTCGTTGGTTGTGGGGGAGGCTCGTACTTTGGCTTGTCCTTCTATAGATATATGTAATCAGTATCGTGGCCACAAGCAGCGCCGGGGACTTCGATAGAGCCAGCTGAAGCCTGAATGCTGCATCTCGAAAACATAGCGTACCTTCGCATCCTTCTTGTCCTTTCCATCTCCTCCCCCTGGGGGCCCACCGCCGGTGGACTGATTAGCACCCTGATGCGAGGTTAGTGACGTGAACTCGGGGGTTTGCGGTGAAGGGACGTCTCACCATGATGGCTGCGTGGATGCGACGGCGATGAAAGCGACTTCAAGGCAACGGACACAGCTTTAACGGATGGTAGGGTTGATGGACGGGCCTGGGGTTGAGTGGTGAGGGCGGTGTTTGTAATGGAGGTGCGGTAGGGAGCTGGTCGCCCTGGACGCGAATGCCATCGAAGCTCTCGGAGGAGCGGCACGTGACCCGAACCGTATCGCCCAAGGGCCCGCCTCACTCTACGCAGAGTGGACCGTTGACAGCGAGCCACGTCGGAGATCGCGCGAGACAGCTACAAGAGCCTCCTTGCTAATCTTCTCCCTATACTTTTGTCTCTACTCGCCCTGAACAGTCTCACCCAGCCCACGGTATATACGGCTCAGCCCCACCACGTCGCCGGGAACACTACCTTTGTACCAAGCTCGCAGCTCCATTTACCAGACATTCACCTCACCCCAACGCCAAGCATCGACGACGTCCTCGGCCTCGCCCGCCTTCCTCAGGCTCCCAGCCCCGACGACACCCCGGCCGTGACGCTGAGAGGTAGCACTCGGCCGCTTGACTCACCAATAGCCTCGCTGCCGCCTTCATCCTCAGCAGGCTGACCCGTAGCAACCAAGTGCAACCTGCTGCCTACGACTCCGCCTTCTTCCACCATCCTGCCTCCAAAAAGACCTCTCCTGCCTCCTTCGCCTTCACTCCGACAACTCCAAAACTCCCATCCTCGTCAGCACAATGAGCACCAATCGGGCCCGTCGTATCCAGAAGGAGATTGCCGACATCAAGCAGGACAGCCTCTCGCAGATCATAATCGACATTGCAGGCGCTGACGATGACATCTCACATCTGCGGGGCCAATTCAAGGGGCCGCCAGACACACCGTACGAGGGAGGTGTCTTCAGCGTCGACATCCGGATGCCGCCAGAGTACCCTTTCCGCCCCCCAATCATGAAGTTCGACACCAAGATCTGGCATCCCAACGTGAGCAGTCAAACAGTACGTATACATCAGTCTGGAAGATGTGGATAAGGACTGACCGGTTATCGCAGGGAGCTATCTGCCTTGACACGCTGTCGTCCCAATGGTCGCCCGTCCTCACAATCAAGTCCGCCCTCATATCCCTACAATCCCTCCTGAGCACGCCAGAGCCAAAAGACCCACAGGACGCAGAAGTGGCAAGCATGCTACTAAAGAACCCGGCGGAATTCGAGCACGTTGCCCGCGACTGGTCCGTGAAGTACGCTGGAGCACCCAAGAGGGAGCGGGGCGAGGGCAGCGGAGGGGCAACAGCAGAGACGATCAAGCAGAAGGCGGCGATGCAGAAGCAGAACGAGGAGAAAGCCAAGCTAGCTGCGTATGCCACTTCTCAGACCCGCCTCTACAGAGCTATACTAATTACAACGCAGCTATCACGGGTACAACAAAGATCTCATCGACCGCTTCGTCGCCATGGGCTTCGACGTCGAGGGCGTCGTCGCCGCCTTCGAGTACGTTGGCATCGACAAGATGGGCGGCGAGGACTACGAGCTGGAGGAAGCATATATGGGCGATATCACGGCACGGCTGTTCAACGAGGCGTAGGTGGACGATTGCGGGGTTCGTTCCGGTTCTCCAATCTCCAACCCTCCCTGCAACGTCGCCGCCACATTAGTCCATTTCATTACACCATCCCAAGACACGTTTTACGGAAATTCATCACATGCCCATTGCCCACCGGGTGCTCCCGGGTCGGAAGGGGTTTGTAGGCGTTTGATTTGCTCCCCTTTGAGAGATTGGGATTATTCAGTTCAGGAACCGGTGGCGTCGGGTGAGATTGCTTTTCTTTTAGTATCTTATGAAGGCAGAGACCTGTGCATTATCTGCCATATTCCAATACATTCAAACGGTATATGTGCAGTTCACATGCTATACTATTGATATTGTCGCAGTTATGGATCTTGCATCTGATAATCTGGGAATGTTGGCCCGTGCTCCTTGCCAAGCATCCGACTTCATCTCATCCCATCTTTCCCCCTACATCTCAACTACCCAGAACGCAGCTGTCGGTAACAGCGCCTCCATCCCGAAATATAGCAACACAGTGGTAGCAAGCTCCAATATTCCCTTAATCCTAGGTCAACGATCAATGAACATTGTTCAACGCACCAGATTCCCCTTTCCCGTTGCGCCAATGTAAGATAGAATCCAACAATCTGTATGATTCTGCAGCCATACTTCTATCCATTTCAAAAGCCGCTCGGACTCTTTACCCACTTCCCACGGAATTCTGCCAGGGAACAACTAACATCCATTCCTCTTTTTGTATCCTCTTCTCAATCAATGCCGCTGTCCTCTTTTCGATCACTCATTTCAGAAATCATCTATCAATGATATTCTATGTTTGCCTTCTTTTCATAGATTCCATGTCACATCTCCAGCATGTGCTACACACTTCCTTCATATTTCCGACTTCTGCAAGCTGGCGCCCGAGCCTTCATACACCAAATTTTCCCTAATGTGCTCAGGATCACAACTACAGTGACAGATCATAAGTCACACGCGTTGACCACTGCCTAGAGTACCTCCATAGAAACTCGAAAACCTAGGCACGATATCAAGTTTAAAGCAGTTCAAATTAGACTGCCTCTTGACTAGCTGGCTAAATCCTAGCTGGGCTGCTCCTCGCAGTGGTGTCGAGTCAGCAAGATGGGAACCAAGCAAGGATTAATATGTGTGCTGAGACTTCTGACGTACTGCTGTATATCGAGGCTTTTGCCACAGTATCTGAGCTCTGAGATGTTCTAGGCTGGGACGATGCGAATAGAGAAGCTGACGTCTTTTTTGCTAAGCTCGCCTCTAAGAACGCGGGGTGAAGGCGCGGCGAGGCGGGGATAGTTACGTTGGATTGTAGGATGGCTTGTCGGCTTTCTGAGGTGGTGTATCTATGGAAGGGTGGTTGGTTGAGCCTAAGGTATGGGATACGTCGCGAGGTAGGTGTGGATTGGGGGCGTGAAGGACGTTGCGCCGATGGCTAGGCTGACCCGCAGGCATAACACTGATGAGCAGCACTGGCGGCTTAACTCGATCTACTTGGACGCTCTATATGTGCCGTCTGGGCCCGTAGCTGGTCGACGAAACTATCAGAAGTGGTTGGACGCCTCCTCGATCTATGGGCCTGACACGAAATCTTCGTTCTTTCGCCTCAATTTCCACCGCCCCGGTTGAAGCCCGCTTCTTCGCTTCCATACCAGCTTGACGCTTTTGCAATTGCTGGCTGGTGGATGCTAAACAGGTTATGGTGAATGTGCCCAGTGGTTACAAGAGGTAACAAAACCGGCATGTGACGCTCTCCCTGCTCCCATCTGCAGCCTGCCATCTTTACAGGTTAGTGAATGACATCTGCTGGGCAGGGTCCGATTTCGAAATGTGTTTAATCTCAATCCGAGATTCTATCCTTCAATACACTCGAAGCTTCCTTCTCACACCACTGCCTTGGAGCTTTTTCAAGTGTTCCCCACATTTCCACCTACGCTTTGCACCCTCCCACCTTCATGATTCCTCCCTCTCTCGTCCATTTTGGGACGATGCCTTCGTCCACGGCGTCGCGCATCTCTGCAGCTAGCCTGACCTCCATCCAGTTTCGTGACATGCCCGAGCCAGTTCCTCGCAGCAAGCCCTTCATCCTGCCGGACTGCCCTAGCATTATCGGCCCTTACGACAAAACCTACGAAAAGCCACGGAGAAGCTTTTGATGAAAGGTAAAGTTAATCACCAAGCTCTGAACCTTCCTGTTCTAACCTACCTTGATGCAGCTCTTCTCCTAGTTGCCGCCCACGACGATGCCATTGAGCAGGGGCCCCCCTCCTCGACGACCCTGGGCGTCATGTGCGACAAGGCTGGGCTGACTCTCAAGTTCGTTGAATTTGTCAAAAAGCGGTTCGATCAGGTCATTGAGAACTTAGCCATGAAAGGTAAGTTTCATTATCCCGATTTTCATTCACCTGTACTAATACTTGATGTAGCCCTCCTCGAAGTTACAGATTTTGATTCTTCCGACATCGATGGCGAAGACGAAGAAGAAGTTCCTCTAGCCAGCGATGGTGAAGACCCGGTCTCCCTGACTGGCGAGATTGAAGAGGAACCCCTCCTCACGCCCTCACCTCAATCCTTGTCGCGGAAGTCTACTCTCTGCCCCGGCGACTCTGTGTCACAGCAGGGCGACCTTGAGAACGAACCCAAGGTCGAGGAGCCATTCCAACAGGCTTCTACGGAAAATATCGTGAGTAAGGATACTGTCAATTCCGAAGGTCTTACAAAGTCTGGTAAGCGGGACACCCGATTTCAGGCCTGTAGCTTTGTACTAATTTACACGCTTATGGCGACTGATCAGACTCCGATAGCATCCAAGATTCCGCCAGAGCCGCTCCCTACTCCGCCCGAATTGTCCACACCTGCCTAAGGCGATGAGCTTCAGCCTGAACGTCTCCGCTCGGACATCGAGACATCAGAATCAACCGTCGAGTTCGATTACGTTGCGCAGGACGATGTCAACTTGAATGACCTCAAGACCCTGGAAAACTTCAACAATGTTACTACCCAATCAGTTGAAATCATCGACAGCCAGGCAGAGGACATCCCCATCTCCGATGTTTCTTCTGCCGACCTTTCTGCAGTTTTGCACCACGACCAAAATACCCCGGAGACCGGCGATGGCTCGATCGACCACGCAGCAGCGTTCAGGGACGAGGCCGATGTTGAGACCAAGGAAAGGAATGAAGACAGCAAGATCGACATTGAGCGATCTACTTCCTCGCTAGATGCTACTCCATCCCCAAAGAAGCACGAAATTTGGACGGCTAAAAGATAGTCTAATTCCCAATGCATCAGCATTTCCATTGTAGTTGAAATGTATAAACCTAATAGCGAAAAGTAGATGGACTTAGGCTATTCTCTTGCTGTCTAGATACCCCTGTATGTGGTACCCGAGCTAGCATGTCTGCAATCAGTCAAACGGTAGCACTATTTCCATTGCGCGGAGCCTGCTCAGTGTGCATCCCGACTCTCTCACAATTCAATCACTTTGCCCTGTCAAAACACACATAATGCAACAGTACTTAATACTAAATCTACACGCCATGTCAGCGCTTTTGGTACATCTTGATTTCTACTCTTGGCCATATGCCATAATTCCGTGTGTTAGTCCCATATGTCCGCGTCAGAGCAGGTGAACAAGGTTTTAGCAGGACACGCTCTCGGCTCGAGAGACCCTCTAGGCCCCCATCTGAAGTCTCAAACTCATTTTGAGCGTTAGTCTGCGGTGAATATAGTGCAACAGGCTACCTGGGACTGTTTTCAGGTGATAGTCTTTCAGGCTGAGGCCAAGAATGAATTAATTGCCCATAAAAGGAACATCAAAACTACGTGGCATTAGCCCAATTGGTGGCACCCTGCGTAGATATCAGGCATATGATCGACCCTCATCGGGTCGAGCACGATATTCGACGAATCGTGTAATGAGAACGAAGCGTGCCCGCGGGGCGACCAAATCACCACCTGTCCACTCAGGTCACATGACCGCAACCTCCCAATGCTATAAAATCCCCCATCACTCCATGAACGGAGCTTCTTTCCACACACACATACTGTAACACAGTTCTCACCCCACCCCCACACCAAAGTTTTGCAGTATCCTACCACTGTGCAGTGTATCTTCGCACTTCTCAACCCCTACATCCTCCGCATTGTCTGCTCACAACGCCTCGTCTCGACCCTTCAGCATCCCCGGGTCCTCGGCTACCTCCTTGCATCATTGCCATGACTAGGAAGAGCCTCCAGTGTGCTAAGGGCAAATACACGGAGAAAGGTACGACTCATCATTCTTTCAATCTAGCTCACACTGGAGTTGCTAACCCGTGTCTAGGTCGACCTTCTAAGGCCGCTAAAGCTACCAGCGATTCAGATGTGCAGCTCATCTTATCTCGTGGTTCCTCGAAGTCCCGTCGTTGCTCTGAGACGAAGACGTCTCCAAAGTCTTCCGAACCCGGCTCCCCAGAGATAAGCCCGTCGACCCGCCCGAGTACCCCTACTTCGCCTCTAGTCGACGAAGGCAGCTTCGATAAGTCAACTGTCGAGACGAAAGATGTGGCAATCAGTATGCGTGATACCAAGGATCAGCCTTATAGTATCGTACCAATTCGCCCACCAATAATGCCCGAGGAGACTTCGCGTAGCCCCACATCTCCGTCAAAGCAGCCATTAGCACAGCCTAAATCAGCTACTTGCAGCGAGGTCGATAATTTCGAGGTCCAACTCGAAGCCTCTAAGATCGAACAGGATGATGTGGCGTTCCAAGTGGAAGAGAATGAGCCAACTGCTAACGGTACGAAACTAGCTAGCCTCCGTCTAAGTTTCGACAACTTCTGCAAGCAGATGGCGCAAATTAGGTATTGCCAGGAAGTACTGGAAAACAAAGATCCAGAGCATGTAAAGATGCTGGCGTCAGCGTCTAAGGACAAGACCTTGCTCGTCAGTTGCCAGATGGAGGCCCTAGACAAGATGAGTCGAGAAATTCTCGTGATGCGGGCGTTGATAGAGAGCTCCGAGGGGAAAGATGGCAAAGAGGTCAGTGGCTCAGAGGTTGACTACATCGCTGTGATCGAGGAAACGTGCACCGCGCGTGAGGACCAGACTCAGATCACGTCTCCGGACATCCTCCCATGGACCATCCCAATGAAAGCCGGCTCTGATGTTATTACCTACACCATCGAGAAGGCCGTCTTCGATGAGGCTTCATCGGTTCAGCAAGGTGTGCTGTCAGCCTCCCCGGCGGAACCACCGCTTGACCTTGTCATCTCTGTGACAGTTCCATTCACTGAGTCGAGCAAGCCCCTGGCTGAATTCAAGGAAGACATCGACTGTCGAGATGGAAATGACCATCTGACCTTATCCCTCGACGCCCCGTCAACCTCGCCGGTCGAAGCAGCTCCGGAGTCCACCACCGATGCCGTCGAGGTAAATTCCAGCGAGGTCGTGGAAACAGTGATCAATGATATCCTGGACAAGACTGCAGCAATTTCGGTCGTACAGCCAGGTGTTCCATCAAAATACACGATTGAGCTATCTTGTGACTCTATCAATACTGTCATGGAGCCTTCTCTTACGTTGCTCGAGGCCCCATCAACTCCGTCTGACGTTACTATGATCGACTGCCCTAACGCGGCTCTAGAGGGCTCAACTATCTCTCAGGCCCAAACTTCTGACCCCATGACTACATCGGTTGAGGAGAACCGTGCCGAACAACAGGATTTAGCCGCAGATACTGTCGTCAGCAGCCATGCAGGCACCGCTGAAGTCGAGGGGTTCGAGCTGGGTTCTGAAGATCAGGACACACAGAGCGTCGCCATCCTAAAGGCCGAGAAACCCGTCGAGAAACCCTCAATGTCCATGTACATTCCCCCCTCCCTTAGGCGCCAAAATCTAGTCACCAAGCCCACGAACTCGGTTTCAACAGTTCCACCAAAGGCCACTGCAGAGCCGACTATCACTAAGAGCATCCCTATCTCTCCCCTGCCGCAGCCTACCCCGAAGGTAGAACCCATCTTCGATTCGCCACTGCGGAATTATCAGACCGTGCCCCCGCCAGCGAGCCTGAAGGCACGCCCCGCACGTAACCCCCCGAAGACCACCCCAGGTCACAACAATGCCCCCCGCATGGACCCTAAGCAGTTCCAGGAGCGCCGCGCTCGCTTGATTAAGGAGGGCAAATGCTTCAAGTGTGAGAAGCAAGGCCACACGACCCGCGATTGCCCAACCAAACAAACCACTCACCGCTATACGAAGAATCCACGCGTCGGTGCCGTTTCACACCCCAGACAATCCGCCGCGGTTACGAAGGCCGTTCCCATGACTAAGGCCGTTCCCATGACTAAGGCCGTCCCTATGAGCAAGGCCGTCCCTATAACCAAGGAATAGGTGGACAAGAATTTCTTGGAGAAGAAGGCTCACCAAGGGAAGATGTTGGCGGACAGGATGGCCGCTGCGAGGGGCAAGCGGTCTCCCGAGCAGGTGAATCGCTCCGTTGCCTGGGTTAGCAGCATCAAAGCAGCGGATGAGGAGCTAAAGGCCAAGATGGCCTCGGTTGTTCGACCCAAGGTGGAGCTTGAGCTGAATACTCGCTACACCAAGGACGCAGAATGGACTGACTAAGTTGATTCTTTTCTCTTCTGCTTCTGTATGGTCATCCGGGTTTGTTTTTTTGCTGATGAGCTTGTATTGTTGTCTTTTGATACATGTTCACAGCCTTACATAGCGCGATCAACGTATAGTTACCAGTGTGCTGAAATACTCGGGTTGTAACAGCTACAACCTAGGATCAACAACTCATACGGTTCACGGTCACCTACGTACAGACTTGGAGTTGCTGGCATAGTAGCTGCCTACATGCCTAGCCAGTTACAACTTCTACAGAGAGGGGTTGGGGTACGGTGGCCTACCCTGCCTAATGCTGCCTACTGCTGCCTCCAATTAGTGCTTCTGCCTATGCATACAGTCACTTCCTACGTAGTATATAGTTTGGCCTTCGGGCCCCCGAAATAAGACAGAGTTCACATCAATTTTCAACCTGAGTGAAATACAATGGGCTTCAGAAGAGCATATCCCCAATCTGCAAAATGGTGACTTTCTCATTAGCTTCTTGAGACTGTGTGATGCTTCCTGGCGTGACCCAGCCCTTAATAGATCAGGTAAGATCGCCAACGCAAGAGGCGCAAATTGGAGAGAGGTTCTTTACACGAGGAGATTATCGCTGGTGATTAGGAAGCTATCTGTTCCTGTATTCATGAGACTCGCTTTATTAAATAAGAAGTAATCGGACACACTACATATAGCCCTTATTCGCTTCTTTCATCTGAGAGTCACGCCCGCGGAGGCTCACTTCATCAAAACCAAATCGCTTAATCTATTAGTAAATAATCAGTCTCAGTCGGGAGATCTTTATATATATATTTTTTTTTAGTTATTTACGTTCTTTATAAGGAGAGGAAGTAGATTAAAGCTCGTAGACTTGATGCTGAAGGAAGGTCGACCTGACGGAAGTGGCGGTTATTCCTATATTACTCAGATGTTTCTAAATTTGGAAGAATGCAAAGCGGCACAAGTGGGAGAAAAAACGACAATCAGTTTGATAGAGTTAACAAAGACAAGGCCTCTAAGAAGGAGAGGGATAGAGTTGGATCTTGCCGTAGGAGTCGCCTTTATACGGAAGCGATAAAGTTTCTATATAGAACTGTTTGAAGCTACAAACTAAAGACCGTCTGCTTTCCATAAGCTCGTTTGCCCCTCTATGTGTATGAGCGTAAGCTAATTCAAGTATATCTACTACTTCTGCCCCAAGTCTCTCTTGCAATCTTATAGCTTCGCGTTATACACTTTCACCTATTTTGCATGTGCTACATATTGACGATTGCTTGTTCTGTAGAGAACGCTGGCAGCCAGACTAATAGCTTCGCCGTATAGTAGCTGCAAGCCCATAAGATCGCTATCACGTGCGTAATATTGCATTAGCAGGGGCCGCTAGCTAGTGAATTAATTGCCAATAATTTTTCTCACGTAGTATACCCCTTTCCGCAGCTTCTTGCAACTGTTGCCTTTTAGTTACATATGTCGGATTATAGCAATCACTTACAACAATCACGGCCGGTAGCAAACAGGGCTTTCATGAACTTAATGTTCGCGTTCCATATAACATCAGATGCTACGTCCTACAAATCAACATGTTCTACACTCGTAGACCCGTGACGCTCCCTACGCTCTTTTTCGCCCCTGGATATCAAGAATCTTTCAACAAGGCACAAAGCGAGTTAACAGTGCACTTTCGAGCTCATTGGTGTTGGTGATGAGGAAGCCCCCGCAACGTTGATGATTGCTATATTCACCACGCGTTGAAATCGCATTCGAAGACTGTCGGTACTCATCAACATTATCACAGGATGTTGAAGACTATTTCGGGTTGAAGTACAGCAACAGCTACCAAATCGCCGCAGCCATCCTGTCTCTTTGTACCGCACCAATGAGAGTGCTCCGTTCACTCCTTTGCGGTACATTCTGCGGTACTTGGAGGTCCCTTCTACGGTTATGAGCGGCACGTTCTACGGCACCTGCCCGTGCGTCTACTCTCCCATCAATATAAAAGAGGAACTGTCAGAGCCCAAGACCGACTTCTTTCCATCATCCGACGTGGACTTTTTGATCTTCCACTTGAGCATTTTTTCTCCTCTGCTGGGGATCCATGATTGCCGTGTCTCATCCCTACTACCAACCACTCATAGCTCGTCTCTCGTCTCCCTTCCATCGCTCCATTATTCACCCGTCTCCTGCTTTCCCTTCAATCTCCTCTCATCCTCGTCATCATGCCGTCTAGGCATTCACCTCGCCCTCTCTCCACCATAAAAATAGATGCTGCTATCGTCCAATACACTAGGGAATGTTACGCGAAGGCTGTCAAGGAGCTTGCTGAGCGATGTAAGACCTCGAATCTTCCCGATTTACATTCACGAGTCTAAAATTCCTCACAGCATCGCTAACACATGCACGCCATGCCATGGCCAAGGCCCAACCTCAGGAGAGGTCCACTCGCACCAAGGCCCAGAGTGGCTTGAAGCAGACTTCCATCCGGAAGTATTTCGTGAAGGTCGAGCCTGGTTGCCAGAATCTGCGGGCCAAAATCGAAGCATGCCAGGCCGCGAACAAAATCCTTGAAGAAACATTTCAAGCTTTGCTACTTTGGAATGCTCACCCTGAAAACAGCCAGACCCCACGTCTCGAGAAGCATGACATCTTGGACGTCAATGTACCCTCTGAGGTCACCATGGATTGCTCTTCTATCGCTAGAGGTAAGTACTCTTCTCACATGTACTGTATTGTCCACCATGCTAACCTTGCACGAAGTAAATGAAGAGTTAATGACAACGCTGGAGACACCGGATGCAACCAAGCTTCCCGAGGGTAAGCTTCCAATCAATTCATCATCCTCTTTTACCCTAACATCCTCCAAAGACACCAAAGCTGCCCTCCTGGTCAAGGACGATGATGATGTTGAGCCCACCATAGCAGCATCCGTCAAAACCTTCGGGGCTAGCCTTGCTGAGATTCAGGATTCTTTTATGCCTGTATCTTCTCCTAGCAACACCGAGGAGGGCCTTCTTAGAGGGGATAGGAATACAGATGTTCTTCAAGAAGTCCTCGTTCTCAAGGATCATTCATATGAGCAAGCTTCTCAGGAGGCAAATCTTGACGAAGACATTGATCACGAGGAAACATCTCGGCCGCTAGATGTTGTCAGCATCGAGGACTCTACCTCTCTTGACCATGGAAAGGGAACTCGCTCTGAGAACGAAGAGAATTCTCAAGATTCTCACGCAAGGCCAGGTAAGTGACCAGACAGCCTAGCCATTTGATCTCATATGTTGATACGATACAGATACGATTATCCACCCGAACGTAGCTGTGACCGATGTTCAAGCACCCCTTCCGTTTGAGAACAAATCTGGCGTCGAGTTCAAGGACTCAGTACTTCACATGTTGGCCGCAAACGCACCGACACCCCGCACTTCTCAGATCAATGCCGATTCTGGGATCAATTCTCTCCAAACATTCCAGGCTTCACGTCGCGTCGATTTCCATGGGGAATTATTCAAGATGAATTTCTCTAGCAATACCCCAATAGCCACTCCTTCCCTATCCCCAGTTGTCAAGTCTGTCGATCCTGAACAGGACGATATTCCAAAAGATATTCATCTTGCGGCCCGGAAGGCAATCAATTACCTCTTCGGACAGCAAGAGTCAGAACCGACCGGAAACGGCTTCATCGTTGGCGAAGTCCTTGAGGAGAACTTTGTGTCCCCCGATGAGCAAATCACCCCGCCAGTGGTCTTCCAGGGCGCAGAGAAACCTGAACCCCGCAAGGACACTAGTTTCGACTGGTGGGAGGACTTCGAGGACACTCTCCCTCCAGGTGCAATCACTTTGCTAGACGACGAGCCGGCCTATCCTAAGGCAGATCCGGATGAAGTTTTGGAATTTTCTAGAGCTAACATGGCCCCGAATTCTACGAGAAGTCGCTACCGGTGGGAGCTTCCGGAAACTCTGCCCACCATATTGGAGGATGAGCCTCTTGTTGAATTCCCGTCCTCTGATTCTCCTACTGTTGAATCTCTTAGCTGTGAAACCGGTCTTTCTCATGATAAGCTATCTTCCCTGCCCCTGGAGAAGCCCACCACCACTTCCTCAGACGAGGGGTATATCCAATGGCTTCGCCGTTCTCTACGGGCGGTTCCTCAAGCCTCGCATGACCACTTCCAGCCACAGGAAACTGCCGGCCTGGAGCGTTCTCCTAGCCGCGCAGAAAATCGCGAAGAGGCGCCAGAAGTCGACGGCTCTAGTGAAGATAGCACATCCGAGAGTGGCAAGAGCAGCTCGTCAGCCACCCTATCAACCTCATCTTCGGCACCGTCTACTAGACACTCGAGTAGTGAGATCAGCGGTAACACTCCAAACAGTGTCCATAGGTTTCGGAGTCGGCCCCGGCTCACCGCTCCCCCAAGGAGGATGCCTCTCAGAGCCTACCTCCCCATCTGCAAAACTACCCAAAGATCCGCGCTACCAACTACGTCCAGAAGCAGGTCTCTGCTCCCACTCTTGTCACCATTTCGAAGCCAGTACCTAAGAAAATGGTACAGAAAAAGCCCTCAGGCCCTACGAAGGGTCCTTATGACAGGCAACTTGCTAAGTATGGCAAGAAAGCCACTCCATCTGCCACTAAGCCTGCCCCGAAGCAGGTCGCCCAGTCCAAAGTTGCTCCATCTCAACAGAAGCCTACAGTGACTGAACCTAAGACCGCACGTCCAGCTATCCAAACCTATGTTCTGCCTGCGCTTCGCAAATCTCAGGCCTCTTCTTCCACGACTTCCGATCCACCCAAGAAGCAGAACCCAACTGCCTCCTTTATGCCGACCCTGGGTCCTCGCCCCGTACCAATATCTACAGCAGCTTCTAAGGGCGCCCAGAGCCGACGACCGCTTTGGAAGCCCCCAGGATCGTGCAAGAACTTGAACTTCATTAATACGATAGCAAATCGAGCAGGTGCGAAGTCTCAGCGTGGAGCGGCACCAGCCTGCCTAGTGACGAACGACTACTCGAAGGCAGAGGTGCTTGGTCGCACCACTGTCCGTAAACCCCTTACTGAACGACTAGCACCTAACTCTGCTTGGAGCAACTGGGGAACCGATATGGCCAAGGCTGACGTTGCGCACATTGCGGCATTGAAGCAGCGTAAGGAAGCGGCTGCAAAGCACACTGCGGTGATGAGAGACAACCAAGGCTTGCATACTATCGACAAGAAGGCTAAAGCAAGACAAGTGGTTCACGTGGAGGAGTAAGGGAGGAGGATGGCAAGGTGGTGGTTCGGGTGTGATTTCTTTTTTATTGTCTTTCGTGCTTTTCTTTGGATTTAGCGTTGATTTTGCGTTTGGATTTTGCGTTGACTTTCGTGTGCTTTAAATGTACCTGCGTAGCGTGTTGGGTTTTGATATATATAATAGTCTCAGTAGATGTTAATTGCATCACACACATCACCTCTCTCTCAATCTGGTTTGCGTGTCGTGACTCAGTGAGAAGTCTCGGATGCATCCAGGTGTAACTATACAGCATGGTTTGGAATTTCCAGCTCATTAGGTATCATAGAACATAAAAAAGAGCGCAGTGAAAAAGGGTCTGATTTAGTTTCACTTCCGAATGTTAACACTAGCTATAAATATGAGAGCTTTGCCAGCTGATAAGGGCAAAAGATGAGTTTGTATGTCTGAGCCACTGTGACTTTGCTGCGTTCTCCTTTCTTCATTCCTTTCTTTAGAAGAACTTCTTCGTCCGCTTCCGCTATTGTCGCTTACGTAGTCGCCGACTCGGCCATGCCTCTCGTATCTTCCATACTGCCATGTAGCATACACGCAACCTATCCCTTTAATCCATGCCCACATGAAAAGGGAGACAGGAGCTCTATCTTAGGGAAAGACTCTCATTAAGCCCAGAACCATAGCTAGCTAATGTTCTTAAACTCCTCAAAGCTATGTAAAAGTAGCCACGACCTTGTTAGAGATTCCAGAAGAAGTTTCTCAGATGCTAGCTAAGTTGAAAGCCATGGTCCTATCCTCTATGTTGGAGATGTTTTGGTAGCGGAACCGGGTTATGATCAAGAGCTGTGGCAAGGGCTATATACAATGTGCAATGCGTAGTTTTAAGAGGACTATTGGCGGCAGCAAGACGCCAAGCCGGCGATGCGGTTGAAAGATCAGGAGGTGTACACCTGACCGTGGGCACGTGAGTGAATGGCCTGACGAGGGAGCTTGGGTATGAAATAGATCATCGAAGCGAGTAAGAATGTACCACTAAAGTCACGGTTGATAACAATAGACTCCATAGGGCACTGATAAAAGTCTACAAAAGCTAGTTTTATGAAATCTCCAGTGAGTTTAATGCATGTTACCTTTGTAGAAGCCATCAGCATACTAAAACGATTATTATCTGCACGCCGGCATTGCAAAGAAGGGCAACCAAACTCTGTTTTAATGTAAATCATAACAATCACTCCACCAGAGAACAGAAAATGTGGTACATCGTCAGTCATACTTGGTGGTACAATCCACGGAACCTGAAATTGGTTCACTGTGCTTGGCCGGAGAAGTCACGTGGGGGTCACGTTCACTGATTCCTCCTCGTATATAAAGCCTCTTCTTCCATCTTTTAGTTTATTTTTCCATTCTCTTGACACCGCTTTTTTGTCTCACAGCCAACATTTCTTGTCTCCCACACCTGCCTCAACCTTTCCCACCGCAACCCCCACATTTCTCCTGCCTTCTCATCATACCTTCATTTCGTATCTCGTCTTCATTCATCATGCCTGCCACTACGCGCGACAAGCTGCCTCCGGCTCTTGTTCGCTACACGCGTCGTCAGTTCAACAAGGCACTCGAACGTTTGGCTTACCAAGGTAAGATCACCCCAGACAAACAGTTCATTTACCCAAGCCAATCATCCACAAACAGCCGTGCTACAGGCAGCCGAAGAGGACAAGGCAGGTGCATCGAGCTCATCCCCTCAACAGACTAGTTCTGGCCGTTCTTACGCCGAGCCACTCCGCTTCCGACATAATCCGTCCCCGTCGACTCTAGCGCCGCTGGAATCGGTCTTTCAGACAGCTGCTGCTGAGGCTCAGCCCTTGAGCCCGAAAGCTCTCAGACAGGGATCTATTGAGAAATTCCTGATCAACATGGAGAAAGAAATGAAGGCCCCGTCTGAGGATGGTAAGTCGTATACCAACTTCCAGGTCACCTATTCTTATACTAATCCACTCATGTTCAGTCCCTAACGATACCCATTCCATACCTGAGATCGACGCTTCGGTTGACGAGGCCCAACGTTCGACTCTATCTCTCAACCCAGAAGCCTCCTCGTTTGCTCCAATGGAGGCGCAGGCGAAGTCTGTCAACGTTGCCACTGGTGATGCAGCAAAAGTCCTTCATGCTGCCTACTTGGAGCGTCGACTACTCCCCTTGATATCGGTCCATAATATGGAAGCAGCTGTGGAGGACGAGGAGAACAAGGAGACCGTGAGCCAGCACGATGTAATCGACCAATTTCTCCCGAACGCTTTGGACAGCGAGACAGAAATCGAGAAGATCCTTGACGAGATTGTGACTACCGCAATCATCGAGTCATCCAGCTCTCATTCAGAGGTGCACGTTCATCAACAGCAGTCCCAGTCCAAAACACCATCTGAAATCGAGGACGATGAGGTTGACGCAGTCAACGATACTCCTGACACTCTCCTCTCAGAGCCTCGCGCATCAGATTCCGAACGCTTCTCTTCGCCAAGCTTGGTAATTTCAGAGGACAATTCAATCAACGCAAAGCATGCACCACTACCATCCAAAGGCACCAGTATGTTTGACCGCCTGACAATTGGTCCCGACGGTAAGCCCGAAAGGGAATTCCAACCCGGAGGAATCCAATACCGGATTGTCGACGATTCTGAAGATGATTCTGGTGAAGATTCTGAGGAATGCGAAGAGTACGACGATGAGGCTGAAGACGGTGAAGAAGATGAGAATGCTGAAGAAGACGAGAATGTTCAGGAAGGTGACAGTGAAGAATATAAGACCGTGGACGACTACTCGAACTTTTCCGAGGAGAAGAGGAGTGCTCAAGAGCATACCGAGGTGTCCAACTCCTCCTCGGACCTGTTCTACGAGCAGAACATCCGCGATACAGTTGCTTGCGAGCATAATGGTCGCCCAGAGCAGCATGAGGCTGAGATACCCACCGTTGATAACTTCAGTACTTCCATTGACTTCGCTTTTCCCAGTGACTCTTCCGCAACCTCTGAGCTTTCTATCTCCACCACCTCGGATGACGCCGCCCCAGACACGTCAGCTCTTTCTTATCCGGTCGAGCACGAGGTTGGGAGTATCCAGGCGGCCAACACTTTCAAGAATGACAGCACCAGCGAAAGCGGGGCTGTTACCGACGGAAGCGCAAAGGAAAAAACCCACTACTCCACTACCAGTTCTCAGTCTTCTCCGGATAGTCCGAAGGTCTGCCCAACCGACGTTGGACATGGTCTCAAAACTTCATCAGTGCCTTTCACCACTACATGTCCACCCTCGCCAGAGGAAGACGCTTCCCGGGTGAGCATCCCGCCTCACCTCCGCAAGAATCTCCAAGTCCAAAATGTACAATCTGTCCGGTCCCCACCAGTAGAGAAGCAGACATCGATCCCCATCCCGGCTCACACCTCAACTACCACCCCGGCTCCATCGGTTAAGCCGGTTCCCGTCAAGCTTGCTACAAAGACCAAGGGCCAGCTAGGCCTTGAATCGAGATATTCTACAGGGTTGGCCAAGGCACGGGGCCAGGCGCCACCCACCAAATCTACTCCCCAACCGGCCATGAAGGCGCAGACCACTTCTACGCAAGCCCCGAGGCTAATATCTGGAGGCTTCAACAACATCCAGCATTATTCCAAGTCCCAGTCGAAGGGATGGGCTTCTGCTAAGGCTGATGAAGACAAGCCGCCTAAGATTTTGCATGCACTCGAGAGATTCGCTCAAGAGATGGGTGCTTCTGAACAAGATTGCGACTAAGCTGTCTCCGAGGCGATTGATTCTATTGCAAAGAAAGGCAGTAGCATGAAGACGTCCAAGTGGGCGCCCAAGGGAGCGAAGTGTGACCCTAATTAGCTATAGGGTAGATTTGGACTGTCTAAGGAAGCAGCTTCGGGGACTATGCGCTCACTTCTATGAGTTCGTGAGCGAAGCGATGGGCTTAGCAAATAGTCTTGCGTGTGTCCTTCTTTCATTTCTCTGCTTTATGATGCTTTTCTAAGAGGAAAGGCTCTGGGACTCTTCTTGTAGTCTAGACTTCGGCTTTTCGTAGATCGAATCATTGCCATCAATATCTCTTCTCTGAACATGAACTGTTGTGATGGTTAAGCTGCATCGTCTATATATCCCGTTCACAGGATCTTTACCATATCGTGCTGTGGTGCTACCTACATATATATGAATGCATTTTTGAACTCCCATTTCTTTCCCCAAAATATTACCTCGAAATGGTAAATCAGCCATCGTTCACATACACCAGACGCATGAAGACCCCATTTCAGACCCCCACTTTTCGCTTGTTAATGAGGAAATTTTCATGCATTGCGATTCAATGTAAGACATTACGGTATGACTAGATGTCGAAGGTAGTCTTATCTGCTTCTTCCTTCAATCTACAGCACGCTCTATTTCTACCAGAAGAAGATCCAATGATGAGGAATCTCGAGAAAATTACCAACGAAGAGGGTACATGAAACCGCGCTACTGATCAAAAAGCCCATCGGCGTGCCTACATAATACGTGGATAGCTACAGTATTCCAGAATTTCGTTGCGCTTGGAAATTGTCACCTTCTATCTCCCATTCAAACGCGATACAGAGCGAACGTTCCAGGGCCGTCTAGGACCGTCAAACTTTTCGAGCAAGATTTTCCAGGTTCGAAACTGTGGGATTATGACAATCACGTACAGCAATCAATGCTTGTAGCAAACAGGGCGCTTTCATGTACATGAAGTCGCGTTCTATCAATGTTCGAATGCTACGGCCTGCAAACCAACACGCGGTAATAAGAAATGTACGTGGTGCAAGTCATCTGGATTTCAGATCAAAATACGACCAAGAACCCAGCAATGGTGCGTATTGAGTGGCTGCTGCGAAAACCTCGCTGTCTGCCGTTAATGTCAGTGGTGTTGGAAGTACACTCGATCGCGATGATTCTGAAAGCACATTTATATAGTGAAGTAACGCTCGACCTACACATTGAAAGATCCTCCTCATTGCCACATCAACTTAACAACCATCAATGGCAAAAGTCGATAGCGATATAAATCATGAACAACAGAGAATAAACCACATTGCAGAGCCACGCAGATGATTATGATAATTTCAATCGAAAGCTGTATACGAGGATAGCAACACCAACCATATTCAAAATTGAGGGTCCCACGCGGGAGGTCCGGAGACGAAGCACGAAAAGCAAACGCAAATAAATACATCTTGGAACTGGCACCGACGTCGCACAGCCCAGTCCCTCACACCACTTTCTTGAATCCGTTAGGTTGCTTGATAAAGCGGAAATAGGAGAAGGGTGAGGAAGGGTTAAGCAGTGTTTGGCGAGAGAGATTTTCCCAGGTCGTGACGTCACGTGCAACCGCTTGGCATTCACCGTTTACTTGCGGCAGCAACACGCCCAGTACCGGAGCTCGCGCTCCCTCCAGAGCTACGTGCCCGTCACGTGGTGAAAAATTTCGGAGCGGGCATCCAGTATAAATTTCCCCCGCCGACCTGACGAGCCAGAGCTTTCATCGTCATCGACACACCCACATCTGGGAACCTTATAGCCCGACCACCATTCCGATCAGCAGCTGTTCTAGGATCCAACTTCTTGATGCGTCCCTTTTCCAACGACTATAACCTCCGCGACGCGATCAATAGTACTTGCCCAACCACCACAGCTTCTGGACCTCGTCTTCGATTCGCAGATATACCAGCACTGTCTTCAGACCCGAACGTCTTGATGCCTCCTTTCTACAGTAGCCAGGTCATCGTCCACCGCGCCATGGTTGATTCACGCGCCCCTTGCCACCCGACCGAGGTTCAGTTGCCATCAGTCACATCCAAGGACCCTACCGAGCGATTGAAAGCAATGCTCGGTGTCGGTAAGTCATTCTCCTTACTAACTTCACCATCTGTAGGACTAACGAAAGCTAGGAGAGTCTTTAGAGTCACGAGTTCGCCGCCAACTCAGAGCGAGCGTCACTCCAACTCCCGAGAAGCTTGAGGATCGACTTCTTCGCCAGCTGCGTGCAAGCGTTCCCTTACCACCCGAGAAGCTTGAAGTCCGACTTGGTCACCAGCTGCGTGCGAGCGCAGCCTCCTCCTCCCCATCCCCCAATCGGCCCCTCTCCCTCTGGAATTTGAATAAAACAGTCTCCGACAGCGGCTTCCATCAGTGGCCCCACTCGAGCTCTACGACCAGACCGTCTTCGATTCAATCTCGACCGGTTTCGCCAGGCCATAGTAGCGATACGGCGTCGAGCGCTTCGAGTCTGGGCTCATGGAGTTCAGTATCCCGTCGCAGCTCACCGGTTATACATCAGGCCAGCTCAATGTCAGCGTCGAAATCTACCCTCGACAGGTCTATTGATCCATCTATCATCGGTATTGGCAATGTTCGCCCTCGTCCTACCATCGAGACCCCTCCATCTTCGATCAGCTCTGATAATCCTCATACTGGCCCCTCATGCAACGAGTGCGACACTTTTCAAGAGGAGTTTGATAAGGCGAAGAAGGAGGCAAGCGCTGCGCTGGTCACCCAAGCCAAGTACGAAAGTCTACAAGATCGCTTTATCGAAGCCTTGAAGGAGACTCGCGGCGCGCTCGTCGCCAAGAGCAAATCTGAGGAAACTTTGCGAGTCAAGGCAATTGAAGAGGAGCAGGAGGACGCACTCCACGCCAGGTTCGTAAAGTTGCCGAAGCCGGGAGCTCCCATCGGGCTACGCGAGCTGAGAGGCCACTACTCTCGGCTAAGGAAGGAGAAAGACGAGCTGAAGAAGGAAAACGACGAGCTTAAGAAGCAGCTTGGTCATTGCGAAAAGGCGCGCGACAAGTTCGCCAAAGATTACGAGCAGTCCGTTCACGAGAAGCACCACATCATCCATCAGGCCAACGCCCAAACTGAGATGTTCAGTGAAAGCTCGGCGGAGGCGCTGAACGTGTTGATGCTTTCCGCATGCGAGACCCGCGTGTACCGCACATTGTTGGCGGATAGGAACGAGCAACTCGAACAAAAGACGGAGGAGGCGGAGCTGTGGAAACAGTTCGTGGATGATTTCCTAGGCTTCCTCGACGTCGCTAAGGAAGAGCTTGGCCCAGACTCCGATTACATGCAGAACACACTGGCGGAGGAAAAGGATAAGCGCGACACAGTCGACTACCTAAAGGAGATTGACGAGAAGGCTGCCGCGCCGGTATCGACGTTCATTCAATTCGGACTCGGATTCCCGTCCACTCCATCGCATGACCCGGGCGACGACCCAGATCCAAACGGTGGTTCCGATGATTTCGATGACCCGTTAGCCCTGCGGAGCGGAATTGGCTATTGTCAGGACGCCGACGACATAAGAGAAGACCTAAAGGAAGCTGAACGCGTGCGGGAACACCTGCGACTTCTGCACAGCAACAAAGAGCGCCTTGCGAGTGAGATACTCTCAGGGGGGCATAAGCCTAACCAACGGCATTCGACAGAAGAGGTTGTCAAGTACCTCGATGAGACCTTGCGCCGAATGGAGCTGGCCGTATCTAAAATCGCCAACCCTGCGTTGTATAAGGACTATGAGCAGATAAATTATAAAAAAGTCTGCGAAACGTCTGAAATGACGGAGGGGGATGGGACAGCCCAGGAGGAGCACCCGGAGGAAGAAGGTGATGTCGAGGAGGCTGAGGACCCCGGAAATAGGGAGGCTGCTGAAGAGGGGGAAGAGAGCGATAGGCAGGAGCTCTAGAGATCAGGTTCTCTGTTGGCAAGGTTTGAACAGGTCTGCAGTCGGTTGAAGCGCTTCTAAAATATTAGATTCATATTCAAAACGTTTCATCTACATTGCTAGCATGAGTGCTCTAGTTTCCGCATACACGACTCGGTATCCTGTCTTCGTGAGTCTTGATTAGTGACGTGATTGTTTGCTCTCTTGCCTTCTGGGTGGTGATATTTGTGGCGTCTTGATCTATTGGAAGTAGGTGGCATGGCATATCAGATAGCGCAGCTCTGAGATCAAGCATATTTGCCAGTACCATTGGCGGCATATAACAGTGTTTGAAGACCTCCAGCTATGCTACAGAGCTAGAAAAACTATATCACCGAGTACTACGATAGTAGGATTTGGGATACCATCAGAAGATGCCTCAATATATTCCGTTTGTTAGAGATCGTAGTTCTAGTTCTCATTTTATGGACGCAACAACTGCTTATGTCCTCCGACATCTTCCAGTCATGGTTTCCGCTCTATCCCATATAACCCATAAGTTCCCAATATTACCACCATACTGGTGACAGCGTGTGTAATCACATCGAGACTCGCTTAGTTGAAGGTATGAGTATCGTTAATGTGGATACACAATGCATCAGCTACCTAGGTATAGCCCGCGCGGCGTGTGGCTGCAGGCGGACTAGGAAAGAGCAGATATACCACACGTGACGCCACGTGAAGGGTATCAACACAGGTGAATTACTGAATCTAGCCCGGCAGAGGGGATAAAAATCTCGCGCCCAGTGCAGAACCTCGGAAATTCATCACACCCAGACAACACACCCAGCACCACCCCCACCGCCTCTGTTGTCCTAATCCACCGGCAAGATCATCTTCGTTCTTGAGATGCCCTCTGGCTCTTCTTCAACCATTCCACCTGGGTTTCCCCACGACGTCTCCATGTCAGAGCGTCATAACATGCGCCCTCCACGACCAAAGCAGGCGAAGGTTTTGGGCCGAGAATTACCTACTTACCATCAATCCCATACGGACGTGCCAATGAACAGTACATCGCAAAGCGCGGAAGAGTCAGCGCAGACGGAGAGTTTAGCCAACTCTTCTGATACAGCTGTTTCCCCCGCTAGAGCTGATGGTCAGTCCGCCACCCAGCGACAACATCTTGGTTGTTGCATTGGCTTACAGACTACAGCCCATCGCTCTCAGCCCAATCCAGCCATTAGCATGTCAGACATTTTGCCTCCCGCCGTATTCCAAGGTCTTGGTTTCACGGTGGAGAAATACGTCAAGGATGCAGTCTCAAAGCGTAAGGACCCTTCCGCTACTCAATTTCAAATGAATCTAACATCAAACACAGGTGTTGACGAATATTTCTCCGCCGTTAGCGCTCAAAATGGTGTCTTCACTGGTACAACCACGCCGGAGTCCACACCGCATGCCAGCTCTGGCTCGAGTTCACCAAAATCTACGCCATCCTCGGCAACTACACCTCCTTCGTACGGCCATTTACCGGAGGGGGAACAGTGCATAGATGTCTTGGATTTGGAGACCTCTCGGTCTGATGTACGACAAGGTAAGCAACACGACCTACATCAGCTCAATCCAGTCTCTCTAATCTATGGTTGTATAGGTAGCTCAAGCTCAAGCCCTCCAGCAATCAAAACCGCCCACTATATCTACTCCGTTGACTGGCTTCAGCCTAAATCTGAGGACGAACTCCGACTGATGGGCCTTGTTGGTGCTACACCGCCACACTCCCAGCAGTCTGGTTCCAACTCCTCAGCCCCTATCTATGACCCTCCTAAAGTCATCGAAAAGGAACCAGAAGCACAACCGCCCCTAGTTTGCTCACGATGCCCAGTACTAGAGGCCGAGCGAGACAAACAGCGCAAGAAGGCGCATAAGTTCTTCAAACACGCCGAACGACATTTGAAGAATTCAATCGAGCTTGAGGACCAGGTTGCCAACCTCAAACATAACCTTGAGGAGGGCTATTACTCGGAAAAAGACGGCAAAATGTCCGTGGGCGAGTTAACGTTCGCGGAGAAGAAAGAAGGCATCGTCAAAGTGGTGACGAAATACCGTGAACAACTGTTCCAGAGGGGCGCGGAGGTACGCGACCTTCGCCTGCAACTTTTCGAACAGAACGAACAACTTTCGAAAATGAGCCAGGAGAAGGGCAAACAAGAAGAGATGATCGCGGAGCTGTGGGAGCAGCTTCGCCAGAGGGATATTGGTGGATCGTCCAAAACTGGCCTGATCTTCAACGCGGCACCACGACCCGCCGATGGAGGCAGTCTCATCTTCGGTAATCTGCCGATTGTGGCTGAATATATTGGCATGGCTATGGGTTCGGACACCGATTCGGAGGACGAAATGACCGGTTATGAAAATGACACTACCAGCCTCACATCGGAAGAAGGCAAGGTAGCAGATGCTGAACCAGAAGAAGAAATTGCAGAGGATGTTGGAAAAACTATCAAGGAAACGCCAGAGAACTCAGACTTGTCTGTCTCTGTCACTTTTCCCGATGTCATTCAGCCCAACATCACTCAGCACGAGACTCCGGCTCCCGTGCCTCAGGACACCGATTCCCAGTCCGAGAAGCACGAGGCTCCCGCCGACCTCATAACGAGTAGAAGCATCGTTCATGCCAATACTGGCAATTGCTCCATGAGCCGCAACAATCTCGCTTCTACTTATTCTACATCCTACGCTTCAAGCCCCTCGGTCTCGCCGCACTCCGATTACAAGACGCTTAGGTCCAATCAGGCCTTGGCTTCAGCTCCAGTCCTTACAACCATCGTCGAGGAGCCAGAGTGCCCATACAGCCCCTCGATCCATAACTCCACCCCAGTTGTCCCCTTCTTTACGAAGAATGATCATCAACCACAGGCTGCGCTTGCCGACCTCAACGCAGACTCAGTGGCAGAAGAGGACTTTTCTATGGCTTCCGAAATCGTCCGCACCACTATCGGAAACAACATTCGCCCGGAGGACACTATTTTTGACCCTTTCCGCGCCTCTTATGCAACTGAGATTAAGGCTGAGCGCCCTGTGGCTGCTGACCTGATTGCGGATCCTGTCCCAGATGAGGGCTACGCCATGAGCTTCAACACCACCCGCCACACCGCGACCTATAATACCTTCTCGTTCGACCCTTTTAAGACTACCATTAGAACGATGCGCCCTGCCTCCATCGCTAACGAACGCCTACGACCCTTCCATACCGAGCGTGCTGGCCACCTCGGCACTGCATGCGCAGCACCTATTGACGGTGGACAACCTTCCACCACTGGAAGCGGACGAACTGGTGGGGTGAGGTTCGCGGGACCAGCCAGCTCATTTCTCCAGCAGGCTCCATTGGCTCTATCGACTGCATGGGGCGCCCTGCCTCCTACAGGTTCGTACCTGCCGTCGAAGTCTCGATTTTTTTGAGTTAGGGAAATGCTTGATATTCCTACGGAGTGATTGAAGGTGATAGGCTTATGAATTTGAGCTTCTTTTGCTGTTTGGAGGCACGAGCTACTTCTCTTTCTTTTCTTGTTCTTCTTATCCGTCTCCCATTATATCGGTCAAGAGGGAGCTTTGGTTGGGCGGGATTGTTTATAGATACAATAGAGGTTTGGACTAGAGGTTTAGCAGCTGTACTTACTGCTCGATAATACCCTAGATGTTGCGGGCGGGCAACTAGATAATCGAATCAATCATGTTAGATATAATTCTGAGCTCCTTCGTACATAACGTATCAATAATTGAGCGTGACTAACATGATTTCTCGGGAGGGTAGGTAGGGTCTGAGGAGCCCATAAATATGGACTTATATACCCAGGCAGCACGAGGGGCTCTTAAACGTAGGTATGGTGATTCTATGTTGATTAGAATACCTGGAAAGAGTGTTCATAGGCATGCCTAAGCTCATACTCTCAATCCCAAAAACGATGTCACAAATAACCCAGCTGCTTGATTGTCAAGCTCGCTCTGATACCTTTGCTCATGGAATGCATGGAGCAACAAGCAAATCAGACCTTCGTTATCCTCTATTTCCATTCTCTCCTACGCAATGTCTTGAATACCTCGCTCATCCTTATTCCGTCCTTCTGCCTTCGTTCCTTATATACAGCCAGCAGAGAGGCGGCTCGCCCATCAACATAGCAGTCTCTACAACCTGTCTTTTCCTAGGTTCGTTGACTCTATGCACAGTCACACATAGCCGTTGGCATGCTCTACCGCGCCTAGAGCCGCGAAAGTGATGAAATTGAGCTCGACGTCACGTAACAACTGCAGGCATTGTGCGCAATGCATTGTATATTGATGATCTTCGACACAGTGCATGTAACCGGGAGAGGGAAATGTAGCTGCAGTAAGACTTCCATTATTCAATCAGGTGGTGCCTGACACTCACTGGATTACACGAAGTGGACATCCCCCCTTACTCCAACTAATGCACTTTGATGGATATGCTTATAGTATTAGCTTTGGTAATATATGCTATCACGAAGGTATGGGTGCAAATATCCTAACTTATGGCCTGGATGGTACAACCTTGAATATTTGCTAGATGTAGGAGTATAGATTCAAGCGATGTAGTATCTGAAAAGGTCTAGAGAAGATGCCTGCAAAGGCAACATATTGCGCTAGTCAATCGATTTTACAATATCGCTAAACAATTCTTACAATGACTCTGCAAAACTCTTGTAGTGCCCGACTAACGGTTACAATATACCAGAACAATGTCGCTTGCACCCTAGATAGAGAGGCGACAGTGCATCACGTGAAACACGTGACAATCACCAAAACAGATGAATTCACCCGGGCTGACAGGTACTTTATCTCGCTCGCCTGCAAAAGTACCTCAAGTCTTCATCACACCTGCAACACCGCGCTAGTCCCACAACCGCATCCACCACCCACTGTTCGTGTATCCTGCATCCACCAACCTCAACGCATCTTCCTTATAGCATCACCGATCGCTGTACTACCAACCCTAGGAACAGCTCACGTCGGAATGTCGAGCTCCCATGCTGCTGATGGCCGCGCGGCTTTCCAGAACGTCGCAGATGTGCTCGGTAAGTCAACTCATCGACGACACATCGATTGTCGCATTGGCTTACAGCTCGTAGGAGATCTACTGCCCCAGCCTCGTCCGACGACAACTGGCGATAGCGGTGTTTCTGCCACGAACTTTCAAGGCACTCGGCGGATGTTCAAAGAGTGCTTGGCTGAAGAGGCTAGGAAGTGTACGTCGGCTCCTAACTACATACATAGCGTGTTGGCTAATTGTCATCCAGATTTAGAGCTGGTCTTGCGCGAAGAGAACCGTGCGGCCTCTGTCCAGTCCTCCAATCGATCTTCTCTGGTTACGACACAGTCCAATGCCTCGTCAGTTCAGTGCGTTGCCTCGTCAGCCTCGTCTGTATCTCTATACCCCGAACCCAACTACGAGCCCGTCTCCATCCCTCCGGCGTACTCTCCCGTTCGTCCATACAAACCTTTCAAATACCGACTGCATCGACCCCACGATCCTGGCGCCGGCTCTGGGCATTCACCACCAGGTAAGCAAGACACCCAACATCAGCTTGCCCAAGCCTTTCCAACACGTACAATCATAGGACCGCATTCGTCTTTTGTCAACCTGGTGCCCTCTGGAATCGTCCCAAATTGGTACGTCTTCGAGCTAGAAGGAGCAGTTGAGCTCCTTCGTGAGCAACTTGAGGCACTCAAGAAGACGTCGACCGAGCAGGAGGAGAACGCGGTCATCATGACCACGCATATTGGCCATATGCAGCAAGAGCTCCGCGAGAAGAATGGCGAGCTTGCTATCCTTCGAGGGCAGGCCCAGAAGTTCCCGCAGCAACTGTCAGATATGCAAGATCAACTCACCATGAGCGCGGGATATTTGAATGCTACGCGCATTGAGCTTGACGACGCTAAAGACGAGATCTGTGGTCTCGAAGAGGAATTGGTGGAGCTCCAGAAACAAAAAGATGAGGAGAATCACAAGAAGGATCAAGAGATCGCCCGCCTTCGGAAATCTAACCGGATGTTCATGGCGCTTTATAAGTCAGAGAAGGACCGTGCAGACATGGCGACCGAGCAAGCAGAGAACCCTACTATCAGCACGAGCTGTATGTTGGTTATGCAGCAAAAGGTTGAGGAGAAAGATTTCCAAATTGCTCAACTTCAAGAACAACTCTGTGCCCTTCAATTTGAGAATGGCAGCCTCATTGCATCCAAGGATGCAGAAGTCAAGTGTCTGCACGGAGTGCACTGGGGCTATGTCCAAGACGAGCTCCGAGAGTGCAAACCAGTCATTCCGAAACCCAAGGTCGTTCAGTTTTTAAATCAGGAGAACTACGAAAACCTTCCCGTTGGCTACATAGTGGAAAATAGTCTCCCGGTCGTCAAGTACGGCCGCGCGCAAGTCTTGACGGAAGAGAATGCGCCTTATACTGGCCCCATTCGCCCAGCGACTCCACTAACCCAGGAAAAACTCCATGGAAACGAGGAACAGAATGCTCTGCTCAAACAGTTCTGGAAGTGGCGCAACCCAGTCGCTGAAGGTCTGGACTTTCCAGATGTTATCGCGGAACACTTTGAGACATTGAGGCAGGGGAATCTTAAGCAGGAGCGCGAATACGAGACCCAGCGTCAGCGAATTGCCGCTGAGAATGATCGCATCTATTCGATGTCTCTTCCATCGACCCCTGTACACTCCCCCTGTTCATCCCCAGTCCTCAGCCGGCGGGAAGACACCTATTACCCAGATTACTCCGAGCTGCCCGTCTTTCCAGAACTACAACCTCGCACCGAGCGCGTGTGGTCTGTAGAAGAGCTGGAGAACGCGTACAAGCTCCGTACAAACACTACCACTGAGGTGCCATTTTCAGGACCAGCTCCAATCACACCTAATACAACCCGCCTTCGCCGAAGCCAGCTTGCGGGACAGCCGTAGGCGACGTGGAAATGCCAGCATCCGCGTATCTCCCGAGGGAAGCCCCTACCTGGTCAACCGGATTCCAGATGGCTTCTGTGGCAACGCACTGACCACTGTACCGATGACTGCCCCAACTGCTCTTATTTTTGCCCCGATTGCGTCTGCAGCTATAGCACTTGGCCCTTGGGGCATGGTACCACGTAAGGAGGACTATGTGGTGCCAATGTACATTGGCGAGCGAACGCGCGGTTAGACATCCAAACATACGAGTATGGTTTCAGGGGCGTGGTATGATGATTAGGCTTTATCTTGCCAGTCCGCAGAAAGGCCATTGTTGCACGTTTCTCTTCTTATCGTGCGACTTTTGCTACCACGAAACTAGTTGGGATAGGAGCGGTACGGACAGATATACCTTTCTTTTTGTTTCATGTTACTTTTCAACTTCCATAGAATGGCCGCGAGGGAATCATTGCGGTCCTTTTGCATATTGCACAGAAGTAGGGTTTATGTTTCGGCCTTTGTAGTCGAGTAGAGATACCCCAGGCATTGCGGGAGAGCGACTAGCATATAGACTAAAATAAATCAATGCGTACATATTCGACATGCCTTCCCAATTGTGATCTACTCATAAGGAAGGGGGGAAATTGGGCATGAGAAACGTGGTTTTTAGAATGTGAGATACCGCGTTAATTCACGTTTAGAAAATACATAGTAATTGTTTGAACACAATGACGTAAAATACCCGCGCAGGCACAAAGCAACTGCGGCCCCGATCACGTGAAACACGTGACATTCACGAAGATCAGTGAAACCCCGAATTAGGAAGAGCATAAAAACCCGCCCGATTGCGGCAGGCCCTCGACCTTCCATCTACCTCACACAACAACCTGGACACCCCACACCCACCCCCCCACCGCTGTTTAGGCATTTCACAACAGCCTTCCACTGTCTTCCGACATTGCGCATTATTGCAATCTGTTTCACTGCTCAATTCTTGGAACAATTGCTATAACGATGTGGACCGCCAACCGTTCGTCTCCTCGATACTATCGTCCGTATCCTCGTGTCAATCGTCCGTCTACTCACGACGCCCTCGCATATCTGACCTCGGTCGGTGTATTTGGTAAGTCCCTCTACTTCGCCAGCAACGACTCCAGCCCTCGCCCTTACTTACACATCATAGGCCCTCCCCAGTCGTCTAATACTCGTCCGATCATGAGCGGCACCACTGCGGTCTCCGCCAATGCGGTCGTCGAACCAACTGGCGATATATGCATCAAGATTCAGCTGGCGCTCCCAGGCATGCTCATCTCCCCTGGGCAGAGCTCGACCGACTCGTCCCAGGACACGGCGCAATACAAAGTGTGGACACCTCCCAATCATCGCCCTCCATCATCAGCCTCTACCGTATCGGCCGAGCCCTCCCACACCGAGGTGCCTCCAACCCGCGACCGATTGCATCGACCACTCGATCGTGGAACAGGCCACAAGCTGCATTCACTTCAAGGTAAACAAGAACAACAACACCATACTTCTTCAGCATCTCTAACTCCTGGATTTATAGGAAGCCATCTCAATGCCACTCATACTCCTCCTTCCGCAGTTGCTATGCTGCTACCCCGTCCTCTCGCCTACAATGCGGCCTACGCGTTCGAGCTCGAAGGCGAAGTCCAGCTTCTCCGCGAGCAGTTCGAGGCCTCTAGGCAGAACATCCGAGAGAAGGAAGATGACGCGGCTGCTCAAGTCGAGCGCGTCAACATGATGCAAGAAGAGGTGGACCGCAAAGACGCTGAGATTACTGCCCTCCAAGTCCTACTCGAAGGGCTCCAACAAAAGGCGACAGATTTGAGGGAGGAGGCCGCTATGAATGCGGGACGCGCGAATGCCATGGCCGAAAAGCTCGATGATACCAAGGACGAGGTGCTCTGCCATGAAAAGGACGCGGACTCACTCAAGAGCACTATATTGAAGCTTGAACAATCTGCTCGGGACAAGGATACGTACCACGGATTCCAGGACAAGGCCTGGATGCAGGCCTATTGCGACCTCTTGGAGAAGAGCGAAGAGCAGGAGCAGGCCTATGACGACCTCAAGGAGGAGAAGGATGAACAGCTACGCGCAAAGGAGGCCGAAAATAAGCAGCTTCGCCGCTCCAATCGTATGCTGCAGAACCTTCTCAAGATGAAGAATGAAGGCTCTCCTATGGTTGACGAGTCGGTTCCTACCAACGATGAGACGACTGTTTGTAGCGAGACTCCTTCTACTCCACCACAAGCCGGTGTCAAGTCCCCTTGCTCTACGCTGAATCTCAGCCCTCTGAGCCACGACTCCGACTCCGACGATGAGGATGCCGGTGACGGCCACAACAAGACCCCAGACCCTCGCATTGCGGCCATGTTTCGATCTTCAGTCCAGCTCGAGGAGATCCAGCCTGTTCCTCAAATGGCCAAAACCGAAGCTGAGGACACCGAGCCTCTTCCAGTCAAGGAAGCTGACCCCATCCTCAAGACCCACGGACTCGAAGGCATCGATGATCCGTTCCTTGATGCCGAACCCACCGTCGGTGGAACAGCTACTCGAGGCCCCTCCCAACCATACCAACTAGCCGTTCCACCACCGCATGGTGGCCCCATTTGCCGCCCTCGCGTCCCCCATTGGGATCAGGGTATCTCCCCTCCCACCACGCCATGCCCCATCCGCGCAGAGCCGTCCACTAAGCGCGCCCCACGCTTCGTGCGCCCATCTCGCCTCAACCGGCCCACTGTCCTGTCGGCCCCACAGTCCCCCCCACATGCCCTCATTCCAGGCATGCCAGTGCGCCCCCGAACCACCCAGTCCAACCGCAACCACAACATGATCCGAGACAAGCAGGCCCCGGGCTACGGCATCAACCACCCCATCGTCTCGCCGGTTCCGCACCCGACCATTGGCCCCTACAATCCGCCATATCCTAACCCTTTCGTCACCGCCCCCACGACCCCTCCCAACGTATTCTGCAAGGCTTACGAGCAGGACGTCTACGTGCAGCAGATGCTAGAGAAGCGGTATGTCCCAGTTCAGGCTGAGGAGGGACCTTATGGGGTCATGCCCCAGCTTCAGGAGCAGGTTGTGCCGATGGCGGCAGGGCCCTGGGCTACTTATATCCCGCCGCCGCCGAGCTACCAGGTGCCGATGTTCGTTGGTAACCCGAGACGTCGTTGAAGTATGACTGGTAGAAGTAGGGTGGGAGACGATGTGGTGTGGTCTATGATTGCGAGAACTTCTTTCCTTTTGTTTCATACGGTATAACGAGCCTGAGGCTTTGGTAGATATGATGCTTTTCCTTTTGTTTTCTTTACTCCTACAGATTGCTTGAGGCGGAGGTATTTACGGGTATGATTATTTCTTTTCTTCCTGTCTTTTCTCTTTTTGTTTCTTAATAGACTGCTTAGGAGCGAGCGGAATCCTGGCGTTGCGGGTTCCTAAAAGAGTTAGGGAAAGGGTTTGTGTCTCTTCTTGTGAGACGCAATATCTTAGTATCGCGGGGGTGCGATCGGTTCATACATGGGTTTGTGTGTCTTTATCTAGCATGCAATACCCCGAGTGTCGTGGGCGAACGACCATTCGTAGAGTGAAATGAAAACAGTACGATATAAATCTCTCCATAACCGTGATATATCTGAAGTGCGTTGGAAATTGGACGCGAGTGATGTGACATTTGAAGGATACGGTAAAACTCTGAAGCTACTCTTGAATATGGAAGGTAGAGATCTAAGGAATATCAAAGAGAGTAGTCTTGAGATTGAGGGCGAAAGGCACGGAAATTGCGCGTGCTGAAAAGCTCTTGAGGGACCTTTCAGTATATCTCACTCATGTCTTTGCGAGACTCGAATTCAAAGACAGAGACTTTGACGTGCAGATTTGAAGACAGAATTAGGACCATGAAATTATGAACCTACGATGCAGCTCTCTATATCTATCTATTTTCTACACCTCTGCCAACGCCAGGGATGCCCCTGGTGTTTACTTACCGTCTTCAACTTACATGCGCTAAGCTTTTCCATCGCAAAGCTGCACGACTGCCCACTTACCGCTCCACGCCCACTTGCGCGCTCCGCTGTCGCCGCCGCCGCCTTCCATTTTCCGTAGCCGCTCGTCTTCGCCCTCGGGTAGCCCGACTACGACATCGGCCTTACAAGTGCGCAGTGCGAGAGTGCGCAGTCCAGATCCAGGGCCTAGAGGACCGATGGCGGTAGAAAATGGAGTTGTGGGATCCCAAGCGGCCTAGTAAGTTAATCAGTACGAGCGCTCGCGTTTTAGTGAGACGTAAGACGCTTACATCGCCAGTGAGTTTTCTGTAGTTCAGATCGCCCTTAAAAATGACGAGTTCGCTCTCTTTCAAGTCCTCAAACAAGCTTGGCTCGGAATTGGGAAGTCGCCAGAAACTGCCGCCCTCGGTCCAGAAGCGATTTGGGCGGATAAGGAGACGGCCTTCGCCCACGAGGCTAGTCCAGTTCTGGAACAGGAATTTGATGTCCTCCTGATCCTTGGCGGGTAATGGCCTGTATGTGTTGCGGTACGCATCATCGTCATCGGCGGTAGGTGCGTACAGGCGCTGGGGATCGTGCACTGCTTGGATGATGTCCTGGAAATCCTTCGGCAGGACATCCGATACAAACCAGGGAATCGATTTTGGATGCAGAATAACAGTGGTCGCAAGTCCAGAAGAGAGGAGGTAACCGGCTAGGATAAGGTCGACGTAGAGCTCGAAGCCGGCATTATCCAGGATGATATCAACGCGTCGATCGGCGCTCTTCCCGCTTTTCTGCGCGTTTCGAAGGATAGCGAATGCTGCATCCAAATCGTTGGCAATAATGTTTGCCTGCGCAGCCTGTCGCGCAGATGACCCTTGAAGTTTCTGGATATCTTCGTAGGAGAGATTGGTCAGGAGGGACAGATCCGTCGCATTGCCCCATAGACAGATCTCGCACATCTCCATAAACAGTACCTTCTCCGCCGCTTCCATTTCTTCACCCGCTAAATTGCTTCCTTGTCCCAGCTTCGCGACAATCTCTTTGTAATGCGTTGCAAGCTCAACGACGGCAGGACGAGAGGATTTGAAGGTGGAGAGTTTCTGGCGCGCGAAGATGTCGTAGGACTTCCATTTCTTAGAGAGAACAAAGAGGGCATTCATACGCCTGTCTTGTGCTATTTAGCTATTTGTAATGGTGCTAACAGAGCACGGGAGAGACATGCCTGTAAAGATAGCATTCAGAGAAAAGCCATGGGACGTTGAACCAAGTGGGATTGCCGAGAGCGGCGAGTTCTTTGTTGTAGCCCTCGATATCTGAGAACCCATCATCAGGGAGCGGTCTATATCCCAATTAGAGTATTCCAAAAAGGTATAGAGTCGCGACGTACGTCAAAAGACGGTCATGCTGCAGCTCATGCTTGAGCTTCGCCAGCGCATTTATCAGCCCTTTGCCTTCCGTCACGGTGTCGGGGTCCGTGGCAGCAGTGGTAGCGCGATATACATCGTCAATGGCTTGCGTCTGCTGGATATAAGCGCTCTAATCTGGTGTGAGACATTTGAGGCGGCTCACGATTATAACAGGCCATCGGTCGCGGGCGGAGAAGTAGGCGAAGGAGGTCGTGTCGGAGGTGTGGTATGGCGCTGGAAGCTGGTTAAGCCCAAGTCCTATCTAGATCGATTGTTACATACGCGTCTTTGTATCGTACTCCATGTTGATGGTGTCCTGTCTCGTTGTGTTGCAAAGGGAAGAGGTGAGGTTGAAATTGACGTCGCCGCCAAAGAAAAGCGCCCCACCATGCCCCGCCGATGGCCTTAGCCCCTCCGATGGCCTTAGCCCCTGACTTGCTGGAATAGGGCTGTTTCAACTTTTTCTCAACCTCCTTCCTACTCCCTAAAACCTAAATTATCATCGAGGGGTCAGCCCATCAAGTCATATACATTACCACTCTTTCTGCACCAAGAAGACCGTCGTGACAAACTGTTAGTATGCATTTCAAAGCCTTAGAATATGGCCTAGAGCCAGCCGGCGGCCTATTCTGTCTATTCAAAACTGTTTCATAGTCAAAACCATCTATCCCTTGAAGATAATTAGTCAAGGGGTGATTCGTGATATAGATTCACGCGTGAAGAAGGGCATCTACGACCTCAAGTCGGAGTCGATCGCGTCCCCAAGGGCGAAATGATGTCGCCGCCGAGGCCGCACCCACTTTCACTTCTCCGTTTCGTGACATGTTCAAGGCCGCCCTAGATATAAAAGACTTTCTTCCCGACATCCAGCACCTTTATCTCCTTTACCACACAACCACCACCCAACCCTCCACCATTCAAGCCTCTGAGCAAGTCCCTTTGACAGCTTCACCAGTCATGGCCGATGAGCCGTAAGTAAACCTCCGCCCTTAATTCCTATTATACAAACACTTCGATGCACTGTCCTGCGCTATCAAGTCGTTAACTTGGTATCCAGCTTTCCGTATCTCTATCGGACCATCTTCACCCTGTTGGTCGGTCCTGACAAACAGCGATATCCTGTCCACAAGGAGTTGCTTGCAAGCAAGTCATCTGCAGTTGCGAAGCTTATTGATTCGCCCCAACTTTATTCCCAGATCAAAAAGTCGCTGCTAGAGTCGCTCAATGAATTGGAGAGGCTGCCCAAGGCTGCACCAAGCTCGTCTACACTCAATTGCGTGGGTCATACAGTATCGTCTATTATCCTACACTAGCTAATTCAACTCAGATCGTTCGCTGCATCATGAAGGAAGCAATCTGGTTGGATGGCCGTAGCGCACCTTACGGACTCAGTGGAACTGCCGCCGATCTTCGTCCACTGAGAAAGGAAGTAGTGGAGGCTCTCCATGACCACGACTGGAATTGGCGACCGGATACAGAGGGATCGAATATTGACGAGTCGGAGGACGATTCGAATACGGACGGATACAGCATACGACAGGGGAACTTCATATTCTACGACTTGAGAGAACACAGAGAGCTTGACGTCCTCGACAATGCTGTTGCCATTCTCATCAAGGGAGCTAAGAAGCAACTTGGTCAACACTGCCTCCACCCACGGGAAACCGAAGATGTTGAGAAGAATCGCCTTAAACTTCCAGATGAGCGACCCCGAGTCGTGGAAATGCTTGTCCACGCGCTCTATACTAGTCGTCTCCAAACAATGGATGCGCGAAGCGTGTTCCACGACACTGCGCCATATGACCGCCTCCAAGTATTTTGCCTTGCTTTCGAGTTGGGTATCACATCTATACAACAGCTCATCGTGGAATCCTTCTTGAAGAAGCGGACTGGGCCCACACCACTTCGCTATATTCTCTTTGCGCTCGCTGCTGCAGAGAATGGTAGTCCGGCGAAGAAGCTGCTTGGCTGGCTCCTGCGCGACCTGTCGGCTGAGCTGCTTAGTGTCTGCCCGGATGGCCAAAACCTCTCCCTAAATGCCGTCGGCAGTGCAGGCATCGATGAATGCAATGACGACGAAGTTCTCAACCTGGTTTGTGATGACTGTTGGGCCTACATGACTAGCATATCTGACGTTCTAAAGCACGTCGCCGAAACGTAAGATACTCCTTTACCGCAAATTCCTTACCGTAAATTTTGTTATCTGAACGCTAACATCGAGGGTTCTAGTGACCACGAGAACGTGTCCAAGCGTACCACGAAGAGCAAGCCATTCCTTCTACAGAAGCACAAACCTATGTTTGAGGAATTCAAAGCAAAGCTTGAGGCTCAACAGCGTCGCAAATGTATCCACAGCGAGCTATTCCGTCGCCCTGTGTCTTCCACTCACAAGGAGACTATTGCGCGAGGCGAAGAATCATCGATCTGGGACTCAGCTCTCGACGTTTCGGCCTCCACACCCCGAAAAGTCTTCCGCTGCGATGAGTGCTGTGAGCAGCTTGGCAGCAAGTCTGAAATGAAGAACCATACGGATTTCTCGTAAGACTAACTTCCATCCTCGAACATCAAACTTGCGTACTAATACCAGCTGTCCTAGCTGCCACGAGAAATTCTCCGAATTGAACCCGGACGAGATCAGAAAGCTCACAAACGCAGAGAAGAAAGCCGTTTGCCAGTTCAAACCTTCAACACCCGAAGACCTCGTCGCCAACGATGACGAAGTAAACGATGATCTCTATGAGCACCCCAGAAACGTTATGACGGAAAACGCCGGCACTAACCTCATGGAGAATCGGCGACTCACCCGCGCGCAACACAAGCTCAAGCGCCCGACCAAGGCCCCAACACCAGGAGTCGTCGTCGCTAACGATGAAGACGATGGCTACAAGCTCTACGAAAATAGTGCGACGGCGAACCCCAGACGGGAAAGAAGCGAAAGGCCGCTGTCCCTGACGGCGATCACTCGAAGAATCAGCCAGTCAAGAAACCGAGAACGCGTGCCGCTGCTGCACTTGAGCGGAGGGGTAATAGTCCTGGGCAGAGTGGGGAACAATCAACTTAAGTTGATAGATTGATTGATTTGATTTGGTTCAACCAAATCAATCAATCAATCCGAAGAGGTGGATTTTATCAATCAAATCAACTTCAAGGCATCAAATTGATTGATTTGATTGGTTTGATTGATTCCTATTTGCGGAGCGTAGATAGAGTATCCTATAGAGAGCCCACCTAGCAGAAGTGCTTACTAAGCAGTCTCCTAACCCTGATTTTCATCCTAACTCACATCAACGCGTCCAACACCATACCACCTCTGTACAATATCGCACCCAGCAATGAATCAGAACCTTCAGAACGTACAGCAGGAAGTTATCGCACGCGCAAATCGAAAGAAACCTCCCCGTAAGGTTAATTCTATGCGCGCCGAAGTCAACACGAATGAACACGTCGAAACACCTGCCACGAACGACGACGA